CATTTTATCTCGGTAATTCTATCACAGTCGATAAAAAATATTGGCGTTTTTACCAAGGTCCAGTAAAATTACCGAGAAAGTTCAATAATTTTACCGAGATTTCTCGGTAAAATTATCAATTTCATAAATGGTAATTTTATCAAGAAAAAACTGGGATCATATAGCTAGAACCCTGAGTTCTTGGTAATTTTACCCTTTTCTTAGTAAATACACCGAGATTTTTTTCAGTGTTCTCTGGTAACAACGCCGTTCAATAAAAATTACTCGTTAAAAACTCATTAAAAAAGCTGTTGATGGTTGTATTACAGGAAACCCTTTTTTTTATATTATTATGTAAAATTTTCGTGAAAAAGCATTTTTCTTAGAAAAAATCTACTGTTACCTAAAGAGTCTCCTTATATTTATTAAGCGTTCAAAACCAACAATCGCAGTAGGTATAGATACATCTTTAATGAGTTTTTCAACACCTGACAACTGCAAGTTTAAGTTTCTCAACTTAACTCAAGGTTCTCGACAAGTTGAGTTAACAATATTTAGTAGTTTAGTAGTAATTTCCTGTAAATTATACTTAAAAAACACAAAAAAACCAGAGTTTCTAAAATAACTTTTAATGGGTTTATAGAGTTTTATTTTTCGTAGGTAATTTTTTTTTAAAAAGTTTTTTTTTTCAACAATCGTTGTTACTGGATGCAACTGGATAAAAGCAGTCTACATGCATGGGGAAACTGATTGTCAAAATGTCATTTCCTAAAATGAATCAGAAATAGTAGGTCCTTCATGGAGAATATGGTCCAATTGAATTTTATGAAAGAATATCTACCTAAATTTTGCCTCAACTAACACGCAGCTGTCGTGGCACAATATGGATGGCCAAACCACGTATCTCCGTTTGCAACGTTCTAAACTTCCTGTTATACTTAATTTTTTTTTTTTTTTTTTTTNTTTTTTTTTTTTTTTTTTTTTTTTTTTTTTTTGGAAAACTTGTAGTACTCAAAATTTCTTGAAAACTTGACTCACATTTCTTCTTTGTCAGCAGAATATCGACGGTGAAACTACCAAACCACGTATCTCGTTTGCGGTGTTTAAAAATCTCCGCTCACATTTTATTTTTTTGAAGTAGACCAAATCAATATCATTCCTTGAAATTTTCACAGAATTTTCTCCGCACGAAGAGGAAAAATCACGGAGATTTTCAAGACTGGACGTTAAGTAGCTTTTTATTTAAAAAATAAAGTATGACAGGAAGTCTGCGACGTCGCAAACCGAGATACGTGGTTTGGTAGTTTCACCGTCGATATACTGTTGAAATTCCAAGCGAGAAAGTTTGCTCGTCTCTCTTCGTAGGAATAAAATAAGAGCGGAAATTTTGAAACACCGCAATTAAGATATTTCCGTGCTTCGGCTATCGATTTGCTTTTGCTTTACCGTACTGAATTCTTTTTCTTGAGATATTACTTTGACTTACAGCGTCGATTCTTGTCGACAAAATTTGGTTCCTTCGAGTTAAAGAAGCGTTGTTTTGCTATCGTTTTTCAAATTCAACTTAGCGGTAGCAAAACGACACTTTTTTCATTCAAAATAACTTACTACAAGTCGAATCTGAATGGATTTAACTGAAAAATACCAAATTTTGTCGACAAGAAACGACGCTTTAAGTCAAAACAATATATCAAGAAATTTTTTTTTTCAGTGGCGGGTATTTACCAGTGAAAGAATTCCATTTCTCTTATAATTAAACCTTCGGGGACTTGACCCATAATGTCAGTTTAGTGTCAAACTAGTGACATTGTCACAATACAGCCCCGAAGAGGCTCGTCGAAGAGTGGTATTTTTTCGAGGATAAAAAAGAAAAAAACGGAGGAGCTTTATGTGTCAATGGTGCATCGACACACAAGATCATTTCTATACTCGTAAATGTGTTCAATCGAAGGCAAAGCAGTCAAGCACCCATGCAATTCCAGGTTACCCTAGTTCCAGTCACCTAGGTCAGAACTTGCAGCTCACCGAGACGCGAGGAGGTTCTCGCTTCGAGCAAGTTTACGCCGTTCCATCATCATACCAACATTACAGCGCTCAAACAATTTAAAGCAACTGCAACAACCTTCAGGCTTGCCAGGTCGCTAACAAATCACACGATTCAACGCCCCCGTGGATCAAAATAATGGACCGCGCCAAGCAGAAAGGAACCAAGCCACCTCAGCTATTGTCAAATTTAATCGGGCAATTTAATTTTTTACATGAAAACGATTGTTCGGATTATGGTGCAAATCACAGGGCAGTTTCTGCATAGCACGGAGCAAATTCCTTAAACTTCAAAGAAATCCGCAGAAACGTCCTCTTACAAAAAGTTAAATTGCCCTGTTAAATTTGGCAATAGCTGATGTGGCTTGGTTCCTTTCTGCTAAACGCGGATCAAATACAAAGGCCAAATGCTGCCGTGCTGAGGAAGAACGCCGTATGAACATTCGAGAGTTGCCAAATTTCCTTCGATAAAATGTTCATTTTTTAGGAAAATTATGAATATTTTTCCTTAAACTTTTCAGAAGTTTTAGATCAAATTACAAACAAAATTATCTGAGAAATTGGTAGACAAATATTCAAGAATTTTCCTGAAAATTAGTGATTTTCCAGGGGAAATTTGGCAACACCTGAAGGTTCATACGGCATTCTTCCTTGGCACGGCAGAATGAGGCTCTTGCATGTGAGGGGGATTTGCGATTTCAGTGCTTGTTCTCGCGCATTTCGCTAGAAACATGATGGTGCCACTGGTTTTCTCTGAAAAGAACTCCAAAGCTCGAAGCTCTCAAAATTGAGGCCGTATGGACGGGATATCCCACGCTACGCTGTGAGTCCACCCCTATTTCAAGTCAAACTCTTCATGCAAAGATAGGGAGTAAACACATTAGCAGGGTTGCGGTGTTTTCAGTTTTGGGGTCCCCAAAAATAGTGGCAGCCCTGGTGATGTATTTGCTCCCTATCTTTGGATGGAGTATTTGACTTGATATAGAGGTGGACTTTCAGGATAGAGTGAGATATTCTTTCCATTGCGGTCTCAACTTTGAGAGCTTTTTTTAGTTTTAGAGTTTGTTTCAAAGGAAACCAGTGACTCCATTGTGTTTCTCGCGAAAATTTACATGTAGGAATCAGTACTTAAATCGCAAATGCCTGACATGTGCAAGAGCTCCATTGCACCGTGTCTAAAGGAAACGGACCAAGTGGCGTTTTGGAAAAAATGAGTTGGGAGTATAGTTTTCAGATCAACTAGTCGTTGAATCTATTCTGTCAAAAATTCCAAGTCGATTAAAAATGTTTCAAAAGCCAAAATAGCCCCAACAATTTTTAAGTCTTCTGAAGAATTACTGGCAATATTATGAAAAACAATATAATTTTCGATAGCATTTTCAATCGAATTTTCCTAGGACTCGGACGCAACCTGATCCATTTTCCTCAAATTCTTAGTTCATTTACTGCTCTCCTCAGTAGCATGGCGCCTTACGGAAATGTGACCAAATGAATTTATTATCAAGATTCAGGATAACCAGCCGGGTGCAAATCCAAGCGCCTGAATATGCATTACGACGAATCATAAATTGGTTGTAATGAAATGTTAAGTCAAACTGACCGGAGTGATAAACGATAGGATGACAAAATTCCAAGCAGTTGTAGTCGCAAAGTAAGGTTTTGGGGTTTTATAGTGGATAATCTTGTTCAAGCATTTCCTCTAACAAGCTGAGGAGAGAATCTATTGAAAGTCGATCATTTTCGGTCGTCATCGTCGATGACAGTATTTTTTTACGACGTTTTTGGCCAAACTGTGTAGTTTCATTTGAGGAATTATTCGAAAGCCGGTCAAGAAAATATTGATGCCAAAAGACCTTTTTTTTATCAGACGCATGAGGCAAAGCACGATGTCTCGAGGTAAGAATGGTTTTTTTGACCTACACTCCTTCAGAACTTTTGCAGTTGTATCAATGATTACAATTTTCAATCAAAGCTGCCCGATTACATCAAAGTATGAACAAAGGTGCATCCTTTCAACTATAATGATTTTTGGTTTAATCTGTCCTTCTCGAGTTATATTCCGCTTTCATTTTACTATAGGTAATGAACTGAACTGGACCATCGTGCTATCACTCAGTCAATCCATAACATATCATGTGTCTGTCTATTTGGAATAACCTTTGCGTAAGCAAACGTTCTTCACTGGTCAGTAAACGCTCATGGAATTATATTTGGACGCATTTCTGCCGAACGGAACTATGCACATTATGACGTGAGCTCTGTTAAGCATGTATTCTTACGGGTCTCAAGGCCCATGTCTTAATGCACATAGTTTCGTTTGACAGAAGTACGTCCATATTTCACTATGGGTCGATTGTTGGATCGTTATTAAATGAGTTTGATCTATAACTCCCTATCTGCACAATGCTATATATCGATCAAGGCCAATCGACTACGATTCATCGATTGACCCGCAGACGAGCTCTCGTACCACGGTGTTCTTTGACACCACATAAGAGGGGCTTAGAGGACAAAGCGCAAAAGTGCAGTTTTTGCTATTTCGATAAATGCGTGCTTGAAATTCCGGAATTACATGGATCCTTATGGCGGGAAAAAAGTTCAAACTGACTTTCTGGTGCTTAAAAATTGAAATTTGGGAGCAAATGTTTCACAAAATATGCATTTACGACTAGTTTCGCTGGAAATCATTAATACCTCAATTTTTTTAAAATATCAAGCCCCTCATATGAAGCAGAAAAAGACGGTCATTACACCCAGGCTCAACAAAAACAAAATCAATATAGGTACGCACATTGTAATTTAACAACACTTCAGGTTTTTATAAAATTTTCATTTATCATAATTTTCGAAATTTTCCCATCAAAGCTCTACGAAAATATTGTAAGGGGAGGGGGGGGGGCACAGGGCGCATCGATCAAGAAAATCAACAATTCTACGATTAAACGAGAGGTAAACAAAGCTATTAAAATTATACTCACAATCCTTAAACTGACGACGAATGAGAGATAATCCAAATAGAGACACTCCAACGCTTATTTTTAGAACACTTCACAGTTTCACAACAATTCCCCTTTCACAGGAAGCACTAGTTTCGTATGCCGAGCGGCGGGCCCGACGACAAATAAAGGGGCAACGATTTAAACTTTACAACACTGGAACACAACTTTCGGGGCGCTCGGAATGCTATCCATGTGCTCCCCTGATCCGTCCTCGATTTTGAAAAAAATTCAACGAACCTCTCGGGATGAAGTTCGACTGTGACTCCGGCCGCACTTCACACTTCGAGACGAGCCTTTTTGCCTTTCTTGCGGACGAGGAAAAGGAACTTCTTGACGCAGAAGAAGAGGTAATCGGGCATTGGAGAAATGCGCTGCAGCGACTCGAGTGCTTGACGCCGCAAGTGCTCGAAAGTGCACTTGGAGTGCCGTGTCTTGTGTGCTCGGGTGAACTCGCGCGCCGAAACAGGGCAGGGGAACGCGCGACCGCGAGGACTCAAGTTCACCGGGAACGAACGCTCTGCGCCGACTGACTGGCCGGTCCCGGTGTCTTATCAGCCGGGTGAGGTTCCTAGTCGTGGCGAGGCGGGCGGGGTGATTACGGGAATACACATGGGTGTCTGGGATGCTCCACCCCGGCCTTTGCCACGGCGAGATGGCTTTTCATCAAAGAGGTAAAGGGGCTTAGGATAATCTTTAGAAATAAATTCATAATTGCATAATTGTGCCGTTGTAGGGCGTCGAGGTTGTGCCGCTTCGTCGTCCCTCTGATGTGAGGGCGTATCTGTGTTCTACAATAAAAACACATTAAAATACAAAAAACAAATGGGTATGCAAAGCTAGAGGAGACATAAAGCAACCAGGACGTTTCGGGCCAATTACATGCCCATTCTCAACTGGAACAGAAGTTAAAAAATGTAAAAATGTGTTCTACGCTGCCATGCTAAGGAAGAACGCCGTATGAGCCTTCAGACGTTGCCAAGTTTCCTTCGATAAAAACCGAATTTACTGAGAAAATTGTGCACATTTTTCTCCAAAATTTTCAGACTATTTTGTACGCAATTGAAACTAAAATATCTGAAGATCTCAAAGAAAAATGTGCGTAAATGTCGTCCAAAATTCATGTTTTATCAAGGGAAATTTGGCAACTCTAGAATGTTCATACGGCGTTCTTCCTTAGCACGGCAGTGCGTGAGCCCCGAAGAGCGTATATTTATATACGGCGAACACGACTCGCGTTGAAATTGGGGTATACTCCCATACTTCCGTGCTGAGGGCAGGGCCGAATTTACCGACTTGCCGCCCATGGGCCGCTAGTATTTTGCCGCCCCTTCTCATTCGTTTTGAAACATCAATGAAAACCATCAAATGAACGTGCCAGCGGGGGAGGGGTGCATAAGACGCCTTCACTGGTGTTGAACACATTTTTCGGGAAAGCCCTGTCAACACTACTAACAAAAGTTCACGGAACTTTGCGCGAAAGTTAAGTTTCGTAAACCTATCGCTGCGTGGACAAGGCCTTCCATTCATAAGAAATGAACGAAAAAATTGTGAAAGAACAAACATAAATGTGGATTAATGATTTTAACTTCCGCCGCCGCGCCTCGCAGACCGCACTGTGTTTGACGCAATGCGTGAAGTATTCACGCAGTCTTGTAGGCGCTATGCATCTCACGCTGATCGCGTTGTGTTTGCCGCAATGCGTGAGGTATTCTTGCATTCTTGTAGGCGCTATCCGTTTCACGCTGTCCGCAATGACCGCACTGTGTTTGATGCAATGCGTGAAGTATTCGTGCAGTCTTGTAGGCGCCAATATGTGTTACATGCCGATCGCCGCGCCGAGGGCTTCTCCTTTTCATCTCAAGTCCTCGTCATCATTTCTCTCAAGGTAAGTCGCGCTGTTCCAGGCCAAATTGCGTGTTTGGTTTCTCTCTTAACTCAACTAATAAAAGGTGCTGTCTCTTGTATCACTAAAAGACGACAAAAGTAGAAATTACTATACTCTCAAAAAATTAGAGATTTTGTCGCCTTTTCTCGTTTGTAATTTTTTTCTAAATCCGAATTGTTTTTATACCTACATTTAAAAAAAATTGCAAAATTTGCCGCCCATGTGGCCGCCCCCTTAATCCGGCCCTGGCTGAGGATCAACGTCGTTTGAACATTCAGGTGTGATAAAATTTCCATTGAGAAAATACGAATTCATTGGAAAAGTTGTGAATATTTTTCTTCCAATTTATCAGGCACTTTCGTTGGAAATTTAATGCAGAATATCTGAAAGTTTCGGGGGGTAATATTTCATAACCCCTCTCCAAAATACATTTTTTATCGGAGGAACTTTGGCAACATTCGAATGCTCAATATTGTTTTTCCTTAGTATGGCAGCACAGGCTAGAGGGGCGATGATTTGACTCAGCGGATCACACCCATAAACTGTAAAAGATCACACTCCGAGCGTTTCAAAGTTCTAGAACGACAAATCGCAAATTGGATGTGAACGCCCCGATGGCAGTGACTGGTGAAAAGGAAATTTCGAAAACTCCTTGAAAATACTTGTTAAAAATGAACGAGCAGGGAACCTTTTATGACTTTTTCAGTATGTTTATGTCCCGGTAAGCTTACGTGAAAATGTCTGAAACCATTGTAAATTTTGTAAGGTTTGCTGAAAAACTTTTACATTCAAAGTGTTGAGAACCATAGTACATTGTTAAAAATCGAGGAGTGAAATTTGGTGGCGGAGTCAATAAAGTGCCCAAAAACCTGAAGTGATATGAATGCGATGTGAAATTAGCACCATAAAAAGTATGCCACTCCGCAAAAATTGTAGATTCCTCTTCGTAAGGAGTATAGATTCCGCTTCGCATTTTATATCACTCTCGGGTTTTGAGCGCTATATTGACTCCGGTACAGAATTTCACTCCAAAATGCTTATCAGTTTAAATCGATTGAGATTTTTTCTTAAACTAAACCTTAAAATTTTACTTCTTGTCCTCCTAAAGTTTTCTTAAAAAATAGTGTATTTCCTTCAAAAAATATACTGAAATTGCCGAAAAAGATTTACTTTACCTAAATTAAGAGTTTTTTCAGAGTTGTCTTTTCAAATTTTAGAAGTTTTATAAAAGTTTCTGTGACAGTCGTTGCTACTAGAGACAGGCAAAGTCTTAAGTCAGTTTTACAGAGAAAAGTCTGCTTTGGTGTTGATAAATAGTATTTGTTCAATAAAAGGTAAATATCCTCGGGATTTGTAGGTTCCAGTTCTTCCGAGATTGAATATTTGAATTTTCCATGATTGATAGTTGATTGTTTGATATTCAACTGAGTTAGTAAAAAAACCCGTAGCTTGATTGCGACGTTGTACATTTGTTGTCACGTTGAATTGCTTGTAAGAAATACTGATCCATTTTTTTTCTCGGAATGTTCAATGATCTCTCATTTTTCTGTACAGAATTTTCTGTGAAAATGTTTAGCGCTGATATTCATTTGATTTGCTCTAATAATTAAACTGCAATTGAGACAGTTTCATCATACTTTTTTGTCTCTATTCATAAACTTCATGGACGTAATGCATTTTTCTGATCTTAGAAGATTGAGCTTTTCAATTCATTATCAGATAATCAAAACGCTTTGTCTTTTAATAATAATTTTTACTCGCAATTATTTTTTTTCGTCATTATGATTTTTGCCAGGTGGTTAAAATGGTACAGCGACAGTTTCATCAAATTTGGAATATTAGGATTTTTTTTTTTTTTGAAAAGATAAAAGTTCTCCAAATATGTTATTACCACCTTAATTATTCGAAGGGGCTTTGACAAGAATAGCTTAATATGTACAAAAATTAAATCAGCTCAAATTTTTAAAAAAAGAGAAGAGATTTGCAGCGACAATCACTTTCAAAATAAAAAAAAAATTGTTAAAAACCAACATTCGAATAACATTCTTTACTGACCGTGCTATCTCTGATCCAAACCGAATACTAAACCTTACTTAACTACCCTACCTTACCAACCTTACATACCTTACCTACTTTTCTTCAATGCTTTTCCTCTCGATGGTTCCTCCTCAATGTTTTCCAGAATTTTTTCCTTTTTGGGAGGGTGCTAACCAAAAGTATTTCTATTCAAACTTATTCCAGTAAAGTTATTTCCGCCGTTGCCCCTCATCCCGCACAAAATCCTTCAATGAGCGAAATCAATAGGCGTTGAACTCTTCGATGACCATTACATTTTCTTTGTGAATAATTGTACCACGGTCGTTATCATCTGCTCTGTTTAATACTTTTTCAATTTTATTTTTCATCCTACATCATTATCTCTCCGAGGATGTCGACGACCTTTGGCGCGTTTCCAGGTCAGTTCCTCCCCTCGGTTGCCAATTTGTGCGGAAAAATTCCACATTTTCCATCTCCGAAATCGAACTCGGGCGGACATCCGCAGCAAATGAAGCAACAATGGACACCTTGTCTATATTACGTTACGTCGGAACGCTTTCTATCACTCCGTGCTGCGGAAGCCGCACTGATAGAGTGGGTCAAGACAGGGATCAGTATCCCCATTCTGTCGTGTCAAGGAAAAACCAATTATCCTCTAGGGTTTCTGTTGAAGTTATACGAGGTTCTGAGATAAGAGTATATCATTAATGAACTCGCATACGGCTGATTTTTTAAGCCTGCGTCACAAGTGGAAAAATAATTTTGGATTGGGCTATGCAGAACATGTTAATCGCTCGAAGCGATGCGTTTTTTATTGCATTGCGAAATTTTAGGGAGTGGCAATTTTCTCGGTATGAACAGCACTAATTCAATGGCTGAATCTGGTCTGATTATTATCGATTGCAGTTACGCGTAAACAGAGCTCATAACCTAAAACAAGAGCACTCACTCAAAGGGTGTCATCTGAATGCTGCGAGGGGCAAATTATGATCGGTGGAGTCTAAAGGTGGTGGTAAATGAGAAGATTGAATACTTGAAAAAATTCCCAAAAAACTCTGTTAAAGGAACGAGAATCGTTTACGAATTAGATGGAAAGGGAACGCTCACTCATCCGAAAAATCCACTTCCACCCTTGAGTGACGTCTCTAATTCGTTCTTGCAAATTCTGGTGCCTTTGTATTTCAATTTCTTGCAAGGTATAGGTTAATGATTTCCAAAATTAATTTTCCAAAAAACGGTTGACACTCTGCAAAAAAATATCAAGCTGCTCTAAATTTTGTGATGATATGTTGTCCTGAAACGTATCGGAACTTCGCGGTGGCCAAAAATAGACGTTGCTCGAAAAAAGAAAATCCCATTGCACAATTTTATTCTGGATTATAACTGGAGCTTGCAGAAAGCCTGAACAATTATTCAAGTTGCACAACAACCATTAAAAATGATGTACCTTAACGAAAAAGTACACCTTCAGTAAGTATCACGTGGTACGCAATCACAACATACACAAATCCGCAAATAGTATGAGAGGAAGTTAGGCAATGTAGAATGCAGTTAGGTTTATTCTAGTTAAAAATTAAGTCCGTCTAATTGATGAAAAGGACGTTAAATTCACGCAGTATTTTTCATTGAATGTTTCTCTATCAAACTGAATCACTGTTGCTGATTTCAGGCTCTTTGAGATGTATGATGGTCGATATAATTAAATTGATGTGGAGCGATGCGCCTTCAATCAATAGAGACGCAATAAATTATACATAGGAGCAGCCACTTGAAAGTCCTAAACTCTCGGCTTTCGGGCTTTAAGAGTATGATATAACCGCTCATTTCACGTCTTCTTTTGCCCCCGTGGAGTTGGCAGTTTCAGGACATATTTTTATTTTTATACACTACACGTTATACGGTAGACTAGTAGGAGTCAGAGAAACAAGAACGTCCAATCATTGTCCCAACAGTCGTTGTGTTTGAAACTACAACATTTAGACACCAATGGAATTCTTAAAATTTCGCTCCTTGAAAATTAAAAATGAGCTATTAATGATGGGAACGTACAACTGGTTGGAATATAGTGTTGTATCCATTCCCCGTTGCCATTTGTCCCAAATGACCATTTTGAGCAGGGAATTCGGTGTTTTATGAGCTGCGATATTTTGACCGCCATGGAAATTTATAAAATTTCGGTCATATGTTTTACTAAAGCGCATGCCCCCCTAGGGTGCGTCAAAAAAAATGAAAGTCTGAAATGTTCCGCTCCCCAGGCGGCAATCGATGACGTTTGGTAAAAAAACATGTTTGCCAAAATTTGGGCCAATTTCAACCATTTTAAATGGTGCCAAAGGTCAATTTTGTGATGAAATTATGATATTTTGGTTTAGACCTCGATTTCGTACAAAAAACTCGATTTTACGCTGAAATCGTGCGTTTACGACAAAAATGCCAAAGAAATCGACTTGTAGAGGATGAAATTTTACACTAGGAAGACGTCTTTGTAACCGATAAAAATCAAATTGAACTAGAAAAACTCAACTCGGTATTTATTTTTTTGGTCCTCAGAATTTCCGAGGTCTTAGAAAGTAGAGGTTTAAAAGACTCATTTTTCACGAAAATAAGTCGAAAGAGGGTGTAAATGAACTGTAGGCAAGTGTTGAGGATGCAAATGTCATCAGAACTTCCTCAGTTTCAAAAAAAGTTCCAACTATGTTGCACAATCCTCCAAAAAGTGCACGGCTCGAGAAGCAGGATCGTGCTATAATAGTAAGGGGAAAGTGCGGTTTGACCGGGAAAAATTGCGTAACAAACTTTCCCTATGTAATTGTCATCAGTAGGTCCCCCTGAACAACTTTCTAAAAGTTAAAAATGGCCCGACCCCGGAATACCCCTCAAAAAAGTTAAAATTGAAAATGGCGGCCGTAATGAGAGGGTCCGGGAAATCGGTAGGTATTTTAAAATGCTCATTCTGTCTCATCATGTGAGGTATCATTTCCTATGTAATTTTGGTCGTAGATTCCATGAATGAATTCCAAGGCCCCTTCTAAGCTTACGTTTCTCTCGGTAGTCGTATGTTTCCTTTATTTTCCTTTATTAAATACATTTATAACATCAAATTTAAGTTTCTTGGCCATAAATACATGAAAATAAAGACAATTCACTTTCCTTGTTCCTTCGGTGAATATTTAAAAAAATGCAACCTCCTGCCTTTCACATTTGGCCGCCATCTTTGATTTAGAGCGCCCCCTTTGGCCGGAGGGCCTTGTGGAATTCATTTATGAAATCTACGACCAAAATTACATAGGAAATGATTTCAAATCGACAATATAATGCAAACAAATTTGGAAAGTCTCGTCATGAAAATCAGAAGATTCGAAAACGCCTTCAATTGAGGCATGATACCTCACGCGTTCCGGAGAGTTCAAATAGTTGTATCCCTGCGCCTTAGCAAGGCGATGGAAGCTTAAAATTGAAGCAGCGTCCCCGCGTTGTTTTTTGGTTATCCTGTGCCGCTACTACAGTTTCGACCGTTGAGGCCGTTGTTTAAGGGCGCGAAAGCCAGGATTGTATTTCGCAAATAGAAAATTTTACTAGAATAATTTAAAATTAAGAAGCAGGTATAATTCAACTAAATAATAAAAGGAACTCAAATCTACAATATAATGCAAAAAAATTTGGAAAATCTCGTCATGTAAATACAGAAGATTCGAAAACGCCTTCAATTGAGGCGTGGTACCTCACGCGTTCCGGAGAGTTCAAATAGTTGTATCCCTGCGCCTTAGCAAGGGGATGGAAGTTTAATATTGAAATAGCGTCCCCGCTTGGTTTTTCGGCTTTCCTGTGCCGCCAGGGACGGACTGGCCATGCGGGCGGGGAGGCGATCGCCCCCTAACAATTTGCCGCGGGGGCCCCCTCGGCGAATTTTTTTCGAGTTGTGGTTTTGTTCCCGTAATGTTGTAATTTTTTTATCCTTTTCAATCACTAAAAGGCCCCGAATTCCTTGAAAATTTGTCCCTAAGAGACATGGAAGGTCACCAAAAGCATTTGTGATGAAAGGACCCCCGATGAATCCTGAGAATGGGTTATTTTTGAAGTTCAAGTACTGTAGAATCCAACTCCAATAATGCCTACGTGTTTAAAAAGTGTGAAATTTTCAAAATTTACCGGGGAAGGGCCCCCGGACCATCTTAGAGGGGCCCCCGAAAGACAGGAGGGGCCCTTACATTTAGGTCTCCTCCTAACTTTTCCTAACTACCAGTCCGCCCCTGAATTTGATCCGGCTTAGGCATGTCAGGGTTGAATGAAGTATCCCAAAATGTGGGGGGGGGGGGCATGCGCTTTAGTAAAACATATAGTATTGACCATGCCGTCTCTCAAGGTCGTCACTTCAAAATTTTGAGTTTTCATAAGTACCAATTTCCTTAGACTGGGGAAATTCCCAATATTTCAAGTTTCTACCACAATCTGAACAAAAGTTAGGCGTAGGAGGACTCTAGTTATGAGGATGGTTCGGGAACATTGCGTATACACCTTGTACGTACGCAATCCGGGTTGCCTACCCATCTCGTCTCACGCGTGGTGTAGATTGTTGGCTCGCTCACCTGTCGAAACCCAAGGCGGATAAAGAATGGTGGTCGCATTTCGTACCCTCTGGACGTCACACTGTATCGGGTACATCGGGTACATGGGCCGGCCGAGGCCGGGGGGGTCGGCTCAACCTTAGATTGCACGGCAAAACCAGTACCCTCCTGACGTCACATCGCTTCAAGATGGCAGCCAAAATCGAAATGCGACCACCATTCTTTATCCGCCTTGGTCGAAACCTAACCTAACCTAACCTAACAACATGTTATTGTTCAATTGTTTTGTTTTCGACTGCGTGTCTCTTCAGCTTTCGTACTTCTAGAGAGTCTCAATCAGATCTATTTGTGTCTTTTCAGCTTTAATTTCCGTAGATTTATGTTTCCAAGTGCTTTCAACAGTTAAAGAACACGTGTCCTCGCTCGTTAAACGCTTTTCGTAAAGAACCATATCTACTCCTCTCTTGAGTGTTGGACCCTTGTAAAACACCAGAATGGGAAGCACAGAAGACTTTAGAAATGCAACCAAAACTGCAGCCATCAAATGTGACCCGGAAGAATTTGGCCCAAATTTCAAGGTGCTCCCATCTAATGATCAAGTCAAAGAGTTGCAGACCATCCTTCGTGACAAGTATGTATGGCAATTCGATTCCTGTGTTTCTGAAGTCCGATCCGTGAAGGCTCTGCAGGCTACTGAGTGGTCTTTAAAGGCTTCTAATCTGAATTTATTCCAGGCATCTCTCAAAGGCTTACTTGATGTTGCCATCCAAAGTAACATGAGAAATTCTCATCATTGTGGGAGCCATGTCATGTGCAACATGTTATTCGTGAAGACTGGCTAACCTCCACGTCATGAGGTCTCTGTTAACTCTAATTTTACTGAAATGAGGAGTTAGACCTCTTTACTGGGTGTAAAATATAGTAGAATCAAGAGACTTCAAATTAGCTCTGTTCTGGTACCGTCATCTCATCTCTATCATGGCAATTACAATGAATGCTGTGAATCAGGTCTCTAATAGGTTGCAAGTGTATGGAGAGGTAATTGAGTTGGAAACTTAGCTCTTGTATCACTGCTACTCAATTTACAGTGGTGGATGATTCTACTTGCACGTAAAAGAATTTTGCTCCTGTCCAGGCGTATTGGGTGTGGCAATGACCTTGGAATAGCATGAGCCCACAAATGTCGTGCTTTTCAAGCAGAGGGATGAAGGGCTGGGGTAATGAATCCAGAAATGGTAGTCTGCTTTTACAAGTCACAAACAATTATGTCTCAGTGCAGTATAAGATCACTGTTAAAACTCAATTTAATGCTATCTTAATCCATGTATATCAACCTGTATTTGTCCAGTCTCTCGCCAATCAGTCAATTCTACAGGAAGTTCCTGCAGTTTTTTTTCACTCAAAGAAGTTTTGCCCTGGCAACATAATCCATCAGCTAAAACTCACTTTTTCTAAAAAAAATTGTCGGAATTTTCATTAAAAATGAGTGATGTAATTTCTCTCCAACTTTGCTCAGATTAACAGTCCGCTTATTTTAAGTAAGTCCCAATTTCTCTCAGGTGAACAAATAGATGTATAAAACAAATTTCGAAACTCAACACTAAGGCAGATTACTGAGAGTAGAAAGGGGGATAGCTAAAAACTGCTCAGTGATGGGTTGAAAACAATTATTTTCTGACTTGAAAACTTGAAAGAAGAGCTTACAAGTTAACATTTTTTGAAGAAATTATCTACACCAACATCAAATGTAAATTTTAAAAATCTGAACCTTGTTTGAGTGTTGTTAATTGTTTATTTATTTAATATTTTTATTATTTTTTATTTTTTCTGATATATTTTAAAAAATTATGAGAGATGAAGTATTGAGTGAGTTTTTTTCATTATTTTATGGAAAAAAATGTAAATGTTTTATGTTTTCTCTTGTTGAAGAAATTTCCTTTAGAAACAAAAATGACTGGGTTAGAGCATTTTTTACCAGATACACTAATTCACTGCAAAGAATTCAGCAATGCCTCTGGTAACATAGGTATTATTATGCCACATTTTTAAACTTTCTGGATTTATGAATGCTGGCAGCATAGGTACAATGATTTTATGGTTTACATACTTATTAGAATAGATAATTAGTGGTTCCCCACTTATAGTCCAGGCGCCTGGTAGCTAAAAATGAGGCTACCTGGAATTTTGGGTACACAGCGATTTTTTTGGCTTACTTTATGTTTTTTGGGTCGCTGAATCCGAATCTGAAGTTTCCGCAGGCGTATCTGGTGAGCATTTTCCGCTATTTTGAAAAAATGGCCTAAAAAGGCCTTTTTTTGCGGTTTTTTTGATATAGCGGCTACGGATGAGGAAAAGTCCCGGATTTAGCTAATGTTTTGAATAGCTGACAAAATTTGGAAGAAAATGGTATATAAATATGCTAGGTTTGCTCAAAAATTGAGGAACCTCGGATTTCGGAACTTTAGAACGCTTCGGAACTTGGCTGACCGCGGCGAGCCGGATCGCGCGTTGACGGGTGCGCCGCGAAAACGTGAATAGGCGCGATGTTCACGATGCTGTATCTTCCTCAATTTTTAAGCAAACCTAACATATGTATATACCATTTTCTTCCAAATTATGTCAGCTATTCAAAACATTAGCTAAATCCGGGACTTTTGCTCATCCGTAGCCGCTATATCAAAAAAACCGCAAAAAAAGGCCTTTTTAGGCCATTTTTTCAAAATAGCGGAAAATGCTCACCAGATACGCCTGCGGAAACTTCAGATTCGGATTCAACGACCCAAAAAACATAAAGTAGGCCAAAAAAATCGCTGTGTACCCAAAATTCCAGGTAGACTTACCAGGCGCCTGGACTATTATTTTAAACGTTTGTCATGGTAGGAATCAGTAATTCATCTTCTAGGTTTTTAATTTTTGTTTTCATAAATGTAATTGCTGGTTCTCATCTTTTTGCAGGACAACAACGCGCAGTGATTTTAAGTTTTACGCCGATAGATTGGTAAGTCTTCTTTCAAGCCATGTTTGAGTAACCCCATAAGAACTAGCTAGCAATTTACAGATTAATTTGGATTGAAACTTTGAATGAGGGTCATAGTTGTCTGCATGTGTTAAGAAAGTCTCAAAGCTATTTCAGGAGCATTTAGTCAATAACTTTGGCCATTCTATTGCTGATATGAATAAAAGTGACTATTGTCAACACTATCTCCAAGTTGAATCTAGAGGAAAAAAGAATGCTTTTTAGGGCATTACAGTTATGATTTGCAGTGTTATTATTTTTGCAACTGTAATTTGGTTACAACATCATTCTCATTTGCATAACGAATACTTTTCTTCTTTTACTTCAAAGCATCTAAAAAATACATAAAACCAATTATTAAATTGAAACAGTCGAGAGAAGCTATGTTTCTCCTAACAGTGTGTTTTATGCCTATAGATCCGTCTTGTGGTTGAAGAAAGTTTGAATCAATTGCCATTCTCGCCTTGCTCTGTCGTCACTCCAACCGGTGCTGTTTATGAGGGCCTCCAGTACAAACGTGGGAATGTTGGAGTCAGTATTGTAAGAAGTGGGGAAGCCATGGAACAGGTGAACTCATTTTTTTTTTTTCATTCGTCGCAGCTCATTTAGACTTAATCATTTCTTCCATTTTATTTTTATCATCACTGTAACAAAGGTTCTTCAGGGGTAAAGGTACAGGCATCACTGTAACCCAATATAAATATATGCACATAATTTGGTCAGGAGAACTGAATGAAAAAACTGGCTGGGAATTGGAAGTTTCAACATTTTTTTTTCACCTCCTTGACTTTCGTGGAAAACTCACCAATCTGTTTTCCTCAAATTTTTGAGCGGCATCTTAAAAAATTTTCCAGATCTCATCAAAGTAAAACTGTTTCATTCTCACATTACGTGTGCCTTGATGATTCAGTTCAGTAGTCATCGCAAGTGCAATCTAATATTGAACATACTTTCATATTTTATAGAATTTTAAAAATACTTTTTGTTGGAAGACCTTTATTATACAGGATGTTCCTTGCTGTTAGGCAGCTCCTGGTGTGCCCTTCCTCACTTGTTTGCCTGTTGTTTGTCCTGAAACACCAGGCTTAAGAGCTCTACCAGCAGCTAGGGCGGCAGGTCTTCTTGTATTATGCATATCTCTTACAGAATTTCGAAACTGGCGACTAGATATGGTTTTAAGTGATAAACCATTATGATGCAACAAAAAGTCTATAATGATCCTGCCAGTTTGTAAATTATTCTTCAATGTATATTTCAGAACTTAATTATTTTATTCAATAACAATAATTCACTAAGTGCTCTCTTGCAAATGGTTTGTGAGATTCTGAAGCCATCCTATGCTTTACTCACAGAATGAAAAGATTATTTTTCAAATATAGTGCTTGTTTTTTCAGGGGCTTCGAGATTGTTGCAGGTCAATAAGAATAGGAAAAATTTTAGTCGAATCTGATGCTGAGACGCACCAAGCAAAAGTAGTTTATGCCCGATTTCCGGAAGATATTGCTGCGAGAAGAGTCCTCTTAATGTACCCAATTATGAGTAAGTTATTTTCTTTCCCCTCCTCCTAATTAGTTTTTCCGTGCTTTTCAAGTATTAAAGCATTTTTGCAGACCACCAAGTAGACTTGGTTGCTTGACCTGCACGCATTTGTCCAAAAATGAATTGTGTTTTTTTTTTTAAAAAAAAAAAAAAGGCCTAACTCTGGGAAAAAGGAAATTCTATTTTACCAAAGAAAAGAGATTTTGAATATTTCTCTCATCTTCTTTTTTTCTATCAATTGGAAAGATGGGCGTAGACTTTGTATTTATTGAAAAAGCGCCAACCGTTAGAATTTATAATAGATTTTTCCACTGTGAACAAATAGGTACTGTTCAACTTCAGAGTTTCCACTGGCTTTTACTACCAGTCCGCGAGCACCAGTAAACTTTTTCCTGTGTTCGTACACAGGAAAAATTAAGCCTGTGTAATTTTTTCTGTAGCTTGATAAATGTTCCACAGCGCTGACCTTGTTTTAAAGTAAACGTTTTAAAGTTAAATAAGAATTTTAATTTTTTTTAGGTTGAATTTACATGTATGTATGTTTAACTTAATTTTTTTTTTCCTTTGATATTCTTAATGCTTCATTCCTGTAACTTATAATAGAATATGTGGGCAAGAACTTAAAAGTTGTTTTCCCTCTCTCAAATAAAGATATATTTATTTATATAATTCGCTCTTATAGCACCCTCTGGCGCGCTGTGTCATCTAGCTGCCAAAGTCCTCTATCCTCCCAAAACCCTTCAGAGAATGAAGGGTCCCTCAAGTACGGATTATCGCGCAATTTATATGTATTGCAGTCAGAATCATTGTTTAGCCTGTAACAAAATCTTATAATTGATAGAATAATCTAAAAAATTACGAATTCCTCAATGTCTTATTGCACTTTAAAGATACACTTCATTCTTCTTCAAATTGTATTCTATTTTTACCATTAAGCAAATATCCTTGATTCAAACGTATACAATTTACTTTTCTATACATACACATATGAACCCAATATTATAATGCAATCATTTCTTCCTCTTAATCAGCAAAATATTGATGATCAACTGCTTCAAAATGATCATTTCTTCAGAGCCTCCTTGTTTTGAGCTTTGTCTCACGGGTGTTAAGTCTATCTATCTATCTAAATCTAACTGGAGCACAATTTATTTGATTACCATCATGGTTGTAAATTTAATGTAACTGATTATTTTTACCATTATCTGAGAAGTTATGTTATTATTATTTCATGCCCCAGATTGATTCATAAATTTAATGGTGGTAACAGTTTGTCCACATTTTTTAAATTACAAAATTGCAGTGTCTCAAAATTGAGTAAAACACCGTAAAATTGGTCGCCACATTCTTGAGTACTAATTCTCTTTTTTTTTTCACTTTATTTCAGGCAGTGGTAATACTGTAATCAAAGCCGTGCAAATTCTGAAAGATCATGGAGTTCCAGAAGATAGTATAATTCTTTCAAATTTGTTTTCAACACCATTTGCTGTCCGAGCCATCACGTCTGCTTTCCCGAAGGTGAATATTTTTGCTCGTACAAAAATTTCAAAGAAGAAATAGCTCGCATTATTTTGATTGAATGGCTGATCGATCTTCACAAAAAATAGCAAAAATTATCAACTCTCAGAAAGAGTTGGATCTCTGAGTTAACTCATACGTCAGAAACATATTCAGAATCTGACAAAAATTCTGGTACAGATAACGAAGACATTGTATTTAAACATGAAATAGGTACTCTCAAATGACAGCAACAAAAAAAGCAAATAGGTGTTTGTTGATATTTTACCAAAGAATGGAATTTGAAGAATTTAGACTGAGGAAAAGAAGGATCCTTTTTACTGTATATTGAATACTGAAATACTGAAAAAATCGTCTCATACGCTGTCATAAGGATGAAGATTGGTCCCCCCCTCCCTTTCATTACCTTACATTGATTCAATTGTATTTGAGCACTCTTCCTTGAATGTGCAGGATTTTTTTTTAATGAGTATGTATGTAGACTTGAGTTTTAATAATAACTTAATGAATGAAAAAAGGGGAAAGGGTACTTTAATTAAAGAGATTACATACTAAATAGATTGCCTCACGACTGTTGATAGTTGATTGCTGGAACTGTTTTTTGCTACGTTATCAAGATGAGACATAACCCTATCTGTCTAATAAAATTTATTGAATTCGGATGTTTTTTACGCTGACATATCTTTCAATAATTAGTTAACCGGATGATTCTATTGTCTCAACGGAGGACAAACCGAAGATCGTTGCTTCTTTCCAAGATTCACCAGTGTAATGTGAAGAGAATGAAACTATAATAAGGAGACTGAAGTTTTTGAAACAATAGAATTTTTTCCCCTCAATGATTAACTTCCCTGACTTCATGATGAGGAAATCCATTACTTCTCAATTCCCCCTGCTTTATGCCAGAATTCTAATATTTCCTGAAATTTTTAGAAAAATCGGTGCAGCTGTTCTTTTGTAAAAAAATATCAATTTACAAAGAAACAGCTAATGTCATTTCATGTTCCCTTGTTCCCTGGTTTGGTTCCCCAAACAGGTTTGCCGCCCAAAAATTTTTTGAAAGGCTCAGAAATGACCAAATAATAATATTTCTGCAAATTTCATAAGCAATTTTATGAAAAGTACGATTGATATATATTTTATTCGATACAGAGTACCTATTTGGTATAATCTGGCATTGTGAATTTCTGTGTTTCAGATGATCATTCTCACATCGGAGCTTCACCAGATTGCACCAAACCACTTCGGACAAAAATATTTTGGTACTGATTAATCAATTTCAGTTATCCCACTTTCTTGCTCTTCATGCATTTTCTTTTTTTATAAAATAACGAATCATTGATGCTTTTCAATCTACCTAGTACCTGACCCTGATGACCATCTCAGTCATTTTATAAATTACATTGCTAAGGTAGAGTTAGAGTGGGGTAGGATTCTCTGCTTTTTTGTTTGATCAAATATGAATCAATCTTGCTTTGCCTTAGTACATTTCATGCCTAGAATTTTTCTAATGGCTGCATCCTGCCTAGAAGGTGTAATTAGTGGAAGTGAGAACATTTTAATTCTTAGCTATTCATTTAGAAATCATCAAATCCAAATTCAATAATCTTTAACATACATGGACGGTGCTGTTTCAACTGATCATGTCCAGAAAATGAATCTACTATAGCTCCAATGGTTTTCATGAAAAATCAGGAGCCTGGAAAAGATTAATGTATGTTGAAGGCCTGCTAATAATCACCATAATGTTTGCATGAAGCTACTTCAATTAGCCAGCTAGACTCTTTCTGAAGCAATGTATTGCTCATAATTAGGGAAACTCGCGATGATGTGCTTTTCAATGAATTAGAATTTCTCATAACTCATATACTAAGAGTGTAGCATGCAAGGATGTGATTAACTGAAGAGCATGGGTGCAGAAACTTTGCAATTATACAATCAGCCCAGTTGTATACTGGTTGCATGAAATGGGGAAACCTCCCCTTTCCCTCCCCCTCCCCCTCCCGTTGTCATGGGACAGCGGGACAAACAGGCGAACCTCATACCAAGGACAGTCAAGTTTCTTACAACTGGTAGACACCCTGATGAGGGGCAGTTTTAATAAGCCTATTGCTCTCTTATTATGAGCAGCTATCCATTGCTTCATTTGGACACTCAAACCAGTGAACTTCCTTCTATCAATTAGTCTATGCTTTGCAAGGCAGTCGATCTGTGCGTTAACTAGCTGTAAAAATTCATGAAATTATTGATGCCTCTCATTTTAAAACGAATCAGAAATGTCACATGTACCTTGTCTGTAATTTTTCTTTTTATTCAGTTGAAACACTCAGGAAATGAAGATAAATTATTGCACTTACTGGGATAGTATGCCCAAATCTTAGTAAGGCAAAACAATTTCATACCCAACTAAATTATGAAATCAAAGTATGCAGTCATGATCTGATAAAATTCCATCAAATGCGCTTGCGCCGATTTTTCGATCAGGATGCAGTCGCTTGTGTGTGATTTTTCAATCAGGGTGCAGTTGCTTGTGTTGAGTGCACCTGTGAGGCTAGCAGTTGTCGGAGCCATTTATATGATAATGATTAATAACCTACTTAGTCCAAGGAGGAAAATGCAGCCCTGAACTTCGGTTTCTTTGTTTTTTTTGGAGGAAAAATACGCAGTGGCGTCAGGAAAAACATGTACCCAAAACCAGGGATTGGGAGTAGGCTAAGCGGGCAATCTCTGCTCAGCGAGTCTGGGTATGGACCACCTCGAGGGGGTCGACCATCAGCACAAGACTGACATCGGTGCAGCTCCATCGAGTCTGCCCACATAGCACAGAATATTGATATAATACTACAATAGTACTGACACGTCAGTAGTGTCAGTATTTATATAATGCTGATGTATCCTGATTTAATATTATATCAAGACTATGCCAGTATTTATTAGTTACTGATTTGGAGCTGTCAAAATATTGTTACAGTATTGGCCGAAAAGGTTGATTTCATATGGAAATCAGGGTTATGACAAGGTCATCAGAACACTGCAGGACACCGACAACATGTATGCATTACTACCTTGATACTGACACGTCTGTACACTCAGCGCCCTCTGTCAAGTAGATATGAAAGTTCAGACGATGACCGTCATTTTCATAGTACTGCACATGTATTACATTTGAAACATGAATTACACAAGTATACAAGTATTGAATATTATAAACCGCTTACTTGATGTCCTGCGACGTTTAGTAGCGTAAAATACCCGGACGCCCTCGGGTGGATTTGAACCCGAACCGCGGGATTCCTAGCCCAGTACTCTGCCATTGAGCCACAGGGAGCTGATGGTGTTTCGGGTTGAAATCACGCCTGTTAATAAGGCTGTTATAGCATGCATAGTATCAGTGCGCGGCACGACTTTCATCATAACTTTGATTAACACCGTGTTTTCTTAGGCTTCTTTTTCTTCCTATATTTTTTTTTCATTTTTTCGTGTTAATTTCTTTTCGTGTTATTTTTTTTTTACCTCGTCAGCATTGACTCAATACTGTTGTTTCATATATTGAAGGTATCAGTGTTATACTTATGCTGACGCGGTATACCTTTTAACCGACAATCTTAATATCATACTGCATTAGTGTTGGTGATATCATGTCAACATCCAACAATATGTATCAGTATTGACATAAGATTCTGTGCTATGTGGGTGTCCTCTGAGCTGCACCGTAGGGCAGACTCGCTGCCGATACCGTCTCTCTTGAGACTGGGTCCGGTCTCAACAATAACCCAGACTCGCAAGGGAAAAACCGGCTGGCTGGCAGATTCCGCAGGGCGCCCATGGGACCTTCTCAGAAGTCAGCATATTTACCCCTGTCTGCGTACAGGCGCCGTTGAGCCTGAGCCTCTTCATCCATTGTCAAAGGATCTCAGACCACTGCCCCAATACCAGGCGTCGGCTGATACCCGGCATCAAGGCAGTGGTCCGAGGCTGTCAGGGGGTCATGGTGGCAGACCAGCACCACTGCCGCGGGTCTGCCCATGGCCCGCCTGCCAAGCTCAATCGCTGAGGCTGAGTCTCTACAGACTCAACTTACGCAACCATTAAAATCCCTGCCCAAAACACAGTGGCAGGCAACGTTGTAGGTGGGAAAAATTAAATTTACTGAGCTGCCGTGAGAACGAGGTCAGCCTCATTTTGCATGCACTTGCTTTAGCTTTGATCATTTCTTTGTTAAATGAATTAATGTTTTAGACTCATCCAAGAAAGTTCAACATTGAGCTTTCATGCATTCTCCATACCAGAAACCAAACGTAAACATCCCAATGTTTTCTTGAGTTTTTGAAGGATTCGATCATAATCTATCCAACTTTTAAATCTGAAAATTTTAATCATAGTAGGACCTTGATCATCTGGTAAAATTTCAGAAGTCTCACCTTTATGAAATAGTATGAAGCTAGCTCTATGTAAGGGCAAGTATTAATGCATGAAAACTAAAGAAAATTAAATGTACCTGTTCACATAAAAAATTTTATGTGATGACACAAGAGACTTCATCAGACAAAGCCCTATCCTGGTGACTACTGGATCCAAGTAGCAGAAACCATGACCATCTTGATTATCGGACCTTTGGTCATGGAACCAGATCATGCGCCACATTGGGCTAGATCATCAAGGTTCAGTGTAAAACAGACCACTTCAAAGCTTGTCTGCTTGAAAAGGTCTTTCACACCGTCCTCCAACATCATTAAAAACTATCTAATCACTCGTAAACGTGACCCTGTCAAGTCAGGAAAATCTCATTTTGGAGATGTAAATGCAGCTGGATTATTTATCCTTGAAGTTTCCCCCTGAAAAATCTAAAGCTGGGATGAAGATCGCTGAACCGGTTTCTCTTAGGAGTTGTGATATGAGGTGATCCAAATGTCAGCAAGTTCTTCTCAAATATTCATCGCCTTTAGTTTTAAGATAGTCCTTGGGGTACCCACCTTATTTATTTGACAGACCATGCTTGTATTAGATTAGTTTAAGCTTCCAACCATCTGATTGGTCAATCTAGTCATCATTATCCATCGATTAGTGTTATCATCCTCATCTTGTTCTGCCTTTTTCCACTAAACATTCTGATTTTTCAATTCGAGTAATCATTATGAGAAATCTTCTACCCTGAAATGAATCTCAGCCCGACATCTATCATATTCATGTATCCATAGTCGCATCTTTTATTTTGATAATAGTATAAAAAAGAAAATACCGGTAGAATCAGGTTTCCTGTATTTTATTTATAAATTATTTTTATTTGTATTTTAATTTTAAGTAAAAATTTAAAAAAAAAAATAAAAAATCCCCCTCCATTAAGGTTGATGATCACTAGTGAGTAGTGTTCCCATAATTAGTTGATAGTTTCAGTCCCACCAAAGTATCATCGGAATGCTTTCATGATGGCTCTCATTTCCTCATTTGTTCGTCCTTTTTTTCTGGTCTGCTGTATGTTTTTATTTTCCCTCATCATTGTATTTATAATTTTTTTTCTCTTTTTCAGGATTAACTTCAAATTAACGTTGTTTTAAATAGCATATTTTCACCTGAATTTAGTCAATTAATCTCTTTACTTGGTCTCAAGTATCACTCTTATTTTTACCTTCATTTATTGATATTTCTCTTGAGACTTTTAATAAAGCCAAATATCAATGAAAAATAATTTTAATTAGATGTAGTTCTCACTGATACTGCAGCTCAAAACCGAGCAAAATTCATCATCAATTTGCTTTCCAACTGATTGTCTTAATTAGAAATTAAATTCACAGCACTAGAGATGTTAATATTTTATTTGTTGTATTTAAATTATTATCTTTATATCGTACACCTAAATGCATTTTGGTTTCTTAAAACCACTCGTAACATTGTAACAATTTTACAGTACAAGAGAAAGTTTCCTGATAAATTTGTGGACTTATTCGTTTAAATTTACTGTTTCATTTTCTTTTATTTTTTATATATGTTCTTGAAATTCTCCAGGAACAGGAATGTGAGATACGTTTACCGTATTCAATGTATCAGCTTACTGTGAAGCCGTCCTGATCAGCTAAAGCATTTATTTTATTTCTTCCTCATGGCCTCCTCAGAAGATATTTTAAACGTTTCTTAACCATGAATACATCCTGCTGTAGACGGCTGTCTTTTTCTTCCATGATTTTTTTACTCTTTTGAGGTCCTGTCGATTCTCAAAAGGAACTCCAAAGACTCCACTATCTTGAGTTCAAAAACAGCTATCAATGAAACAAGGCGAAGGACTTTGCTTGGAATACCAAGAAATTTGGTGCTGGCTAAAGTTCCATATTTTTTGATAAGTGTTCCTTACAACCCTCTGAGCACAATGAGCTTTTAGTGCCAAAATTTACATACAGAAAGTTCAATTCTAAAAGCTCATTGTATTCAGGAGACCATGAGGAACATCTTGTAAAAAAAAAATATCAAATTTAGGCCTGCCGAATTTCATGATATATTGTGAGTAGTCCTTCATCCCCTCTCTTTTTCATGCAGAGCGTTAGTTAGACTCAAACCAGAAATATGTTGTCATGTACTGACGGTAGAGGTCATAAAGTACATACGTACCACGGGTGAATATCATACGTAAATGCTTTGATAACTTCAAAGCATTTACGTATGATATTCACCCGTGGTATGTATGTACTTTATGACCTCTACCGTGATCAGCAAGTATTCCTCCAGTCACTAGAATTTGTTATGATAAAAGGAGCACCATGTGAAACTTATTTTCAGCCAATACTATTATTGAGGCTTTTACTCAAATTCTAATTTTTTCCTTTATAACATTTTTTTCCTTTTAAACATGTTTGGATTCTTTATGGTTCAGTTCATTGGAATAATTTTATAACTTTTCCCCCTCCTTTTTTAATTTATTGAAAATTATTCATTCTCCTATTCATCGTCAGATTTGCCTGGCAGGTGGAAATTACTTAATTATCAGTGATTCTTGACATCATTTCACAATTTGTACCTTCATGTTTGCTTTTTCTGTTTCAAATTAAGTGATTAAATATCAATGTGTCTTTTCTTGTGCATAATACTTAGTGGCTCTATAAGTCAAGTTGTAGTATGATTTTAGACGATAATTTATAGATTATTTTTTTGTGCATTATTTAAGTATTTTTTCAATGTTACCAGATTTTATGGAAGATTGCATTTTCTTTCAAGGCCTTTATTGCCTATTAAGTTTCCTCGCATTTTTGAAAATTCATCGATTTTCTAGGACTAGGCAAGTCCACTTTTTTACATCTCTTCATAGGTTTTTTTTTTTTTTTTTTTTTTTTTTTTTTGAATAAAAGGAAATGAAGGGTTAAAGATACTCACATGGTTGTGTGATATGTATCAGTTATTTGTAAGATGTTAACTCTCATAGTTGAAACTCTCGCACAAACATCATTAATGATTATTTATGTCCAGAACTAAAGACAGTGTTGCAATATTCTGTTTAATATCGACCAAATTGAGAATGTTTTCATGATAATTTCTACAAAAATCAAACTAAAACTTGAAGCACAAGGAAATTTTGGGATTGATGAGTAAAAAAAAATCAATCAATTTTCTTTCTTTCTTTGGATTCTTTGCTCAGCAGCGTTCCAATTTCTTTAAGATTATCACTGACCCTCTCCCTCACTGTGAAACATAATCAAAGTATGAATGTTCGGTATTGGGGAGGCTGAGGGGTCTGGTGGAGCCTCCGGGAGAAAATTGGGGGAGGGGACAGCTACTTATGGCAAATCTTCAAGACCAGAGAACAGATTACACAAGTAAAAATTTTTGTTTGTTTGTTTTGCTTTTCAAGAGATTACGCACTATTAAAAAAACGACAGTAAATTAAATAAGTAGATAGATGAAAAATATGAGATCCCTTTAGAAGTTATGACTAGCGCCCGGCAAAAATTAAATTCAGAGCGGAAGGGATGGTCCGCAGGAATCGTTATTTGAACTTGAGAGCCCCTTGACTCGACCATGTCTCACAGATTGAAGGAATACATCTGAAACAAATGAGGCAAAATCCTATGTATAATGTTAAGGCGATGCTATTCATTCTTGCGAAATCTCGGATCCTTTTTTTTTAATGTACTTTTGAAGCATGGTTTATTGTATTATCTTTCTCTGAATGTAAAGCACTTTTCTTTTATATCAGTAGATTGTATCCCTCATCTGCATTTTATCCTGTCCAATTTGATTTGCGTTTTTATCCTCCTATACATATCCTAATCTTTTCTCACCTCCTTTTTGCAGGTACCTCAAAAGTTCGGTCAAAATATCCCATCCTTGTTGAGAAGCTTGCATAGAATCAGAAAATCCTTCTTTTTCCTTTCCCATCTTCTTTCCTTGCCTTTACTTTATCTTCGAAGTATAATACTTATCATACTGATGTGTAACCCTTTTTTACCTACTTGTTTCCATTGTTTTTCTCTTTTTAAAAAAATAAAAAAAAATTGAAATTTACAAATTATACTTTTTTGTAAGTATTTTTCTTTAGCTAAGTACTTACCAATTTTATCAAGGCAGTACTTGAATTTCCCCCTCACACTGAAAATACATCACCTATCCTGAATTTTGAGGAAGGCATGTAAATTCAAGCAAATTGGTGTAATGCTTTTGAAGTTGAAAGAAAGTGAAAACTGAGAGAAACTACACTTGGAGATTCTCAAAGTAAGAACAAGCATTGCGAGAGTTGGTTCTATTTTACATATGCTGGGTGGTGATTTTCTGAAACATGAGTAGAGTTGCTGATCCACTATAACTAATTATTGAAATTTAATGTATGAGTTAATTATTTTCAAAAATAGTTTGATATGGTACAAGCACCTTTTAAGAGAATCTTTAACACAATGAATAAAGTTTTGTGATTCAATTCAGCTGAATGCAAATATTTTTCAAACATTTTATACTTACAAATTTCCTCAGGACATCATTTTTCAGGACTTGAGACAACTTGTCCTTTTTTGCTGAAAGTATGCCCAGAATAAGGATCCCTAGTCTGTGCATGCAGTGGAGAAGGACGAGTATATATATGAAACGGGCGCTCTTTTTTGGAAGATCATGTGATACAAACATCAGTAATCACCTGAAAATTGTGTTATAAATTTAGCTGCCACATCAAATAAATGCATATTGATGGTTAAAGTCTAAAAAATTGGTATCTTTTGATTGCGACAATGCAAATCTTCCATCGTCTTCTATTTTCTTTTTTTTTTCCATGGAAAGTTCTGAACCAACAATTTCTCTTGCAATTTTTGGAAATTAATTTCTCTCATCCAAATATGTTCATGCTAAATTTCATGGAGTTATCTTGTGGTGAGTCGTGAAGGAAACAAAGAAATTGGAAGGTTCTTCATGTCCCAAATTATACCTAGGTAAATTTGTGGCTCTTGACTTTAGTCTTCAATATACATCTCACATTCATCCTTAATTGGCTGCGAAATTCAGGAGAGAGTAGCATTCAATTTTTAAGTCAAGCGTATCTGACCTAAAGAACTTTATTCAAATCGAATTGGACGGATAATTTGATTTTTATCCTGAATTTCAACTGCGAGATCGACAAGATCAACTGCGTAGAATTTGATCAGAGCGCAATGAATTTTGAAAAATCCGCCATGCAGAGGTGGTTCATTTTTTCAGGTTGACCACTTTTTCCGAAGCTGACGTCGACACGCGTTCTGGAATTCAATTGCATCAGATGTGGAAAAAATTCAATGAGTCGCTGCAGAGACCTCTCCTTTGTATCTGAAGTGCTAATTTAGGTAGTGGTAGAGTTTGAAAGGTCGTTAATACAAGTTTTAATCGAAAAAAACAATTTTTATCGTGGCCGTAGAAATTAGCAATGTTTGGTAAAATATTTGAAACATTGGTAACCTGTAAATTTATCAATGTTTTTACATATTGCCAACATGTTAACTATTACACCACATAGTGCATCTTTTCCCTTTGCCTTCGGTAGAGTTTTTATTATGCAGAAAATTTTTGATCCTCATATATGTTTTAAAATTTTTATCAAGAGAATCATAGATTTTGATTCCAGTGAGTCAGATTTCGTTCGAAGTCAGCTAAAATTAATTATACTCCCGGCATTGATGTACTTCAGTAATATTTTGAGTGTGCGTTTCCGAGTCAAATATTTTCAGCACCAGTAGTATTATCACTCCTAAAAATAGGAAAACTGTTCTTTGTGTATGTTCCTGTGAACGACGCTTTGAAGACAAAAAGCATTATAATAAACGTTTTAATAGTAATATGAGTAATGTACCCAACCAAAATGGATCAGGTCTAGAACAGCAGGTAATAAATTGTCTTGTTTTCAGTACTCCTAAAGTTTTGTGTGACTGCAATTTGCGGGTGTTAGGGGTTAGGGCCTATTTTCTGTAGCCATTTCTAGACGGTAGTATTTGCTCATTTCCGGGCTCATTTATGTCATTTCTCCTACAATTTTAGCTGAAATTGCTGATTTAGCTCTCTTACTCACATACAGAAAGTGTTCTTTTCCTAGTTCGATCTCTACATTGAATGTAGACCTCTTTGAAGGGGCCATGGTGTCGAGCTCTCCTTGTATGTCCGAGTGTCGAGTCACCCCTAGGCCTTCGCTTCACTTTTAATCTGTTATCATGCGTAGTTCTTGCATGTTGGTTTTGTCTTGCTGTTATCTTGGTAGTGTGGACTCTCACAGTTACCACCCCAAGTTTCTGAGCATTGTGAGGTCACCAAAATGGAGACAGTCTGACCTAGTAACAGGTAGTTTATCAATTAAGTATCTGTGAATGAGTCTAATATATTATCTTGGTGTCCTTCGCACTCTTCAAATGGTCAAACCTTGTGTTTCTTTTCTAGTTTGCTGGTCTGGACTTGCAGGGCGGCCGTAAGGAATCACAAGGCCGCTACGTCCCACCTCATCTCCGTAACAGATCCGGAGGTAAGATTTAAGCCTAACACCTAACAAGTTCTTATCCTCGTGATTGTCCTGTAGAGTTTAAATAGCCAATTTTCTCTGAGAGAGCGGTTGATTCAGCTGAAGTATAGCATTCCTTACATCTCTGTCTCATTAATCGATCTTTCTTGTACAAGTAATTTAATAATGATCAACGTGTGATGTGAATAGGAAAAAGCAGAACAACTACTTGGAGCTGAATGATTAATTCTTCACGGTTTTTTGCTTTCATAGATATCTAGCCCAATTTTTTACCTCTCTGATACTGTTTGCAATCAACAGGTAAATTTTACTTGAAAAAGAACACTTAGGTACTTAAGTTGTCTATCACAGCTGATGCACAGATTTTGAGTAAAGATTATAAACTTTCAGTTTTTGACACTTAATGACTTTGTTAATTTCAAGCTTGAAGGTTCTAATAAATGATTTTTTAAGCGTTTGCTGTGCATTATTTCTTCAGTTCTGAACAGTGTCTTTAAGGCAAGCTTCATTCGTTTTTCCCAAAGTCGCAACTTACTTATTATTCTCCGGCTTTTTAGTGCTCTCCGGACATCAATTTATAGGTTTACAATGCACTGAATTGAGCATAAGTGAATGGTATAGCTTTCCCCCCTCCCCATTTTCAAGAACATTTTGCCTTTTATTACCCACACTTAAGTACTTATTTACCTCAAGCCTAACTAATATGTATCTTAAGGCTCATTACTTAAAGAAAGCCTTTTTTTTGTCTATCAATAGATTTTTCTTATTGTACCAGTTCCTCACAACCCTTTTTGTAGTTAGGGTCTCTGCTTAAAATGTTGCTTCTATCCAAACCATAGTTTTATGTTACCTACCTGTCACTTTTAATAAATTATCTTTAACAAACTGGTAAATTTTTAGTCAAGTATAAAACTCCAAATACCTCAAGGTTGATAGGATTTTATAAAATGATTTAATAAAGATCCCGAACATATACTCAAGACAGGCACTCTTATCAGTTGTACTGGAAGTATCGAGGCCTAACATATAAATTTTGTTGAAGATAGTTAATTTTCAAGAACATAGTAAAAATGCCCCCCCCCCCTTTCAAGTCCTCTTTTTTATTAAAGGTGTTGGTCATCCTGAGGTAATAATTCCTCCATGAAAGCTACCATTGCTGTTAATCATTTCAGACTATTAGAAAGAATAATTTGAACTCATACTATCCATCATTTAAAAGTTACCGCGGGCTTATTTTTTTGTAGCAGTGAATATGTGCTTTCGTAATCACCGCTCCCTTTTCTTCAATTTTTCTCACCAACCTGCATAAAATTTATTCTCAAGTCATATATCTTATCATTCAATCATAGAATAATAGGTCTCATGCTTCTCTCACAGCTCATAACTTTTTTAATTCCCTTGATTATAGATTCTGATAACCGTGGGGCAAGTGATAGCTCACACTCAAGATCGGACTATAACGATAATCGTGATAGCCGTGACAGCCGCGATAGTCGTGACAATCGGGGCAGTTATCCTAGAGGTGGCGGCTATCGAGACAACTACAGATCAGGTATATCTCAATCCAACTTTTCAATCAATTAGTATGAGTTGCTTTCCATGATACCTAATTTTACAATGTAGGATTTACAGGGTGAATAAGCAACATCTTTCACTCTCACTGTATTGTCAAGTCTCTCAAAGCTTTTATAACAGTTGTATTAATGACAGCATCTCTCTATCTATCTGGCATCTTGAGTATGTCAATATAGAAAGAGTATCAACCCTTTTTCTTTTGTGAATTAGCAGGGTATGACCATGTCTGGAAAGTAAGTACATGGTTCATGAAGCATTGGACAGCGTTGAAAGTGCGAGATTTTGATAGTTTTTTCCAACACCTTAAAAGTGCTTGATATTTTGGAAGCTTGTAAAGGGGAGCTTGGTGCTGGTAAAGATGTAGGGAGACAACCTGAGTCTTAGAAAAAAATATTGATTAAGTTCTTGATAAGTGCTTGAAAATTCCTCAAAAAGTTTTTGACTCCTTATTCTTGAAGCTAGTACCTAGAACCATGAAGTTAAGAAAATATGCAGAATTTTCTCAATTGGCTCAAGAGTGCTGAAAAAGTTTTGAAAATGTACAATTAGTGTGGAATTCATGTTATCTTGATAAAATAGAGTACTTAGAGTCTTAATGTAAGTGGGAGAGCAGGCGCCACTTTTAAACATTTTCCAGGTCCCGAATTCCAAGACTCCCGTGAGACGCCAGGCCACTTTTTTGATACATAATCGATTGTATTCGATACACGGCGTACCCGGCCATCTGACGTAAACAAAGGAGATAGGAATTACCTCGTATTCCACATTGCCATTTTGGAGAACATGCATCGAAAAAGTGACTGAAGCTGGGGGCACACCGGGCTTGAAACTCGTCGAGCAGAACATGACGCCAGCTCTCCCATTTATATTATGACTCTATGTACTCTATGCTTGATAATTGAACTGGCTGTCCTAAGAGTTATGCATCCGGGAGTGTAGGGAAATTTTATTTGATGTTTTGAAAAATCAACTTTTTTCAGAAAAAAATTGATTTAAGTAATTGCATCAATTTCCTCGGCTTCAGTTATTTATGCGAATCTATTGTTGAATCACAATTGAATCTATTTAAGTTCTGTGCTAACAAAGGAAATACTTCAAAGTCACCTGCCGTGAAAGTAAATCACTAACTTTCTCAAAATGTGCCATGAAGGAAATTTTAAAAGTACCTACCTACTTTATTTTTCTTATTGCTTTGGAAAAAGAAATTGAAAGGAAGTAATTTGATTTCTATTTAAGGACGCTAGCAGATACCTTCATTGAATGCTGAACTCTCAATTTTCCATCAAAATATGGCTAACATTATTTGTATTAATCATACTCTAAGCTTACTTTAATAATTTTATATGCTCAAAATCTATTTTTAATTTGTTTCCCTTTTTAATTCTAGGTGGTGGCGGTGGTAGAAACGACTACAATTCTGGCCGAAGAGGCGACTACTCGAGCCAGAACGGTGGTCAAGACTACCGAGACAACAGGAATTATGATAGGAGGGATCGCGGAGGCTTCGACGGCTGGCGAGACAATGATAGAGGTGGCCGGGACCGAGGAGGTTCTGGATACAATGACGAGCGCAATGATGGACCGCCTCGTGGTAAGCTATTTTTCAATGTTTTATTTTCTCTTGGATGAATATTGTTGTTGTTGTTTTAAAGGTAGGTGATGTATAGGACATAATAGCAAAAAAGAGCTCTGAGTAGCATGAGAAGGAGTGTGAACTAAACTAGTACATGACTATTTATTCCTCGTTAACTTCAAATTTGGCTCAACACTGGATGGAACAGCGCTAGCTATTGTCCAGATTTACTGCTGTATTTTCAAAGGCAATCTATAACTAGATTATGAAACTACATCATGAAAATTCATTGGTTGAATTGAAATGGACTGACTCCAAAAGTAAATTAGGTATTCAACCAAAGGGGAAAGTTTCTCCTGGATTTGTTGAAACATTTACATAGCAAGCAAAGCCTTCTAAGTTGATAACCTGAGGTCCACCTTCCATGGCCTCACTTGCAAATTTGCCTAAACATATTAAGAGGTAATTCTAATCTTCACCGGAAGCCCTTACCATCATACTGATCATGTTTGAGCATGCATATACTTACAATGTCTTATGAGATCTGTTGTGTCACAGGATTTTTTTCCTCTCACATCGTCTCGTATCCTCAATTGTCAAGGAATCCTACTGAAATGTGTCCGGGGAATGTCAGTGAATTTTATTTTCTAAACTCTGTGACAACCTTGTCATTGGCTTATGCATACAATCGAACTGAAGGGTCATTGATGTTTTGATATGACACCACTGATCAATTAAAGAGCTGAGAGAAGCATTGGTGATCCCTTGGTTTGCAAATATTTTGATTCTGTAGTACAGACCTCCGCATGCAACAGAACAAATTTTCCTAAATAATTTAAAATTCCATTCTATTTGTTTAAATGTTTAGCTCTTTAATCCGACTAGTTTGCTTGTAAATTAACATTGGGTGATTTTGTATTTTCAGGAAACGATAGATGGCAAAAACCAGTTGAACGAAGGAACGATTGGACTGTTCCCACCGAGCGGGATGAGCGTTTGGAGCTTGATCTCTTCGGCACAGGCAACACCGGAATCAATTTCAACAAATATGAGGATATTCCCGTGGAGGCGACGGGAAATGATATCCCCCCTCATATCAACACAGTAAGTTCAAGTATTTAATTTCAGCCGTTAGTGGGGCGTTAGTTAGATTCAGGGGTGCGAATAGTTCTAGGCCTCAGCAATTTTTCTAAGGAGCCTCCCCAATTTCCTGGAATGCACTGGGTTTCCGCAAAGAGATCAACACAATATGCTGTTTAAAATTTTGTCAAATTTTTATTTGATTTGCAATTTTCATTGATATCTAAGTACTTAAATTATATTGTTTGCAGGAGACAAAAATTGCCTCTTAAAAAATACAGAAAGAAAAAAAAATACCTCTGAACAGTATTGATAATTTTATATTCACTGGCAGGTGACGCAGAGAACTATTTGCATTCCTGGTTACTTTTTGTGGTTTTTTTTTTTTTTTTTTGTTTTTCCCCTTCTATTTGGAAACAATCATCTCATTTTTCCAAAAATATTCAAGTTGATTTTCACTCTAATGTCAATATCACACAATAAATGAATTTAATTTCCACATTGAAGCTTTGGAAGTTCAGGGAGAAAACTTGAAGCCAACTGCAAATTTTAAGTTCGAAACTTTGTTGGAATTATAGAATGCAATTTTCCTCACCAAGAACCTTGTTTGCTTTGCACAATTTATATCTCAAACAAAAAATAGTCAGTTATTTTTTGACTAATTGGTTTTCATATTTTCCAGTTTGCTGACATCCAGATGACAGAAATAATCACTAACAATATAGCTCTAGCCCACTACGACTCGCCAACCCCTGTGCAGAAGTACGCCATTCCAATCATTATGTCTGGCCGTGATCTCATGGCGTGCGCCCAAACTGGGTCTGGCAAAACAGCGGCTTTCCTTGTTCCAATTTTGAATCAGATGTACGTCAGAGGACCCCAGGGCTTCCCGTACAATCACCGAGTACGTACTTTTATGTATAACAAAAAAATTAATATCTGAGTAAGCCTTTTAAAGAACCAAGGAATTTACCCCATCATGAGGGTTTACAGTCCTTGCCCCTTACCAAAAAAATGTAATTCCATCTAGATGCATATTAAGTTCATTAAAACAGGCTGGCTAGCAACAGGAAAAACCGGTAAAAGTGAGGGAATTTAACTCTACAGGGAACAATCAGAGAAAAGTCAGGGACTTTGTCAACGATCAGGGAAATTCGTCAATAGTCTAGGAATGCAGCCTTTTATAGAGCCAGGTTCCAAGTAAAAATTGGGTCCGTGGCTGGCCAGCTGATTGCATTGCTGTGCCAACGTCTTGACCACATTAATTAAGTGCCCTTATGTTATCACAAAAAAATCAGAGTATTTCATTAGAAGAAGTCAGGAGAAAGTCAAGGAATGATTAAATGAAGCAGGAATCAGTTTTTGATTATCGCCTAAAAAAAGAATCCTTTGATGGAGCAGATTTTGCTCAGCTGGATAAAGATTCACGATGTTTCATCCTTTCCTCGTTTCTTCAAAAGATTCATGTGTTGACTCAATTCACTAAATTCTGAAGAAAACTGCTCTCAGTAAAATAAAAGTGAAAAAAATACCAAGTTTGTAGTAATCCAATCCAAAAAATCAGCTTTTTTCAATTGAAGAGAGATCACTTATAAACGGTGTGACACCATCTATAAGTCATTCTCAAGCCACCATGCCTCATGCTGATGGTAAGGGGAAAAAACACTGAATAATTAGCAATATTACTTTAACCTTTTCATGCTCTAGATGATTCCTTTCAATTAAAGGTTTCAAGAGCTTGTTATAATATTTCTTTTCAATTTTGTTCCTTATTATTATTACAGGGAGAACGTCGTAAGCTTTATCCTCTAGGTCTTGTCCTGGCTCCCACAAGAGAATTGGCTACTCAAATCTACGATGAGGCTAAGAAGTTTGCTTATCGCTCCCGGCTTCGTCCGAGTGTCGTGTAAGTTTCCAGTCTACAGAATTACATTAGTACTCTATTGTCATCCTATGATTTGAATAGCTTAAGCCGAATACCAAGTACAAAGAACCAATCAACATAAGCGCATAAGTTTTTGGTTCTTTAGAATAAATAATTTAGAATTGAATCGGTCAGTTACCAACGGACTCAAGCGCCAAAAATGAGAATTCGAGAAAAATTATAGTAACCGTTTTTATTGACTCCCTTTAAACCTCAGAGCTCTAAAATATTATAGCAAGGAATCAATTAATCACACTATTAATTAACCTGCAATTGAAAATGGGTTAGCTCATACAGTTTCTACCTTTTTTTTTTTTTTTGTATTTTTATATCTGGCGCTTGGGCCCTTTTGTAACTGACCGGTTCAATTTCTAGCGCAGCAGTTGAAAAATTTGGAAATGTATAATAGAATAATGAGTATTTTTTATGTCCTCTACCTTTTTTAATTGAAAATCATAGTCTGATAACCAATGGCTGACATCATCATTTCTCTTAAAAAGCTATTTAGTCCAATTGCAAACTTTCAAAAATTTGTTTCAACGAAAGGATCAAAAACATACTTTGAAGTGTTTCAGTGAAATAAATCCTGTTTATAAATGTTTGAAGTGACCGATTCTGACTCTGGAATTGATAATATTATTTCTTTTTGTTTCTTCTTGAGTGTAATCAAAAAGTCACCGACGAACTTGCAAGACAAATGCTTTACAATTAGTCTGCCTAATCTTAACTTAGTTTTTATCAACTCTCTGAGATCAAAAGCAGAAAATCAGGAGATTTTTCCTCGCTGATGATGAGACCTACCAGTTCCAAATTACCTCCCTCATTTGACGTTTTTAGAGTTGCACTAAACATCATATCTTCTCAAGAGGAGAATTGTGTAAAAAGAGCTTTTTTGCTCAATCATAAAATATTCAGTTCAATACATATTGACTTCATTGCCCAAAAGTGATCATATAATCCCTCAATATTATCTTAGTTCACTCTGTTCTACATATTTGGTTCTATTACAGTCTGAATTGTAATTTCACACCATTGATTCAATTAGTAAAGATTGCATTTTCTGTTTTTGTTTAGGTATGGTGGAGCCTATGTTACAGAGCAGATGAAAGATCTGGACAAGGGATGCCACCTTCTAGTCGCAACTCCTGGTCGTTTAGTGGATATGCTTGAAAGGGGTAAAATAGTGCTTAGTAATTGTCGGTAAGTTCAAGTGTTTTTAAATTCATTTAATCTTTCAGCTATTGTGTCATTTTTCACTTATCGCCCCAATTCATGCGATGTGAGATAGGAAAAAATCTAATTTTACAGTAGCAAGGGTGTAACAGCGTCCAAGCAAACGTTGAGCCAAGATACGAGCTAACCAATACTGACTAAATTTGTTTTGTCAAAAATTGACCAACAAAATGTAACTCTCTCTAAATGGGTCAGTAGCGCAGGTCACAGAATCGTGTTTTAATGCTTAGTTCATGTAGATTACTAAAAATAATATGATCTGTCCAAACTGTAGCTTTCTACGTTCAATATTAACCGAGATATTGCCCTTTGAAAAGTCTGGTTTTCGCTAGAATTCAATAGGGCCAGAAAGACTGTACATAGGTATTCTTTTATATATTTTGCATTAAATTTGCTTACTTTTTGTTCAGGTTTTTGGTGCTGGATGAAGCTGACCGTATGTTAGACATGGGTTTCGAACCGCAAATTAGGAATATCGTCGAAAATAAAAATCACTGTATGCCTCCAACAGGCGAGCGCCAAACACTCATGTTCTCCGCAACGTTCCCAAAAGAAATCCAGGTACCATCTTCCCTCTTGAATTAATTCTTGATTTTTTGGTTTCACATCTCGTCCATATCATGCAACTGAAAACCAGTGGGTTTTTAAAAATTTTCAATTTATTAATCTCTTTGGTCTCTGTCTTTGAATAATCAGAAGCAAAAACCATGCTCAGAACTCATTGATTCTTATAGACCTAGACAAGGTATAAATTGTATGAATAAGAAAAGAGCCTGATTTAAAACGCCCTAATGTTTGTTGGCCCTCAGGTTTTCCTAGCATGATTTATATGAATAACGATACCTGAGTTAAGACATCACTTCCTGAAATTTCACACCTTTAACCAAGAATTCCTCTTCATAAAATGAGGGGATTCAGTGCTGGCTAAACTAATTTAGTCATTATTTGACGTTTTTTGACCTCCTTAGCAAGAAAAGTAAAGAAAACCATGTGGCAATTTGGAAGAATGTGGAGTTGAACAGAGAATTTTTCAGCACTTTTATCTGCGTTATCTAGTAATATTGTTGCATATTTCGGTGATTGGGGAGAGCTCTCCTTTCCTTGCTAGCGAGAGACTTTGAGGTAAATGCTAGCTACACGTCTCCTTATTTTCATGTTAGAATATAACAACATTCAAAGAAACCAAAATTATGCCGAATGATAACAGCATGCAGCGGAGCATTGCGTCAACTGCTGATAAGTTGGCTCGTTGACAAAACTGGCTCAGGGGCAGTTGTATACCTTTTTTACTTTAAGGTGTGTATAAATGCTGAAAAAGTCATTCCTCAGTTCTATTCTTCTTGTAATAAGTATATAGAAAGTGCTTTAAGGTAATTCAATGTGATCTATGGACGAGATCAGCCACCACACTGCGCTGCCTCGCCGCTTACATCTTTAAGAAGCAATAATTATTGTAATGTACAAGATAATGCTAGAAACTGATTCATAACGTGTAGCAGCATTAATACTGAGTAGAATGACATCAATTTTGTTAAGATTCATCGTTAATTTATACCTGAAACTATGATAACGGACGTTGCCCATTGACTCAGTGTGTAAGAGAAAGATAGCGCATCAGACTCTCTTGCACATTGAGTCAATGGGCAACGTCCTTAATCGTAGTTTCAGGTATAAATTTACAATGACTCTTATCAAATTTGATGTCATTCTACTCAGTATTTATGCTGCTACACGTTATGGATCAGTTTCTTACATTAATTTGTACATTTTGATAATTAATTATTGCTCAAAGAAGCTGTAAACCGCATAGTAGGGCAACGTGGTGGCGGATCTCGTCCCTAGATCACATAGAATCACCTTAAGGTTAACATTATCTGCAATTTTATTAAATCACAAGAACGGTTTTTTTCACTTGCTTATTCCGATTGTATCAAATTGTTTCAGATGTTGGCCAGAGATTTCCTCGACAACTACATTTTCCTTGCTATCGGTCGTGTTGGATCAACATCCGAGAACATTACCCAAAAGATTGAGTGGGTTGATGAGGGTGAAAAGAGATCATTCTTACTGGATCTCCTGGCCGCCACGTATGCCAGAGATATCCCAGAAGATGGTAAATTTTTGCACATTATTTCCTCTGTTTCGCGAATTCTCATGCAGTAGTTTGTGGACTAATTTCACTGAATATTTTGCACCTTATATTAGAAACAAGCCTCTTAATAACAATCTAACCAGATTACTCTCAATCTTTCAAATTAAAAGTTTTTTCTTTTAATTATGAAGATGTGGGCCTCAGCAGAGATGCAGGAAGTTCATGGCCCTCCAATTTTACCAATTGACCTCCCCATTTTATAAATCCCTTATTCCTCAAAAATGCATATTCAGTCATTCCTTTTTGGTCCTCACGAACAAATCGCTGCAATTTAACTACTATTATGCGATTTTCACCATAGTCTTGCCAAAACTGTATGCCATTTTTAGCTTTGTTCTGTGGAAAATACACAATTTCTTTTCTAGCATGGGTGGCTTTCCTACTGAAAATAACCTGTTTTCAAGGCCTTCTCATTTTCGTATGTGGCGGTTTGTAACCTGCTAGTTATATGGTCGAAAAGTTTTTGCACCCCTGCTCCTCAGCCAAAAGAGTAGATCTTCCTTATATCTGTAATTAAATCTGAACTCAGCTGAAAAGTTGCCTTAACTAGTTTTTTTCTCTGTCTCTGAAAAGGTGAGGAATACTGAGATGTATCAATCAAGCATATGTTGGAAGCTTCATTTAAAGTTGAGTGATTTTCTGTTACAATTTGAAACTTTTTTACGGTTTTGTGCGACTCATTACGCCTCATTGAAATGTTTTACAGAAATAAAACAACTATGTGTTTTTCATGTTTCAGAACCTGAATCATTGACATTAGTGTTTGTTGAAACCAAAAAAGGAGCTGATTACCTCATGGAGTTTCTGATCAACGAAGGTTATCCAGTGACCTCGATCCACGGAGATCGTACCCAAGGTGAAAGAGAGGAAGCGCTTCGCCTGTTCCGTTCAGGCCAAAGACCAATTTTAGTCGCAACTGCTGTGAGTAATATTTGCTTTCTTGCCCATTTCTGTTCCAAATTGCTCTGAATACTTAATTGTTTGCTGTTATGAAGCATTATGAAAGTTCAGATCACTATTTTGATGCCAGCGTTCAGTAGGTAAGGGAGAGTTTGTAACTTCAAGAAGACTTGCTTTCCACCATCTCTTTCATGTGCAAGCTGAAGAAGAGTAAAAAAACTCATTTGGTACTTACCCAAACCTAGCAATTGATGTCTAATTCTTCTCCAGAAATTTATCATGTGGGGATTAATTTTTTGTTGAATACTCAGAGTTTTTCTATTATCGACGAAAGTTTGCTCTTTTAAAGACGTGCTTTTTTAGAAAAGCATCAGTTTTGTAAAAATAGACTAGCTGGCAGCAAGAAAATCTCAACACTTCTTCCTCTGAGTTTGACTTTTTACTTTTTGATCCTGCGCAACAATACTATCTTTTTACTTACTGTGTAAGTAGATTGTATAAGTTTTTGCTTTTTATGTGAAATTGAAGATCTATTGATTTTAAACTGAGCTATATTTTCCCCATTGTCCCATCAACAATTTTTTTACTCCGGTAAGAGTTTCGTTGAAGCCAAGTTTACCTAATATGTTCTTTCTCTTTTTAGGTGGCAGCTCGAGGTCTTGATATTCCTCATGTGAAACATGTTATCAATTTCGACCTTCCATCCGACGTAGAGGAGTATGTCCACAGAATTGGTCGTACTGGACGTATGGGCAACACTGGTAAGTAATGTGAATCATCAACAAAATATTTAAAAAAAATTGCAAAATGGAAGCACTGCCTTGCTTGGACTTTGGCCAAGCTTTCTGGATAATTCACCCGCTAGATAGCAGTAAGTTTGCTTTCCGTCATGACACCTTGCCCAAATCTTGGAATAACTTTTCAACCTCTCTGAGCTTGGAAGCGGAAAGTCAGAAGTGTTATTGATAGGACCAACTGGTCTTAATGTGAGTCCCTATGTGAATTTTAACGCAAGCTGGCAAAATCTCCAACACTGTTTACGAATGTTGCCTTCTTTCCCATCAATTCAGGACCATTATGGAAGGAAGTATACACATCATTGAAGTCTGAGAAAACTAACCAATTAAAGTTTATACATGTTTATTGATTTTCAAAAGTTGATGATAAGTCTTTTTGATGTCATGAACCAGCAGCAGTGGATGAGACTCAGTGAGTCAAATTCCTCATAGTGAAAATTCAAACCCAACGCAATGAGGTACGAGGGGGGACCCAAAAAAAACCGGAATTTTGCTGTAACTTGACAACAATGGAAAATATTCGGGTTCCGCCTCTAGGAGGTGTAACTAGGAGCTATGAAGAGCCACGAGGCCAAATTTCAATATTGTAGCACATTTTCTTTCATTTTGGCGAGACTTTGCTTTAGGAGTGTTTGGCAACTTCGTCGTTTTTGAAGGTGGGTCAATTTCAGTAACAATACTTAGAGCTCAAAATTTTCTCTCTTACTCAATGAAAATACGGCTTCCTCTGTTAACATTTTGAAGTGCTGCTTCTGGAGGACAAGCCTAATCAAAAACTTCCGTGTAAGTATGGTTTTTGGGTTTCAAAATGATGCCATATCGCCCAAAACCCCTGTACGGCTCTAAACCTTCGTCGCCATCTGACTCTTCATAGCTCCTAGTTACACCTCTTAGCGGTGGAACCCGAATATTTTCCATTGTTGTCAAGTTACAGCAAAATTCTGGTTTTTTTGGGTCCCACCTCGTATTTCTCTCTCAAATGCAATCACCCTGCACAATGCAGGTGTACAATGTCACCGGGGCCTTTTCTTAACTTACCTCTTTTAGCGGATGCATGTGGTTACCACTGTTTATCATAATAGTGCAGTGTCAGGCTTTAGGGATGCATATCAACCCTCACTCCAGTAGCGCCTGATCATATTTTTCAAGGTATAGGTCTAAACTCATCCTGTGCTCATTTTAATCTGATCTTGTGATGATATTTTCAGGTGTGGCCACATCCTTCTTTAATGACAAAAACCGTAACCTGGTACGTGACTTGGTCGAGTTGATCACTGAAACCAAGCAAGAACTACCACAATGGTTGCTCTCCTACGCGCAGCAAGTCTCGTCGTTCTCCAGTTCAGCTCGCCGCTCCGGAGGAGGCAACAGCAAGGGTGGCCGCTTTGGCAGCAGCTTCGGGGCACGCGACTACCGTACATCTGCTCAGATGAGCTCTCGTGGGTCTCCGATGGTGCGTCGTGAAGGCGGGAGCTACGGTGGACCCCCCAATTACGGCGGTGGCAGCTATGGTGGCTCATATGCCTCAGGCAACAGCTCAAGCCGCCCTGACTACTGGAACTAGATGTTTTCTTCGGAGGTTTTGTTTTTGTTTGAAAATAAACATTAATTGGAATAACAGTTGCTTTCTGTATTGAGACCTGAAAATTTCGCATTTTTCACATCTTAGTCTTTGATTTTGTGTTTGTGAATCAATTTGAAATTACTCTAGCGTAAGTTGGCTTTGATGAACACTCATGTTTGTGGGGATACCATATTTTCAAAACTGAAAATGCACGCCGCTGTCTACCTTTTGACTTTTGTCTTTGTGGCTACAATTTTTCTTTTCTTTTTTTGTACTTTATGAAGCTTTGAGCGTAGCTACTTTTGCTGTTCCTTCTTTGAACCCACAACACTTTTTGGAGTTCTATGAACTTTGTGTATTTTCTTCACTCATTAGATAATTGTTGATTTTTTTCTTTAAAGTTTTGAGGAAATTGAATTCGTAGATGAAGCGAAATTTTCAGGTGATCATGTGTTAAACAATCATCTCTCTTGTATGCGCAAAAAACTTCAGGGGTAATTGCGGTTCCATGTGGGCATGCGCTGAGAACCATCCATATTCTGCCAATCGTTTTCTTCTGTAGACCAAAATTATTGATTTTGGCTTAACACCGTTTCTCACATAAGTGTCTTGAAAAGTCAATTTCTAGTGAAAGAGAAAAAATAGCATTAGTACAGGAGCCTAATGTTAAAAAAAATTCTTATGAAAAGGTGTATTTCTGCACATATCAATATCAAGTTTTTCTCAAGCTTCTCTCATGAACTTCCTTCTTGTTTTGAATCATTCCAAAAATTCATAAATTCTCCAACTTTAAGACTGGGTTATTTCTGCTATCGTGACAAGCAAAATCATGTGCTCCTGGTTCGCTACGTTAACTTTCCGAGTAAAAATGAGTCTGACTTCGTACTGCACTCAGCTAAAATCTAACCATTGACAATTTCACTGCAAAAGAAACGGATGAATGATGCAGCAAACCTCTTATCCAAATTGTTTTTATCTTTTTCTAACATTGAAATGCGTTAACAATATGTCACTCTGCTTGTCTTATGTTCTTTAGAAATTGTAAGTTTCGAACATTGTAAATTCTTACAAATTATTCCATTTTGTACTTTTACAGATCAAAAATTTGACGGTTAAATTTACATTAGTAATCTACTTTTTTTGGATGGTTTTCAGTCTTAAGATGAAATAATTGAGTTTGGCTTCCGAGGACACAGTTGTCAGGCTATTGTCTTAGAATAACCCATCCATGGCCATTTTTTCTTGAATTGTAAGGAAGCTTAATCCATAACAGCTGGCCCAAATTCTGTGATTATACAAATAATTTTTTGTTAGTTGACCGCCTGAATCCTTACAAATCTTCTCCTTAGACTCAACTGCGTGGCAGAAGTTGTTCTCGATCAAATCAAAGGAGAGGAAAAGTGGTACCAAAACCATAACTGTATTAGCGAATGTATGAGAGCCTCAACAATATTCGTAACTGCATTTACTGTTCCTTGAAATCAACCTAATCAGTTATGGGTCAATTTAATGTGTTTGCTTGAAACCAAAGTTTACCCCTCTTCTGTTTATCCACTCCCAGACGTACTCTCTTTCTTGTCTGCTTAACTTAGAATTGAATCTTATAAATATCTATACATACAATTAAATGATAAGTTGTTAACTTAGGATAACTCTCTTAGAGAGAAGGTATATCTCTATGTTATTTATTTTAATTTTAATTATTAACTACTATTATTTATTTTATTCTTTCTTTGTGAGCATCCAAGTCCGTCGCCACCAGTCTCCGATTTTTCTCTCTCCTCCTCCCACAATTAGGAATCAAATTGGTTTCCTTGATTTTTTTCCTTACAAGTCATTTTTCTTTTGCTTTGGTCATGTTTTATTTATATCTAAGCACTTACACGAGTAAGTTAGAGGATGCGGAGGTGTAATAATTTATTATTCACAAAGTAATCTTAAAACACCGATTATTTGGTCCTCCGTAAGTTCAATCATGTAATTTTCGTCTAAGTACATATTTTCTAATTGTTCGGGGACTTTCTCTGTATTTATGTTCATTTATAATTTTTTACAGTTAGCACTTTATTATTACTGATATGAATTTAATATACAAAAAATATACAATTATTACAGTAAATATTCCTCTTCTTCTCTTTCCGGCAGTTCTCAGAGTTACACCTAGTATTTTTTATCTAAAGAATAAATACAAACACAATTATGATATCTTTTGAGTTTTATGCCTCATTTTTAGGAAATATTAATACTCATTATGCTTCATTTGTGACATTTTGAGGTCCAATTAAAACTGAATTATTTCGGTTTGAATAAAGTAAATTTGTCTTCTTGAGGAAGACCTTTTTTATTCCTAATGTCTGCATTTCCATTATGTAGATCATAACATGCATTTGGTCCTGAGAAATGAGTGGCGCATTTTATCACCACCAGCGGTAAAAGTTACAGACACTCCAGGCTTATTCAATCGTTGGGTCTGGATACAACTATTCGTGCTCTTTGAATATCCATGTTGCAAACACCAAAAATTGTGGGCGCTTTGGGTTTCCTAGGCACGCATAACACAGCGTATACAGCTGCGGTTGATAGTTCTCAAGGATTATTTACAATCGTGTTTACCATTAAATCCTCAATATTCGGAGCAGGTGTGTATCATCAGCAGCGTTGCCAAATTGTGCAAATTGTGGGAATGTTATCCTCTTTTCTTGGTTCATAAATTGAACAATTATTGGAGGAGATATGACAAAATGATCTAATCTGCAAAATACATGCATTTAAATGGGAAACGCTGCAAGATGATGTCACTAGGTGGTGCATTTTCTCACTTTTAAATCTGTCTATACACCCTTTCCCATGACCGAAAAAAATTATAAAGAATACTGAAAAATCAGCTCTTTACGCACTTTCAGATGAAGTAATAAAAAATTAGCGTGCGAATTCTCCATTGCTTGGAATTTCGAGGATTTCATGGTAAACACGATTGTAAATGCAAGTTAAACAATCCTTGAGAACTTCCAACCGCAGCCGTATACGCTGCGTTGTGCTTGCCTAGGAAACCCAAAGCGCCCGCAATTTTTTGTGTATGCAACATGAACATCCTGAGAACAAGAATAGTTGTATCCAGATCCAGCTATTGAAAGAGCGTCTTCAACTTTCACCACTTGAAGGGAAGTGAGATTCCTCCTTCATTTATAAGAAATTAAAAGCTGAAGCTGAAAAAATTCTGATGAAACCACTGAAAAAAGTACTTTCTCAGCTTTTTACTTATTTAATGATTTTTAACTATACTTTGAAAGATTAGGAATTGAACTATCCTTTGGCAGCACTCAGATGAAATTACAACCAGCTTCTTTCAAATAAAAAATGTAATTCCTTTAAGATACACAGTAGATTGACAATCACTATCACATTATTAGAAATGGTGGCCACAAATATCCTTTTAAATTAAGAGAAAACATTTCTCCGTCAATTTTAATAGTTTCATGACCATAAGGAAAATATAAAATAAAATAAAGCATTGTGGCATTAGAGAAGAATCAGATAAATGAAGTATTTTACCACGGTAACATTTATAAATACGGAGGAACTAGTGTGTGACTACATAATTAAAATAAACTTCAAAAGTTTTCTGGAATGTTATCAACAATAGGATCAAAATTTCAGCACACTTCTTTAAGCTTTATTGACTTGAAATCTCCTTGAAATTACCTCTACTACAGGGATTGAAATGTGCATGAGAAACTTACAAAGAAGTTCCCAGTCCATGCAATTTACAAGTGTGGGTTGAAATTTAAACTTCAAGACTTGAGCACATTTTTCAATTTCAAAACTGTGGTCCATATAACAAATGAAAATGGAAGTGCTCCTATAAAACATATCTATATATTTTAGAGAGGCAAATTTAAAAATGACACTTTCATTTCACTTGACCAAGAAAAAATGATCGGAAGTGGCTTAAGAAGTCCAAAATTTTCCTTTATTAAAATAAAGATATTGGAAGATATTTAAATAACAATCACGGAAAGTGCATATCACTTATGAGCTTCCTTTCCAGTGACTCATTAGTCCAGGGAAAATTCTCAGTTACTATTTTATTTTTCCAATTTTGAATGATTAAATTCAAGTTTCACTACAAAAGTATAAATGCATATAATCCTATATATTAAAATGCAAAGTCCCGAATCTTGGGGCATTAACTTTGAGAGAACCACCGGACCGATTTGCATGGGATTTTTTTTAAATGAAAGCCCCTGAGCTGTAGATTTGCAGGCTGTGGTCGTTTTTTTGATTTTCTCAAATTTTCTCCCATAATTTTCTAAAATTGTCTTCGATGCATTAAAACGGAGGTCCGAATCTTTGGACGTTAACTTTGAGAGAACCACCGGACCGATTTGCATGGGGTTTTTTTTAAATGAAAGCCTGTGATCTGTAGATTTACAGGCTGTGGTCGTTTTTTCGTTTTTCTCAAATTGTCTTACTTTTATCAACGAGTGAAGTTTAGCTGGGCTCAAATTTTCTCCCATTTATTCAGACTAAAGTCCGCATTTTGGGGCATTAACTTTGAGAGAACCATCGGACCGATTTGCATGGGGTTTTTTTTAAATGAAAGCTTCTGATCTGTAGATTTGCAGGCTGTAATTGTTTTTTCGATTTTCTCAAATTTTCTTACTTTTATCGACGAGTAAAGTTCAGCTGTTTTGAGCGGTCATCCGGCCGCTACCTGCTTGCCCGTCCCTAGATACCCCCTCTAGGGTCTCAGCCACCCCTCCCACCATGTTCTTTCGGCTATCTCCGTTTTCTTTCGTATAGCTCTCCTTCCACCAACCTCAAAGAAGGAAGTTTGGGTCGCATCGTCGTTCGTCAGTTCGTCACTCGCCACCCACATTCCTTCGCCATCCCTCGGCTACTCCGCCTCACAGCTTCTTGATATCCTGGCATCTTATTCTCTGCGGCTTGACTGACCCTGACTTATTAACTGCAGTATTGCGTATTGCTAACAACACGTATTGTTACAGACATTTTATTCATCATTATTAAGTAGATTCAACTAATTGCTCCGATTCCAATTAAGGTACTCACCACCATTGCTAGCTGTGGAGGGCGCCCGTAGGGCGTCCGGAGCAGCTAGTAAGTGATATAAAAACTTTTGTCAGACAACCTTTCTCATCAAAATTCATAAATTGGCAGTTCCAGTTATCTAGCTGATCCAAAAATATTTGATACATACATTAAGCTAATTATAATACATATTATGTAAATCATTGAAAATAAAATTGTATTTATTAGTTATTTATTACCCTCCATAGCCGGTAACTTTTAAGAGGAAACACAAACAATCAGCTGGAAAATTGGTTCACTATGAATACTCAGCATTTAAAGCTTTAGCTATGACTATTTTCCTTATTTCACTAGTTCCTGCTCCTATTTCATAGAGTTTTGAATCTCGGACTATTCTGCCAGTGGGGTAGTCATTGATGTAGCCATTGCCACCTGCAACATCAACCGGTCAAAAGAATGAAAAAAACATAATAACAAGAGGAATTTTCTCTTCAAATTTATGAATTCTTTCTTCCAATTCAACATTTGAATTATTATGCTTGTTTTTCATACATTTCTTACTATAAGATTGTACAAACTTTGCACACACAACATTAATTGCTAATTGGTGATAGAGAAAAACCTTTTTCGACACGGAACGGAAATATGCATGGGATCGATTATCATAGGTCCAGTATTTAAAAAAAGAAAAACATATAATAAATACGTATTCATGTCATTACATGACAGAAGAAAGTTAGGTTTGAGGTTCACATGATACAATTCTAGTCTTAGACATATGAATAGATAACCATTGATTTGCTGAAAGAAGAAATCCAAAAATGAGAGAAGAGATCTACGTACCTAGACATTGCAGGGCATCCAAGGCAAGTTGTGTGCATTTTTCCCCAGCATGAAGGAAAACTCCAGCACAGTCTTTGCTATTAATTTTTCCTTGATCGCATGCTCGTGCAACAGTGTACAAATAGCTTCGAGAAGAACTCAACTTCACATACATGTCTGCTAACTTGCCCTATTGCAACAAAATGAGAAGAGGTATTAGGGAAATATAGAATTGATATTAAGTAGTGGTTCAAACTGAAAATAGGGCCTGGCATTCATTTCCAATGATTTTCAATATACATAATGCATTTGCATTTTTAATGTTTATTGGCAATATACAGTTGCAAAAAAGATTTAGATATTTTATAATTTATGAACTTTCACTTTTTCTTCTATAAAAGTTAATTTTGCACACATCTTTTCATTCCAGTTATGCACAATAGAGAATTTTAACAACTGATGCCAGCAAAATGTTCCTGTAAAATTAGAGATTTTGAATGACTCAATCTAGTTTAAATGTTATGCTTTTATTTTAATTTCATTTTCAATTTTGAGTGGGTGCAATATTATTTAGAGCTAAGATCACAAAAAATGAACTTTTTTTGTTAGTTGTTGAAAGACAGCCTGTAAATACATCTATTGATTGTAGAGGAGAAATGGTGCATGAAGGAAGGAGAATAATTTAAAAATCACTGAGATTGGAGGCAACATAAGTACACTAAATACATGTTTTGATGAGCTACTGAGGATAGTTGTTTTCAGACTATCAAAAGTGACCACTGCATAGGTAGCAGTTGTATAAAAGAAGGAAGAACAATGAGATAAATTCTATCAGATACTCACTTGAATAAGTTGGAATTCTCCTAGCTTCTGTCCAAATTGCTTTCTCTCGTGGACATAATCAAACGCTATGTCACAGGCAGCTTGCATTAAACTGGAAAAAACAAAAAAACAAAAATAAAAACTCTGACTTCAAATTCGAGAATGAGAACTCCACCTAGGTATACTATAGATACTAATAATTTTCAATAATATAATTTTCTTTACTCACAATGCAAATTCATTGAAAGGAATGACTTTTGAGGGGGGGGGGGGTTGGAAAAAGATTTGTTAGAGGGAACCATTAATTTTTTCTTTCTTCATGCTCTTTATAGTTTGGCAAGCCGGGCAAAACACAGGTAAGCTGCCAGAATCACAAATCCATGGATTTAGCTTCCAAATTTTTAGGAATGAAGGCAACCGAAATCTGTTTCTGCAGATACACTTGTCATAATTTCAGAAAAATTTACAATTAGAGTTACAATAAACTCTAATGACTTTTAGCGTAAGGTTGAGGAGGATAAGGTTCAGCTCGGGCAAAAAATATAAGTATGATGTATGACTGGCTCAGGAAGTAGCTTTCTTAGCCAGATTAGTTATGAAGGATAATTGAATTGGATCTGAGGATTTTCAGAGATGATCAGGGTAGTAATACAATTTTTTAATCTTACCCAACAGGGCCAGCTGCGATGACAAGCCTTTCTAAATCAAGACCGCTCATTAGAACATAGACACCTTTATTTTCCTGGCCAAGCAAGTTTTCAGCTACAACATACACGGAAAAAAGGTTAAGATAAAATACTGGATAAAAAATTAAAAACGTGATAATATGAGGTACCAAAACTTTTGTGTGCCAAGAAAATAATGAGCAAGAAGTTCAAATTTACCAACTTTGAAAGAAAATTCAGCCTATAACAAGATAATATTACCGCATATTTAGAGAGCCTAATTAAAAAGGAGGGGAAACACATTGGATAAAAGATGTAAAGATGTATTATTACAAGAACTTTGAGATCACATCGATCCTAAAGAAACGGAGGCAGCGCTCTTAATAGAACTACATTTCTGATGATAATACAGTCAAGTCTCGTTAAACGGTTTCTCAAAAAACGTTTTTCCTGAGAAAACGCTCATGATTCTGAGTCCCAGTCAAACGTTTGTAGGAAACCATATTTTTTTTTTCATCATAACAAATTCCGACACAACATTTCACTCAAAACAGTAAATTTTTTTGTCCTCTGCGAAGGAAAAACCGTATGACTGAGTGATTTGCATGTCAAGTCAACAAATTAGGAAAATTACCATGATTTTATGAGACAATCATATAATATACAACCGTAGTATAATATACAACCCATCAATTACTGAATTTATTAATCGATAAATGCCAAATTGCATGACATCAAGTTCAATTTCAAAGAGATGAGTTTATAATGTTTAGGCAGCTAATGCATGTGCCATGTTTCTTTTTACTTTACGCTAAAAAATGAAATAAAAGTGTACCTGGAACCTTGCAATTATCAAATATTAACTCCCCAGTATCAGATCCTCTCATTCCAAGCTTATCCAGTTTGGGACCAGCCTTAAAGCCCTTGAAACCTTTTTCCACAATAAAAGCAGATATTCCATGTTGTTTCTTAGAGGCACTAGTATCTGTTCTTGCGTAAACCTGTTTAAAAATATCAATGTGTCTTCATTGGTGTGGTTATTGATAAATGATTTGAAGAAAAAACTTTATGATGAGAGCCATGGTCAAACTAATTCACACATATTGGACCAACTTATAGATGGTCTTCTTTTGTTCATTGTTCTTGATTCTTATGGATGTATTCAATATACAAGCGAATACCTCAATACATGATCGACATTAGCCAAACACTTCTTCAAATGCAAAAAAAAAAAAGAAGGTTGGGACTCCTTTTTCTCATTTTTGAGCCGTGAGATTGTTCTATGAATGAATTACTCAAGGAGGAACATTTGTTGTACATCTTTCATCCCACAGTTCTTGGAGCCAAATTGTTTGCGAGATAGTGAATGGCTTTATTGGCACTGATGATTGAAATTTCAGAGCATTTGTAAGTCAGTGCTCACTCTCATCCATATGGTAGTATTCCTATGAGATGAGACTGATATCTTTCCAAGTTTAAGAATTTATATAATTTTGCCTGCTGAGATTCATGCGTTCAAAAGACCTCCATTAAGAGCATTAGAGGCTAGAAAAGGATGTCATTTTATGCATTTTTTTACTTTGTATCAAAGCATCAGACAGATCTACTGATGTTTAATGATTAACTCAATAAAAAGTACCGGACTAAAAAATTATACTGTACTAGACGTTACAAAAAAAAGTCATTATATCTTTCTTTATAAAAAATATTCCAGTCCTGCATAAATGTAACTTTCTCATCACCCATATCTAATTAACAAATTGTAAGAAAATGTTAAGACTGAGAAAAATTTAAAAGCGGTTCAAACTTACAACAAGAACATCTGCAATAGGGCCATTCGTGATCCAGAATTTGCTGCCATTAAAAACGTAGTGATCGCCCTTTTTTTCTGCTCGAAGCTGCATCGAAACTACATCTGATCCTGATCCTGGTTCTGACATAGCCAATGCTCCGATATGTTCTCCTGAGCAGAGCTGGTGACAAAAAACTAAAAAATAGAGTAAACAGCATGAGCGGAATATTTATATATTCATACAAAGAGAAAAAGAAAAGCAAAAAATCAAGAGCATATAATAATGAAATGAGGACATATGTAACAATAGCGGTTGCTGACATCCGCCATTTTTAGGGAAACGCTCGAATTCTGGAGTCCTCAAGAATGCCTGTGCAAAGTTTTAGACTTCCACCTTATGAGTAAAAACAGCGGATATGAGAATCCACTGTTCTCCCCGGCCGGCGCGGCAGGACACCGTGGAGATTCAAACGTACTTCCGATAACTGCCTGCGCAAAGGCCATGGGCTGCAGCTGACACTCAAATGATACAAATCGGGACCGTCTCACCGGAATTGTTTATTTTATTACTGAATCCAAATTTGTTCCTTATTATTGTTGTAGAAGTTACAAACGGTTTAGTTTTTCTATAATTTTATGAAATGACTCAGCATTGATTTACTTTTGGTTCATTTCAATTGTTTCACCCGCCTTACCCTTCCTGAAGACTTTGTTTCATGCACAAAAAAATATTTTCAGTAAAAATAGCAGATGTCACATTTTTTTCAAATTTCTGTTACTCCTCCAATTGTTTACTTGCATTAATCATAAAACGCATGTTTTTTACAGGAAGAATTGGTCTTTATGAAAATCTTTATAAGAATCCTCTCAGTTCTACGGGTGGCAAAGTGCAAAGCTTCGAAAACTTTAAACTTGAATGATTTGCAACTAAGTTCCTGATAGGCCAAAATACAAGCCATGATAATACTTTCTGTCAAAAACTCCAATTTTAAATTTTCTGTCAAATTTGACAAAAATCTTTCCTGATTGCCTTGATGAGCTTGCACCCATATTTTCATGGACAGTCACAAGTAGATAGTATTTCCTGACAAGAGCCAGCTTCCATAAAAAGCAAGAAATGGAAATGAACTTACTTTAGGTAAGTATTTCTTTTTTTGTTCTTCACTGCCATGTCGCCTTATTTGATTCACGCATAAATTTGAATGCGCTACGTAACTGAGTCCGACTGATCCACTTGCTCTGGATAGCTCTTCCATGATGATGATGTGGTCCAAGTAGCCTCCATCAGAACCTCCGTATTCACTCTCCACAGTGATGCCTAGTGCACCGAAATCACCAAGTTTTTGCATAAGATCCTAAAACAATGTAATGTAAGTAAAAACATTTCAGCACTGAAGTACCAAAAGTAAGAACCTATTAGAAATACTTTCAGGAAAAATTAGATTTAACTTTAATAAGCCAGTATTAATGTTACAGACGTTATACTTGTAATACCCATGTCCACGGCAAAATTTTCAATCTCTCCATGAAGACTGTCTTTACCTCAGTCTTGGATGTTGCCTTTAACATGTAGGTAGGACGACAAATTTACTCATTTTGCATCAGAAATGTGTGTTTTATTTTCACAGCAGGGATTAAAAAGGAGAAAAAGATTAAGCTCATACAATAAATACATACTTACCCTAAACTGAGGAAAATTATTATTTTTGTCAATGTCCGCTGCCTTGGGGTAAAGCTCCTTTTGAGCTAAAGCAAAAATACTCTGCCGTAACTGAAAATAAAAAGAGATCCAGTGGAGAATCAATTTACAAAATTTCAAGTCAACAGCTCAATTTTGAGCGAGTTATGATGATTCAAACTTCTCCATTTGTATTACCTCCCAAACGATGTATCACGAAAGGAGGGTTGGAGGGTTTGAAAGAAAAAAGTTAGAGGGCCTCAACCCCCCCCCCCTCCCTCCCCTAAAGGGTGCCTCCAGAATGTTGAATCCGGTAAAATGTAGCTTTTAGTGATTGTAGAATTATCCAGTGCCTCGAATCTTTAGGTGCAACCTTTCAAAAATTAGAGACGGGGGGAGGGGGGGTGTCAAAATGTTGCATAATCTTTGATATACAAGGAACTTTAAAATTTTCCAAAGGATCTAATGCAACATTTCATCATACCGATTTTTGCCGCGAATATTTCCAGTTCTAGTTCTGTTGACGATTTTTAACTGATATCAACGCGCAAATGCCCGCGTGTGTAAGATCGGAGTTTTTGCGCGAGTTTCCGCGGTTATAAATGGACTACATTTTGCAATTAGGAACAATTGATTCTAGCCCGGTTTGAAAACAACGTATAAGCCATCAGTTTCCCTATGCATATAAGTGTTTTTTCAGAAGAGCCAGAATTTATAGTTCCAAATTGCAAAATGCAGTCCAAATATACCTACCTACTCGCAGCCTCTCCCGGACTTTTACGATTTCGCGGTTATTCGTAGAATTTGGTAACTCCGCGAGACCATCTGATTTTGCGCTGTCATTTGAGCGGTTTTTTCGCTTCGCGGTTGCGCGGATGGTTACAATTTTCCGCGAATTTCTCGGCACCTGTGGGTGTTCGCGTGTTCATTGCACTTTCATCGGAGACCATCGCAAGTTTGGTTTTCGATTTTATGCGAGAAGGGGCGCCGTTTTGGCAAAACCTAAAGGAAAAGGACGAGTTGTTGAGAGGAGACATCACTTCAAAATATCTCTGTAATAGTGTTTCACACGAATAGAAGTGCCCCGAGAAAATTTCAAATCACGAGGGAAGGCTGCCGTGCTAAGGAAGAACGCCGTATGAAGATTCGAGAGTTGCCAAATTTCCTATGATAAAATGTTTATATATGAGGAAAGTCATGAATATTTTTCCTTGAAATTTTCAGGAACTTTAGATCAAAATACAAAGAATATTCCCTGAAAAATTGGAAGAAAAATATTCATAAGTTTACCAGGAAATTCGTATTTTATCGAAGAAAATTTGGCAACGCCTGATGGCTTATACGGCGTTTTTCCTCAGCACGGCAGAAGAGGAGGAGACCACTACTGCCGTGCTAAGGAAAAACGCCGTATGAACCTTAAGGCGTTGCCAAATTCCCTTTAACAAATCACTAATTATCAAAGAAATTTACGCATACTTTTCTTCCGATTTCTAAGATAAGTTCGTGATATGATCTAAAAAGTCTGAAAATTTCAAGGAAAAATATTGATAATTTTCCTCAAAAATAAACATTTCATCGGAGGAAATTTGGCAACTCTCGAATGTACATACGGCGTTCTTCCTTAGCACGGCGGACTACCCCCCACTCCCCTCACTACCCTCGCCGATGCGCACCCTTTGACACGGTTTGAAGCACGGTTGGATTTTCGGGAAAAGGCCTTTGTAAAAAAATAATTCTACCGATAAGGCAGCACCCAACTCTCATCTCATTATCGTAAGATTATGTAAGAATATTTACAGCATACCTAATCTTGTACGGGAAACTTATTGTTGGCTTGCAAGTATTACGTACATAACATCATTAGGGAAGGGGGGGGGAGGCTCAGACCATGCGTTTTGTTACATCCAACGGTTGAAACACGTTTTTTTCCGAAAAGCGGATTTTTTTAAACCGTATTCCGCGATAAGGACGGCAGATGAATAAAAAGTGAGGGTACTGGATAATTATTATGGTAAAAGAAGGGGTTTGGTTAATCAGGTTTATATCTTAGAAGCACGGATAATGCGTTAAGTAAATAAATATTTAAGGTCTAAAACACTGCGCCCCCCCCCCCCACGACGCGCGTCTTTCTATTCCTAATTAAGACAATTAACTTATAATTTGACGACGGTGACACGTCTTTGGAATAATCTGGAAAAGCATTAAAATGTCAGAGGAAGAGAAATGAAATTACGGCTTGGTGAATCTAAGTATCTGTAAAAGCTACCTAACTTATTTCCAGTGTTCATCATCACTTGCCAAAGTAATGACTTATTTTGTAAGGTATTTAAAGTTATTTGAGGAATCAAGGGGCATTAAAAACTTACTTTCTGCTGCTCTTCGTTTAACCCATAAGTGACGTCATCGATGGGGTAGAACGCTAAATTTCGGCGAAAAAATTTGTTACTTAAGGGCAATCTCCTCAATAAACAAGAGTTGAACATTTTTAACGAGGGAACGCGTGACGACTACTTAAACTTGGAAAAAACGTTTTCTTTTCGGCATTCCTGACGGAAATTAGGTGAGCACGAGAGGTATCTATGATGCGAGCCGCGGTATTTACAAAATTATCAAACGTTCCGCGATAACACGCTCTCACTTTATCATGAAAGCATTGACGTTTGTTGGGCAGATTATAATTAAACACGATGTAACCAAGTAGGTACTATACGGAACGATACGCTGCTCAAAATAATCACGGCTCTGGCGGCTTCCAATAAATTGTATTGCGACTTCCGTAGACGTAGGACGTAGGTCACAATGCAACGCAATACGGCCGGATTTGGGGGCACATGGGTTGCGGCCCATGGCGGCAAATTTTGCGATTTTTTAAAAATCGGTATCAAAAAGAAAATTCGGCTCTTCTTGATATTTTGAAACGGACCACAGATTTGAAACGTCGTTTTGTTATTCAATTAAAATTATTTGCTCATTGACCGTCAACGGGCGATTTCGACGATTTCGTTGGCCGCGAATAAGCGGCCTTCGGGGGCGCGCAACGCACCGGAAGTTAGGCCGCATGGCGGCCAGGGGGCAGGGCCCCCTAGTAAATATCTAAGACAATCGGTATCGGCCTAGAGTGCGCGCAACTATCGAGGACTGTTCGGTCGCGAGTCAACGGCTTCATTAAATCATTTTCACTCAAGTTTTTGCACGACTTCTCCCCCCTCCCCCCTCTTTTCCCACTCATAAACACAAATGAATAATGGCTGCAAATACAAAAAGCGTCAGCCGATTTTGCTAAAATTCTAAAATAAACCAGTCTTTAAAGATCTCTGGCTACCATTGAAATTTCAGCTTAAAATTTTCACTTATACTTGAGTTAACGCGCAACTTAACCTCCCCTGAACCTACTCATGAAAACTACAAATGAAAGCAATTGGGAAACGCATTGGTCGATGTTGCTGTCATTAGGATAGGAAACCAGTTTTAGTAAACTTCTGACAGTTTTTAAAATTTCAGCTCAAAATATGTATTTTTACTTGAGGTATCCTACAGTAAAAATTAGCCCCCTTCCCTCCGCCTCTTAAAGTGCTCTTAGGGGACTAATCATAAAACCTGAGAGTTTTTCTTCAAAAAACTTCAAGTCAACCAACACACAAAGCTCTGAAAACTGAAAAAAACCACACACTGGTTGAAATACATGCATGCATTCAAATATAAATTAAAGAAAATGAATAGCGTATATATACATATATATTCAAGAAAAAGTATTTTAAATTCTAACTATTAATAATGAAAGGTAAACATTGTATCCACTCACCAAAGTATACTATTGATACTTCTGGAACTTAATTATGATGGGAATCCTTGAGTCATGTGTTTAATCTGATCCAGTAACTAACTTAAGGACTGATTTGCCTCAGTACTTATGAAAGACATTGCACCTATGATCAAGGTCAGATTACTTAATTACGAAATGAACAATGGACAAAATTGGGTGGGTGTCAGTAAGCGCTGTGAATATCTATCTGATTTATAAAATAATGTATAAAAAACGAAAAAGGGATAAACGCTCGCCATTTTTACTTTCTTGTCTTCCTCACATCTTAAAATACTTTGCATTGCATTGCATTGCAATTATATTACTCTTCTAGCCATCCTTAAAAATCTTGTGATAATTAGTTTTGCAAGTTTATTGTGGAGGCAATTGCTGATTGGTCAAAAGCCTACAAGCGGCGCTAGCAAACAAACATTTGAAATGACTAAATACTAGACACCCAGGAGTGGACAGTTTTATTCTCCTACCATGAGAGTAAGTCATCGTCAAAAATGATTATTCTCTTTAAAACACAATTTTGGTAAATAATTTTACCAAAGCTTTTGATAGGAACCCTCAAAATTGCAGATTTCTTATATGTGTATCAACAAGGATTGAAACTTCATCTTGTAGGTGAAGTAAGCATAATCTGATCTCTTACATACTTACATGCTTCATGTTGACAAGCTGCAGGACTGGAGCAGAAAATCATGTTTGCTTCATACACCTCAAAGAAGAGAGCCCCAAACAGAGGCACAGTTTGGTTTGGTTTGAAGCACAGAGACCCATCACTCCAGCACAGGTAGCATCAAGGTTACAATGGTTGGAGAAAAAATGGTGAGCTGTTTACTTTCAAAACTGGAAGAGTTATCTGTGGTCCTGTTTTAATTCCAATATTTAAACCTTGAAAAGTTTTAATTCTATCTGCCAAAAAAGTTCCAATTTTTTAACGAAATTCTTTCATATTGAGAGTGAAACAGTGAAAACACATGCTTCAAATTCGACATTTCGAAATTTTTGCACTTACAATTAGCTCTTCTTTAGATATTTTTGTGAGGAATCTGTGTAGAATACTTTTAAAAGACCAGAGAGGAAATCACACGAAATTTGAATAAAACAATTGCCGGAAATCTATGACTAGGTGCAAAAAATGCGTACCTCAATTGTTACAACATGGAAAATCTCAATTCTTGAAGATGCTTTTGGCAAGAATTTGATTCAGATAGTATTTTAAGATGCACACTGAATTACCCACATTGGAGGTGCTTTCACGGAGATTTCTAATTTAGGTAATTTCTTTCTTAAAAATCCAGGCTGTCATTCTCAAAATTAGAGAAAGTGAGGGTGCTGAATTTGAGAACTTAGAGGCAGAGGCTACTTTTAATGTCTGTGGAGGTGATCCACTTATAGAGAGTCAAAGAAAGACAGACATAGTGGGCGAATTACTAAATTTGTCCTTAATTTTTTAGGTCTCATCTGTTTTAGTTGTAAAATATTGGAAATCAAGTGATGAAAATAGTAACTATACGAATAAGAAGAGAGAAAAGAGAATTGCAAAATTTTAAGGTTCAATGGCAAATTTTTGACTATTCCCTGACTTTCCAAGAATTTCCCATTCTGTTCATTATTATAGACTATCAATTTTAACCCTGGACCTTTGCAAATTAAAACTTTAAAGAACCTTCTCTTAATTCTTTGTTTTCTGCATGCTTCCTGAACTACAAATAAAAAGCCATAACAGAGTGTTACTGATTGTTACTGAGCAAGGCATACAAAATTGACATTATTGTTTGAACAACATTGCGATGCTGTTGCAACATTTTGTTCCACAAAAATCTATAACAATCCAAATGGGTCCCAGAATTTATTACCTATTGTTACAAGGTTTCTATGCTCGCTTTTCTCTCTTGCGTTTTCATTGATTATTCTTTGATTGTGAAAAAGTAACACGAGGAGGAAATTTTTGGAAACATATTTCAACTTTTACTTCAAAGGAAGTGCGTCTTCTTAAAAGCTCATTGGACGAATTTCAGCGAGTGGATTTGGTTGACTTCTTAGACCAGATCTGTACGGTTTCAAACCAAAGGAGAAAAACACTCTACGGAAGTCAAGAGCTAATAAACTCAGTTGCATGATTAATTTTGGCCAACATTTGCATCCATCCCTTTTTCAACCCACCTCGGGATGGGGGTTGAGAATTTTTGATGTGATTGCCGTTGCTGCCATCATGAGAATCAAATGTTGGAGGTACACTTTTACCCGGAGGGAATTTCGTTTTGTTGTACTGAAGATTAGCAGTAAGTTAGAAACTCAACCAAATCCACTTACAGGAATGGGTGTGCTGCACGAATGATATGCAGCCAAAAAACTATACTCTTAGCTGGTGAAATTGCACAAAAGTCTCGTCATAAAAAGGGACGTCAAAAAAGTTTGAAATCCATTCCTCAGCGCACAATCTGTATAGTTTGTAACATGCTTTTTCAAGTTTCCCGCATCCGCAGGCAGCTCTTCTCAGTCACCCTTGACCAGGTTTGCACAGGCTGAGGAGTAAGAAAAACTAACTTGAGTAAACAAACGATTTCAATGACTTTTTTAATTCTACGATTTCAATCGTTTTCAAGCGTTCGTTTTCTTTTCTCTTTTTTTTGCAAAAATAAAAGCTATGAATCAATTGAAATCTTACGCAAGGAGAGTTCATAACAGTTCGCGACATTGTTTGTTTTTTCAGGTTAGGTCTCTTACCAGACAAACCTGACTGCCGGCCACCAAGAAAAACTGGCTACCTGGCCGCATACACAGTAAACTTGAAAAAGCAAGTTACAAATTAGGTAGATTGTGCCTTAAGGAGTGTATTTTAGATTTTTTTGATGTGCCCAACAAGATTTTCAAGCGAATTTACCTTTAAAGCGTGTATTCAGTTGACTGTATCTCTTGAGTGCAACAGACCCATTCGCTTATTTAGTATCAAATGTTTACTAGAGAGAGTGCATACATTGGTACTTTGCTTTAGAGAAAACTTATGGATGCATCTTTTTTTTTATCATCATGTGACTTATTATTGGAAAGGTCACAGAAAAGATAGAGGCCGATTGGTCTTAATAATCCTGTAAGTTATCTGATGCGAACGGAGACAGCCCAAGGTAAATACGCCAAACAAAAAATGCGAATAGCAATCGAAAAATGAGAGCAAATCTTCATTAAATTTAACACTTACAATTACAAGGAGTTCAGAACTTGACATTAAATTTAGACACAAAAATAATGTAGGGTAAACAAAATAGAATATAAAGAGAAATTAAAGGGCTCAGAGACAGTGTTCGAATCTTGAAGGGAATTTTACAAAGCAGCTGGGCCAGCTTGATCAGTAATCAGGGACCATTGGGGTTTCTTTGATGGCCAAAAAGGTTTTTTCTCAAATCATTTATGATGAGAACCGAACGTCGTTTAGCACCTTAGAATCAGACTTCTTTTAAGTTATTAAATATTCTCCCAGCTTTCTTTTATTCTAATGAATCATTATTAAAGGGCCCCTGATGGATGTGATTATCAATTAAAAGTTTGTCTGGGTTCCAGCGTTCTTATAGCTAATTGACTGAGATTATTTAGGCACAAACTCAGGCCATGATTTTAATTTTTTAGGAGCATTTTTCCTATAGTGCCTACCAGATTCAAACACTACCTTGAGCCTTTTCCTCTTGAATTTTTTGACTATACATGATTTAATAATACAATTACAAAAATTACTGAGTCTGAATATTAAACATAGTCTAACCCAGAAGTCTTGAGACTGATTCTGTGCTTTTAAAAATAAAACAAGTAATGCAAGATTTGTTGTTTTCACAAGATTAATATGTGATTCTTAACCCTAAGTTAGGCACATGGCAGTGTTTGGATCACTTTTTTAAGGATTTGCATCCCAAAGAAAGAAGCGGCATAAAAAACAGCTTTGGTTATCGGGCATTCTTCAATGATTCTCTGATAGATATAAATCAAACACGAAAAGAACTTTCTTTTCTTGGAAATGACTGAAAATAATGTGTGTTCTGACTGTGTGTAACAATAAAAATTGAGCAAGTCTTGATGTGCGATCTGATTGCTATTATGCACAGTCATTTTTAAAAATTCTTTAAGTTCAAATTTTGTAAAACCCAAGAAAATTTTACAATAAAATATCCAACGATAGAACTCCTTCTTAATGCCGGTACAGTTGTCTTTCCAAATATTTGTGATTAAAATGAATTCTGTCATGGGCCAATTTCTGATACTTCACTTTCTTCATTGCTCTTAAAATTCTGAAGGCTTTTGGGTGGCAATAATTGAAGACTAGAAGTATGTTTGCAAATTTAATAATTTAATTTATAGTTTAACTTATTAGTATTACTCAATTATTGCAAATAAAGTTGATAAACTACTATAGTAATTGTAAATTTTAGTTAGACACTAGTTCATTTTTATTATTAAAAAATAAAAAACCATCTGGAAGTACTTACTAAACACAGACTTGAATAATGACGAATTAAAGGCAATCATGGAACAACCTAAGCCGCATAAGTTATGAATTCATTCAGAAGAAAGTTCAAAAGAAAGAAATTCAGGAGAATCAAGAGATGCATCTGTTTCTCATAGTTATACTTCAGAAACTTAGGGTCATGTTCAGTCGTTCCGTAAACATTGAGCCCTCCTTAAGCTATAGGAGTTGTATGGGTGAAGGAAGTCTTACTATTTAAGGAGCACTATGAATGAGACCCTTAGCAATAATCATGGTCAAATTGAATGATCATAGAAAAGATAAGATATTTCAACAATTTAGAGAGAAAAATCTCAGTTGGAACGTTGAAAGAATCTACTTCCTTTTTCAGCTTCTAAATCAATTAATTTCTTAATTTTTAACTGAGAGAGTTCATCACTAGGTCTCATTTATTAAAACGAAAAAATAAATAAATAAAAAATAGCTGACCAACCTTCTAAATATCTTCAAAATAAGATGGTTAGCTTAGTTGGCCTTGATGTCACAGTGCCAATCTCAAGACTTTAGGGACAGTTTACAAGGCACTATACTACTAGTTGAAATGTATGAAAATATAAAAATAAAAATAACAAAACGAGAAAAAAAAATTGGTCGAAAAAAAAAATAAATAAATCTCCTTTAACAGAATGATAATAACTGTATCAAAACGCAAGTGCCAATTCATTTCATCAGCCTTAATCTTTTATTCATAACTGGAGGATTGATTTCTATAATAATATATCCTACATTCAGGAGTGCAGCAAGTTTCAGTTTTTCATATTTATTTCAAAGGCCTTTCACAATTTTGCTTTTTCGCTCTGGTGGTGGTGGTGGTGGTGTTGAGGTGTTAATAGGAAATGTTTCAAAATTTTGGGGTGCTCTGATCGTCTGCCAAAATGCGCCAGTATTGAAAATCTCTAGGTAGACTAAGACACACATGTGTGTAACTTTTGAGCCTTAAACATTTGTCCTTCTATTCGCATATTTTGGGCCTCATCAAATTTTTTGAGCACCTGATTAGCATATGAGATGTTGTAGTTGATGCGATTGACCCGTGACAGAGCCCTTTCTGCATTTCTCCCCTGGTGGCCTCGGCAACCAACTTACATGGATCAAATCTTAACGTGTTTAATATGTCATATGTATATGTATTATTGATCACTAGTCAAAATCACATAGACACTTTAAAATGTCAGATCCAGATATTTCACGGTTTCTAAATTTAAGAAACAATTCAACATGTAATTCATTACATAGAGCTTTGAAATCAGTAAAGTAAAAAAAAATAGAGTTAATAAGTATAAAAATAATATCTCAAACTGAACTTACTCCTTACTTGTCGAGGAGAAAAAATTATATTTAATCTGTACTTATAAAAAGATTTTGAAGCGATGAAGAGGACTGATGCTGTTAAGTTTTCCATTTATTTTCTACCTCGGCTTGAAACCTGTCGTTTGCCACGTCCAATGCCTGAAAGCATATTACAAGTGTTAGGTAGGTAATTAAATTTGAGAAAAAAATGTAAATATGAAAATTTTGTGGTACTCTCGTGCAACTGTGATCATAGCCAGAATTACATTAATAAAAGGATGGAAAACAATTTTCCATGATCACAGCAGGATTCCGAAGTCAGCGGACAGATTACCTTTTCACAAGGGCAAAATGGGCTCTCGGAATTCATTCAAGAGCCCATTTTAGAGCATTAGGCAACGAAGGTCACTGTAGCTTTTCTTAGTCTTAGAGTCATTAAACTCACTTTCCTGGTACCATGGCGTGCTGTGCTCCTTAATTTACAAGCCGCCGACAAAATAAAATTGCTGGCAGGATTTAATTACCAGCAACTGAGTCTAGAAACCATTGCAATAGTCTCTCGCAGATATAATGAACCTCTTCCATAACCGCTTGTTTCTACCCATGGATTGGAAAGCGCACTATTTTTGGTCACTGAAGGACACGCGATATATAATTAGCTTGCAAAAATGGGCTCATTTCTGCTATGCCTGCTACATGTCAGCCGGCAACCCAAGTCACTGCGGCTCATTTTGGATTTGGGCGCCTCATTTTTGAGGCGCTACAAAATGCTGCAGCACTGCATCAGTTGCAACAGACTGAACAAAAATCATTACACTGGATTGTGTGCTTGGTGCCGCTGCAAGATAATAACGTGCCTTGAGCATAAGCGCATCCATACAGCTTGTAGATATGCGTTGCTGATGACACAGAATTGTCAGCGGTTTCTAACTACCGGTGACTCAATCTAAAAACCACAGTGAAAACATTGCTGCGCTGATTTTTGGCTGCCCTCATTAACACCTTCATCGCTGCTCATACAGTTAAAAAACGCAAGATTTCCTGCTGCAGAGCAACATGGAACAAATAAGATGTTCATTAACTAGGCCTTGACATCCAATAATTAGGTGATGTATCTAGAAAAATGTACATCATAGAATTAGAGAGGATAGTGAAATTTTATATACCCAACATTGGGAGATTTTTTTCACGCGAGAAAGCTTTATCTGAATCTGGCATTATCCGATGTTGGCCAGATACTTCAGCAAATTATCTGGGATCCGCCCTGATACAAAAAACCAGTATCTGTGGCCAGTGACACGGAAAAACTATTTCCGCCCAACTCTAATTGCAAACTGAGCTGATTTCAAGGAAGAGAGCTGCTGTTCCTCTTTTCATTCAATGTAGGTTTCCAGATGAGCCAATTATTTTTTGAATGCGCAAGTGTAATGCTGAAAGAGTTAGCACAAAATTCTAGCATTTTGAGCATCCAGGAAGGTTCAAAATCCTATTTAACATCAACTCAATGATTTTACTCAAAGCTTTGCGCTCTTGAACCTCCTTTTCTATCACTTACTAGACCAAAAAAACATGAAACAACCTACCAAAAGTGCTACATCTTTCTCTTAGCACACAAGAAGTTAGAAATTTTCTTTCCTTTTTCTACAACACAATTTTAGAGCGAAAAAAAATTCATGAAAACTTACCAGCTAAAGATGGAAAACTGTCATTCGTAAAGAGTGGCTGAGGTACAATCTCAGCTTCTAACATTGCTTTCCTGGCCTCTGGAAATTGACATGAATGGTCAAAATTAAAAATAATCAAAGTAGAGATTTGAAAGGCATTCACAGACACACTCATGGAGAACAATAGAGTCGCTACGTACTAGAACATTGTTGAGGTCAATCATTAAACAGTGCCTTCCTAGCCTCCTGTTTGCTGAGAGTGTGAACCAAGTTAAAAGCACACAGCTTTTTATTAAATAACGCCTTAGAGGAGAATTGCAGGCTACGAGTGGTTTTCAGGATTTATTGGTGAAATCGATAACTATCCTCGGAATTTTTGGCAAATTATGTTGACCATAGTCATAACAAATTAAAACATGTATAGAACTCTCAGTTTTTGAGAGACGAATTTTATGCGTGATTGAGAGAAGCCAGGAGCAGGGTACTCGCAGACATGGCATCATCAATTGCTGCAAGTTTCAAAAGTACTGAACCAAACAGTCTCAGAAAGTGACTTCATTGATGTTCCAGTACATAGCTACTCTATTGTTCTCTATGGACTTCTCTAGGTAAAATTTTATAATTGCTTTCCAAAAATGTAGGTAATGATTCATTTTCAAAAAGTACCTAAATGGTCCACATGAAAATTTTCTAAGTTGGCATTCATTATCAAAACCTCTTAACTGTTAGTTTTTAAGTCAAGCTCAAGTTACACAATCACTCAAACCCCCCAACTTAGGAAACATTTTTCAATGCTATGATCATTTTCGTTCATCAAGCATAAGCTCAAAGCTCTCTACCTGACCAATACATTTAACTTTTTACTTGTAACAGCTCTTCCCATGAGTTAATTACTTGTTTCTTCAGGTTCTCTCTTTAAAAAAATAAGCAAGGGTAAAAGGATTTTTATAAGGAGCATGGTATCTATGTTATCAGGTAAAGCTCTGCTTCCCCCACTTGAACTAATGAAATGAGTAAAAGACAAGTGCAATATTTAATAATGGAAAAAGTTAAAAGTTTCATAAGAAAATGAATTAGAAAAGAAGCGTAACAGGAAAATGAGAGAAAGAATGATACAGATCTGCACACAAGGTTAGCCTGAAGCTATGCGCTGGCATTGCCAGGTTTGCTGAGAACTTCCAGGCCTGCCTGGCCGAGGAAAGCTTAATAAGCCTGGCTAAATAAGCAGAGCTTAAATGCTGCGCGCACATGCCTCCTACCCTCATTTTGCCCAAAACTTAAGAATCTGCCTACAACATTTTTACACTCGCACTTCATGACCCCATTTGACTGATAAATCTGCTGCTGGAATGTGCAAGTATATTTTTTTTACCCTCTTCCAGACCTTTACTGGCCTTCTTTTATCAAATTCTTTTAATCGTTAAAAATCTCATTTATATAAAGTATAAATCATAGATGAAGGGAATAAATTATGTTTTTGAAGAAATTTACATTGGCATTAATTTGCTTAAAACTCGTCTCAATGAATACTTTGTGGAAAAATCAAGTTACAAAGCTTACTTTTTTGCTTTAATGTCTACAGTTCATTCATCACATGAGTTCATAAGTAATTTTTCAACTCAAACAGCATTTTCATAAAAGCAAAAAGATATCACATGATTTCCTTATCCTTGAAACCCTTGATTTATTAATTGCTTTAACAGAAATGGGAGGTGGGGGCTTTATGAAAGGATAAGTTTACACAATTTGAGCTGGCAGGAATTTGCCAAAACCTTGTATCAAACCACTGCTTTCCTTTTGTAAATCAGGTCACACTGTGACACTACATTCTATAGCTCCTGAGGTTGAAATAAAATTTGAAAGAGATTCTCACCTTCTGCCCTTTTGATTTCATCTCCACCTTGCAAAATTTCGATTCCATAGACTGAGGGGTCTACCGGTTTTATACCAAGAGATTGTAGACTTTTACCTACAAAATAAAAACAATTCAGATTAGATTCAGGATTTCATGCTTTAGAGATTTACAAATAAAACATTTGTTTAGAAAATTCTAGCATAATCACGACAGTACTCCGCAATTCTGAGGGAAGATTTCGTGACAGCAATTTTACTCAATAATCAGGTAATTAATTTTGCAGAGGACTTTGCAATTCCTAAACCTGCTTGTTAGTATTTCTAAATGATATTATGATAGCTTCTTTTATTGTGATTAGTGCGGTAAAACCCCACCAAGTCAGAATGCATCAGGACCCCTTGGTCCTGACTCAGCGGACTTTTTGAGTTACACAGACTTGTATTGCCAAGCAAAAAAACGGACCAAGCCATTATTCCCGAGATAGTAGGAATCCTGACCTCAGCAGAATCCAAGTCAGTAGGATTTGACTGTAACTTCTGTCGAACTAAACCGCATGAGAAAAATCTGATTCTTTTCTGACTCAACCCCAGAGACCTGATCAGTCACTGTTCAAGAGGAGTAATTCAAATAATTTAAAATTGTATCACTTGATTGATTAAATTACTGATTAAATGAAAATCCTTCATAATTTTTGACTCTTACCAACATTGGTGACCTCCCTTTCATCTACACGCCTGGATTTGATTGAGTCCCCAGTAACTGATCGATTAGATGTCTCCGAATTAGTGCGAGTGCGTCCAGGTCTTTCATCTGAATTGGAAAACAAAGTAGTGGTGCAAACATTAGCAGTCGAATTTTATTTTCACACACAACTATATTCTAGTGCTGAGAATTATAAATAAAATAAAGATAACAAGACAGAGTTAGGCGAAGAGGAGTTATACACGGGACTTGTTCATAAAAGTTCATATTAGTACAGAGAAATCAATTATAGACATGTTGTTTCCGAGATGAACCTAAAAAGTTAATTTTCTTCTGCTTAAATCAGTTCAAGGACACTGGTTTGCATGACAAATACTCACTTTGTAAAAATTGATTCCATTTGTAAAATATCTCTGTAAAAACAGTATATTATCTCGATCATCATAGGGAAGGTAAAGCACATCTATAAAACCTTTTGTCTCTTGTACAATCAGTTTTCTTAATGTTTCAAATTTCTAACTGTGATCTTTTTGAAACATAAGTTGAGCATGTAAAACATGCACTGAAATTTAGGGAGAGAAAAAAAATATTTTAACAGTAACTATATCCCCTATTGTAACTGCATGCATAAAGATGCCATACATCATATAACAAGCGTCATTTTGCATTTGCAGGTAACTATACAGGGGTTTTCCGTTGTTTCTTATCTTTCTCACGCTTGAAACTGCGAGGGAACAGCTTTTCACAACTGAATCTTCCACCGAGCTAGACTGACCCATTTTTGGAGTCTACTTCCACCTCCTATTAACTGTAGCAGATTACGCTCATCTAATATCGTAAAACAAAATTTAGCAATAAGGAGCAAAATTATACTGACCCACAATGGAGCTGGCTGTTGACCCCCAAACTGAAGATCCTCGTCCAGCTGAAAACAACAGAAAGGTTTAAAACTAACAGATCAACAAAAAAAACGAAGTTTGACGGCTATTTTAAGTTTTATAATTTAAGAGAATAGAACATTTCAATGGAAACAAAAAGGATTTCCCTGCTTCATGAAAATTCATACATTAAAGCCATTATTATAGACTACTGACCTGAAACTTATCTTTGCATGCTGACAACCTCCATGATTATTCAGTGTAATCAATTGAAATTGCATAAAAATACATGGTTTGTAGCAATTTATATTCTTGGATTTAGATTATTACTAATGGAGAAAAATTGACTCTTTAGAAATTTAAAATGAAAATTACCCCTTCTTAGGCAACTAAATTTCTTGCTCAATTGCATTAGCTGAAAAAAGAGAATTGAAAATACTGGTAATTACTGTGATCTTTTCTTCAGCAGGAAAAAAATGAATTGAGCGATACTTACAAGTACTTTTTGGCAGTCTCATTGCTGGTAGAGACTCGGCAGGTGGTTTAAATACTCCTCTTTTCTGAAATTTAATTAAAAATAAATTTAAAAACGAAAGAAAAAGAAATTGATAGAAAGACCTATTGGAAGTTTTGGAGTAGCTTACCGAGTTAAAAAATCTTACTCATTAAATGAGCACAATACGCCATAATTTTATCTAATTTTCAGAATTTAAATGCTGGTGATTCTGTTCTGCAGAGGATAATCGCCATTATCAAAGTGGCATACACGATACAGAGACTGACTTCTTTGCTTCTACCTTTTCTCCACCTTTAGTCCTTTCAAACTTGTCAGCTTTTGCAAAAGTTAAAAGTCAAAAATGTCTTGTGGTGTTGATGTTCAAGCAACAGCCACTACTTAAAAAAAAACTTGCTCTCCATCTGTCAAGAACTCTACAGAATGAGCAAAAAGTATAGGAACTTGTTAGTACATATAGTAGAGTCTTGGTACCACCATTTTCAGGGGAGCAGCAAAAGTAATGTTAAATCAAACATGAATCGCTCTTTTATCAAAACATGTTTAAAAATGCAGCTAATGTTGATCAAAGTTAACTCCAAAAGTTTTTGCAGGATTATGCAACCTGCCAAACTTCCAATTATAATCTCAGTAAATAATTATTAAGAATACTCACTTCTCCAACATTTAATGATTTGATGGCGCTATAATCCAATGAACCTCTACCGGCACCGGATACACTTTCATTCTGAAAATAGAATGAAAAAGTGTTAGAATGGAACAAAGAGGTGTATCTTCGATTGTCTCATTGAATTGCTTGACCTTTGCAAAGTTGAATACAACACGATCTTATCTGCCAGACAGATGTCAGTGATTTGAAAAATGTATAATTTTTTTATTGGTGTAGGTTTTGATTTTCTTCATTGGAATATTTAAGTATGTACTCAACGAAGGAATGAGAACTAGGCGTAACTCTGGTGAGAATTGTAATTGCTGACTAAAGTCTTAAATCTCTCTTTAATTACTCTTCTGTAGCCTTTCTCTTCGAAGAGCCAGACTTAAAGTCTCTTCACCCTCTGACTGCTTTACATTAGGTACAAAACCACACAACTTGGGAAACAAGAAAAGCAGATGACTGTCCTAACATAATGATTACTGAGGTGAAGGTAAGTGTCTTGACTCATCGATGTACAATTTGATTAGGCTCTGCTGCACCTAAAATTAGTATTTAAAAACGCAACGATTCAGGACTTTGAATGCTTATAAATAATCCTAGTTTCATTTTTCATGGTTGCAAATAAAAAAAAAAACAAGCATTTGTTACAGGTTTTTTTTGTGGAAACAGGGAGAGAGTTTAGTTACAAAAATGTTATTTTGTTGATTGAAAGCTATCAAAATCACAAAAATTGCAAAAAGGAGGTTATTATATATAAGAATGCACAATAATACAAAAATACCGTTATTCAAAACTTAATTACCATGAGAAATTACAAAATTTTCTCCCTATATCGTAATTTTTAGTGATGGAAATGTTTTGCCTTTTTTCTTTTTTTACGTTCAAGACATGAACGGTCGCATATAACAGAAGTGCAGTACCACTGCCTTTTACATAATGAAGACTTGTGTCTACGATTTTGGGTTCTCATGGAATGTAGATTGTGTTTTCTTTTGTAAATTGCAGTCATTACAAACGATCTACTTAACATCAAGGGTTTGGTTATTTCTTAACGACAACAAATTTTTACTAAGAACTAGTTAAGAGTAACATTCAAACACCATTAAAAGATCAAGCACTTTCAAGGCCTTTAGAAAAAATTTCAAAATCAAGCTTCAGCATGAACCATGCAAATACCTAACAGGTAGGTTGAGCATGTAAATGACCCAATTTTTTACCAAAATTGTTTGTCATGAATCTTCGTTCTGATCTATCTACTATAAGAGAGAGACAATGGCTCAACACAATTCTCTCATCTTCATTGAGGGGATTATTTTTCTTGTTAACCCTTTCCGTTCCAATGTCGGATATATTCGCCGTGAAAAATAACGCGTTCAGGTCCAATGTCGGATATAGTCGCCCAAAAGTTTGAACCTCTGCACAGGCCCGATGTCGGGTATATTCGACTGCTCCAGCAAGTGGCGACCTCTGGTGGACCCTTTGGAAACCACTGTCTTTGTTGACAACATTGCTGCTACCTTAACCTCGCTTAACAGCGGCCGTGGAAAACTGCCGCGGACCGGAAAGGATTAAATCTGCAAGTTCTAGCCTAAGTTTCACTGTAAAGAGCTTACCATATGAATTTTGCAATTCATTGAGGTTATCAAAAATGAGTCCTTACAGAAATTCTAGAGTAAATTCTTCAGTATTCTTGGGGTTAAAAAGAGTTTTAAATTAAATGTTTGGAAGGATATTCTTAAAGTGATCATTGACTAATGCAAACAGATGCTACTTACATCATCATAATAATGACTATTTGTTGCACAACTGGCTCGACTTTCAGCACGGCTGGTAACTCTGGATGATGCTAGTGAAGTCAATCGTGAAGTCCTATCAATATCAGCAGTTGGAGGGACATGACTCTCTGGAATAAGTGGAATATTTAAATCTTGACAACAGTAATCACAGATTAGGTATACCCACCGTCGAGCAAAAGATAGACTGCAGTTGGCCATGTTGTCATCATCTTCGTGAAACTGAAAAACAAATCTATGTTTTAATTGAATGTAGCAAATTCCTCTGAAAACACTTAAAAACTAAATGATGAATGAAATATACTTTTCTCTCCCAAAGGGGTTTGCACAAAATGAGTCCAACCATGTTTGTGGGGGACGCTTCTGCGACTTTTCACATTCAATTATTAAATAATTCTAAGCATTTTCCTAATTTTAGAGGCCCCTAAAAATTTGAAAGAGGTCCTATTTGGGGGAAGGGTGAAAGTTCGCAATCAGTAAAATTTTTGCAATTTTTTACTGGGGAAAGAGGAATTTCAAAAAAAATATTTGCATCAGTGTTCATGGCATAATATGAGCTCTCAGAAAATAAAAAACAAGATATGAATTTTATTTTCTTTTTACCATAAACTTTAGTTATGGCGCCACAAAAGACCCTGTGCTTTTCACATTTGAGTCAATTCCCAAAATGGTCTAATATTGATTTTGATGAAAAATACTCATGAGAGAAAAAATATTCATACTTGACATGCAATGTTAGGTGTATAATTGAAAACATCTCTACGCAGTTCTGATTCTGCTAATGACTGCTGTGGGAACTTTCCTTTGAGACCTCCTGCATTCAACCCCATTGAACTTGCGTAGTCACCAGTTTTGCACTTCAACTCGAAAAATAGCTTGCTTAGATCATAGACTTTGAATTCATCCATCCATGCATCAGGATTATTACCTGAAACACGCAGGAATGCAAACCATTAAACACCGTAATATCTGAGGATCAATAAAATAGCTTCACAATACTGAGCTTATAGTTTTTGGAAAGATCAAAAAGTAAATTTTCCTAGGCTGAAGTTTCTTTGACAAATTTGTATTAATAATAGAAATGGTGTGACCAGCCATGTAAGTTGCTGATGGATCCACAGTATCCTGGTAAGAGAAGTGGTTTATATTATTGAGATTAAAAATACAATTGAAGACCATGATCTCTTTTACAAAACTGTGTCGAGTTAACATTTTGAAATGATCTTTTATTTAAAACAAATTTTCAAGTAGCCCACAGGGAAATTCCCTTGATAAATACCCCAGGCCCAGAAGACCATTGCCTAAGACTGTCAAACCCGGGCAGCTTGGTTTTTGACAGAGTTTATAATGATAGAGAGTGAATAATTTGAAAATTCGATGATTCACAGAAATCCGGAAATTAGGTTCTTCTACCAAGAATTGCCATCATTGCAATGGGTCAGTAAAGCTCGGGAGGGATTCGCCTGCAACTAGTTGAATCTTCCAGTTTTCAGTGCCAGAAGATCGATGTGCACATTAAAATTTCACACCGAGATATAACGCTTCCTTTTTAGGGGTCCTCGAAAACATATTTGAACTGACCGCCGTGAATCTCCAAATCTACACGTCACGGACGAGAAGATGGCAGCAACAAAGCCAACATGCTTACTACCGCCTTGTTGCCGTTGTTGACAACACAATTTCTCGTTTGAGGTTAAGTAAGTTCTGTATGCATGTTTAATACCCTACATAAATCTGTATCGCATTCTGATTGAAAATCTTAAAGAATTAAGAACAATGAGTATAAATCTCAGACAAAGTAACCCACATAACCTCCAATTGACCAACAAAAACACACTGCCAACACGCCGCCGCCTTGAATTCTTCCATAATGCATTCCGCCGCCATATTGATCGTGTTGTGTACATTCCAAACCCACGAGCGCGTGGTTCAAACACTGTTTTAGGCCACCCTCATTTTTGGCTTTTTCAAATAAACTTTTCTCAAGTTTGCAGTAATCCAAAAAAATTAGAAAAAAAACCGTAAGCTTCGGCCACTTACTACTTTTGAATGACATAATAAAAAAAAAATAACTTAACTGACTCATTGTCGCTGTAAATAGCCTACAATAAAAGGGAGACTGCAATCCTTCACAATGGGCCTGTTGCAAACTTTTGTTAGAGCAAAAATAAGGGTTGATTCTTGTAGAAAATGGCTTGAAAGTCACGATGAAGGCATCAACAAAGTCTAAAATGTACTCCTAACTTAACATTCTGCGTGAGAAATTCACGCTTTTAAAACGATACTACAGTACAGGGAAACATTTTGTTAGATGAGTCATCCCTTCCAACCTCTGTGCAGTGGGGTACTGCACAATATTTAACATGGCCGACGCCAATCCGCCAAAACTGGCCAAAACTCATGTGCCGGGACAAAACTCTAACCATTTGTTAACAACCTTGGGTGTTTACATTCACGTTTTCCTCACATTGATAAAGATTCGTCTTGATAGCATCAGTCATGTTGAGTATTGCAAAACAATCTAGTACGCAAGGGCTGAACAGAATGACTTTTCTGACGAAATGTTCACCTGTGCTGTGGTATCGTTTTTGAAGCGGGAAGCTCAAAAAACGAAAATTCCTTGCACAAATGTGGAGTTAGGAGTGCATTCCAGGCTTTGCCGTTGCGCTCATTGTGATTTTTGACCCACTTTCTTTAAGAAACAACTCTTATTATAGCTCTAGCAGAAGTTTGCAACAGGCCCATTACACTCAGACACAGACTGTAATAATTCTTAAAAAATATGATTTGATTAACTGAGGGACGATCTTAAAGAGGGCACTCATAGTTCTCAAGTTACATGCACGAATAATAATGACTTACGAGCATATTCTCTGTTATTAAGATCATAGATGTACTTAAAAGCATCACAAACAGCTTCTTCACTGGTATTTTGACTGTCGTCTGTACTAAGCGTATAAACTGGAGGTAACTCTCCACCTGAAGCACCGGGTTCATCGTCTCCCTGAAAAAAGTGAGATTTACTTGTTATTTGCTTGATTTACTGACAATGGATACACAGTCAAAAAACCGAAATTAAAGAAAAAAAATGAGAAAAAAAGGTACTGTTATGATTGAACTATGTACAAAAACGAACACGAGGAGGGGGGGAGGGGCATTACATGGACTAAAAAAGAATTAAATGAGGCTAACTTACGACACCTGCACAGATATCATGTAAGATAAGCTACAAAATACTGAATATGAACTATAATACACTCCCTATGGGCGTAAGTGCCACGATCGATTTCCAATTTTCTAATTGCATTAGACTCGTCTATGGATGCTGATCAAAAGTAATCACTGCTCCAACTTTTTAGGAGGCACCGTTTTCGCACATCGGCGGTTGAAGTTTCTACAATTACTTGATTAAAGAATAAATGAGGGCAGTGCAGCGATGATGAGTCAGGAAAAGCCTTCTATCTTTCAGCACTTCCAGAAAACGATGAAAACCTGGCAGTCTCATCTCGGATTACACTAGGGCTGTGCGAGCCTGGTTTTTTGGATTCGAGCCGAGTTCGAGTATTTTTTCACTAAGTCGAGCCGAGTTCGAGCTTTTTCGAGCTTTGAAAATGACCCTCGAGCCGAGTCGAGCTCTAGTCGAGTTCGAGTAATTTTGAGTTTTAAAACGTGATTTAATCTATTTTCTACAACAAATAATTTCAAACAAGACTCATAATATGATATTAATAATTATTGACAATGACACACTAGGAAGGATTTACACTAAAATTACAAAATGTTCGGCAGTAACGCGTTAAAATAACTTCCCGCGGTTTAATTTGAAAAGAGGACAAAACTGGGCAAGAAGCGGCGTGGCGCGGCGTACATCAAAGGAACTTCGGGCGGCACAAGTAAAGGCTTTAGAGCCCATTTATGCACGCAATTCGTGTCGCCGGCGGCAGTTGTCGCCGCGACGTTTTTTAGAATCGCGCGATTCCTATTTTTGTAGCCGCAGCACCTTTTTTCTGCCGCCGCGACACCGTTTTTCTGGAGCGCAAAAGGTCCAAAACACGTGCTCACTTTCAGTTTTCCAAGCGGCGGTCGCCGCCGCATGTTGAAATTTGTCGCGCGCATAAGTGCGCTCATATGACTCCGTGTAGTTACAAACCGCGCGCGCGGCAGGAAATCGCCGGGCGGTAGCGTGTTGGCGCTGCGGATGGTAGAAATTTGCCGACGAGACTCGCCTGATGTTATTCAATCTTAAAATGATGGCAAAACTAAAAATAGTTAAAGTATGATTGAAATGTTTCGAAGTTGGACTCTTTCGGCTTTTCCGGCTCAAAAAAACTCGAAATACTCGAAAAAACTCGTGTTGTTGACACTCGAGCCGAGTTAGAGTACTCGCTCGAACCTAACCTAACTTTCGAGCCGAGTCGAGTACTCGATACTCGGCTCGACTCGACTCGAAATTCGAGTACTCGCACAGCCCTAGATTACACACACCTTTCTGTTTCACTATCCGAATCAGATTTTTTCTCTCTCCCACATTCTTCCTACGTATCACCAGCTGGGGTTTTCCTTGTTGGATCACTGCGCTGTCTTTAGCTAGTCAAGGAAATATCAAATCCACTGCGAATTGTGCGAAAACTATGACTTGCAGAAAATTTGCACAAAAAATTGAAAATCGATTGTAGTACACATTCTCATAAGGAGTGTGCCGGTTTCTTTATCAACCTCAGCAACGAAGAAATAAATACATAAACAACCTTTCTTGAATTTGACAAGATTTAATTTATACAGCTAATAAGAGAACTAAGAGCAATGGTTCGATTTTATGAGAGTATTTTTTACCGATTCACCTGGACTAACAATAGGTTAAAAAAAAGTATCAACGATATAAATCCGCAACCACGTGCCTTGTTTATGGTGTATGAAAATCTAATAAGTACATCAAAAATACAAAGAAGGAAAAGCAACAATTTTTACTTATAGTTCTTCTGTTACTCCTGCAAAACGAAAGTTTGTCTCTGTCCATTCTGATTAACTCTAACAGCTTGATGGCAATTTTAACATTTTGTTGGCATTGTTGGGAGAAAATTATCTCCCCTTTCTCCCCTCTCAAGTTTCCTCCTTATTCAAGCTTTGTTGGCTGATCATTATTTTTCAATGATGCAACTTCAATGTTACAGTGAAATGGTAGTTGTACGCCAAGGTCTAATGAACAGGATGAAAGAAGCACTGGACTACAAAATTGTTGTTAGGTAAGTTAAGAGTTGTTCACTTCTTAAGTGCGGACACCTGCTGCATTACCACTTCCCTGGAGTGACAAGGAATTGACTAAGAGCAATGCTGCTGAACTTCTTTCACTCAGACATCACAAATATGTAAAACCACTCACTGTCGAAACTGGCTGAAAGTAAACAACTGCCAACTTACTTAACAGTAGTTTTAAAAGTTGCGGGTAACACTCTCAAGCAAAAAACGGGATATTATTGGGACATACATACCAGGAGAAATTGGCGGATCTTCTTATACACAACCGTCATATTTTGTCGGGCATCGGGAACATTTAAAGGGATTCGGTGAGTTTTCTCTCTATGTATTTTCGCTTCACCTGCATAGCCCAAAGGAAAGTAATCTAAAAAAAAAAAAAAGGCAAATTAAAATTGGTAGAAATTACATCAGAGTTTCTGCGGCAAAGTTTATCCGACAAGGACTTTTTCCTAGGAATACAAGAAGACTCATTTTTAGAGCTGTGTGATTAATCAAACATTAATCATAATTGCAATTAATTTTTCTTAACATAATTGTAATCAAATTGAAAAATTAATCGCAACTAAGTTGATTAATTTGACTTCACCAAATTTTTTATTTCTTGCCATGCTTTGAATCTGAAATTCTTGCCGCATTCATTTGAATTTGCGCAATTGGCGTAATGTTAGCCTCTAGCAGTAAAAAATCACACTAAACAAGGTGACAATCCTGTGAAAATATCCGCACTGGGCGTGTTCCACTAAACTTTTGATGAGAGAGTTTGGCTGTACATTGAATTTGAAAAAAAAACAAAACGAAATATTAAGTAATCTGCAGTCTAACGGACATACCCTGGCACGAATTTTACGAGGTCATTATAATTAACTGTCTGCCTTGTGCTGTGTTAGTTCCCTCTTCTCTCTAAACCAAAGAGCTGATAAAAGTCCAGTTTATTTTGGGCAGAGAGGATCTTTTAAAGAAAAAGACATTGAGTCAAGCTTGAGGAAAAGAAGGTAAAAAAAAATATTGGAGGAAAAGTGTCACCTTTCAATGTATTATGAAAATTTTTTCAAGAACACTTATGCCGCAACTTCATTTTTGGTCCCAAAAACCAAAGGTACAAAGATGACAAGAATTTGATCATCATCATTTACTTTTTTCCGATTTTAATTTTAATCATTATCATAATTACAATTACTTTCATTAATTGTAATCCAATTAAAAAATCCTTGATCGCACAGCTCTACTTATTATGCTACAATATTGTAACAGTTATTAAGACAACATTAAATAGTTTCTATTGATTTCCTCTGGTGTCAAATTGTGGATCGATTTTCACTTACACAAATTTTTGAGTATTTTCCTTGGAAAAGGGCAATTTTGATTCTTCTTTTATTTCAACACTATTCTACTAGTCCAGTATTTCTTTATTCTTATTTTATTTTTTTCCGGAAAAATCAAAATCTCATTACAAATCAAGTGTTCTTTCATCACTTGCTTCCAACCTTGACCCTCTGGTTTCCGAAAATGTCAGGCTCTGGGTAATATCTTTTTACCATGCGCTCATCCACAAGTATTTCCTGTGCCTGTCTCACACAGTTCTTTCCTTACAGAGAAAAACTTCTGAACATTTTTCTATTCTTACCTTTGAGACTAATTGATTGAGCACTTAGAAATCTAAAAACATAATGGTGCTTACCTTCATATGGTTTAATAAAGAAGTGGAAAGCTCCTTGTAAGCCTTGTTCTAAATTAAATTTAACAAGTCCTACTTCTGCAGGTACATGGAACCCATCCTTGTTGTTGACAAAATAATAATTCACATGGGCTACAAAGAATAATTTAGTCCGGAGAGCTGTAAGAAAGCAAGGACAAAAGTTATTTCTTGGCCAAGTTTAAACAAGACTCTTATTTACTACTCCTTTTTTAAATTTCAAATTAGACCTTCAAAATGGGTGCCTTCTAATTGGTGATGTGTGCAGGAAATTTTTTATCGNGGGGGGGGGGGGGGGGGGATTAGTAGTGCTGCAAAGGAACTTTTATAGTTATCACTTTTGTGACTTGGCACAATTATTTCATATGTGTGGCTACAGCCCAAAAAAAATTGAGCTGCAAGAGACAATTATCCTTTCGATAAAATGTACAACTTCAGGATATACCCATTTTCACTGTATTTTCCGAAGGAAATACACTATTATATGACATATATTTCATTTACCCATGTCATTTACCCTTTGTCAAAGAATTGAACATTTTTACACATTGAATAAACTGGTGCTCCATCTAAGAAATCATCAATGGCTACCCTGATGAGAGGACTGATGGATACAAAGAATCCTAGATAGTCCATTCACAGCATACTTACTTGACTCAGGTTTCAAATATTGTACTATTTTTTCCACATTGCGTTTTTTTTCTTGGTTTCTTCTTTCCTCTGTTTGCTGCTTCTGTTCGACTTCAGAAAAAGTTTCTCCGTAGGAAGTGTACTTCTGCTTTGGGTCCATTTTTCTTTGAAGTTTTGATTGCTTGGCTATTGCTTCATATCTTGCTTTTTCTTCAGGCGAAACCTCCTGGGAAATATACAGTTGTAATTTAAAGTAAATTTCAATAGGAAAAATAGCTTTGAAATTACATATCTATAATTGGTATATTTATCCACACTTCCATAAATTCATTTATCAGAAAAGTTCTACACTTTTTGTGGAATTTATATTCACTGGGAGCATCTATGGAAAATATTTTATTAACTAATGAGACAATAAATTGTAGAAAAATTAGTGTGAGGGCTGTTTTTAACTGCAGCAGATCAATCAGGGTGTCTACTAAAACAGGCTGGTCAAAAATAAGAACTTTTACAGTACTTTTTTCAGTACATTCTCAAGAAATTCAGTACCTCCTCCAACACACAAATTCCGTACTTTTTCAGTACCTCCATTTGAAAAAATTAGAAAAATTTCAAAAATTTTAAATTGCGACAAAAATGACAAAAAATTATAAAAATTCCGGACCTTTTTGCGGAATTTCCTCACTTTTTCAGCACTTCCTTAAAAAATCAGTACTATTTCCGGACTTTCCGGAAATTTTGGACTTGTAGACACCCTGTCAAAGCTGGCATACAGTTTTCTTCTACAATTATTAGCGATTACATCTTTGGCTTCCTAGATTTCTGCTTTCTGAACTTCCACTAGGTATAGATAAATTCAGTGATTGAAACCAATGGTCATCGAATCACATGACACAGGTGCCAAACCAATGAGAACGTTTTATTTTGTGCTCCAATTTGTGCACCTAGGAGCTTAAAAATTTTCTTGCTCCTAGGCTGAGGGGCACTAGGATGAGGGGATCTGCCTCTAGTACCTAGGTGATGCGTTTTCTCTTAGTGGCACAACAATATTTCTGAGAGAAGAAGTCGACCCATAAGACTCCCACACAAATGAGTAAATAGACCACTGCAGATATAATAGATGTGTAATGCCCTCAGGGTACTTACTTTTCGAAATTTTTACCCTGCTGAAAATCAATTATATCAATTGCTGAAACTATGACTCACTTTCCAAGCTGGACCAGCTTCTTCGGCAACTTGCGCCATTCCATTATAGAACCTTCTGCCCTTTGCCTCTTCTTGCCTCTTGTAATCTTGCATAAAAAAATAGTATGAATTCTTCGGTGGTTTTTTTGGCATCTGTAAAATGAAATAAAAAACTTAGCAGTTCATGTTTTATACATATGAGTGCCTGCCTAATCACAAAATTAATTTGATTTGATTTCAAAATCTTTTTACTGACATGGTGCTGTCATTGTTCGTCTACTTCATAACTTAATGTATAGTTTTTAATTTGACATAAACAGCATCACATAGATTAAAAACATTATTTACATTTCTAATATGTGCCTCCAAGCCATTCCGATCCTACTTGGCTTAACCACAATTTATAGGTAAGGACGCATGCCTACTGGTGGTTAAAATCGTGAAAAACATAACTTAAGTAATATGCAATATGCAATGTTGAAACATGAAGTCATGACGGTTCAACCTTTGCAGCTCAAATAGGAAGTTGTAGGTTACAGCATCTATGTTTTCATCTACGATGTTCAAGGCTGGAGCTTGAGTTAGAAAAGTTGGCAGTTGGTAGCATGTTGCTCTACTGCTACTGTCTAATAGCAGTCGAAGATAGACAGATTTTTCAGATAGATTCAGATGGCTTCAGATAGACAAATGCTGATGATTGAAAACACATAAAACAGTCTCCTGTCTGTGACAGTTAAGAGAAAACAACTGGCGACTAGTCTGAATGTGAAATTCAAATTATTCTACTCAACTTAGAGCGGACGCATCATACGTGACGAATGTCAATCTCTGATTACCTCCTAATCAGCACCACTCAACAGGTTAATACATGTAGTCAGATTGCACCACTGATGAGAGATGACCTAAACAATATTTGACTTAAGACTTTTGTCTCAACATACGATGCATCCGCTCTAACGAGGACTGCTTTCCAGAAAAATATACCACAATGTACTGTCTAAGGTCCTGTAATTGCTTAGTAGAGGATCACACATGCAGTTGATAAAATGAATTTCGGATGTAATCATGGAAAATACCTTGGCAAACCACCTAGATATCTGAGTTGGCAATGATCAGATTCCGGGGACTCGTAACATGAGAATCTCATGGCTGGTTAAGTGGTACACATATTTAAAAAAATTGAAGACCGTTTCGGCTCAATACAAAAAATTTTGAAGTGTCAGTAACGAAAGTACTGCAGGATTACTATCCATAGCAATAAAAATCAAAGATATAAGTTGGAAATGAGTTTACATTGTATGCGTAGAACCCTGTTCCTCATCTCCAGCCTAGTTCACTGCAGACAGTTATAAAGCTAGTGCATTAAAGATTATTTCAGTTCAAAATCTTGGCGAGGAGAAGAACACATGAACATGTACGGAATGCTCACGAGATAGATTCTCCATGTGGAAATGAGACAGATAAAGGCATGAGATGCATCATGGCATCCATAAGCGAAGCAGAGTTGCTAATATATTCAAAATCAGAATACATGTTCAAGAGGTAAAAATTACCTTGATAACTGGTTATAATTGAGAATGAATAGATCCTCACCACGCAGAATTCAAAAACAGTCAGGAGTCAGAGTCAGACACAGAAACAGTATCAGTCGGTATCAGTCAAGAGATCCAAGAGAAAAGTGAAAAGTGCAAAAATTCAATCAAAAATAATGGTTATTGGATTATGGGAACTGAAGGAACTGAAACATGAAACGATCAGGACTGGCACGGCCCAGAAATGAATTTGGCGGCAATTTCGTTTGTAACTCGGTGACGTCACGTGTGAGCAAATGAAAATCGCGTGAAACAAAACGAATCAAAGAAAAATAGATAAATAAATAGAATCGTGAAATAAAAATGAGGGAAAACCAGGAAAATCACCATTTAAAATTATTTTTATTCTTCTTAGCTCAGATGTGAGAACGATGTGAGCTGGTGTACTTTCATTACGTCACTGATAATTGGGGCCGGTTGACTTGTTGCCTGTAGCCTGTTGCTGTACGACCCTCTTTACTTTCTACAATAAGAAAAAATAAACAAACTCTTCTCTGCAATTTGCAATCAGTTTCAGGTTTCAGCGCTTATCAATCACTTACGTATCAGTACTTATCAGTCATATCACCATCAATTAGCTAGAATCAAATATCAAGGAATATATCTGTAATTACTCTGCGTTATTTGCTTGAAGTGGATGTTTTTGCTCTATTACATTGAGAATCCTCGTTTACAAACTACCTACTGAATGTGGTGCTAAAGTTGCTAAAGTAAAAGTATCATCGTCGAATATCTCCATTAATCAGCATGTTTGTTACTTTTGCTTAAATCAACTGGATAAGAAAGTGAGTATATTCTTAATGGAATGGCTGTTTACCTAATAATTCTGCGCAATTCTGACTATGCAAAATCTGCAAATAGAAAGTGTCGAAACAACGACACTGCCCATGTATTGTGGGTCTAGAGTACAGGTAAGTATCCAATCACTATTCAGTGAAGTATTGAAAGGATTCCGTAAAAAATAATCAGAGTTGGCTTCCAACAATTTTATGTACTTATATCAGAAGATCAGCTGTCTTTTGTTTTGCATTCAAAGCAAATACAAGAATCCACAGGCAGATCTTCTGTTGCGTTCTTGAAGTGCACACACCCTTAAGTAAATACATTACAAGGAAAATGACAAATTCTATAGAGAATGCACAAAGGATTATGCATGGAACACCCAAAGATTCAGCCAGGGGTGCAGAAAGTTTGTGGCCTTCACATTTTTGGAGCTAGCCTTTGCATTTTTTGGGGTTACCTTTACATTGCTGTCCACACTAGACTTGCAGGCTTCACCAATCCCTCCGTATGAAAGAGTGTGTTACATAGTTTCCTTCATGAAAAGCTATGCGCCTAGCAGTTATATGCGTTCTGCCCTCACATTTTTTCCCCTTTCCAGATACCTTCACATTTTTTACCTCTTTTCAGGTGCCTTCACATTAGTCCTGCGATTGGTTGATCCAGCATTTTCTACTCCCCTGGATTTGGCAATTTGCATGCCAATAAGTGTTGGCACCAACCTGCATCAATGAGTTCGTATGTCCCAGTTGCGCTCATCTGCACATGCTCAGTAGCGGCTTCAATGAATTTTTGTTGGATTATGAGGCTTTTTTTCTTGGTTGATAATTAGTTACGAAAACTGAAACATTGCTATGCGGTTGTAAATATATATGTTTTAAAACTTTTCTTCTTAGGATTATTGTCTAGAAATTGACTCTAAACGAGATATTCGTGAAAAACCGAGCGTGGAAATGATTTCGCCATTGCCTCTCTGCAGTCTCTATGAATGCTTGGGACACACGCTCTCTCCCCTTCTCTGCCTGCCCATCATGGGGCTCCAAGAGACTTGCCTCGCTCCGCCTGTACTAAACCGAGCTGGACACTCGGTTTACGTGATTTGATGTCTTTTAACTTCATTAATTTTTTCTTTCCTATTGCTCATAGGTTGTTTTAGAAGAAAGTAACATGTGTCTTAAAGATCAAGAGAAAGAAGCCCGCAGCTTGGCAGTGAAGTATGCTGTAAATATTTTGCAAAGACCAGGCCAGCTGGAAAAAGTAAGTTTTCACAAGGTTTCTTCTTAAGGGTTAAATAAAAAACCTACTTCTCTGAATTCCTCCGATTTGCAGAAAGTCATGAAAAAACAGTTATTTATGTTTTCTGCAGTGTGTTTTTCTTTTCCTTTTCTGGAGCACTTTGTTTTTCCAGGGGAAGGGAGAAAGGGGTTGCAAGACAGCAGGTGGGGTACCATGTGAAAAGTGGAAGGAGGCTTGTATATACAATTCAATTCATTTGAAATTGAATTCATTGTAAAATGGAATGGTTCTGATCATTCAAAACAAATTCATGAATGTCTACAGGCTATTGGTTGTCCCAAACATAATGCATTTATCTCTTTTTTGATAATCAAGAAAATATATCAATGTGCGATTTTCATAGAACTTGAGACTTTGTAATTATGGTTTTAACAAGACCTTCTTCATTTTTCTTGCTCAAAAATTTTCTGAAATAATTCAGCTTGTTAAAGATAATTTCTTCAAAAGCTCATAAGATTTTTAGCAGTTGGTATATCTTGGTCATTGAAACCTTACTCACGAACCATCTTGAGAAATAGGATGAAACAATCTTTTACAAATATTCAGGAGGTAATTCTTGAAGTTAACGCGTAAGTAGAAAATAATAATATCAAATAACACCGGTAAGTACGGAATTTAAAGTCTGTAATGGAGGTGGAGATGCATTCAGATGTCCAAAATTCTCCTTCAAATCTCGTTTTCTGTAGAGATTAACTTGAGCGAATGAAACCTATTTTTTCACATATATGCTTCAATGAATGCACTTCTCAATTTTTAAAAAGCGTGTGCCCAAAGTAAGGTACGCTGATTGCATATTGCAGCTCCTTTTTCAACATTCAGTGAGTTATTGCCAAAAATATCACCAAGCATGAGAGATCTGACCGCCCTGACCGCAGCTAACAATCAAGTTATGAAAATTTCTACGGATCATAATACGCCATTTCCGCGAGACAAATTTTTTGCCTGGTGTTTCAACGTAGTGTAAGGCAGTAGTTTCTCCATTGCTGTTTTTTTTTTTCACTCGAAAAAGTAATTCCCAATCTCCTATTTTCAAGGAAAAGCTTTTTGAAAATGCTACTTGTAGGTGTGCTGCAAGTTACATTTAAAGGTAGTTTCTCGATTAATTATCAACTGGATGAGCGTTAATAGGTCTTTTCAGAATAGCGATTGTGTTGTCCAAAGCCCGATTTGAACCGCACGTCAATAATAGTTTTCTTGTTTGCTCAAGTATGTAACTTGTATTACTTTTAGGACAGTCTAAGTATATACATTTTCTTTTGTATTTTATGAGTTCTTTTTTATAATGAGTTTTTTTACTGATAGCTTATCTAACTGAATGGTTACGAGAGTAGATGGCTACCATGAAAGATTTTGTATGACTTTCATGAGATTTTGCTCTCCTTTCTGATGTTTCTCTGATTTACTCCTCTCATTTTTTAGGTAAGTCAATATAAGAAGAGAACGTATTTGAAAAAGCTTTCCAATGAAGCAGTTTTGAAGACTGCTATGCAGAGTCAACTCGATGGTGTCATCGTTGGGATGAATCAACTTGATGCTGCTCTAAGAAATCTTGTTGATGTCAGAGAAAAGTAAGAATTTTTCTATCTTTCTCTCCCTCCTTTTCCCCTTTCTATTTCATTCTCTCGTCATCAATTTTTGTGTACAATTGTAACTGTGCAGTCTTCAAAAAATCATTTTAAAAGACTTAATACATCCAAAAGTCTTCAATTATCCCTAAGAAAGATGTCATATTGAAGCTAAAAATGTTGCAATGTAACTGTAACATAATGTAATTGTAAAGTAACAACTCCTAGTCCATTCTACGGAAGAATATTATGTTTGAGAATTTGAGATTTTGGCTTTTTTCATCAGTGTTTCATCCTTTTTTGTCCCTAGTTTGCAAGGCATTGAAGAATTGTTACGTCCACTCCCAGCTCTAGGCCCCAAATTACAAGATGTCAAGGAAAAAAACATGAGACATTCTCAGTATGTCACAGCCATTGAAAATTTGAAACATTTATTCACTGTTCCAGAAAGTGTTCAGAAAGCCAAACAATGGATAAATGAAGGCAAATTTTTACATGCCCATCAGGTAAAAGCAGATTGAATTTAATTTATCAAGGATTTTATTCAACTGTCAAAATCATAATGTCATAAAATATTCTAATTTACACTTTTGCTAACTTGGGAACAGACTCAGCAGCTAACTGCCAGCCAATTTTTACTCTTAATTTACAATTTGCTTCCGAACTGACGGTTGATTTTTTTCTCTCCATTGTTTGCATTCGTATTTTTTGAACTGCATACAAGATTGCCAGCAAGAAAAGTCTTTCTTCATATGAGAATTTACTGATATTATTGTTTTTACATGCCTTTTGAGAGATTTCACCAGTGTTATCTAGATTTTCACAGAACAAGGTATCCATCTCAACTACGCATGATGGTAGCCTCTGCTCATGCATTTTACGTCGGCAATGATTTGCAGTAATGTATTTTTAACCAAATTATGCAGAAGTTCTCTCCTAAAGAACAATCGTTACCTAGTCCTCCACCCTGTGTGCCCATATTATTTTGCTCGAAAGGGTAGCTTTTCATAAATTAAACACCAATCATAAATCATATTTATTGCTACTCCTGCAAATATTAATTCTCCTGAGTTTTATCTTCAAGATTCAGATTTTTCTCCACCCCCCCCCCTTCTACTTTTCCTAAAAAGGAATTTTTTTTTATTATTATTATTTTCAGAGTTTAATGGATTTGGAAAATTCAAGAGATGACCTCTTGTTTGAACTCTACAAATTACCCAATCAAGCTCCTGCTGATCAAGTTCTGCTGAAAGCATATTTTGAAGATGTTGAGGATGTGTCACAGTCTCTCGGAAAACAACTGAAATTAGTTCTCAGCAGAACACTCAATACTGTGAGGAAGGAACCAACTGTGATCGTTACTGCACTCAGAATAATTGAAAGGGAAGAGAAAGCAGACGCTTTTTGCCTTCAGGTTAGCCTCTAATAATTCAATTCGTTATTTAAATCGAAGAATCAGTCTGTATCAGAAAAAAATGAAAGGATATTTTGAGATATCTGGTTATTTTCTTTACCATTATTTTTTGGGAGGCTTGAAAAAACAGTTTATTAATTATAAAAGTACATTTTATAAAGGCCTTGTAAAGTTCAAGAAATTATTTTAAATAACCCTCTTGAAAGAACCTAAAGACAACATCTACAGTGAAACGATCAAAATCCATCATAATATTGAAGACTCTCGGGCATAGATGAATGTGCAAAAGATACTGGAGTAACTACTAAGTGTGATTCTGTTTCTGTATGAAAAAAGTATCTATCTATTTATTTACGAGAGGTTCTCCATGATACTGAGGATTAATAGCATTTCATAAATTTTCCTGGGAGCCTACTCTCCCGTTATGCAGAAACTTTTGCATGCACCCATACACCTAATTGAGAAACAAAGGATCCATGTAGGATAGGTCTGGGCAAAAGGCCGCATGAAATAATGTGCCTCACCTTCGAAAAACCGCTCTGTCAGAAACAAAACTTCAGTTCATTTAACTTTTGGAATTTTACGATCATATCACAAAATCATCTTAGATCTAATTTTACATCTGTATTGAATTATTTTGCAGCGACAAAAACAAAGTGGTTTTCTGCCGCCGGGAAGACCAAAGGCTTGGAAAGAAATGGCAATGGAAGTCTTTGAAAAATCTGTCGCCACACGAATTGAAGGGACGCAAGTTGATGAAAGATCTAGCAATAAAATGTGGCTTGTTATGTATTTAGAAGTAAGCACTGAATACTTTTCTAGGAATCATTTCTTTAGTTAAATGTTTTGTGTCAGTTATTGCATCATATTTCCAGTACATTGCCTTGTTATTCCCATCATCTTATCAAAGTGCTTCATTTGAAACTCCAGCCTTAAGAATTTAAAGTTTCTCACTGTCCAATTTTAAAGTTTTAGGGGTTTCAAACAATATATTAGTTTTCATGTAGCATGTTATTTAATTTACAAGACCATGTCTTTTTTCAGAATCTTTTTTTTTTTTTTTTAACTGGATGAATTAAACTATTACAATCTCCAACTGAAGAAGCCCCTTATGTTTCTCAAAAGCACATCTTGAGTCAAAAAGTGCAAAATTTCAGAGACATGATCACAAATTACAAGATCTTGCTCGTGTAATCAAATTTAATTCCAGAATCCAAACCACACTCCAAAATTGTTCTAAGGTGTTGGCATTTGGGAGGCATAGCTTTCTTAAAACTCATCACTGCGCCTGAAAGCAGTGCTAAAAATGAATATTCTTTGAGTGAGAGCTCTGGCTGATGCTTGCCTTGCTCAAAAAGTATGGTCAAATCTGCAGAAAACATAAATTAATGAACCAATTTTTTACAAGTTTTAAGAGTGCAACTTAAAAACAATTGAAGGAAAAAATCCCTGTATTGAGAGCCATACATGCCATGGCCCATATCGACGGTGCAAGTCGGCAATTACATAACTCGTTTGCGGTGTCTGAAAATCTCCGCAACTATGTTATTTTTTTAAAGGAGAACAAATGGACATGATTCCTCGAAGTTTTTGCAGAATTTTCCTCGCACATAGAAGAAAAATCACGGCAGTTTTGAAGAATTACCGTTGAGTAGTTTTCTGTTTAAAAAATAAAGTATGACAGGAAGTCTGCGACGTCGCAAACCGAGTTATGTGATTGCCGACTTTCACCGTCGATATGTAATTTTCTCACTTTGTCTCCCTCTGATTTTCAAAAATAAAATATCAGCCTACACATTGCACCCACTGAATAATTGAAAAATCGAGTTTTAAAGGCTCAACATTTTGTTTCATGAATTCTTTGGGGCTTTAATCAATGACAGTCCAGCCAATTTTCCAGGATTCCCTGCCGTTTCTCCAGAATAAATAGTAACCTAGAGATCTTAATTTTATTTCCGAAAGTTTATAATTCTAATATTGCAATGAAATAGTTTGAATAGTTAATTTCAGTATACTCAAAATATCTCAAAAAATAGTTGTTCTCTAATCGGATGTGCAAACGTCAGACATGGTCCAGTTTCTTCCCCCTAAGAGATTGAACCTAATTGAACCTAGACTGAGGCGAATGTTCTTCAGAGAAGTATGTTTTACTAAAATACATCCTTGTTGTGATTTTATGACTGGCAGTTGTTTACTAAACCTCTAGTTTTATGTTTCAGGTAACAATAACTATTAAAGTTTAGACTAAGCAGAAGGAAAAATAGATTAAAAAAGGTCCTGTGATGTGGTGACTTAGGAAACTTTTGTCATTTATTACTACTGTTACGGCTTCAAATATGAAGATGATTTTAACCCCAAACTTAAAATCGAAATAAAATGTATTTACTTTGACGGAAGTTCTTTGAAAAAAATCGAAACGATACTTTATAATTTCTGACCTTTTTCTTTCATAAATGACTTGGAAAACTGTTTATTTTTGGTATACATAAGTGTTAATGCTGTCATTATGATATTTTTCAGTTCACAAGACAACTTATACTGGAAGACTTGCGTGTAGTCAAAACTTTATGTGGACCTTGTTTTCCTCCATGGTATAACATTATCGACAAGTTCGTGTTTATGTATCATAATTGCCTTTCAAAACATGTAAGTTCTTTTTTCTTCAAATTCAATCAATCAATGATTTATAGTTTTTCTATCAGTCTATCCAGAATTCCATTTGGGGGAGGACATGAGATAATTTAAGAGCTATAGAATGCTCGTCAGCAGGCTCACTATTGAAGTTTTAAGTTGTAGGCTGTGTGACCGTATTTGAAGAGAAACTCTAGCAAGGAACAGATTTTTAAAGCAATGTAAACGTTTAATTTTCCCAAATTTTTAGGTAATCCTCATGAGTAAATCACGCTTTTTCTAAAAAAAAAATTTCAGTCCAGAACCGGTTCTTATTTTTTTGACTTTGAATCAATTTATTTTAACCAATAACCCATATCATGACCGATTCTGCTACAAGCAATTACAGTTTTTTACGTAAAGTCCAGCTTTGATGAATTGTAAACATTTATATCTGACTGTGTACCGAGAGTATCAAAGTCATTATTTATTGTCTTTAATTTTTTTTTATTTCTAATTCTAAATTCCAGTTAGAAGAAATTATTGCTCAAGGTCTCAAGGGGAATGAATATGTCTCAATTCTTTCATGGACAATAAATACATATCCCGGCAGTGAACTTATGCGACATCCAGAACTTAACATTGATACCTCTACTATGGGTCCTCTCCTGCGACCAGCGATCATTGAACAGTTGCAATGCTCATATCTAGAGGTAAAAAGTCCTAAGAAAACTCTATGAATTTTGTTTTGTTAGGTTCTCTTTTTGGCAAAGAAGTCTTAACAGAGTCAAGGAAAGTATGTCTGTTTTTCAGCATTTCAAGTTCTAACAAGATTGTTTAAAATGTAACTATCAAAGAATTGTATAGTAATAAAGTATTGGAAGAGAAGAAAAATTTCAAATCTTGAAGGCCATGCCATTAGTTTCACTACAAGCAGTCATGTTTAATTGTATGAGTTGTCTAGGTAGAGAGGTGGTGATTTTCCCATCATACTTTAAATACAGATGACGGTAAGCTTGCTTGCTTGCTGCTTTGGCGAGCTCGTCCAATCTTATTGTGGCTTTCTTGACCTCTTTAAGGTGAGAAGTAAAAAATCAGGAAACGATTTGTGTTGACGACAGGACCAATCAGCCCTGGAATCTCTCGTCTGTTTCCTTCCTAATTGACTGTAAGTAGTGTTGTAGCAAACTGCATATCTCTTTGAAAAATAATTGTCCTTAAATGAGCTTTTTCTCTCCACCATGAAAATTTCAATTTTTTTCTGTATTTCAACTGTACAGTTGAATCTAAAATGGCAGTACCTTAACACTGTCTAAAGATTGACGATTGAGTTTTAAAATTACAATTATGTAACCTACTCATATTGTGTGTGCCACAGGATATGAATTTAGTGGTTAATCTTAAATTGGCGAGGTCTGCAAATCCCTGAATCTACAGCATTTGATACTCTAGATCCATCTCTCTCCTGAAATTTTCTAACCGATTATTTTTCTTGTGTTACAGTATATGGAAAATAACTATGTGGAATGGATGCAGAAAACTCTAGAGACAGAGAAGCAAGATTGGAGTGCTGGAGGAACTCAGGAAACTGGTGCTGATGGAGCATTTTATACTGCTGCTCCTGTGATAGTTTTCCAAATGATAGATCAAAATTTACAAGTAACAAACACGATCAGGTACAACTCTTAATGTTGTAAACTCCAGATCAATAGGATAGCTAGTGTCATTTTCAAGAGACTAACAGTCCGTGTAATCTTATTTGGACATGAGAATGGAGCCTAAATGAATTTTTCCATTAAAATGTGTGTTTTCTATTATGTTCATAATGCCAATAGTGGTTATGATCTTAAGTGTTTATCCTATACACAATCGCATTTTTTGCAATTTTTTACAGAATTTTCTGCCAATAGAGAAGAAAAATTAAGGAAGCCTTTAAAAAATCACATTGGCTTGTTTTCCTAAAAAAAAAATTTGGTATGAGAAGAAGTCTGCAACGTTGCAAACGGAAATATATGGTTTTGCACTTTGACCATCGATGTAATGATATTTAGCATGAAAGTGGGGAAGATAGTGTTCAGTGCAGTCAAGTTAAATAGGACCTTTTGTTTGAATTATACTATCAAGGCTGCATCTGGTTTATTCTTGCATTAGTCAGGCACAGATGAGTAAAACCCAGCTCAATATTGCCACACACCAGGAATGGCATAAAAATGTGTTGAGACAGAGCAAGAATTATTCACTGAGGTGTGTGTTTGGGTCCGCACCCTGATGCTTCTTAAACAATCAAACTTGCACTGATAAGTAAAAATCAGAATTTTCTAATCTTTCCAATTATTAATTGGACTATTTGTGCTAAATGGAACTATGTGCAAGTGGAAGGATGGAGTGTGCTCGTTAGTGCCTCGGGCCATAAGAATGAACGGAAATTTAAAAGTGCCAGTGATGTCAGTGCTGAGGACCAGGCTGGACGCGCGTGACCAAAGCGAGGTTGTCAGTCTTTAACTCATGAGCCCTGTCCACAAGACTCTTGTCCTACGCCTATGGCTCACGAGTTAGCGCTCAGTTCTTTTTTAATCAATATCAAATCCCGCTTTTCCATTTTCTCAAATGGCACTATATCCACTTTTACATCGTTTCTCATGCAGCTTGCACAAGCACACCACATCTTTCCACTTACCCGTGCAAATAGTTCCATTTTGCATAAATACGTCAAATTTCTTCCTTGTTAATGAAAGTGAGCAGCTGAATTGTTTGCCTCTCGAAATGCTTCCCATTTACTAGATTCTATGTCTATGTTTTGTCTGATTTTTCAGTCCAGAATTGACCCATCGAGCTTTAATTTTAAGCATGGAACAAGTTATCAAATATGGCAATATGTACCGAGGTGCAATTATAGAATTCAAGAAAAAACATTTTGAAGATCGAAGTCAGGTATGGTTTTGTTATTAAGTAATTGAAAAGGCGTAACATACAACTTCATTACATACTTGATTACATGCTACTCATAACGTTGACGGTAGTCCAGTCACGTTCAATTTCGTGCTTTCCCAATGACTTTTTATACATATTGATTATTTCCCAATTTTACTTTAGTCACTTCTGTTCTTCAATTATTTTTTTTCTTTCATCAATTAAAAGAGCCAAAAGCTATTTTGTCACTGAAGAAAAAAAAAGTTCATGGGAAAAATTTGGCTGTCTCCAACTTAGTCTCGATTTGAACTGTCTAAATCGGTTATTTATTCATGGTTGAAAGAATTTCAAATCTTTAAAAAAGTGATCATTTTTTGGCACCATACCAATGTGTGAATCATTATTTGTCATCATTGTAATGATTTCCGATTCGTTTAAAGTCGAGGAGAGAATGATCAGGCAAGTGATTGAAGTCAACAAAATATGGAGTGGTCTAACTTTCCTCTCAATGTCTTTTCCTAATAACCACGTTTTTCTCTAGACATATTCCATTCTAAGCTAAGTAAAGTAGTCATCTCCCCTCCCTCTATAATTGAACCAGATAGCAGTTAGAGTATGAAGTCTCCAAGTGTTGAAAAAGTACTACAAAATGAAAAAAAGTTACACCTAAAATTTGTCACACTGAAGATTTTTGTTTTATTTTATGTTTTGCTCTTGTAGATGCCGTATTTTACAAACTTAATGATCACCATTGTGAACAATTGCTTACAATTCGTTGAGTTGGCGGAGCAAATGGCCAGTCATTACTGGAGGAAAGATACACATAACAGTCAAGCAAAAATGAAACATGATGCACTAGTCAAAACATTCCAGGTCTGTTGATACCAAAAATACTTTTTTATTTTATTTTAAGATGTTTGAATTACTTATTGTCATTTTTCAATTATATTTCATAACATTTGAATTGCAATAGCATGAAGCCTCAGTACTGATGTCCGTGTCAAAGTAGAGAGGAGTACTAACTTAGATTCATAGCAAAAACACTCACTCTAAATCTGTAATTATGTGTACATTGGAGCACCAGGAGTAGAAATATAAATCGTCAACATTTCCTAAGTAACTCAGAATGGACCACTAGACAAGGTACAAGTTTAAGCATTCTGACACATGTTTCTTAACCAGAATTTTACGTAGAACACGATTCGCGCAACGAAAATCACTGAAACCAACTCCTAATGGAGATGATAACATTTTTATTTACGAGGAATTTGAACTGCCCGCTCACAAGAAACTCAAAGCTCCACGTGAGTCAAATCGCGCAATACAACGGTTTCAGCAAGCTTCTCAATCGAGCAATGTTCATTTCCCAACATGTGTTTTTCAAACTATAAGTAATTTGCTGTAGCTGAGCCAAAGCGTCAAGATTGAGGTTGCCAGATTTTTTTATTGCAGAGGCGTTCATGATAACGTTTAGCGCGCTATGTGAGTCATGTAGAGCATTGAGTTTTCATGAGCGGGTGGTTTCAATTCACGCACCAAGAATCACTAAATATCTTCGGAAGGAGGTGATTTCGGTAACTTTCGTTCAGCGCATCGTGTTTTATGTGAAATTTTGGTGAAGACATATGAATCAGAATGCTGAGATTCGTACCTTGTCTAGTGGTCCATTATGTATTTATCTGTGCAACAATGAAAGCTTAATGAACTGCTAGATGAACTGAGTTTCCTACATTTCTTTAAAATCTGTGTTTCAACGGAATAGTTTTTTGCCGAGAGTGAGTCTAATTTCTCTGACTTGAAAATTGGCTGCAGTATTCAATTGTATGAAGTCGTGGTTTCTCCAAGGAATTGAAACAAGTGAGTTCAGTATTTTTGGTGATATTGGCAGAAACCATGAAGTAAGATGTATTTCTTTAAGTAATGCTTTCCAGCGCTCTTGAATTATTATAAATTTTTCATGATTTCTCTTTCTATCATTTTTCTAGGATTTACGATGTGAAGCCGCTCAATTTTTGTTGGAAGAGGCATTCCTGGATCTAGAGTCTCATTTCCAAGACTTAATCACGCAAAAGTGGGTTAGCAGTTCTATTCCAATTGACACTATTTGCGTCACTCTAGAAGATTATTTCCAGGTATGCTTTGTCAAGCTCTTCTTTTTATATTGTTTGTGATAACTTAGAAGAATATCAAAAGCACACAGTGATAATAAATTTAAAAAAACGGAAATCTTTCAATTACGTTCAGATGGTTAGATTTTGACGTCTGCCTTTTTAAAATGCATCAACAGTATAACTTGTTTTGTATTTTACCAATTGGTCATTCAGAATCAAAACAACTTGACCCATAACTCTATCATCTCTGATTTAGCTCAAATTTCGTTTACATATAGTAATGATGAGCTGATTCAGTAATCTTTAATTCTTGCATTATAAAAAATAGAGATGGCACTTGCTTCTAAAGAATTTTTACGTATTTCTTTGTAAAATATTAATTCACAAAAATTAATTCCAAAGTTGTGTATTTTGAGCTCTTATGTAAATGCGCATCGCCAAGAAAGCCGAAATGGCGTCAAAAAGTACCTATCCCTGTCCTTGCGATCTCATTTTGACCGGACAGTGCCCGTGCTACAATCAATGGTCCATTCAGCTGTGCAATAATGATGACTGCAGAAACCATAAATTGCAGCCAATGGATCGTGTGGTCGGAAGAGAGATCATGATGACCGTGATATTTTTGGACGTCATCTTAGCTTTCTCGGCATTGTGCTTTTAAATAGGTACTTAAAATAAGCAAATTTGAACTTGTCTTTCTTGGTTAAATATGATTCCAAAATAGTCATCTTAGCTTTCTCGGCATTGTGCTTTTAAATAGGTACTTAAAATAAGCAAATTTGAACTTGTCTTTCTTGGTTAAATATGATTCCAAAATATTTGGGAAAAATACTTTTCAAAAATACAACAATTAAAAAAACAACTGCTTTAAAGATCATTCACAACCAACCAAACTATTTTGCAGGATTTATCATTGGTAGCTTTTATTCCTGATGTTTCATTTTCATTTCATCAGTCTTTTTTCAAGCTATAAGTTTCGTAGAACCTTTTTTTTTTTAATTGTTTATGATGAGCCTTCACAATGATTTTTTAAATTTTCTTTTTCTTACTACTTGCTCATTATACGCAATACATTTTTGTCTCCTTGAGTTTGTGTCTTAAAATAACACTCTAAAAGAATGATGATTAATTTTTTCAGGACTACAGTCATCTACACCCGAAAAACCTGGAGTATGTTGTACAGATAGCTGAAGATCTAGTTGTTCAAAAGTACATTACTGCCATGTTGCAAAGAAAAATCACTTTTAAAACTTATGAAGAGCGCAAAGCAGCAGCTCTGAAAATGGCCAAAGAAGTTGAACAGCTTCAATTTTTCACCCACATTTCACCAAATAAGTCCAAACGGACTGAATCGCCATTGAATGCTATCATCGCTTTATCAGAGGTATTGAAAAGTGAAGATCCTGAAATTCTCTCTCTAGATCTTTTAACCTTACTGAATAAGTATCCAGATATCACAGAAGACCATCTGGCAAGATTATTGAGCTTAAGAGGTGATTTATCAAGGTCTGATATTAGAGAAAAAATAAGTTATGCCCTCAAGCAGAGGAATATTACCGAGATCTCTTTGAAACGCAGCATTTTCCATCAAGTACGGTTATAATTTTCTGCTTCAATTTTTTAATGAAGGTGTTCAAAAATCGAATCTATGTTTCATTCTCCTAAAATTTAACATTTGCTGTGTTTCATGCAATGACCATTACAGATCTCTTGTAGTGAGTGTGTGATGATGTTATGGTATCAAATAGTTGTTTACATAGAATACTACACAGTATTGTTTGATTACATGATTGGAAGCTGAAAATCATTGCCGTGTGGGGTAATGTATCGAAGAGCGTTACATGTCACTTTCAAAGAATCTGTTGTGAAGTGTAATAAGAGCGGCGTTCTCCTCACAAATTTAAATCGAACTTGGGATTAATCCTTGTAATCATTGTAGAACTGAAGCCCAGGATTTCCTAAGTAAAATTGCTACATAGTCTGTCAACTTAAAGCTCAGATTGTGGATGATTAAAGCTATGGAATTTCTCTGAACTAAATGTTGTGTTCTACAAACTCGAAACTATCAGGACTCTAGTTTAATTCAATGTCACAGACATCGTTTGTATGAAAATGTTTGTAAAACACTATTTCAAGAAATGGCACTAGTATTTCATTTTGAATTTCCTGGCATTTAGGCTCCGTCTCCCATGGGGATTCTATTTTAAAAAATATTTCCGCTTATAGGAAGCTGGTCCACTGTTATGGCTGTTTGATTAATTTTGAGCATCCAGTATATGAAGAAAATGCCTTTCAATTGTAATTTTATGAAAGCATATTTTAATTTGCATCGATGAAGTTAAAGAACAAAAAATGAAGAATAAATGCGGTTAACAGTCTTTTTTAAAGTTATTATTTACTTATTCCAACTATTTTGCTATACAATTCTACATATTAAGACAAATTGTCAAAATCATTTCTCAATTTCATCGCACTCTTTTGAAAGCTCTGCTGCTTGGATGTAAAAATTCAAATAAATGAGAGGTCTTAGGGTTAGGAATAAGGAAATTGTCAAAGGAAAAATTTGAGGGAAAATTGGAATAATACATATTAGGAAATTTTATGAACAGAACTGAAATTCAATCTTCCTATGTACTCATTGCCAATTTTACTCTTCCCTCAATTTACTCTACTTATAATTAGACATATTCAATAAGAATCAGTCTAACTGCATTTCACAATACCTAAGTATTTTCCTCTCATGTTTAATTTTTTAATAGAGAACAAAACTGACTGACGCTACAACTGAGCTGTTTTTATCTATTTAAAACCCGTAAAGTCAAATAATTTTTTTCCCTGAAGTTTTTAGACAGGAATTTTGGACAGGTATTCAAAATTTCAAAACCGTGTCATGTTCTCAACACCTGTGATTAACTTTTCCCGTTTTTACCTATGTCTTACGAAGATTGGAGCTTATGCTACCTTAGCCAATAGACTGTTATTTGTTTCAAAATGTGAGCCTGATATTTCAAATTAATGACGACACAAAACAACAAAGGCAATCTACAATGCAGCTACTTTTATACTGAACGATAATAAGATCAGAGTAATCTTCATTATGATCTGCTTTCACTTGACTACTACAGCAGATTTTTGCATCAACATCATCGACGATTTCCAAGTCTGTTGTGGGTAGAGGCTGCATCATCAGTGCACCTTGCATGCTCCGCAGAGGGGGTTGAGTTGTTATTACCGGTAAAGCTCGCTTTGGTCTGCTTAGTTGTAGAGACATTGGTTTAATGGTTAAGTTATCTGTTGACTGTTGATCCAATTTCGAAATGTAGTGCTTCTCTTTGTATTTAAACCTCGACTCATATTTGGATTCATGAATCAAAACTTGCTTTGACTCATCTGCTTTCTTAGGCGTGTCCTTGTTTAGATTTCTCAAATCTTCAAGTATTGCTTCAATAGCTGTGTCAGCTATAAAGTCATCACTCTCTTGCTCTGTTTCTGAAGAACTGCAATCCTTCAACAAAATGTCAGTATTTTGATTGTCAAGGACATTCATTCCTTCAACTTGGCTAAATTCATATGTCTCCTCCTGCTTCATTCTGCCCATTCGCAAAGTCTTTGCTGTGCTGTAATGTTGATCCTCCAAGTCAGTTTCGAGGTTGGTTTGGCCGATATCTTGAATTTCCTTTCTTTCTTTCAGTTTAAAACTATTACCATTAAGAGGAAGAATATTTTCTTTTGATAACTGTTTTTTTAATCGATTGCTAGCTGCTAAGAAAATTTGATCTTGAAAGGATGGTTTTTTTTCTTCTACTTCTATCACCTCATTTTTCAAAGTTGATGAGTCTAGCTCTTCATATTTTTCATTTTCCTCGGTATCAATAGCAGTGTCAGGATGACCCTTTTCCAACACAGCTTTTGTCATTTCCAAATTTTCCTCATTTTGTTTGATTATATCCTGCTTCATATTCTCTACGTATGCAAAAATACAAGTCTCCTTTGCCTCTTTAGATTGCTCATCTGACAAAATCTGGAACAGTTATGTGTAAAAAGTTGCAACAATTCATGCAAATTTTAAATCAGGCACTAAATCTAAGAAATGCAATATTTTTTATGCAATATCTCATATCGACGGTGTAAGTCGGCAATCTCATAACTCGTTTGCGGTGTCTGAAAATCTCCGCCTCTTTATGTATTATTTTAAAGGAGAACAAATTGACATCATTCCTTGAAGTTTTTGCAGAGTTATCTTCGCACAGAGAAGAAAAATCACAGCAGTTTTAAAGAATTGTCGTTGAGTAGTTTGCCGTTTAAAAAATAAAGTATGACACGAAGTCTGCGATGTCGCAAACCGAGTTATGTGATTGCCAACTTACACCGTTGATATATTTCTTGATGCAATATTTTCTATTAATAATTTTTATGTACCTCTTCACAAAAGGACTTGCATCCTACGTTAAATCTTTTCCTCCTCCCCGTAAAGGTGGCTGACTCTCTTAAGTCAACCTCCAAATTTTCAGAAAAATGTATTCCAAAAGTCGCATTCAGACCTGAAAAAGTATAGCTTGTTAGCATTAAGGGTACGATGACTATAAATGATGAAAAAAAAGACAAAACCTCTGTTTTATGATGCACTGGTAAGAACTAGTTGATAAAACTAATCACTGTGCATACGTTTTTATTTTGATTGCAGCAAGAACCTCCAACAGGTGTGCTGTTAGATTATTCCCGGCTAGTTGGAGTTTTTTTTATAACTATTACATTACTTATCCACAACCTTCCTCCAAAAACTGTCGTTATACCTATTAATAACTTTCAGTCACAGTTGACAATTCAATAACCAGCTAGTTTCAGTGAGAAGTCGCCAATTGCTAAAGAAAAAAGACAAACTTCACCCGGTTCTGTCCTCACAATCAGCCGAAATCAAAAATATCGAGTATGAATGATATCCAGCAAGCAAGTTTTATCGCTGAAATAACAGGTATATTTACCTTTTTTGATAACTTCAACGGTTCCAGTGACTGAGGTGTCATCGTTGCTTCCCCATTCTTATCAATTTCATCTGTTCCTTCCACCTTTGGTTTTCTCGATTTCTGATTTGTATTCCTCTTGTGGTTTCTCAATGTCCCATTCATTCTTATACCAGCCAATGAATGTTTATTCTTCTACAATGGTTGCAGATGAAGCTCTGATATCTTAGTCAATTTGAAGCTTTCGTTTGAAATGATCCTGCAACTGAGCATAACACGAAAAAAGTGAAACCAATTTGGAGTGTTTAAGGTCAATGTTGCTTATTTTTTTCATCAGATATATTTCAGCAACATATGTTTTTTCTCATTCAATTATCATCACTCCATGATTGTTTTGCTCTCTGCTGAAGAAACTAACTAGCTCAAAAATTTTGGTGTTCATCAACATTGTTACAGTCCTCATCTTTCCAACTCTCTAAATTGGCTTTTGGCCTTTATTTGGTCAGTACCTATTACCTATGCTCCTTCAAAATTTCTAAAACCCCTGCTGAACGCCAATTTTCCTACTATGGGCAAAATTACAAGGTTTCGCAGGTATCTATCTCTTTTTCCTTGTCCATGTAGATAATAAATGTCAATCCAAACAATATTTACTTGAGAACTTTGCAGTTCAATTGAGTGATGCAAATAGACACTTTACACTAAGTATTAAGTATGCAAGGAAAGCGAGATGCTGACAGGGCACAAATGTTTCCTAAAAACTTCATTTCCATCCCTCTTTCATTTTGAGCCTCATTTTGGCTTTAGGTAAGCCTTGGGCAGAATTTGAGGTTTTAAGCAAAAGCATTTTCTCTGCACACTACTTAATACTCAATTAGGGACAAATTGTCCCAAGACACTACGTCTTTGGAGTCCTTTTTAGGAGAAATTTGATGAACTTCAGGGTAAAGTGTGGCAAATACCTCTACTACATCAGGATTTTATATATTTTTAAAATGTTGGCGCTTTTGGAAAAAACTGCGAAATGTATTTTCTAAATTTAGAAGCTAGGCACTGAGTTCCTTTTGCTCTGTTCTGGAATAAGATCCTGAACCTGAAAGTTGAAGAAGTCTTCGAAGGTCAAATATTTTCGACTTTCTCCCAAGTTCTTTCACAATTTTAGATGATTTTTAGGAGATGCAGAAAAATACGTTTTTCGACTGGCTGTAAGTTAAAAAAAAAGGCACCACGGATACCTACCCTCTTCCTTTATTCTCCTCATGAGGCATCCACAAGTACCTAACTCTGAAGAAAACAATAAAATTCTCTTCTGTTACGGAGGGAAGNGGGGGGGGGGGGGGGGGTGTCTCATTCGTTTCCTGAATAAACCACAATAAAGTCACGTCCTTTAACACGTGAAAATAAAATGATGTAGGTAAGTAGGTAACGCTGTCCTCGACGCTCCCGGCTTTCTAGAGCGTTACGTGTTTTATAAGCAGCCCCAGTAGGTAATGAGATTTTTTAAAAAGAGCAGCAATAATAAAGTCCGTTTCACCAATAAGGGTCAGTCTTCAGGTCCTTCGTGCCAAGGGAAAACGTCGTATATGAGCTTATCCAACCCCCTTCTGATAAACTATGAACCCCCTGGGTAACTGGTGAATTTTTTTCATTAAATTTTTCTGAGAATTATTATGTACCAAAATTAATCTGGCGTACCTAAGTAAAGATACCAAGGGAAAGTATTCCTAAATTTTCGCAAAAAAATAAATATTTTATAGTTAATTTGACAGCATTAGAATGATCAAATACGTTGTTCTTCCTTAGCGCGGCGCAAACAGCCGAGCTCCGGATTAATTTTCAACTTACTTTTTTCTCGGCCGTGCGTCTATAGATGAGCAAGATCGGAAGTTGAGACGATGGTGATGCAACGGAAGAATACTCGAGTTTACTTTCGATGCCGTAAGAACCGACTGAGAGGTAATTCCCGCGCGGTTATAACCACGATCCGACCAAGGAAGATCCAAACAAGCTTTCAACTGAATTTGTTTGGCATTACATCAGTCTCTGAAACGAATCTTTTTTTGCTGACAAGTAAATTTTGTGAGTTTTCCTAGACTCATTGTCAGCGACTTCTGTCCCCGGTTGAAGCTCTTTTTGTCGTTGTCATTCGTCGCCGAACCTGCGATGTACGCGGTTCCGGACACCTTGAAGGGGGTGGGGGGGGTGTTCGAAATTTTTAAAACATCTGCTATGCAGTTTGTGTCAGTTTCGTCATGAAGAATTACCCAAAAAAAGCGTCCTTCCTTCTCCTTTCTTCCTTCCCTTATTTTCCCTCCTTTTTTACGGGGGCCGGGGGAGGGGGCGTCCCCCCTCCCGTGTATAGAGCCCAGTCCTTTACTCTGCCGTGCTAAGGAAGAACGCCGTATGAACATTCGAGAGTTGCCAAAGGAGGGGTGGCGATTTGGGCCATTTCCGGCCCCACCTAATCTGGGACTTTTTTTGCTGTGATTCGTTACGTATAAGTGTCAAGAGAAAGCATGCCAAGTTTCAGGCCGATCGGCCCAATATTCGGGGGGCAGGGGCCCCCCGAATTTTTAAGCGCAAAATCGGTTTTAATTTTGTAGCGCCGTCAATTTCGCTCGTATACAGATGAAAATTGGGTGTCAGGGGTAAAATTTTGCGTTCTTTCCATTTCCGCCGTCAAAATTGACACTGGGGCAAAATTAAGGGGGATTTTGGGGGGTTTTTCGCGTTTTTTCGCGTTTTTTACCAATTTTCTGCGGTTTTCATGCTTTAAGTCAGAGATTTTGAGCCAAACGACCACAGATTTGATTTCTACGCAAAAAATTACATAGGAACTTAATGACCAACTAACACTCAACAGCGGATTTCTCTAGGAAAAACTGACCCATAAGTATGTGTTCACTCAGAAATTTTGAAAATAGCCATGTTTCGGGTACAGCCCAAGCTTGTAGCACTACCATATTCACATATGATACGCTCTAGGTCGACCCTGTTGATATTATCGGGAACTTGAAATGCTACCCGCTTGGGCGGAGGGTCGAATTCTCCTCAGAAACGAATAAAAAAGGCGATAAAATTACGTTTCACGTGAATTGTTGCGAGCGGAATGTTATTATATCGGCAACTTTCACCTCCAACTTATGTAATTTTTTGCGTGCTTTCCATTTCTGCCATGAAAATTGGCATCAAAGCAATTTTAAACGGGTTTTTGGGGTTTTTTATCATTTTTTAATCATTTTTTACCAGTTTTTTCCGGTCTTTTGCGGTTTTCGTGTTTGAAACCTCACCAAATGAGCCAAACGACCACAAATTTTAATTTTTCTCAAAATACGTTTACTATCACATCCATAAAATACGTCACGGATGAATCGTATAGCAGAAGAAATGTTGTGTAAAATCCTTATCTCTCATTCTGAATCCTCGTCAGACCATAAGTAAGCAGCATCCTCTAGGCAGTCTCCATAAGAGGATGACAATCTTCGGGGCTCTTTTTCTTGATGTCGGTAAAAACCAAGAAACCACAGAACTGATATGCCACATGAGGTTTCAAACACGAAAACCGCAAAAGACCGGAAAAAACTGGTAAAAAATGATTAAAAAATGATAAAAAACCCCAAAAACCCGTTTAAAATTGCTTTGATGCCAATTTTCATGGCAGAAATGGAAAGCACGCAAAAAATTACATAAGTTGGAGGTGAAAGTTGCCGATATAATAACATTCCGCTCGCAACAATTCACGTGAAACGTAATTTTATCGCCTTTTTTATTCGTTTCTGAGGAGAATTCGACCCTCCGCCCAAGCGGGTAGCATTTCAAGTTCCCGATAATATCAACAGGGTCGACCTAGAGCGTATCATATGTGAATATGGTAGTGCTACAAGCTTGGGCTGTACCCGAAACATGGCTATTTTCAAAATTTCTGAGTGAACACATACTTATGGGTCAGTTTTTCCTAGAGAAATCCGCTGTTGAGTGTTAGTTGGTCATCGTGTTCCTATGTAATTTTTTGCGTAGAAATCAAATCTGTGGTCGTTTGGCTCATAATCTCTGACTTAAAGCATGAAAACCGCAGAAAATTGGTAAAAAACGCGAAAAAACGCGAAAAACCCCCCAAAATCCCCCTTAATTTTGCCCCAGTGTCAATTTTGACGGCGGAAATGGAAAGGACGCAAAATTTTACCCCTGACACCCAATTTTCATCTGTATACGAGCGAAATTGACGGCGCTACAAAATTAAAACCGATTTTGCGCTTAAAAATTCGGGGGGCCCCTGCCCCCCGAATATTGGGCCGATCGGCCTGAAACTTGGCATGCTTTCTCTTGACACTTATACGTAACGAATCACAGCAAAAAATGTCCCGGATTAGGTGGGGCCGGAAATGGCCCAAATTGCCACCCCTCCTTTCCCTTGATAAAGAATGTGTATTTTTCATGCATAATTTTCCTCGAAATTTTCAGATATTTTAGATTACCTAAATTGCGTACAAAATCGTCTGAAAATGATGGGAAAAAATATTCACTATTTTCCCGGTAAATTCGGTTTTTTTCGCAGGAAACTTGGCAGCGTCTGAAGGCTTATAAGGCATTCTTGCCGCGCTAATTTATAACGCCGTATGAGTATTCAAATGTTGCCAGATTTCCTCTCAGATTATATTTACTTTTGAAGAAAGCCATGAATATTTTAGCTTAAAATTTTCGGCTTTTAGATTAAATTATTCGAACGAAATCCTCTGAAAAATCGGGAGAGAATTTTCAGGTATTTTCCTGAAAATACCTACCTGAAAATTCCTTGATTTTTTGGTATTTTTCTGACGTGGCAACGCTGCTTATACATAGATAGGCGGAAAACACGATACGCATCACCCCAACTTCGTCAGCAATTTAAAATGCATGGCTCAGTTTGCAATTTCCGAAAAGCTTGAGTCAGCATGTAAGTGCGGAATGTTGGACATGGCGCTTTAATTCTCATTCAGCAAGTTATCAGTCAGCCTCCGAGAGCAGTTAGGATGTGGTTTCCCGCCACTGTAATATACCTTGCCATCTTCACCTATCTACCCACTATTTGCGGTAAAATTTTTCTAGGCCACCTGGAGGAAAGGGTGGGGGCTCCATAAAAGGAATATCGACGGTGAAACTACCAAACCACGTATCTCGGTTTGCGACGTCGCAGACTTCCTGTCATACTTTATTTTTTAAATGAAAAACTACTTAACGTCCAGTCTTGAAAATTTCTGTGATTTTTCCTCTTCGTGCGGAGAAAATTCTGTGAAAATTTCAAGGAATGATATTGATTTGGTCTACTTCAAAAAAATAAAATGCGAGCGTAGATTTTTGAACACCGCAAACGAGATACGTGGTTTGGTAGTTTCACCGTCGATATGTACTAATTGTAAGACTACGCATTATTTTCTCCTATGATACAGAGAGGTTGCATTTGGAAGCACAGCAGGTGCAACATCTCGACAGCAACTCGTGAAAGACGCCTTCCGTAACGGACGGCAAGGGTAGTCAGACCACCCTCACTTTTTTGGGTTCGCAACATGAACAAGCTGCGGGCAGGAATTTATGAAGATTTTTTTTTCTAAATGTATAGTTAACTTTTAATGAAAGAAAATAAATATCTATGATAGGAGCGAAAGGCATTAGCTTAATCATAACTTGTAAAGTTACATATTCCTTCCACATCTCCCTCTCCTTGAGATACCTACTTCGGCTGCATTTTGAAACGGACATATCTCACCCAAGCAGCACAGATCGCAAAAAATTGCAATTACAAGTTGAAATTATTTCTACAGCATTATTGTGTTTGTTCCCTACCTACCGATTGAAGGAACACTTCGTATTAAAAATTGCAATTTTTCATGGTCTTGCAAGTTGCCTGTCTTCCTGACACATTGAATTTACTTTGTTGAATCTTTAAAATTGGCAACCATCGATCAAATGATGTACGTAAAAATATTGCAATTTAGCATGAAAAAGTACAATTTTATTACAGCAAATCGCAAATTTATTTCAATATTTTAATTGCACTGTGCTACTTGGATAATTTTTAGGATCTAGAAGCATTTTCTAGTACTGAATGCTCGGTCAGAGAAATTTACCCATAAAAAACCTGATATCAGACGATATAGATATTATTGCAGCTTTTAGTAAGTAAGTAACGACTGTTTGAACGGGTTTGGTAGGGATTATACATAGGGTAGTACCGATTCTTTCACATTCAGTAGAGTTTTGTCGTAGCTTGTTCTGTTTACACTATCAGTAGCATGTAACAACTGTCATAACCATTGATTCTTGAAGACCGGGCCCCTTCTGTTACGGTGACCTGCGTTCATTGCAAGTTGGAAAATGCTTTTATGTGGTTCTAAAATTGCTTGTGATCTTGAATTCTCTTTTTTTGTCAAGAGTAAAAGAAAAAAGCAATGAGTGATTTTCTGCTAAAAATCTTTGTTGATGGTCAAAATTTTTGAATTGACATTTATATTCACATTGCAGACTTACAACTACTGCATGAAATACATGGCTGTAAATGCTTAGGCGCATTCATAGCCAATCAACATTTGTAAAAATAAAATTCATAATCTGGCATAAAAAACAACAAAAACAAGAGATGGCAGATTGAATAAAAATTAAAATGGTAAACATTAAAAAAAGCGATAATTCTCAAGAAGTTACATTCCATCAATTGCTTACTAACCTTAAAATTATTTATCAATTTGTTAATTCAAGAGTCACAAAAAGCTACATTAAGAATTGATAAAAAAAAGAGAGATTTTTGGAGATTAAGCAATGATTCTGTCAAGAGATAAAATCATCTAGGCCAGTAAGCTTACATCAGATAAGAGTTTCATGTTAATATTTTGAGGTTGGTTGTTTAGGAGAATCAAATCTTACAAGAATAGAGACAAATTCAATTCATCACATGCTCATGATGGTTTACTAACAACATCATGATACACATACGACAAAGACATTGTGAGAATAAATCTCATGAAAATCAGTTATAAGTAGCATATCAGAAAAAGAAAGAGGGACTTGATGGAGGTATCGAAGGTTCGCTTTGGATTTCAAGAAAGAAGTTTTTTCAAAACTATTTACTCTCAGAATAGGGCATATCAAGGTTTGCAAGATATTGAAAATTAAAACTGGTGTATGATCAAAAAGGATATTTCATGAGAGAACAGTTTAGAAATTCATGAGACCCAGTTCTTGGAACATGCATAGGGGTGTAATAATCCTGAAGAACAAATAGCCTTCTTGCAAAAAGAATACACATATATTTGGTGTGATGAACCTATAGTTTGTGTGACAGATTTTACAATCTTATTATGCATTTGATGAAGGATTGCGAATTTTAAGGGATAAAAGGGTTCAGTGGATATGGACCAAGAATTAAAGCTGATGAAACAAAAAATCCTGGTAATGATTGCTGAGATCTGAGCTTTGCAGACAACTCCGAGAGGACATCCCCCATCACCTCCTCTTCCACTTCTCTCTGAGCAGTTACTGGCCTCGCTAATACTAAAGGCATATAGAGGGGAAGGTGAAGCTTTCTTGGAGCTGTCTGCTGTGCTCAGATCTCGCCATCTGCAAGTATCGTCCAGTTTTCTCATCTTGTCAACTTCAATTCTTTGCAACTCGCAAACCGCCTGTTTCTCCAGAGCCCACAACCACTTGTTAGTAGAATGGTCGGATTAAAAAACTAGTTTGGGTTCCGAATAAAAATTGCTATTTTAAGGTTTTCTTCCTAAAAAAAATTCCTCCCTTAGAAAACTGGAAAAATGCATGAAACACAGTGTCGAAATCTTTCTCTCAAAAGTTCAAAGTTTGCCATTTGAGGTGAAAACCGGATTCCAATAATTTTCTTCCTCAAGGGATATTGAAGTACAAAGATTTCCTCTTGGACCAACCTCCCCAGTAGCCCCCATAATTATTTGGGAGCCTGAAAACTTGGGAAAAGATAGGGCTTAAGTATGAGTAATCAACAGACAGTGTTACACAATATAAGAAAATTTTAATTTCTGAAACAATATACCTATCATCCTCCTCCTTCAACAAATTTTGATAATTCTGTTGAGATTTCAAAACATGTCTCTATGTACAATTTAAAATCAAGGTAACAAACAACAACCACATAATAAAAAGAGAAACAAAACACTTTTGAAAACAGAAACATTTTTTGAGAGGAAAATGTCGCTTAAAATTATTTATTCTCTTAAATAAAAGAGCCATGCTGGAAGTGAAGTTAATACTCTCTGACTATCTATTCTGCAGTGTAAAGTGGTTGAGTTGTACTATTATATCTTTCTTTTTCATATCTTTTTAACTACTCTGTTTTATGCTACAAAATAGAGGCGCTCAATTTGTGAATAAATCTAAGTCTAGAACATTGTATATCGAACACTTGCTCCAACAATCCTCAATAGATAGCAATATAAAAAATAATAGAACTTATTTTGCCACTTATTTTGAAACTCTGAGACCATTTTGAAAGAATACCCATAAAATTTAATGGCAATTATTACAACATCCATGAAAAAATTATTAAGACGAAAAAAATGTAGTTGTCAAAATGTGCAGCATGGACCAATTTGAATATTTTTTTTATGGATGTTGGAACATTTATGGGTGGTATAGAATTATTACCTGTGGATTGATACAGTGCCTCATTGTGACTCTAGAGAGCAAAGATACCGCAGACCCTTTTCTCATTTCAAACAGTTGAGGCATCTCTTGACAAATAGATCCACTCTTATTTGCGACGTTAGATTACACATGAGAGTATAAGAAAATTAAAATAAATTTATTAGTTTTTAAAACGAAGCTTAACATTTGATTCTTATAAGCTCAAGGTATTCTAAACGGAACCACCAGGTCTTCTCCAGGTTCAAGTTTCAGATCTAGAAGGGCATTGACGGCCTTTTCAACCGCTGTATTCATCTGAAAGTCATTCAAAGGGAAAAAAATTATTTGGTGTCAGATAAGAGGTTTGTATTCTTAATATTTATTCTAAAATTTTGATTTCAAATCTTTCACATGCTAAAAATTAGGCATACCTTTAAAATATTAGACAAATGAACGTTTAAAACAGCAAAATTTCCTATTGTTTTACCAAAACACTACCTGCACTCAAAAATCTGTGATAACTATTAAGATAGAAATTTTTCTTTGCTGTTTCATTATCTATATATTACACTCTCTTATGCTGTAAACATGTGCGGATGAGACTAAAAGGTCAGGTTTTTTGGCCTAGCTTTGTTCTTAAAAACTGTCCGACGGATTTGTTTAAATTATTCATTTCTTTTCGGATGAAAAGTCTTGAATTGTAGGTGTTCTAAGAGCTGTAGATTTTCATAAATTTTTGCAAGGAACAATTCAAATTAATTATTTTTCTTCAAAAAGCTCTCGTATAGCAAGTAAGTGAGGCCCAAGGGGTTAAATAGTTGCATTTGTTACGAGGACTTGCGGTGCTGAAATATTGAATAATCTGAGGTCAATGCAGACATATGCAGGGGTAAAGGGAAAATGGGGATAAACCCCAGTTCAAAAAGGATTGCAGTAGTAAGAGGCAAATCTTGAATCGTGTGGCAATTTTAAAAAATGAGGACCCTTCCATTCCCTCTTCTTCCCAATACTTTGAAAAACAGGAGAAATTTGCACATTTTACTGTATAATTAAGCATTCAGCTGAAGGGCAAAACTGAAATACAGCTGTGAGGCAAAACCACCAAATTGCTGCAAATAGACAGCATTTTGGAACTTTCTGCACTCCTGCACTAATAAATGCTTATAAATAATAATACAATGATTGTGTTGAGGAGCCAACTGCAAATACTAGAATTAGTAGAAATGTGAGGTGTGAAAATGTTTTCCTTTTTCTTTTCTTTCTTTCTTCCTTTCTTTTTTTCTTATTTATTTATTTCTTTTTCTAGAGATCAGAGAGGCAATTAAGAATTTATGAAAGTAAATAAAATACCTACCAAATCAAGATCTAATGATGAAATGGGGGATGCAGATAAAACCTTTTCAGGAACTGGAATGTCGACTAGAAGACTAGGGGGATTTTTCAGGAAAGACCATTTTGCAAGAGTTGAAAGTTTTGCTGTGTAATAATTTGTGCGTTCCAAATATTCATGCTGCTCCAAGTTGTGAGAACCTAAAGCTGCAACATCTATTACATTTCTGAAAAAAAAAACAATAAGGTAGTTAAAATTTACCATATTTTTGCTAGCATTAATTTAACTGCTTTAGCACACTTCCGTACTTATCATTCATAAAATCAATAAATACATCAAAAGGGCTTGGAAAAAAAAAATTATTTTGACATTTTTTTGGGCATGTGGGGGAAAAAACTGATCTCAATAACTAAACATAGCCTTTTGATCTACTGATGATTTGAGACACCTTTGGAAGTGATTAATGATTTCATGCCTCCAAGTTAGTTTAACTTTTAAATTCAACTTGGCCACATTTTCAGAGAGATATTCCTGTTGTGACAACTGCAAATTTACTGGTATTTCAAGCAATACTGTTTTGAAATTTTGAAGAGCTTTTACGTTTCTTTTTACTTCCTTTACTATGAAATAAAATTATTTTCTCCAGTTTGATGAAAGGTAGTTAACTTCCTCTACCAATGGTCTCTTCAATGGGCCCACTGAATGGTAATAAATGGCAAACCAGACCACTATGTATTCCCGTATCTGAAATCTAAACTCGGGGGAGTTAATTTTGAATCAGTGGAAGAGGCCAAACAAGCCGTCCACTCTTTCATCTCCGGTCAGCTGAAAGACTTCTATGTGCGTGGCATCCAAAATCTGTTCTCTTAGTCTCAGTATCAGACCTGCTTAGATCGAGCTGGTTATGTGGAGAAGTGAGGTAAGCCCCTTATTCTACAAAAACTTCTTTGATTTTTCGTCAGTGATGAACGACTGAGGCTTTGGCAGAGAAGCTCTTTTCCTGTCGCAGACTTCAAATCCCCGCGGATCCGGTGGGAGTGCCGAGCACCTCGGCGCGTTTAAACGGCTCGCATTCGGCCGCACATAGTCCGATTTTGTTGCGGTTTGTTTTGTTGAACTCAGTATATCCTAAGGAAGATTTTGAGTCCAAGTTTTTTAACATTGGTCCATTCTTATTGATTTTAGAGAGGGGGAATCCTTCGTTATTGAACGCCCCTCATATAACACCTGCTTCATTGTAGTAAGCAGAATGGATTTGAACCCTTTGCCGTTTCCAAGTCCTGTTTAGTAAAAATATTATGCGCATGAAAATGCTTGAGGTGAGTGATGACCTAATACTTTTTGGAGAGGTAACAGATTCGAGAGAATAAAGCGACAAAAAACTCTCATTAAGGCTTTTCCAATAACAATCAAGGCAATAAATGCTTTACCTAGCACTGCGAAGTCTGCTGTAGGGTTCTGTAGAAATTAGAGAGTTACAACCACGCCAAATCTCATTTTGAGTTGCCTCATTTAAGAGCATTTTCAAAACTATTTTGCCTCACGAGTTGCCGAAAGGGGACACAGCAAATGTGGTCTGTTAGATTGATGACTATGTCTGTAATATTAAGTTGTCATGAGAACAAGTCATACTATAGGATGGTGGCTTTGAAACTTTATTGCTAAAATGGCTAAAAGAATGCTGAACTTACGTTGCGGTCTCCTGAAGTATCCTGTTCAGAGCTGATTGTTCGTCTGTTTTTTTAGGTAACGAACTATCACATGGTAAGTAGTCATCACTGGAAAGCAGATAAAGTTATATTAATTCCTCACTGCAAAGAATCAGGTTCTCTTGTTTGAACTTTCTCTGATAAAGTACAACTTCTAAGACTAAACATTTTTGGAAACATTCACCTTCGATTTGATCAATTGTACTTGTAATTTCCGAGGAAAAATTGCACATCAAAAATGAATACTTAACTAGCAGAGATTAAGTAGCATTTGAATGTTCACATGTTTTTTCTCAGCAAGACGGGACAGATATACAATATGCTAACTGCTCATGGCCCACTAACGCCCTCATAAGTTGGATTTCTCTCTGCATCATTTCATTACCTACTTTGTGGGTGACTGAGGCCAATATCAATTAAGTTTGAAATATTAAAAAAGTATGCAAGAGATAGGTAGGCCTTCCGGTGACTGAGAAGGAGAACAGAGAGAACCTGTTTTATTATTTTTAACATTTTTATTTTGATCATAGTACAGATCATTACAAAACATGCATAGAATTTTTTTTTATAAATGGAACAAATGGCCTGCATTACACCTAGAGAGCAAATGCTTCATTGCTGACATAATCTTGAATAGATTGAGGCGAACAAATATTCTGCGATGATTCTGAGCACCAAATTCGATTCTTGAGTTGAGGGCATTCCTTCTCCAGTGGGAAGTTTAAGTATGAAGCAAAATTGAAACACCAATCATTGCAGTAAAGCTTTAAGTCAGGAAAGTTTCCGTTCTCTTAACAACCACCACTTAGCTTTACTCCATTTTGCTTGCTCATGAAAAAAAGCAATAAAATATTGTGATACTCCTCAGAAAAGAGATAATTTCAGTGTTTTAAAATGTAAGTAATTAATAAAGGAATTCCTTGCTTCAGGTACCAATATCTGAGGTTTCTGAAGGAGTGGTGTCTTGCATCAGGAAATAAAAATAATGATGGACATATCGTCACCTTCTGGCCCTAGTATCACAAGCGCCATGCAATGTTTAAACATTTCCACCGCCATTTTATTTTTTTATAGAGAAATTGCTGGTCAAATCTGTTTGAAAAAATCACTGAATTTTATTGGCAGTACAAAAAAAAATTAAGTATAATTTTCGGAGAGCTTTGTTGAGCAATTTCTTTGTAAAAAATAAAATGGCAGCAAACATTTTTAGACATGGCATGGCGCTTGTGATACTTTGACTGGAAGGTGACAATATGCTGAGTGAATTACTTACCTGTGAACTCTCTGAATTGAGGTGTTATTTATCACAGGATCAACAAGTAAGTGCGTCCTCTCATTGGAGTCAATGGCCTATAACAAAAATTATACTTCCATTACATTATGCATAATTACACAAAATTGCACACAGAATTAGAGAATGAAGATCGACTAATCCTTTCATGAAATTAGTGAAACCAATTGGTGCAGTTGGCAAAACTGAATTAACGTGGACTGCTGGCGAAAAGAGGGATGTTTCAGTAGATAGGGAAATTGATTTTGGATTGATTTGATGAAAATTTCATGTTGTTTTTCAAAAGCTCTTTGCATTTTGAAGCTAGCTGAGATTATGAAATCCAAGCAAGTAAAAGCCATGATATTTGTAAGAAAACAGAAACCACTTTTTCCCCTTCTGTGCAATACTGATAAAAAAATCTGCCCTTTACTTTCATTACATCACTATGAAAACTGTTCAATAAGAGAAATTAGTGCCAGTAGAAGTTAAGAAGCAACAGTTGAATGAATAAGGATTCTGGATAACGAGGACGAATGGGGAAAACAAAAGGAAGAAGTTGGCAGACTCTAGTTCAGGCCTAGACCTAAACATAGGCTCTAATATTAAAAATTAATGGTGGTGAACAAATTTCATGAGAAGGAAGATGCATTGTCAAAGGGAAGTTATCCAACATCTTTCAGTTTATAAAATGACCCTCCCTGGTTCCATCAACCCTTCGTCATCAGGTTATTCAGACAGTGACCAACAATGGATGCTGTTGTGATAGACAACAGACCTCAACGGATATTACTCAGTGAGAGCGATTTGAAAATTGTTCTTGAATCCTTGTCGAAACAATGCTTCATACCTGGTGACTGTCATGGCGGTTCAATATTCACCGCAACAGCACAGCACCTTCCAGAGCTGGCAAATGACTAGCTTGGAAGGAGGTACACATAGTCATGTATCAGGGGTTGGGCTTCAGTCGGACAACGCGTAATTCACCAAATGAATCTCTATTGCCTATCACGAATGCACCTAATACTGACCAGTTCGCATCAGGTACTTCTGTTTTCAAACAGGCCCAAATAGTTTACTTAAACAAAGTACCTAATTAATGGGGTCTAGTGTAAGCAACCGGGGGTGGCACCACTTTGCAGCACGGTTATATTAGTAATACTTAGTACTCGCACAAAATTCATGTAAGATTGATCTTCTTGAGGACATCGACGGTAATCCGTGTATTGCTGTAAAGACAATTGATGACGCAATGCAATGTAAATACTGCCATTGGCAAGTCTTAGAAAATATTCTGTGAAGAGTTTAACGATATGTACCTGAGAAGATGAGTCCTCTCCGCATGAGAAGCAGCAGCTCAAATATTTACATAAGTTTTCCATCAGATGCTTGCTAAATCAGTGACTGTAAGAGATGATGGAGAGTTATGACATGAGTTAAATAATTCTGTAGTGGTTGGGAAAATGAATAGTTCTGTTTTGTGTTCTTTTCATATTGATGGATGGATGGATATGATGGATGCAATGAAGAATAGGTGGTACCTATGTATTTATGCTGTAAATAGGTATTGAACTATGCACAAGCGACTATTGTTTATCGTTAATATGTACTTAGAAAATGTGACCGGTGGATAGACGATGATAAGAGCAAAGCAAAAATATCCCGGTGATTAATATTAACGCAAATTCACGAACTCATGGCACTCAAGTTCATTATCTATGAACAACAACACTGTCGTGCTAAGGAAAAACACCGTATGATCCTTTAGGCGTTGCCAAATTTCCTTTGATAAAAAAAGAATTAACTGATAAAACTAGGAAGATTTTTCATCCAATTTTTCAGATAATTTTTCTCCTACTTTTATCTAAATTTCTTCAAAATTTCAAGGAAATTTATCCTGAACTTACTTCTAAATCAAACAATTGATATAAAAAATTTGGCAACTCTTGAATGTTCATACGCTGTTCTTCCTTAGCACGGCAGAACAGTCCTCCGTGTTGGTGGTGCGGTGGTGCGGTGGTGTTGGTGATGTTAGAAGGAACATTTGGAAAAATTGGGATAAAATGAAAATTTGCGGTTCAAATTAAGGAACGTTCCGCTGAAATCCGGATATAGCGATAGTGCAACGCAAGCGCTGTTGTTTGGTCCAAAGTTGGTTCGCCGCTGATGCTGCCGTTCCGTCCGCAATATTGTCATTTTTCTTGCTGTCCTAACCAGATTTTCTGAAGAACCGGACGGTCCCAGTATTTTGACAAAGTTGAACGTGGCTTTTCTTTCTTTTATATCTGGACTATTTCCGTAAGTAATGCAGCATCATTTCCTCCCATGGCTCCCTTGTTAGATTTGTCCCTTTTCACGTTTCTTTCTATTTCAGAGTACCGAACGCACCACGCGCGTCTATCGGTGTCATGTGGCCGCTGAAGCCTATGTTACACTCTGATTTCAAATATAAATCAAGTTGCGATTTTTTTCTTTTTTTCGGAGAGCATTGCCCCTTTCAATCTTTTCTCTTTCCTCTCTGAACCATTGTTTTTTTTTCTATATAGGCATCACCATTTATATCTTTCCATGTGAGTGCAGGCATGTTCGGTTCAGTAAGCATGCCTCAAGTCATTTTGTGTTGTGACGCTCTGAACAGCATTTATTTAATCTTATTACAGCCCTTGCAGAATGCAGACGTTTTTGACTTCTCTGTTCTGCGGGCGTCTCGGTAGCCTATTCTGAACTTTCATGTTATCATAATGCATACGGACCCTCTTGACCAATAGCTACGTTTCTTCCAGCATTTCATTGCAGATTGAGCATATATTCCGCAATACAAATTGAGAGGTGTCCTTTGCGAAAATTTGATATTATTGTAAAGGGCGTGGATCTCAACCCCTGCCAACAGCATTTCTCTACGTACCCAAACTCCATGATCTGCTCTAAACTAGAGTTAGATTGCTTATGCGCTTTTTGCATCAGTATCAACCAGCAATACAGAGGTATTGGTAAGAGTCAGAAGTTTCAATGAACTGCTTTCCTTAACACGGCTGCTTTGTGACGCAATCAAGTAAATGTATGTACCCTCAGCGAGTAAGCAGCCCCTCATAGGTAGTCCGAGAATAACCCATCAAATATAATTTTAAATATGAAGAATGTGTGCTCAAGAATTTATCAAATTTCACCTACGAAATTTTTGCTCAACAGCTCCTTAAGTTGCTCTTGTTATTTCTGACGTGATTTTGAAATCGTTTATCCATTTTAATCTTTAATTTAGGCAGAGACAAAGAATTAGCCTCATCATGGCACCAAGTATTAGGAATACAAAAAATATTGGCAAAAGTTTTTGTAAATATTTATTAAAATGAATCGCAGTGGTATTTTAAGTTTACACCTCTGAAGCCAACAGAACATTTCTATTTTGTGGTCTCTGAAACTCAGGACCCTTTTCAAATCTCCGTCTTATTGATATATCTGTTTCTTGGTTACAGATTTGACTGATTATGCCTCCTAAGACAGCACCGAAGAAGCCAGCAGCAGCTGCTGGTGATAAGAAGCCTGCTGCAAAGAAACCTGCAGCTGCTGCCCCAGCAGCTAAGAAACCTGCCGCACCAAAGGCAGAGGCAAAACCTAAACCAGCGAAACCTGCAGCTGCTGCCGCCCCTGCCAAAAAGGCTGCACCTGCGGCAAAGCAGCAAGCCGGCAAGAGTCAGCCAGCCCAGAAGCAAGCAGGAAAGCCTGCCCCTGCCAAACAGCAAGCGGTCAAGGAAGCGACGAAGAAGCCAGCGCAACAGAAGGCTCCTGCAAAACCTGCGGCAGGAAAGCAGCAGCAGCAAAGTGGAAAGGGCGCTCCCGCAAAACCAGCACAAGCAGGGAAGCAGCAAAAACCCGCAGCCAAGCCCCAGGCAGGAGGCAAGCAAGCTGCAAAACCGGCTCCTGCTAAGCAACAGGCTGGTGGTAAGCAGCAAGGAGGGAAGAAAGCCCCTGCTGCCCAGCCCAAGCAACAGCAGTCAGTCAAGAAAGTAACGAAGACTCAAGCAGCAGCCCCAAAAGGTGGCAACAAGAAACAAGCAGGCAAAAAAGCCCCTGCACCTGCCCAGAAGGGTAAAGGAGGAAAGCTTACTTCAGCTAAGAAACCACCATCATCTAAGCTATAGTAAGTTTTTTAAACACCAGACATTATTTTCTCCTTATTCTATTGTACATTTTTCATCTTCACCTACAATACACCTTCAAGTAGCCCTGACATGCAAAGCTTGAAAATCATTTTGTCACTTGGGTCATACTGTTTCAAGTACATCAGTACTTTCGTTGCAGTTTTTTTTTGTTTTTTTATTTAACTGTTTATTGTTACAATTTAAAAAATACTAAAAGATAAACTGAAATAGTATAAACGGGTAAAGAGAACCCCTGACCGCCAGGCCGACTGTAGAAAAAATGAAAAACTTAAGTAACAAAAAAAAACAATGATCTTGGCAGCAGGCTGAACTGACACAGATTCAACAAAACAAACAAAACACACAAACAAAACAAACAAAATTCTCCCAAGCCAATACAGCAACTAGTGCATTAACAAAGGGAAAAAAAAAGAAAAAAACTAAGTAAGGACAAAGTGAAGACCCTCAAATGATAACTTAAAAGTAAGTCTTTTCTTGCTCTTAAAGGCATGAGTAATTTTCCCCTCCCACCAAGAGAACAAGCTTCAAAAGATGCCTGTCGTGCCTTTGGTAAAATCTTTAGACTGCTTAGTTAGCAAGAAGGCAATCCAATTTTTTTCAGTGTAGTGAGAGGTTACCCCTAAGTCTTTATATATTTTTACTATTGCTAGATTCAGTATGGATAAATGAAATCTGTAAGAAGTACCATAACTGGCATATTCTTAGCTTTCTCAAGATCCTTAATGTTTCAATATCACTAGTTAGATATTTGCGCAATGAATTTTCCTTATAATTTTTTTTTTTTTTTTTTTTTTTTTTTTTTTTTTTTTTTTTTTTTTTTTTTTTTTTTTTTTTTTTTTTGCGAGCAAAATATTAAAATTTTTGAAAATAAGTAAGTATAGAGAGATAGTTATGGTCAATTTTCAACTCGGGGCTAAAATTACATTAGAACCAACTATCAAATCCTCAGTGCTTTTTTTAGTGCAAACCTGTGTTCTTATTATCACCTCCATTGTTCCAGTGTTAAAGAAGAACCAACCTTCAAGAAACCATCAGCTGGTAGTGTCAGTCAAAGGTTATGGTACAGAGCCATCAAGAGGGTAGCGAAAAGAAGTGCCGATCTCAATGAAAACCAAAAGAAGATTCTCAGTGTGGTTTCTACCAAGAGACGTGTACCTCGAGTTATCTACCGTTTTGTTGTAAGTAACACTATTTTTTAACCTATGACAATCTCAAGATTGTTAAAGACACATATGTTGAATTAGCGAGAACTCTGAGCAGAGCGTTAACTTCTCTTATCAAATCGGTCGATGCAAAAACAACTTGCCCCCCTTCCTCCCTACGAATTTTCATGATTCTTGGGATTTTGTAAGAACATTTCCCTAAGAAGCTCCTAAAGGGTTTTTTCCTAAAATTTTAGCTGCTCCCAAAAGAAATCTCCTAAGTTAATTTTTTTCTTGCCTCAATCCAACAAAAGATCTCCCCCTTGTATAAGAATCTAATCTTTTTTCCCCCGATGGTCTACAAGCGTATCCTGACCATGAAGCGGCTAGCTCTGTATTTAAGGTATAGAGCCCTGATAGAATCAGAGATCTCCCTTTTCTAGAAAGCGGTCTCAGCCAGGTTCAATGAAATGATTCATTAACCATATCATAGATGTTAATTTTTAATTGATATTGACTTTGCCTGCCTCTTTTGCGATCCATTTTTTCAATTCATTTATTTCTGTTTCTGAAAGATAATATGAAGAGCGATTATTTGTTAATTGAAAGGTCTTTTGCTATAATGTTCTCACATCTACCAATGAAGGCTTGCACACAGTTATTCAAAAGTCATGCTTTATGCATTAAACAATTGTCAATTTTCCGTTGGCACTCTTTTGATACACCCATATCTCAGATAATGAAGGATGCACGCATGTCTCCTAGTTAACAAATTTTACCAACGTTTTGGAATGACTTACGGCGAAAACCTCTCAAGCTGCAGTCTCTGTTATGGCAATTTTGTTCATTGACTCCAAGAATGATTTCATAATAATCAGACTCACTTATTTTGGGTTTCTTTCTTAATGAACGTTTCCAAACGAGCACCTACCAAGGAAAATTTTCAAAAATTCTAACTCAGAGTCAATGTCGGCCACTCTGTCAAGCTTCCTTTGTAGGTTTAAGCAGTGAGAATCTCTAGAAAATTATCTTCTTCCCCTCTCAACCACCATTGTGTCACTAAAACGTTGATCTTGCCTGATGATACATAATGCTGGGTTTGAATTGTGCTAGACTGCTCCAGCGTAGAGCTCAGCTGCACCTTCTCTTATATTTTGTCTCATCTCCTCATCTATCAGACCTAACTTTTGTTTTTTTTTTGTTTCTTGAATCAAATGGGCCTGTTGCAAACTTTTGCTGGAGCAAAAATAAGAGTTGTGTCTTATAGATAATGCCTCAGAAATCACGATGAGCGCATCGGCAAAGTCTGAAATGCACTCATAACTTCACAATCTGCGTAAGAAATTTGCGTTTTTTTAAGCTTCCCGCTTCAAAAACGATACTACGGCACAGGTGAACATTTTGTTAGAGGAGTCGCTCCATCGTCGGCGATATTCATCATGGCCGACACTTGCGCGCAGTTTTGCGCGTAATTCGAGGAGAGTTCAAGGTCAATCAATGCGGGCGTGGAAAACATGGACGTAAAACACGCCGATTGTTATCTGGTCTAATCCAGTTCAGGTATTATCTCATCCCATCACACGTGTTTTGGCGGATTGGCGTCGGCCATGATGAGTATTGCCGACGATGGAACGACTCCTCTTACAAAATGTTCACCTGTGCCGTAGTATCGCTTTTGAAGCGGGAAGCTCAAAAAACCGCAAATTTCTTACGCAGACTGTGAAGTTATGATTGCATTTCAGACTTTGCCGATGCGCTCATCGTGATTTTTGAGGCATTATCTATAAGAAACAACTCTTATTTTTGCTCTAGCAAAAGTTTGCAACAGGCCCATACTAATTTGTTTTACTTAAAAAATTAGTCACAAATTCATCAAGCGCAGCTCAACTACGAATTAAATGCAGATATTCGTTAGTTCATCATGCACATATCTTGCAGATGACTTTTTTTTTCCAGTTTCTCACATTAAGATCTTAGATATTCTGAGTTACCAGGACAAAAACACCCTTAATTTCTTCTGTTTTGGATTCACTGAAATTGTTAATCATTCTAAGTAACTTATTTCTTTTCATTTTCAGAGATTCGTCCAACATAATTGCAACATTCAAGAAGAGAAGCTTAAGCCTACGATAGAAAATGTTTTCTACCTAGCTGTTCATGAAAAGAGTCGAATTACTGGTAGACCTGTCCCAGATGATTTGTTGAAGAAGATCTCCAAATTGAGTGGCAAGGGTCCAAAAAGTGCGGCCAAGAAAGGTGCTGTAAAAGGAGCTCCCTCCAAGAAAGCCCCCGCTCAAGGTGCCAAAAAACAAGCTCAAAAGAAACCTCAGCAACAACAGCAGCAGCAAGGAAAGAAAAGACCAGCTGAACAGCAAAAAGCTAAATCAGTCCCTGCGGCCAAAAAGAATGCACCAGCAACCACTAAAGCTGCTCCAGCAAAAGGACCCGCGAAAAGTGGGGCAGCTGGTAAGGCACAAGCCAAGCCAGCCGCAGCAAAACCAGCCGCTGCCAAGGGTGCCGCTAAGCCTGCTGCACCCAAAAGTGCACCTGCTAAACCAAGCAGCAAACCTGATAGCAAAAAAAGTGAAGGAGCCAAGAAACCTGCTGCAAGTCAAGCAAAGCCTAAATCAGCACCTGCAAAAACACAAGGAGCCAAGCCTGCTGCTGGTGGACAAGCTAAAAAGAAACCTCAGAAGTAAAAAAATCTGAATCACTCTTGGTGAGTTTTTACATTTTATATTTTTGCTGCTCTTGAGGCTTAAGCATTCTTTCTACGAGCTGTTGAGTAACCTAAATGTCATTTTCATGATTTTTGTTTTCTTATATCTCTGAGTTTTGGAAAAGCCTGCCACTTTCTCAGCATCTCTCCGTGAAATTATAAGATAATAAAACTTCGATCCAACAAATTCTTTGAATCACTCAAGAATCTTTTGGCGGTTCCGAAAAAATCTCTATCTTTTTTATGTAAATTATACTCTATCTAACGAATATTCGAAGATTCGTCAAATCGAAGTTTTACTGCATGTAAAATCTTGCGTCTTAAACAAGTCCTGTAAGTCCAAGTATTTGAGGTGTCCTAAGAATGACACATTTTATGAGACAAAAACTTTTATTCAACATACCAGGGACAAATCATCGTTTATGACTCAAATACAAAAACGGCTACACACAGTTAACGAATACATGACGATTACACACTGTCAACATCTTAATGTATACCAAGCGAGTGCCTCAGTCCCCGCACACACCGGCTGAGTCCAGCTGGCCACACCGGCCTCGCCAGCGCTGCCTTACGACAGCTTTATGTACTACACCCCAGTATGGGCTTGCAAATTTCATGTGTTGTTTTCAAGATGCAAGTATTAGGGTGCCATCAGACTGTGTGCAGCAAAAGCCGAGTTGCCCCCCGAGAAATTCGGTTCTACGGCTGAAATTTCTCTCATGGCCATTTGTTCGCTTTTTGAGAGGTAAAGACTTCAATAGTAACAAGTTTTGCAAACCAAGATATTTTGAAACACCCTGCTGTTCCTCTGTTAATCGATAATTAAAATTTGAGTAATTTTTCCTCTTCTCAAAGAATGGATACTCTTCCAAAATTTTAATTGAGAAGGTTAGGACTGTATAAAAGTATAATAGACATAAGAATGATTGAACCCTGTTGTTTGGACACCAACTTCATTAGTTTCTAATTCTTATTGTTTTTATTCCAGATGCTGTGGACGTTAGGTGTATAAGGCATCTTATTTGACTGGACATCATCCCAACTCTAGTTATGGAGGTTTTTATTCTTCGATAACTGAAAACTTAACATTACAGGTTAAGTTACTGTACTATGAATTTTTTTATTTTGTTCTTTTTATTAAATATATTTTTGTTGCAAAACAAATTATAGTCTTATCTTCAAACATTCACAATTCCTTTTTGTAATAAATATCACAAATGCAACTTAGAGGAAAATAAGTAAAGAAAAAAAATTAGACTGAATATCTCCCAAAGGTGCCTTACCTTTATTTATATAAGAATAGGAATTCGTTGAAATGCAACCGCTTGTTTTTGTGTCCTAGTAAAATTATGTGCAGGTGTTGGAGTAGAACAGGAGCTTAAAATTTAACTTGCTAGGAGTTTCATTGATTCATAATCCTTTAAACGAAATTTAATAATTGCACAGTAATGCAAATGAGTTAGATTTTATCTACTGCAGTAGAGATGGTCACTAAATGTGTGGTTTGGAAACCATTTTAAATGTATTTGCCACAAAGGAGCATTATGTTGTATGCATACTGCCCTTGAGGTCTTGCAATTTAGGAGGAGTCTACTTGACACTGAATAGGCATGTGAGTGGCCACAGAAAATGGAATGTCATTTCACAGAGATGACTTTTCAGGAGAGTGATTAGCTGTTGTCAAGTTGGACTGAAAAATCAAAATTTCAGTTCTCAGCATGAAACACCTTTAGTATTTGAATTAAAAAAAGTCCCAAATGAATTAGTTCATTTGTTTTGTAAATCGAGAGCGTAAAGCTGCATTTTGTTTTTTCAAACGTCAAATACCCTCTAGGGTATAATCTTACGCACAGAACCTCCCTTCATCCGCTCTCAACAACCAATCCCAAACAAACCTTGTTTGAGATCATCATACTTGGGTTGCCTAACCAGGGATCAGAGGGCCTCTGGAATAAGGACAAGACTGATCGTGTTAATCTGACCCTTTTAAGCCCTCAACTGGTGAAACTAAAACTTCAACCAGAGTTTTCTCCATACTATATTTCTCGAACTGCTAACTCCAAATCATTATAATTCACAAGGCAAGGCCCAAAAGTGGCTGCCTCAGATTTAATGCATCTTGCTGTAATAATTAGCTCAAGAAAAGCTGATCGATGAGTGCCTCTCAGTTTCCGCCATCGAGCTCTTGAAATGTCGCCACCCTCTTTCCCAAAAGATCATCTGAAAATGTCTTCTACCTTCCATGGTCATCTGCACTGGGCGGATTGTTGAAATTGATAGACAAAAAAGACTAGGAGTATGGAGCGATCCCATCGGTTAAAATAGGCGGTTCTTATAGACTAATAGGGAGAAAATGATGGACTAACTATAGGGTCTCTCATGGGTTGCTGTTAGTTAGTCTATACTTACCTCCTTTGTCCACTGAAACCACCCGCGTTACTAATAGAATCCCTCCATATCCTTTGTCTCCTTTGTCTATAGCTTTTTCTACCAATTTTAACAATCAGCCCGCATTATGAGGAATGATTGTCAGTCATTGCATATCCATAAACAGTTGTGCAATAGCTCAGGACTTGCCTCTCATGGTGACAGAGTATGATTCCCAATTAAAGATTTCAGAGTTGGCTCTTAGAATAATGCGTTGACCATCGCGGGATTACGTATTGATGGTTGAAGTCGAAAAGTGCGCATTTCCATTGCAACATTGCATAATTTCCGATTATGTTTCAGTTTTTACAAGAATATTAACAGAAACACCGTTTTCAGGACATTCTGTTGACAATTTTTGTCTGCGCACCTGTTTTGTCCAGTAGTTGACGCCCACGAGTAAAATAAGCAACAGTGACTAGATCCAAGCTTTATGTTTTAGTCCTTGTGTAAAATTATTTTGACAGCATCTAAATGAGAAAATCGAGAGAGAAGGTGTTGTTACGGTAACTCATTTTTAAATGAAATGTTACTTTCTTCTTTTGATTCATTCAAAACGCTGTGTACCCAAAATTCCAGGTAGACTTACCAGGCGCCTGGACTATTAGCGCCCTTAAACTACGACCATAACGGTCGAAACTGCAGTAGCGGCACAGGAAAACCGGAAAACCACGCGCGCGGGGACGCTACTTCAATATTAAGCTTCCATCGCCTTCCTAAGGCGCAGGGTTACAACTATTTGAACTCTCCGGAACGCGTGAGGTATCACGCCTCAATTGAAGGCGTTTTCGAATCTTATGTATTTACACGACGAGATTTTCCAAATTGATTTGCATTATATTGTTGATTAGAGTTTCCTTTATTATTTAATGAAATTACTCCTGCTTCTTAATTTTTAATTATTTTGCACAAATTATCCATTCACGAAATACAACCCTGATTTTAGCGCCCTTAAACTACGACCATAACGGTTGAACCTGCAGTAGCGGCACAAGAAAACCGAAAAACCAGGCGCGCGGGGACGCTACTTCAATATAAAGCTTCCATCGCCTTGCTAAGGCGCAGGGATACAACTATTCGAACCCTCCGGAACGCGTGAGGTATCACGCCTCAATTGAAGGCGTTTTCGAATCTTATGTATTTACATGACGAGATTTTCCATATGGTTTTACAAAATATTGTTGATTTGAGTTCCCTTTATTATTTATTTAAATTTCTCCTGCTTTTTAATTTTTAATTATTCTGCAAAAATTATCCATTTGCGAAATACAATCCCGGTTTTATAGTCCAGGCGCCGGGTAGCCAAAAATGAGGCTACCTGGAATTTCGGGTACACAGCGATTTTTTTCGCTTACTTTGTGTTATTCGGGTCGCTTAAATCCGAATCTGAAATTTTCTACCGCGTATCTGGTGGGCATTTTCCGCCATTTTGAAAAAATGGCCTGAGAAGGACTTTTTTTGCGGTTCTCGTGATATAGCGGCTACGCATGAGAAAAAGTCCCGGATTTAGTTAATATTTTGAATAGCTGACATACTTTGGAAGAAAATGGTATATGAATATGCTATGTTCGCTTAAAAATTGAGGAACCTCGGATCTCGGAACTTTGGAACGCTTCGGAACTTGGGTGACCGCGGCGAGCCGGATCGCGCGTTGACGGGCCAACCTAGCATATGTATACACTATTTTCTTCCAAATTATGTGAGCTATTCAAAACATTAACTAACTCCGGGACTTTTTCTCATGCGTAGCCGCTATTTAAAAAAAACCGCAAAAAAAAGGCCTTTTCAGGCCATTTTTTAAAAATGGCGGAAAATGCTCACCAGGTACGCGGTAGAAAACTTCAGATTCGGATTCAGCAACCCAAAAAACAAAAGCCAAAGTAAGCCAAAGAAATCGCTGTGTGTACCCAAAATTCCAGGTAGATTCACCAGGCGCCTGGACTGCTTTTCAAATTGACATTGGTGAATACCTATTTGGTTGTATTTCTATCCTGAAAATTTTCGTTGTGAAATATACCTTACAGGTACCTTTTTTTTCTCTTTCTTTCTCTTTTTTAAATGAAAATATTACTTTATTGAAAAAACAAGTACATATTTTCAAAACGTGGGAAATATTTGTACAACCTTTTTTAAGCGATGGCATCGATATTAATCTCAATGAGCCGTAGTTGTCTTGAAAGAAACTATACAAAAATGAAGAGAAGAGGGGAAAAAACCAAGGAGCACGCAATCTTTGGTTTTAACCCGTTTGTACATCGATCTTTTTGAGTCAAAACGTCCAATTTTGAACGTTTGCGGTTGCGCGTGCACCATGCTGCAGCACAGTAAAAGCACAAAATACAAAAGAAAAAATTGAAGCTAGCTCTTTGGACATCATTAAATTTGACACGGAACCACCTTCATTTTTACAAAACACACATTCTATTTTCCTTGAATACATATTTTTTTCCCCCATACATTTTAATGAGAATGATGCTGAGTGTGCAAATATTTCAAAATCATGAGTTGAAAAACGCTGACTTTGAGAGTTTATGTCAGAACCTAACACAGAGCCTATACTAACGTATTTATACCAATATATGCTATACTCTATACTATACTATACTCTAACGAATATATGTATACTAATGTAATATCTTCATCCATGACAGAGCGGAGCGGTGCGAGGTGTCAGTGCAACTCGCTCACTGACGCCTACAAACCTAACGGGGATACTTCACGCATTGCGCATTGCGTGAACAAACATTATTTTGCAAAAAAAAACCGTTATGGGACTCAAAAATTATCATTTTCTTAATGTTTCCAGTAAGTTTTACATTTTTACTGTCAACTGGAAGGATGGTAGGAGGTGTTTTCACTCTCCTGAAAAATCGTATTCTCGTGTTCTTGGTTTGTCACCCGCGTTAGGGGTATTTCACTCATTGGAGCTCACCTTCGATTGCGCCCCATGGCAACAAGAGAGCCCAGAGCGGAGCGGCGCGTGGAGTCAGTGCAACTCGCGCACTGACGCCTACAAACCTAACAGGGATACTTCACGCATTGCACCATGCGTGAAGTATCCCGGTTAGGTTTGAAGGCGCCAATGCGCTAGTCGCGCTGCATGGTTTCCCTCGCCAGTCGCGGCGCGGCGCTTCAAGCAAAACTATTTTGCAACAGTGGTGTTACACAGTATCATACGAAATTGAAGGCGCTTCAACGTATCAAGGACGACCAGGCATCCTTTAAGAATAAGGAGCTTTCTTTGCAAAATAAATCAAGATACTACGCAAAAAGAGAACAGACGTCCGAAAGCTCACTAAGTCCTAGCATGTGTATTCCATAACGTTTTATGATTTTTGAATTACATTAGAAAAGAATTTGACTCGATTTAGGCAGAAACATCCTTGGGAATGCCGTCAAGAAGATTATATTTTGAATCAAAAATAAAATCGCTGAACGAAAGCTGGTTTCTGCTTGATGTAAGTGACTTTTTTTTTATAAAGGCATCTTTTCTTCTTAAACAAGCATTATTTTCTTTATTGATTCATAGGGAAATCGTCTCGGCGGCAAATTTGAGCATATTTCTGCTTGAATCAAGTCACTTTTTCCTCTAATGAAGCTCAAAAATCATACTGAACGTTATTGAATACAGATACTAGGACTTCGTAAGTTTTTCGACTACCGCTCTCTTTTTATCATCGTCACTCGATTCAATTTGCGAGGGAACTTCGTGCTTTTGAAAGATACCATCAATCATGATACGTCGGGGTGCATTCAATCTCGTATGATACTGTGCAACATCTCCGTGGCGAAATAATGGCTCGAAGCGCCGCGGCGCCGTCACGAAGTTATCGTCCACAGTCATAATCTAAGAGCCTTTAGCTGAGGCAAATCAAAAGGTTTATCCAGTTCAGGTATAACAAGGTGGGATTTTCTTTAAAGATAGTCAAGTCCTGTTGCACTAAAGGGGTGTAGGGAGTTTTAGTGAATTTTCCCACGTAGAATTGATGCTCCCCCATTTTTACCAAAAATCTTAATTATATATTTTTCTCCGTTGGACCAAACAAACAAACAAAAAAAAACAAGCATACCTTCATCCTTCCGCGACATTATACATTTTCATCCGAAAACGTCATGAACAATATTGTCGCTTGTATTTACATGAGGATCAATTAACATTTGGTCTCAACTGGTAAGTGGACCAAAACTCCCCTGCCGAAAAAACGCGTGGACACAAACCACTAGAGACAACAGGTACGCGGACAAAAAAATGTTGAAGAAATGTCGTACAACCGAAACACCTACATAATCTCCTTTAGCTTTTCTGTAAATATTTTTAAGTAAGTGAGGAGAACTCTCAGAAAATTTTCACTGTTGGCCATTATTGTTCAGGAAATTAAATCCCGAGTCAACTTGGAAAAAAAACTTCGCATTCGATACAGAAATCGATAGCTGAATCAAAATGCGAGGTTTTCTTCCAAACACTATCCTGCTTTCATTTCTCTGAATTTTGCAGATTTTTGGGTTTAGAATGATTCGTTAGGCTCATGCGCAGGAGCTATCGTCCTTTTTTTGCTGAAAATTCAAAATCTGCTGAGATTTTTTACCTAAAAGATGCGATATATCGCATGCCAGTTCGACCACTTCTTTTGAGCTTGACGAATCACTTTAACCTTTTCGAGAAACATCCATTTATCTTGCACCTTAAGTTTAGATTGAACAGGGTTTGTATCCTTTCATATCCTGCTTTTAACTTCTGCGGAAATTACAGCTCGACTTTGTCAGCAATGTAGCAATCATATCCCTCAGTACTAAACTACAATTTTACAGCAAAGCATTAGATGTGATTTGCATTTTACCTACTAAGTAACTGAGTACTCTGCCTCTTAGTTAGAATCTTGTTCAATACACTAGAAACGACGCGACATGCACTCAAACGCTAACTCTTACTCCGGCTTCTTGTTTACTCGTGTAGCAATTGTTGCATAAAGAGTCAAGTGAAGGCGCTCTAGTGTGGTGTAGTTTTCCTCTCTATCTCGTTCTAGTCTTTTTCGTTCCAAAATCTCCGTTTCATTAGGAAAGCAATTAGGGCCCTTTTTCAATTTTTTTTCTCTTATTATTCTATTCAAAAAACGTCTCGAAGACGTACCTAGGAGCCTGAGCTGATCGAACTACTGTTTCCAAATAAATCACTATGTCAGCAGTACCCAAATATTTCAATCATATTCGTGCAATAAAGTAAATGGGTTGGACTCGGATTAGGAAAATGTATCTGTACCGATGCTTCCGAAATTCTTTGATTGATTTTTTGTTGTTTCTTTGAAAGACTTGACAAAAAAAGCTCAAAAGAGAGGAAAAAAATAAAATAATCTACAAGAAAAGACGCTTATTATAACGAGAATTTATTTCATTTTATATATTATTTTCTCATGGATAACTGATCGTACAGTTTTTGTTTTTGTTCAAAGTGTCAGGTACTTTAAAATCTTAACATTTTTTAAATTACTAATATAATAAGTTATATAAATTATATACCTCGATACTTAAATATTTAAGGAAGTTTCCTGAAAAGTTAAAATAAAGGGTTGCAGCTATTTGCAACTGTAATTTACAGGCAAGAAGGCAGAACTTGACGTCAGGTACTATTTTCCTTCGCATGCCTATTATTCCACGCCATTGATATGTACCAAAAAATAGGCTTTTATGGATAAAGCTAGCCTTATCATGTGGCGATGAGGCAAATTCTCAACATGGCATCTAGGTGCTATATACTTTTTATTGAGCGGTAATCAAAGCTGTGTTTGCTCTCTATCCATTCCGTTGTGTTTGCCAGGCGTGATATATTTTATAATCAAACGGAAGGGGAAAGAGGGGGAGAGAGAGAAAGAGAGAAATAATAAATAAATATTAAGTAGGTATGTCTTCGACAATGAAGCACCATTATCATATCTTATAATACCTCTCAAATATCTGTGCACCTTAACAATGGTGTTCAAGCTTTCTTAGTTTCAGTTTTTTGACCCTCGTACAGTTCCATACCTTTTGTTCTAATGGCGGATACTGTTTCTTCAATTTTCTTCGAGGCGTCTCTCAAATTTTTTTTCGTCTCTTCGTTTAGCTTTTCGTAGACGCCAGATAAAGTCGCATTTAAATCTGCGAATGCCTTCTGGAAGTTCACTGTCAGATCCGAGGGTTTTTGTTCCTCTGCTGTCGTTTCGACAACCTGTTAACAAAGAATATACACATTACTTAAAATTGTATCAAAATATCTATAAAAGAATTCGTACATCACCCCAGACAACCGAGGTTCTTTTGAATCACTTTATCATCTTAAGTCTCATTTAGCGCTAAACTCCCTTTCAGATAAAGAAGTTTGCGATATTAATCCTCTATAAGACTTAAGGGCGGATTAAGTTTCCGGGCCGATGTCACAATATTGAACGTTGAGTTTCACCCATCACCAACTTTTCTTACTGATTAAGGTGATTTTATTCGAATCAAAACTCAACTCAACTTTTTCTAAAATGTAAGTTTTTTTTTTTTCTATCGTCCTCTCTCGTTAAGTTTCTCTCGTTTAATAAACAGTCTGCGATTTTTCAAAGGAAACAATTAACATTGACGGAGAGACTCCCAAAGCACGTATTTTGGGTCGCGAAGTCGCACACTTCCTGCCGTCATTTATTTTTTAATCATGGCGAACTACTCAACGTCAATTCCTAAAAACTGCAGTGCTATTCTTCTGTCCAAAGCAAATTTTGAAAAAAATTTGGAGGAGTGACATTTATTTCTTTTACTTCAGAAAACTAAAATAGAAGCGGAGATTCTTAAACATCGCAAACGAGATACGTGGCTTGAGCCTTTCGCCGTATAGGATTTACTTTTATTAGGTATGTAAAATAAAAAATGACTTTTAGCGTCGTCTTAATATTCTTAAATGCACGTCAATACTTGAATTCCTTCTGCTTATCAAAGTCTTAATAATTATTCACGTCAGAGCGTTCAAAGCTAAAGTCTAAAAAAAATAATAATAATAACTTGGGGAGCACTGCGCACCTGCTACCCTTTGAGTATTTTAAAATCGTTTGCATACAAGAAAAAATTGGATTTTTTCCGTTAAAATGATGGTCTTAGTCCGTGTTCTCTCGAGTTTCGCCACACTCTTCTCTGCAAAGTAAATTCACAGTTTTCGTTTGCTTTCATACAATATTATTAATTTTCCGGTGCTCTGATTTGTAACGGAGCAATGCCTTAAAAAAAATGATTGATAGTCTCACAGCGAAAAGGAGATAGGACAATCTTGTGAATTTGTCAATGTGTAAATGCTCTTACCATTGCAAATATGACGGCAAGAACGAAAATTGGGAGACTTTTGAAGAGTAGATTCATTTTGGAAGAACTCGGAGAGAAACTAAACTATTCAGAAAATTTATAAGGAACTTTAGTCACTTGATCTCGCTGCGAGAGTTTTAAAACTGATCTTGAATTCATTCAACTCTCACATCTGCGGCGCATTCATTCATTTTATCTTTGACCTTTCAACTCTATTGCTCACCTTTTACTATGAATTTTATCTGTTGATTGCAAGGTGCCATATATTAGCATTGACAACTAAGAGGAAGTCAGGGATGTAGGTAAATAAAGAACATTGATCTCGGACCCCCCCCCCCCCCNATTGAACATCGGTCTCGGACTATACCATAGTGCAAGGGAAAAAAATTGAGATGAGGTTGCAATTCGATGGAATGAAATTGAGACATTTTCAACGCATTTGTTCAAAAAATGCCGACTTTACACGACTAGTGGAACGAGTTCCATGTATCAGAAAAGAGGCAATGCACAATATGGATAAATTAAAATTTTCATTTACAGGAAGAGTCCCTTCAATTGGTAGATAGGCAACTTACACATCACTTTGATACTGTCGATTAATTATTGTTCTGCCATGTAATCGCTAAGGACTGCACGACAAGGTATGAATCAAACCCAATGTAAGGCATGCGTTTCCTCATCAAAATTTCACGTTCACATTGAAAATATCGGAAACTCCAAAATCAACTTAAGATTGAGGATTCAATGTTAATGTTACATTTTCAAGTAGCAGAGGCTCCAATAAATGCAATTACATGGTAAAATTGTTGCTTCCGTATCGAGGTGTTGTGCATGTTGTCTATTCACGAATTGAAGGGGTTCCCCTAATTGATTTGTATTGCAAATCAAATGAAAGAAGTTACATTATGTTCTTACATTGAAAGATGCCAACATCTCTTACACGCATGGAACTCATTTTAGTGATAGTTTAAAATCGGCATTTACTGACTAAATTATGTATGAAAACTAGAGGCTCCACCCCCTGGCCGGTACGTGGCTCAACCCCCAAAGGGCGCTCGGCGCCCTCTATGATCCGCTCAGTGGTTCCCCCGTAAGTTAATCTGATCAGAGCGGGCGCATATAGGTATAGACTTACACGGGAATACTGCATCATGCATATTTTGAGTTTGTTCATATTATTGCGCCTAACTCATTTTGAAGCTATTTCTATAAATTATCGAACTTATACTCTCTTTATCAGTTTTACAATGTAGATGACCCATACTCACCACCTAAACTGGATCTACTTCTTACTGTTCCAGGGCCCTTTCCAAGTTTTCACGGTTATCAGCAACAAAACAGCCATTGCAAGACACCATCCGACATTTGAAATGAGTCCGCCTATTACTTCAAGGTTTTTTAATCCATGCCCTTTGAGAGAAATACTACGTGCCGCTGTGATTGTCCCGGTGATTGGCAAGTAAGGTAGATAATCCCTGATGGCAGGATGGGCTCCCTGAAGGGGCCAAAATAATCCTGTGAACAATACAAAACCGGTTCTAAAGTCCAGTGGACAGAATTGAGGGGCTTCGAGGACAAGGCGTATAAGTGCAGTTTTTGAAAAAAATGAGCTATTCATGATTTCAAGTGAAACGAGTCTGAATGCATATTCGGTGAAAAAGTCGCTGCCTAATTCGAATTTGTATGCATCAAAAAGTCAGTTTGAACTTTCATCTCGCCATAAGGATCCACGTAATTTCGAAACTTCAAACACGTATTTCTCGAAATTGCAAAAACTGCACTTACGTGCCATATCCTCCAAGCCCCTCAATTATGATAGTTTCATAGTTCATTAAAATGAAAGGAACAGTCAACCAAATTGTTGATCTACATATAGACATAGGTAAAGATAAAAAGTTTGCTATAGCGCACTTTTTCAAGTCTTACTCATCTTACTGTTACAGTATGTGTTAAGTAGGCATCTCATGCATTCTAAACAATGTGAGTCGGTCAAGAATACTGAATAATGGTAAGCATGCATGCCTCATTTCTCCTCTTTCTATCAAGAGTGGCGGTAGCCACCCCCGATCGAGGAAAACGATCTCAATTATTTAACAGTATATCCTAGCAAAATAGACTGTCTAGACAATTTTTCTGTGCTTAAAACACACAATTATGAATTGTGTAAATTCAATTTGGAAATGAAATTTGATCATTTCAATCCTTATATTTTGAAATTTTCATCGAACTATTATTTTTTTAGGAGAGAAAGCACATGGCGGAATATCTGATTACGAGGATTCCGCGAGAGTAGGTATTTCTTTTCGCAGTCCGAAAATGAGCTTAATTCAATTTTCAATGAATGAAGTTCAATCATAAGAAAGAACGAGGTAAAAAAAAACAAAAAAACCAGAGAGTATATCAAAAGCTATTAACAACTATTATTTAATCTCAGGTATAGTTTGCGGGAACATATGCACTGCAATGAAATATTTTACCTGACGTGTAAGCCATGATGAAATTAAAAGAAACTCCAAGATTAACCGCCAACATAAGATGTTCCGTTACCAGTCCGAGGACAGTTCCTGGAGTAAAGTAAAAGAACGCACTAAATAAGTAATATTTTGGAGAGGGTAGATTTATTATATATATATATATATATATATGAGAGTCGCTTTTATAGCGCTCTTTGGCGCTGTGCGACGCCTAATCGCCACAAAGCTCGGTCTTCCCACAGGTCATCAGGGAGTTGACAATCTCTTATCTCATTTAACACCCCCTGTCGCCAACCTCTCACTGGGCGTCCCCTACGTCTCCTCCCAGGAGGAACCCAATCAAGCATCTTTTTTGGCAGCCTCTCTTCCGTCATCCTATTGACATGACCATACCAAACAAGTTGTTTGGTCATGACGTCGAACACGATGTCATTTTCGACTTCCATTATCTGACGCACTCTATCATTACGGACCCGATCTCTCCTAGAAATTCCTGCTGACCTTCTCCAGAAATCCATCTCCGTTGCTCTTAGCATATCCTGTGTCCGTTTCTTCAGCTGCCAAACTTCACATCCGTATGTTAATATACTTTTGACTACAGCGTTGTATATCCTCCTCTTGTTATCTTTGGAAATCCGCTGATCCCAGAGGATTCCATTTAACATCGCTATAGCCTTCCTTGCTAAGGTGTTCCTTTCCCTGATAGCTTGATCCGTCCTTCCATCCTGGGTCAACCGCACTCCCAAGTACTTAAAGTGCTCGCAGCCTTTGATCTGCTGCCCATCCTCCAACTCAATGCTTTGCTGATCACCGCCAAAAGTCATCTTCTCAGATTTGGATATGCTGACTTCCAGACCCCACTTCCGATACTCTTCTACTAGCTTGCGCATCATGTATTCCGCGTCATCTTGATCTTGAGCAACCACCACCTGGTCATCAGCAAAGCACAGAGTAAACAGAGTTTTGAGATCACCCAAGGGGACACCCATACCAGAGCATTTCTTTTTCCATTCTTTTAGCACGCACTCGAGATAAATTTTAAATAATGTTGGCGACAAACAACATCCCTGTTTTAAACCCTTAGTCACATAAAATCCCGCTGACAACCCCCCATGGCACTTAACTTTGGTAAAACTCCCTTTATAAAATCGCTTAACAGCGTCAATCAACCCCCCGTTAAAATTCGATTTTTCCAAGGCCTCCCAAAGTTTCACCAACGGCACGCTGTCATACGCCTTCTGGAGATCCACAAAAATTAAATGCAGTTCCTGAGCTACGGCCATTTTCTTCTCAATGACCTGGACAATAACAAAGAGGTGATCTATCGTAGACCTGCCAGCTCTAAAACCAGCCTGCTCCTCTGCTTCGTGATCCTGCCATTCGTCCTCGATCTTCGCTTTCAGTATCTTCCCGTACACTTTGCTTATTGTCCCGGTCACTTGAGAGCCCCCGGTATAGTTGTTACAGTCGTCCTTCCTTCCCTTCTTTTTGTAGATGGCCTTGATCCAAGACTCCTTCCACTCCCTTGGTACCTCGTCACCCCTGATGCATTGTTGCATCAGTTTTCTGAGGCACTCAAAGAGCTTGGCAGTCCCGTACTTGACCAACTCGACAGGAATCCCACCAGGACCCGGTGCTTTGTCATTAATTAGCTCTTTAACCGCTTTAATTATGTCACAAGTGTGGATCTCCAAGTTGTTCATTCTTCCGTTGTCCGTGCTGTTGTCTCGAAACTCTGGGCGCCTTTCCGTCAAAAGATCTTTAAAATGATCCTCCAGTTTTTTAAGTGATATCGGAGAAACGATGTCGCGCTTCATGTCTCTACGTAAACCTTTAATTAACTTCCAGCTCTCAGCACTTTTTCTCCCCCCTAGGTAGGTGTTAATTCTAGAACAGTTGCTTTCCCAAGCTTCATTCTTCTTCCGTGTTATGAGGCTCCTAACTTTAGACTGAGCTTTCCTGTAAGCAACTTTTTCTTCAGTCTTTTTAGACGACAGAAATATAAGGTGTTTTTGCCTCTTAAGATTTATCTCGTCTTCAATTTCTTCATCCCACCAGTAAGGATGCTGGTATTTATTACTGGTTTTGTGAACACCTAGGGCTTCTTTCGCTGCAGAGTGGATACAATCTTTGATGAACTGATATTGCTCTTCCGTGGTACCCGAGAGTCCATCCCCCAGCTTCTCATCTAAGCGTTTCCGATACAGAGCCTTGACACTAGGGTGCTCCAAACTTTCGATGTTATACCATACTTCATGATTTTGCGTTCCCTGACTCTGCTGTTGCTCAGGCATTGGCTCTTTATCTTTAATCCCTTTAACGGGAAACGCTATATCTGCTCGGAGGAAATGATGATCACTGCCACAAGAGAGTCCCCTGCACACTCTAACTTGCTGCAATTTCAACTTAGTATAGTGTGCTTTACAATTACATAATCGATGATGGATTTCAATCCTCGCGTTGGCTGGACCCAGGTACCTATACTTATGGATGTCTTTGTGTTGAAAAAAGCCATTCAAAATTCTCATCTCAGTTTGAGAACAAATTGAGATGAGCCGATCACTGTTATCATTAACAGCATCCTCCCCAAACGGTCCAACAACTTTACAGTTTACTCGTCGTCCCGTTCTGCTGTTCAAATCACCCATAAGAATGGCTTCCCTGCCAGCACCAACGTTCAGTATTTCATCATTCAGATCTTCGAAGAATTGGTCCTTACATGCGACAGTGGCATCATCATTTACACCGTATACTCCGAGCAGCGTGATCTTATGTCCGTACAGGTTAAGGTTCATTTTGATAATGCGCTGGTTGACGGCCTCCCAAGTGCCCACGAACTTACGTAGGCTTCTCCGCAAAAGTATTGCTACTCCTTGCTGAGCACGCTGATCTTTGGCTACGCCGCTGTAGAATAGATCATAGTCACCGTAATTCTCTGACCCGTGCCCTTTTTTCTTGGTCTCAGTAAGAACAGCGACATCCACTCCAAGTTTCTGAATCTCCGATATCACTTCCGGTAACTTATTTGAAATGCCTTGGACATTCCACGTCCCAAATACCATTGTCCGTTTTCTCAATTTTTGTCGACGTGTCCGTTTAGTTCTAGTGGTACCGAGGCTTGTATTGTTAGGTCGTTTAACAGTAAAACTTTTTACAAGTACCGGGGAGTTAGCTCGATGACTCAACCCCCAACCTGGAGGACCAGGGTTTGATTTCGGAGTTGCCTCTCCTAGACAGGTTGCTTTCACTTCAGCTCAGAGCCCTGTCTGCCCTTCTAGCAGGTGGTTCATACGCCCAGAGGCCGGTGACCATCTCCACTGTCCCCTTTGAGGCAGGGGCTACCAGCTGGGGTCCGCAGGATTGCTAAACCTGTGACAACAGTCCCCCATACGGGAAGATTTATTACTTAAAGGACCTATATAAATGGTGAAATTGCAGAAATGCGTAACTCGGTTTCCGGCATGGCAAACTTCCTGATGTCGTATTTTAATTTCTAGATGGAAAACTTCGACGAGTTTCCCTTTTCATGTCCATAATATTCTGTGAAAGTTTTCAGTCATGGTTATGGTTTGGTCTCTTTTCAAAAAAAAAAAAAAAAAAAAAAAAAAAAAAATGCGCTTTTGTAACACTGCAAGCAGGATAAGCATGTTAATAGTTTCATCGTCGATATTCCAAATAAATCAAGTCATTAAACAGGACAAGTTTTGCGCCGTTAATAAAAAAGTCATATACATAGTTTACCTACTTTTCCACCGAGGGAATGTTCACAACATCTTTTCAGAAAGTGCTGGGACACTCCTTTTCTTTAAAATTTGTTTTATTTGTCCTTAGAAAAGTGAAGCGGTATTATTAAGACTTAAAATAGATAAAATGAAATTGTTACAACGCATCTCCAGGCAGAAGTTGAGCGAGTGGGTCCTAAGTTTATGGTATTAACGGCATTGTCGATGCGACTTGGACGACAGCGCCTGCAACAACAGTGCATGCAACTATTCGAGCTCAGTGTTTGTCCGTGTTGCATACACACACAAATGAAGGAACTATCGCTTTCTTGTTCGTCTGCATGTGCGCATTACAACCATGAACGACGTTTTTTTTTACCCTGATGATTCATTTGATTAAAATCCTTACTTTAAACATATACCTACATAAAACCATGTTAAATACCACTCATATTTTCAAAAGCTATAACGGAAATCATTGCTTTGAATGGAAGTATACCAACCTGCAAGAGCCCCTGTTAGTGCCGTTATGGCCAACATAACTATGATGAAGAATGAGCTTCCTTCAAGGGGGTTACCGAAAATGCTGTAGGTCACGATGTACAGTTCAATACAATGGACGATGAGCATTATCAATTGTAAAAACAAGTGACTTGCTAGTAGTTCCCTCATCGTTGCACCTGTCATTTGACATAAATAAAGAAGACAAATTAGAATCAATAAAAATGGTGCAGCTTAGCATCATTACGACCTTCCTCGTGGTAGGTACATAAAACTCATAAAATTAGTCGGTGGTGCGGTGTTGCCAATTTCTTTTCCGACCGTAACTACGCGCTACATGACAGGTGAAGCGCTGTATGTAAGAATACTGCCAAATAAAAAAAAAAACATGTATCTCCATTGCAACGTTCACAATAAAAAAAAAAAAAACCTAACCAGCGTATTTTATTGAAATTTTCTTCGAATATATCAGAATAAAAGGACAAAATTTACAATTTTACAAAATACTGTTGATTAAAGTTTTCTTCTCCATCTGTGCATGGCTGGATTAAGAACGTGGCCACATGGTCCGCGGCCCATGGCGGCAAATTTAGGACCGGCAAATTTTGCAATTTTTTTAAATGTAGGTATAAAAAAAATCGGATTCAGAAAAAAAATACCTACGAGAATAGGCGACAAAATCTCTTCTTCCTTTGAGTATAGTAATTGCTAATTTTGTCGTCTTTCGCTGATACAAGAGACTGTACCTTTAATTAGTCGAGTTAAGAGAGAAACTAAACAAGCAATTTGGCCTGGTGCGGCGCGGCGCGGCGCAGAGAGGAATGATGACGAGGACTTGAGACGAAAAAGAGAAGCCCTCGGCGCGGCGGTCGGTATATAACACATATTAGCGCCTACAAGACTGCGTGAATACTTCACGCATTGCGTCAAACACAGTGCGTTCAGCAGCGGTCGGCGCGACGTGAAACGCATAACGCCTACAAGACTGTAGGAATACTTCACGCATTGCGCCAAACACAGTGCGGTCAACGTGGCGCGGTGGCGGAAGTTGAAATTATTAAACCACATTTATGTTTATGCTTTCATTATTTTTTCGTTCATTTCTTGTCCACGCAAAGATAGATTTACGGAACCTAACTTTCGCGCAAAGGTCCGTGAAATTTTGCTAGTATTGTTGTCGGGGCTTTCACAAAAATGTATCCAACACATGTAAACGAGTCTTATGCCCCCCCTCCCCCCCCCGGCACGTTCACTTGATGGTATTTAGTGGTGTTTCAAAACGAATAAGAAGGGGGCGGCAAGTAGGTAAACCCGGCCCTGCATCCGTGTAAACAGTAACTGTTTCAATTTAAAAACCTGACGTTAAAAGGTATAGAAAAAAAATTGAGGGTCAAATAAATCAGTAGAGTTTCTTACCACAGCACAAAACTCGGTCAATGACCCCTTGTTCTTTTTCATCCAGAATGCACGCGCACGAGTAGACCATCGGACAGAAAAGTATATTGCTAGAAAAGAGCAGGGAGAAAAAATTAGATGATAAATCGTCTTTCTAATTTGAAACATCGTATCTACATGAACGCTGGATGGTGAGATACGTAACTGCAAAAGAAAAAGGGGAGGGATGTCGATCCAGGCCGGCCAAAAAACCTCGTGGATCGCGTTTGATCCGTCGCACAGTGGAACGAGTCTTTTGAAGAGGTCGGACATGAAATGTTTGACAAACATTGTAAGATTTTACTGACGTTTATCCCGTCACACCTTTAATTTTTAAGGGGTGCTTTTGGTAGAACATTTTGCGAGAAAACCAATGGAACTACTCTTAAGACGTCGAAATTTCATTCCAATAAAGATATACACTTTTAAAGTTTTTAAATCGTGTCCGACCTCTCGACTCGAACCATTGTGCGTCGGAGTGTGATATGCGCATGGGGCAAAGAATCCTTAGCGTGTTCTAGACTACACAAATTCACATTGAAGAGTGGATTTCAGACTTTCTTTCAATTTACAATCGTAATTTTCGTGCCATTTTACTCTTGAACACTTAATTCACATGCCTGTGTCTCTTGCGGGCAAGAAACCAGCCAACTCTGCCGTGCTAAGGAAAAGCGCCGTATGAGCCTTTAGGCGTTGCCAAATTCCCTCTGGCAAATAATTGATTTTCAGGAAATTTAATTAGTATTTTTCCGCCAATTTTTAGATAATTTTGTTTGTAATTTGATCTAAAGTGTCTGAAAATTTCAAGAAAAAATTTTCATAAGTTTCCTCAAAAATGAACATTTTATCCAAGGAAATTTGGCAACTCTCGAATATGCATACGCGGCGTTCTTCCTTAGTACGGCAGAACTTCTCCGATGCCTCGGGAAGATAGTTGGCAATTCGAATTTGATCGTGAGGTGGGTGCAGAGACTTCGCGATTTCTCGGCAATTCATCGCCAAATGTTAAATTTGAAAGCTTATACGAAAGCTACGACTATGGTTGTTTCCACACAATGGTTTGGTTTTACAGCAAATGAATCGGTCAGTTACGAAAGGGCTCAAGCGCCAAAAATGAGAATTTGAGGAAAATGGTGATAACCGTTTTAATTGAAGAAGAGTAAAATGTACTTACATGATATTAAAACCCATTATGAAATGCACTATTAACTCGACACCAATACCACCGTAAACGGGGGTATCCATCTGAGGAAAGAGAAAAATAACATTGTTAAGTTTATTTTACGGTTATTGGGGGGTGGGGGGGGGCATATTTAGTACTTGTCACGTCGGGAACACTGGACTTTACGAGTAAGTTTTCAAACATATTATAAGCCTAAATGTTAACAAGCAACCATGTGTTTGAGCTTAATGTTCCACTAACATTTACGTTTAAACGCATTTCAAAATGTTTACATTATAAAATGGAAGAAGTAAAATTTATCTCTCATTAAAGTGTGCGTAGATCCGTAATTAAATGAAGAATATTGCGCGAAATCGGACTTTTATGGCTCATTTCTATGAGCGACTATAAGCGTGAGGAGATCAATTCTGCCGTGCTAAGGAAGAACGCCGTATGAACATTCAAGAGTTGCCAAATTTCTTTTGATAAAATGTTTATTTCTGAGGCAAATTATGAATAGTTTTCCTTGAAATTTCCAGGAACTTTGGGTGAAATTGCGAACAAAATTATCTGAAGAATTGTGAGAAAAATATTCACTTTTCACCAGGAAATTCAAGTGTTATCAAAGAAAATTTGGCAACGTCTGAAGGCTCATACGGCGTTTTTCCTTAGCACGACAGAATAGCAGCTTCATAGTTTCTGAAGTAAGCTTAAAAAGTGAGCTCTTTTTTTACGGAATTCCGTCCACATTGCATCTACATCGTAAATGTACACCTGTTAAAAAGTAAAGAATACAGGTCGTGAAAATTGAAATCGATGAATATAATAATTGAATTTTGAAGTTTACCTGCATCGGTGATCGTAAGGCGCCGGGGCTCACAAAACTAGTGCAAGATTGTAATGAGTTTTCAATAGTTCTATTTAACGCCATGTAGAGATCTCGCACGAGAAAAATATACATTAAATGATCTGAAAAGAAACAAAAGTTTAAAAAATAGGTAAGTATCAAGAAGAACCAAATGTCTTCAATTGCGGCCCGCAAGCGCAGTGCGGTTGTTTTTTCAAAGATGGTATAATATAAAATGGACTCTAATTGTCCAAAATGTGGCATACACATGGAACTGAGGGCGTTTTAACTTCAGACTCAAACCATCTCACCAGCGAGCAGCGACGGATTGCGACGCTTATGGAGCAAGTTAACGGGACGAGTCATTCACAATTTGGAAACATAAAAAGCTCATATCGATGCGAAGACGGAGTGTAGAGGTTTTTGAAATGGTTTCAGTTGAATTTCATGAAAGAAACACCCGGTACTGTTCATGATGTGAAGGAATGAACATCAAAATTTGCAGTTTAGTCGAAAGTTTCTGGACGAACTTCTCTGAAATCGTTTAATGGTGCAACGGGATTTAATGCAAGGATCTAAAATGATAGAGTGCCTTCAATTTTTCATTGATACTTCGAAAACATATTTTAGACATGAATAATTGCTCTACAAAGCATGCTCAGCATATTGCGATATCAAAATGAAGCACAAAAGGAACTCACAGCCTACGCCTGTATATATGCAACTATTCGCACTTAAGATATATATTTGTAGTATAAACGAAATTGAAAGCGCTCTGATAATTTGGATCCTCGCAGACAGCCTGTTGCGTCAATGGCGCTGCGCTGCGATGAAGTGGTGAGTGTCTGGACAGTCAAAACGCCTTCACTGTCGTGCGTATGCAACACGGACATCCATGGAGCCCGAATAGTTGCATCCAGGAGTTGAAATGAAATTTATCGTGTTCGTCGCCATTTGAAACTAACAAGAAGTGTTTTTCTTGTTTCTTAACACCCTTACTTAATACCAGCGTTGCAAATTGTGCCGATGAAGTGAACTATCACCAATTTTTATCGCCACATTGTCAATTTATCGAATGCTTAGATTATTTAAATGTATAAACACGTTGCCGTCATAAAATGTGGACTGCGGCTCCAGCCCCTACCCTCTCTGATCTGGGAACGACGAATGCGGCAAAGTCGTTTTATGGAGAATTCTAGCGCGCATCTCAATTTTTTTTTTTTTTTTTTTTTTTTTTTTTTTTTTTTTTTTTTTTTTTTTTTTTTTTTTTTGGCTGAAAAGTTGGAAAAATGTCATGTTAGAAATTTAAAACAATCCGCGTTAGTTCAGAGCCCAGTGCGGCAGCACCCGTGGCTTGTTGCTTCTGCTTGTTGCGGCTGATTGCATCAAGATCATCCAATCGGAGTTTCCGTAGACTGAGTTCAATCAATCAATTGACAAATCTTCAAACGCATCGCTTCACTCGAAACAAAATTCATGAGAATCGGTGTGATAGATATCCAAATCTCACTAGGGCAAGAAGTCGCTTCTTTTATTAGGTATATGAATTGTATACCTTGAAGACCTCTGACTTGTCAGCTAAAATTTGGCAGTCGTAGCTTTAATAAATCGTTACTATACGCATCGTTTGTCCAAAAATGAACCCTAGCCCCAGGAATTTCATAATGACGACGCATTTCAATAATTTCATTGTCAATCTTCCATGTTCAATTTTTTCAGTATAGCTAAGTCAAATCTCACCCCATCTGCTGATATGGGCCGTAACAGTGCCAGCTTCGATTATAGCGCCTTCCGACTGGGTCCCCAACTTCACACGCTCAGTCAAAGACTCGGTGTAATTGCTCGCAAATGAGACTATGCTCCATATCCGTTTCTTCTCATAGTCCTCCACGGCTTTCTCGATATCCGCGTATTCGCGCTGCAAAAAATATCACAAATTATCACAAGTTATTATCTCATTCAGTTTATCACAATTTACGAAAATGTCAGGGGTCTTTTCCGAGAAACCGCGTCTCCTATCGCTTGAATTGGATGCATTTAAACCAAAAGGAACTACATTAATTGTGAATTGATCCCTGTCATACATGTGTTCGTATAGATCTCAGTGCTTATGTCCGAATAAACATAGTTCCTTTTGATTTATATGCATCCAATAAAATCAATGGATTAAATTGGAGAATGTGTTTCTCACATTACATCGGCAAAAATAGCCGTTTATGTTCCATTATTTGTAAACCGACATTTAATCCGTCAAATATTGTTAGTGTTTTTTTTTTTTTTTTAGGAGACGTAAGACATAGTTGGAAATCTAGAATTGTTGCAGTAGAGTCGCGCATTCTTTTGAATTGAAATTACCGCAAGATTCATGACAGTTAACTCACCATTTCATAAGATTTTTCCCGGAGTTCATGGATGAAAGCACAACTAGCCCAATGCGTGTCGTTTGCAAGCACACAGTTATTGGTGTAAGTCAAGGGACACCTTTGCAAGCTGTCTTGAAATTCTTTGTTGATAAAACCTATCGGGAGTCCAACGGGATCATGCCCGTACGCTAACTCCACGCAGCAGTTTAAAACTATTGGTAAAAGGATTATGAATAACGTCATCCTGTATGGAAACAAAAGTTAAATCGATTTAAGTTCAAAAATCATATTCTTCGAATTTTTTTGAACAGTCTTTTCTGCACGCCAAAAAATGGTCGGTGCCGATGACAGAGCTTTTTTTTCACAGGGCTCCTGCACTCTCTATGTTATACTTACAGCACTTCTCTGTTGTGAGTACGGAACCTCTGTCGTGAGTACAGAGTACTCCGTCCTCACAACGGAAACCTCTGTAGCTTTAAAAAAGAAAGTGCAGGAGCCCTGTGAACAGAACTATTTTTTTCAATGTGCTCGACATTTTTTTACATCATTCAGAACAGAATACAAAATGACATGAGGCATAGTTCATGGTATAGGGAGCAGATGAGGTGATAACGGAGGGTTTGAAGGATCGTGAATATATGTCGAAAAATTCTATCCTTTAAAACACAATGATTCGTCGGAAGAAAAATATTGTATTTTTTATTCATGAAAATGGGAAACTGAAAATCCACGACAAAGCCGGTACAGTGCGCGCGTGGAGCGATGATTGCTGAACAGGCATAGCGTGACAATAATTAAGGTGATCGTCTTTGTTTTTAAGTTGGTTAGGAAGTATATCAGCGAGGCTATCAAAGCACGGTGTCGCGTCGGCTCAAGTGGAGACGCACAAACTGACCGCTTATAAAACACCTAACGCTGAGAATTGGATTCTTTGGGGACACCCCCCCCCGCCCCCTCACGTTTATGCACCCGTAACTTACAAAGATCGGCTAACGACGACGTAACGCTCCATTCGGCGAAGCTAAGAAATCAGCTAAGAAATGAAAGTGAAGGAAGAAAGATTGAAGGGTAAATCCTATTATACCATTAAAGAAAATTTATATATGTATTCCTTTCCTTAATTATATGTAGGTATCACTTACAGAAAATTTCTTTTGGCTAGACAGATGTTTTTCCAAACAAGGGCTTTCACTCTTTCGTAGGAAATTTTTTTTGAACTTTCGAAAGTCGTAGATTTGCTATAGTTGATCGCTGGAACTTGTTGAATCTAAAGAAAAACATAAAAGATTAAGTGAGTTTGTCTAAGCACTAAACAGAAAATAGAAACAATAGAAACAGAAATCGATTTCTATTCCATTTTATAGATTTCAGTTTACAGTATGAGTTTTCAGTTTTATCTGTACCTAATCGTATTTTATGGAGAGGCGGTTCTACAGGAAGTAATTACATTTTAGGTTCAAAAGATGCATTTGAACATACTGGCACATTTAAACATGGATTAACTAAACAGCTGTGCTTAATGAGCGATGCTGTCATCGAACATCGTGAAAAACTGTAAATTTCCAAACCATCCGGGGTGAGCATGAGTTAATTTTAAATGCTTAGTATCATAAAAATAGGAACTGTTTTCAAATATGCGGCTGAGCTTTATTTTTCAATTTGTAGATCTTACATTTTTTGAAGCTTCGTTATCTTGAGCACAAAGCACAAGAAATACATCCTCGAGGTATTCCGCGTTGTACCTTTGTAGAAGTGCATTTGGAGAGTCTTCCCTGAGCATTCGTCCATTTCGCATTAGCCCGATCTGTTAGAGAAAAATCGATGATTACAGTTTGCGAATGACCAGACAATTAATTAAGCAGAGCTCATTGAAATAAAATATAAAATAAATAATTCTGACGAATTCGACAGGTGTACTTACGGAAGAAGACTTCAGTCAGAAGTTATGAGAGTTCAAGAACTTTTCTCAGTCTGTGATGAAAGAAGAAACTATACTGAGAGAGTGATCTAGATTTTTCTTGTAAATAATACGGCTTCTTTATTGTGATTTTCACTGCTTTTTTTACAAGTTTCTTACCCATATTTCTTTTTACGTATAATTTTACCTCGTGTGCTACTGGAGTTGCGAGGTTCACTTAAGTTACCGCTAAGTCACTAAGTTAACCACACAGTTAAATCCGTAATATCTCACAGTGCTGCATATTGGCAGTATATTATGATTTACGTCATTTGAACGCTGGATTAGGTTGTTACTTCCGTCACAGAATCATCCTTGTACTTTTGATGGTTGAATTTTATGTACCTGCCTGCAAAAATTAATTAATGTCTGCCCTAATGCTAAATTTCAAGAGTTAGGCGTTACCTGCTGCACGCTGCAGCTGTAATTTTAGAATGGAGAGTAAAATGATTTTACTTCTGCCAGGTGTTATGACTCGTTTTACCCATGTAGGTTTTCTGTGTAAATGTCAAAGGTAAATTTGAAATGCCACGAACCATATTTGCTTGGCGAGCCTCCTCGATGTAATGAGTAGTTATGATGATGGTTTTTCCTGCTTGAGACATTTCTTGCAATCGATCCCAGAGCCTGAAATGGAATAAGTTTAACAAATTATGCATGAAGCTTGGTGCATGACAATTCGCAGAAAATTTAACGCATTTACATCTGAAAGTTTGAATTAAAAAAGTATCACGTCCCGACTCAACGAGAAGTTCAAAAAGACATAAATAAATGAAAAACTACAAATTGATGCCGTAAGTCCGCAATCACATATCTCGTTTGCGGTGTCTAAAAATCACCGCCTCTATGTTATTTTTTTAAAGGTGAACAAATTGACATCATTCCTTGAAGTTTTTGCAGAATTTCCTTCGCACAGAGAAGAAAAATCACGGCAGTTTGAAAGAATTGTCGTTAAGTATGGTTTTCCGTTTAAAAAATAAAGTAAGTATGACAGGAAGTCTGCGGCGTCGCGAACCGAGTTATGTGTTAGGTACCGACTTACACCGTCGAAATACTGCTAAAACAGCGAATAATTATGGAACCTTCGGTTAGAAATCATTTTTCTTCGATGGTTACGTCTGTTTGTCCATGACAAACGCAGAAAGTGGACAAAGAATATTTCTTAAAGTATACATGCGAATTGAAAGTCGAAAGCTGAAAGAAAAATGCGGAAATAGGATGTTGCAGTTAACGCTATAGCAGGATGCGATGTTCTTAGTTCATCAAATATCAAAAGTTACATGTAATTATAAATATGGAGACGACACTCCCTTCTTAGTGCGACCGTTGTTTTGATCGACACTCCCACTTAAAAACGCATTTATTCTTTGGCAGTTGAAGGCTAAATAGCTCTCGCATATCGCAGTGTTGTATTCTCTCCAGAAATACTATTCTTTCATCTTTACTTCGAAGAAAAATAAATAATTGAAAAATTCTTTAGCAAGTAATCTGTCTTTTAATTCCAAAGTTGGAGCCGCGCCTTTTGAGGCCTTTAAAAATCGCCTTTTGAAACGTTAATACCAGTTAATTACTTTACTATAATCTCAGAAGACTTTGATGTATTCTTATCGCTCGAAATAAACCGTAGTGATGAATTTTTGGTCCACATATTTTTTAAAGAGGATGATTATTAAAAATGAGGTAGCCAGGAACTTACGCTGAACTTAAAACAGGATCCAGACCGACCGTTGGCTCATCCAATATCAAGACTTTTGGATCGTGCAATAGAGCTACAGCTAGGGATACCCGTCTCTGTTGTCCACCACTAAAAAATCAAACATGAAAAAGTACCCAAATAGTAGTCAGACGGTCTCATTGGGGAATTTTTTGCAAAAAATATAACTTTTTTTAGAACGTAACAACTTATTCAAAAATATGGTGTACTTTTCGGTCGTATAAAGGTTGAATTCAAATTTGGGTTATTCAAGCGCATTCACCACTTACTAATGAACGATAATTAAGGTAAGTGCTCTCTCTGTTTCCCATTAAACATTTTTTTTTTTTTTTTAATTTCTTGTCAAAGAACAAGAAAATGAAATGAGATAGTAGAAGAAAAAAGATGAAGGAGGAAGGAGAAAGGAGAAAAATAAGAAATGAGGAAGAGGATAAACGAAGAGAAAGACGAAGAACAGAGGAAGGAAAAATAAACAAGGTGTGGAGTTTCGGCGTCATCGTGAAATTATACACTTACTTGTAAAACATTAAAAAAATGGTTATTTATTATTGGGATTTATAACACTTTAACTCGCTTCTAGTTAGCCCTCAATCCTCAATCTTTAGTGTAGACAACACGAGCTGCCACGTGGTCGAATAGTGGTATCATCACTCACCCGGAACTGGAGCTTTTTACCGAACCGAACGGGATAAGGTCACTTTAACGTCATGTCAGTTTGCTTCAATTTTTAGTGTAGGCAAAATAAGCTCCCACGTGGTCGAGTAGTGGTATCATCCCCCATATGATAGCCGAGCGGTTTCTGTCGGCGCATTTGTTGCAGACACGAAAACATAAAAAGAAGATGAGGAAGAAGAGTAAGGAGAGAAAAGGAAAAAGAGGATGCAATTAAGAAGGAGATGAAGAAGAAAAGGTAGAGAAAAAGGAAGGAAGATGAAGAAAAGATAAAGAAACAGAAGAAAAGAGGAAGTATAGAAGAAATGAGGAAGAAGAAAAAAAGAGGAAAGAGAAAGTAGAAGAAAATGAAAAGAGAAATCAAAAGACTAAGATATCGGATCAGATAAACGCCAACCGATGCACATTAGATTATATACCTATGTAAGTGTATAGCAATAGAAGTGGCTAGTGGCATATGCTAGTAAGATAGGGTAGAAGCTTGAAGGGTAGTCTCAAGCACATCGGAATTGGATGCAAGTTTCGCGAGATTTGCTGATCTTAAGAAAATGATGTAGACTACAAAATTTCATTCTTTTATTTGTTTGCTTAAAAAAATACTACTTATGATAAAATTATAATTAAATATGCAAGATTTTATAACATAAACAAGAATGATTACCTTAAATTTGAAACCATTTTGTGCAATGGCGGTAAATCGAGCATTTCGGACAACAGCTTGGCTCTCTCTCTAATTTTTTCGTCATCCATAGAGAACAGGTATCCGTAAAAGATCATCACTTCTTTGATGCTTAAGTAGGTATGGAGGGATATTTCCTGCAAGCATGCTCAAAGCGGAGCATCAACCTTAAAGCCAATCATTTGAATTCCTCATTTACATCAGCATGCATAATTATATTAATGATCTACCTAGTGACACGTTTTATTCGATGTGAATTTCCTACGTAACTAATATTGATGCAAAAAAATATCTTACGGGGGAAAGCTTGATGGTTTATTCAAGGAGGAGAAAACTTTTTTGTTGTAATTAATATGATTTTAAAGTATAGCTAAACATTTTTTTTTCAATTGATTCTGCTACAGTTAGGTCTAAAATTTTTTAAGTCTTTTTTTCTGTAAAATTTATTCAAAATTAGCTTGCACTACACATTGGAAAGGTAGGTACTTAGCCATGGTGATTCAACGCCAAAGCGTTCTTCCTGTGATAGTTGATATGAGATGATTATTAATGAATTAGTTGCAGATTGCTTCAATCCAGCTTCTGTAATTTTATCAGATGTGACGGTTCACCGGAATATGGACATTGGTCCAAGGATGCAAAACTTTTTCAAGCGACAATTTTTTTTGAGTTAGGACAAAAAAATCAGAGTTTGCGGTTTTTTGATATAAAATTCACGTATAGATAGTGTCTTCTTAAAGGAATACGTTGAGAGAAGTTTCTTTCACTGTAGTGCAGAAAGAGGAAGTAAACTCGTGTCTTAATTTAATAATTTTGTATCATGAGCGTCGCAGCTGTAAACTTCGAACTTTTTCCAAAAGTGACACTGCCTAAACTGTGAACTTCAAAACGTTACTAGGTTCATTATTTTCGACTTTTTATATCCCAAAATATTTTCCGACCACTTTTTCATCGTGTCTTATTATTGATTCATTTTTTAATTTGTTTTTAAATTAAGTCCCTTTTCTCATGGACGCGGTCTTATTTACTGAAATACTTCATGTATCAGATAAAAATGTTTTCATATTTGACAGTTAGTGATGAGAAACTGGAAAGAGTGTGCCCTCAAAACCTCTTAGTTCCAAAAAGGGTCATTAAGGGGCTTACTTGATCCGAAAAAAATGCAGCAAAAGTCGTATGTGTAGTGAGGGATGGTAAACATTTTCAAAATTTTCCTGAACCGATCAAAAAGTGAAACAGTTATACATGCTTACCTGTGGCATGAAGCCGAGATCTTTATGTTCAGAGAAACTGAATTGAATGGTTCCTGAGTCTATGTGGTTACTCCCGACGATGCAGTTCATCAGGGTGGTTTTTCCACAACCACTCGGTCCCAGCAAACCATATCTGAGAAAATTAAGAAAATCAATGTGTTAAAAAGTTGGAACTTACCTCACACCGAGTAAGTAGACCATGTGTAAACCCTGATCGCGAGTAAAGGGTAAAATAGACCTCATCCTGGGTTTTGATAAAAAGACCGACCCAAAATAAATGACAGGTGGCCTAGTTTGAGAAAACTATAAAAATCACTTTGATGTATGTTTTAGTCCATATTCTTAAGGTGACATCGTTGCGAAATTCTTCTTCCGTGGGGTGAGGAAAAACTGCGCTTTACATTTTTATTTCCCTCGATGGGGGAAAATCGCCGGCATAAGTCCGCAATCACATATCGACAGTGAAACTACCAAACCACGTATCTCGGTTTGCGACGTCGCAGACTTCCTGTCATACTTTATTTTTTAAATGAAAAACTACTTAACATGCAGTCTTGAAAATTTCTGTGATTTTTCCTCTTTGTGCGGAAAAAATTCCGTGAAAATTTCAAGGAATGATATTGATTTGTTCTACTTCAAAAAAATAAAATGTGAGCGTAGATTTTTAAACACCGCAAACGAGATACGTGGTTTGGTAGTTTCACCGTCGATATCTCGTTTGCGGTGTCTGAAAATCTCCGCCTCTATGTTATTTTTTTAGAGGAGAACAAATTGACATCATTCCTTGAAGTTCTTGCAGAATTTTCTTCGCACAGAGAAGAAAAATCACGGCAGTTTTAAAGAATTGCAGTTGAGTAGTTTTCCGTTTAAAAAGGGTAATATGACAGGAAGTCTGCGACGCCGCGAACCGAGTTATGTGGTTGCCGACTTACACCGTCGAAATATCCCCCTCTATATTTTCACGTCCTTTCATCCCTTAATCAACGCCTACTCACTTGCACCTCAAAAAATAGAAGCGGTAAACGTAGCCAATAGAGTGAAAATAAAATCAAATTACTCACATGGTTCCCGGTTGGACTGACATTGTGATCCCTCCAAGCACCTGGACGGATCCATAAAATTTGTAGGCATCTTTAACATGTATAACGGGGGGGACAGCCGGTACATCTAACATGGTCACTGATAAACGCCCCCTGAAACACAAAATTTAAAGATATAAAGTTTTATCAAAATGCAGCTCTCTATAACATGCAATACTGTTAAATGAGTGCAGTGCATGTATCAGCATAAGGTCTATAACTGAACGTGCATTATCATTAATGGCAATGAAACATATAATTGAAACAAATGCTGCATTTCATGTAATGTTTGCAATTCTTCTTCAACTCGCGGTTACAAATCTTTTTCTTAGTTATTAAAATCATAATTGTAACGCATGCACGGATGATTTGCTTTCGGAGGGGACTTGAGCCCCCCAAGCCCCCCCTCTGGCTACCTACCTGCCCCCCTCTCTCTCTCTCTTTATTTTCCTCTATTTTTTGCTTTCTTTTTCTTCTACATATATATTACTCTAATAACCGATTTGAGATTGACCTTTTTTATTGACACTGCTTCAATTCACCTCCGACTTCGTACATCAGAAAAGTTGATGTTTTTCATGATCTTATGACGCTAGATGCTAACCTAATGGCCAGGTGCTGATATAGTGGGGAAAGATAAGCAATTTTTCTAAATGATCCTCGCTATGCAGTGAATCGCCTGCATTTATTCACAAATTTGCAATTCTTGCCTTAATGGCTATTTGAGGGCGTTTAATGTTTCGCTGAAGGTCAAATGATTCATTTTTTTTAAAAAGCTAATTCAATAAAATCTATATAAATAGCTTTTCTAAGTTGATATTATATATAAACACATAATGACCTACAAGTAATTTGTTTGCAAAATCTTCTCCGACGTGTTCTTCACATTATCCTCTCCTTACTACTCTTTCACTTTTTCTTCCCTCTTTTATCTTACACAGAATCCTATAATTCGTATACATTCACTTATAGCAATTTTAATTAGCTCTGCCCTGCCATTCTGTGTAAAGGTCGGTCATTCTGAGTAAGTGAATATAAGTAAGAATATCTTGAACTCAGAACGAAGATTTCCTCTTTCATTTTTTGGGTCATTTGTCTAGTTTGTTATTCGATTATTTTTATATTCTTTATTGGCGCTTAGAGCTGAAAACGCTTTCGAAACTTTGATCCCCAACTTGACCAAGAATGTAATAACTAAGCCAAACATCAAACAAATTATTCGATAAAGTTCTTAAATTTTACTATCCTCGCATGAATTCATTTAGGTACAGTGGCACATTTTCATAAGAAGATGTACTCATAACCTACTCGTGTATTTTATACCCGTTGAGATCCTTTTTTTTTTTTAAAAAAAATCATGAATATTTATTTAATACCTACTGAATAGTAAATTAATCACAATAAGCATTAAGTGTTAACTACTAAGTATATTATCGACAGTCAATTACTTAGAGTAATCCTGTTCATGATATGGGTCTGCTAGTTTTATTAATTATGTTATTAAGTTGGTAATGGACGACGCAAAGGAAGAAAATTTGAAGAAAGAAGATTGATTTGCCCTTCTTGAAGACATCTTTAAACATTCCTGAACATTCAGTAATATAAAGAAACAAGCATATGTTTTTCTTGGATGAATGCGAATAAAGGAAGTGCAAAGTCCTCCAAAAAAGGATAAAGTGTGGAAGCAAGGATGCTTGACCATTTGACGGTAGCCGCGCCCTTGGACCATTCAGTATGGTCCACGAGGATTATATTTTTTTCCCCCGTCCGTGCCTTTATTTCCGTTTACCAATGTCATCTCTTCATTGAATAGTGTGTCATTTTCCTCCTTAATAATCATTGCGCGAAGAAATTTTCAAGGAAAAAAGGGCAAGTGTAACAAAAAATGCATTCATTTCCTCTCGGTGTATGTGTGCGGTTCATCTGTCGAGTAGAGTCTTCCTTTTTGAGGTCACTCAAGAGTCGTGATTAATCATGATCGGATTTTTTTTTAAATGTTAGTGACAGAGATATGCCATTTTTAACATAACGAATTATGTTATTTTATTATGCGTTTTGGCTGATTAAGTTGTTCTTCATGCAACTTTTAACTTTTGCCACCGATGCTCTGTTGAATCAAATTTTATTTGGTTGTGTGACACAAACATAAAAAGTAATAAACAATACCTAATCCGTGCTAGTAATTGAATGCAAATTAACTTTCCGTTTTCAACGGGTCAAGCCAATAGGGCATTTGAGGGGCTTGCAGGACAGGACAAGGCGTATAGGTGCAGTTTTTATCATTTCGAGAAATACGAAAAAAAAAAAAAAAAAAAAAAAAAAAAAAAAAAAAAAAAAAAAAAATTGGACGGAGAGTATAAATAAATACGAATGAGACAATGAAGGATCTATGAAAAAATTAAAACTATTGATTATTATTGATAAATATCATCCGACTTATGTTTTAAAATCCCTCCGGAAACCAGTTCTCTCCTTTGTGCTTGCGGTTGTCCTTTTAGTTTCTAATTTAATACTCGCAAAATGAAAAATGAACCATAGTATAAAATCCTGCAAAAGCGAATTCAACTTCAATAGCCAGAAACAATTCAAATGTTTCAAATTAGATTTTCCGTCGGTGGAATTCGTGGAAGGAAAACGCATTGCTGATCTCAAACGCTCATGTGTTGACATTCATTGTTATGAGTCATTTTAGTCATCAGTTACTAAATCATCGGATTACTGTGAAAAGGGCATCTTGCTAAAAAGGATTCAACAATTTAAAATATTCCGCCCTTTCTTCTCTCAGTAAAATGCCCAAGACCGATTAAATCATACAATCTTAAAACAGAATCTGTAAAAATGTCAAATGCAGTTGTCATTACTGCATACATTTGGAGCGGTGGGGATACTTCATGTTGTATCGAGACCAGATGAACACACGCCCGATTGACCCATTGACTCAATTTACACCTGAAAGGAGGAGGAGGGGACGACAGGAGTAATTCACAGAGGCAGGTGTTGGGTCGCAAAGTGGCCGAGGGGCACACCCCCCAATATTAATAAAATGTATCGGCCCAACGAAAGTTTGCACCTAAAATTTTCCAGTTTAAAAATCTGACGGGTAACTTCATGACTGATAGCGAAGCCGAAGAGACTTGAACGCACGGGTGTAAGGTAGAGAGGAAATGGACCGCGATAAGCAGAAAGGAACCAAGCCACATCAGCCACTGCCAAATTTAACTGGACAATTTAATTATTTACAAGAGAACGTTTGCGTGGATTCTTTTGAAAATGTTGAGGAATTTGCTACGTGCTATGCAGAAAATTCACTGGAATTTGCACACAAATCTGCACGATAGTAAACGTATAAAAAATTAAATTGCCCAATTAAATTTGGCATTAGCTAATGTGGCTTGGTTCCTTTCTGCTTAACGCGGTCCAAATATATTCCGTGTCTTGATTCATATAGTATTTTGTCATTTTCTCTTCTCGAAGAAGAAGCGATTGTTGAGCAGATTAATTATTTTGCAGAGAAAATAACGTATCACTTCTAGGTATGAATATTTTATGTCCCGCCATGCAGATATTTTTTCAGCGATGACATTTATTGCGTCCGTGACTTTTAAATACCTATTTGGTTTTTCGCAGTCACTTGCAGTCACCGGCAGTCGGCGAGAAGCTTTTTGAAAAAAATTCACTTGCGCCAAGTTCATCCCAACATACAATAGAATTATCCCATCACACTCACGGTCAATCTTAGGTACTACCTATATTTTTGCCATTCGCTCCCTTTAGTAAAAAAAAACTCATTGGCACTTTCTCTGTTAAGTTGGACGTTTATTTCTTTTAAAGCATTTCTATTGAAGTTCTACTCGCAGCTTCGGAAGTAATAAAGCTCAATGGAAACTGAAATGGCACCATCCGTTCGTCACCGGTGCGGAACGCGGTTGCTACGACGTGGGTGGTCGTAAAATATAATTGGCCATCAATATGATAAACTTAATAAAGGAAGTTCTCACACCTATTCGTTGTATGTTTCAAACGCTGCATTATTCTTTTCCAAAAGTAAAAGGACGAAGAGAAAGAAAATGAAATGCTCCAAATGGAAAAATCCATCAACACATATGTAGACCCGACTGTATAATAAATCCTTGTTAGGAAGCGCAGAGCAACCAGGAGACATCTACACTGCCGTGCTAAGGAAAAACGCCCTATGAACATTCGAGAGTTGCCAAATTTCATTCCATAAAATGTCTATTTTTGCGGAAAATTATGCATATTTTTCCTTGAAATTTCAGGATGCTTCAGATTAAATTGTAAACAAAATTGCCTGAAAAATTGGAGGAATGTTATTCGAAATTTTTCTCGAAATTATTTTTTTTATTGCAGGCAATATGGCAACGCCTGAAGGCACATACGGCGTTCTCCCTTAGGACGGGAGTACTATCATCGCGCGAAATGCGAAATTACAGCGCGTTTATTTTATATTGATTGCCTTGAACCTCACGCGTACGCCGCGCCGCGCCGTGTCTACCCACGAAGCAGATACAGAGATAGAGAAAGAGAAAAAAGAGGGGAACGGGGAGAGGAGAGAGAAAATAAAACAACGCCTGAAGAAATATCAAGTTATTTAATTTTAGAGCACGAAGGACGGAAAGGCAAATTAAACTCGCGGAATAAAAGCGGATTCCTCTTCGTGAGCTCATTTCATCGGTTTATATAATCCCTTGTGCATAATTAAAATGCGTTACATTTTTTTGGTTTTAATTTAATCAGTTTGTGTGCCTACACACACAAACACACGCTTACCGCTTGAAATTAGGGCCGATTCCATTTCTATAAACTGCAGAACCTTTTGCACTGTACTGCCGTGCCAAGGAAGAACGCGGTATTCGATAGTTGCCAAATTTCCTTCGATGAAAAGTTTATTTTTGAGTAAAGATATGCATATTTTTCCCTGAAATTTTCAGGAACGTTAGGTGAAATTGCGAACAAAATTATCTGAAAACCTGGAGGGAAAATATTCAGAAGTTTACCGGGAAATTCGTGTTTTATCAAAGGAAACTCGGCAACGTCTGAAGGTTCATACAGCGTTCTTCCTTAGCATGGCCAGTATATCTCACAACCATTATATGGATCAAACTCAGTTACTCAGCAGCGACAATCAGTTAGGTAGTATATTTTAAGACATTCAGCTTCACAGGCTATTAACGTCTTTCCAGAGAATTTTGAAAATGAGAGTATGTACGAAAATATAGATTTTTAAATTAAGAGAGGTGAAGAGTTTCAGAATTTTGGTTTCAATCGTACTCTATAGTGGTTCGATGTATCGTTTGGTTCAAACTGATAGAACATGACCCCTGACAAAAATTTTAGGATTTAAGTAGAGGGGTTAATGAGAAAATTCTTAACAATTTCTCTTTACATTGCCATTTTATACTAAGAATCAAAACCCTATCACAAGAAACCTGTTCCCTCAGATTACTCAATTGACTTCTGAGGCAATGTTTACATGTTGAACCAATTGATATCGATACAATTTCACCTGTTTAATGTATCGAAAACGACCCATCACCCAAAGCGTATAGAACTAAATCCTCACCCCCCCCCCCTCTAATACTTACTTTAAAATACGGTGGCGTGAAGTGCTTTGCGATTTATCGTTTTATCTGTCATTTAAACCTATGGAAAATGATCGATGAACAGGGTGTTTGCAACGAACACCTTGATAATCGATTCTTTACCATAGCCTCAAATGGGGGAAATATCGATAGTCCATCATTCACGGCTCGCTACTGACACAATAATTAAATGAAATGGAAATCTCCACTAGAAACACATCAAGGCAGCTGTTAGAATAGTTCAAATCTATCAGGAATTGCCAATTTTCATCTTTTGTGGCATCTTTTATTTCCCATTTCAAAGTGTCGATTGTGCGGTGTCTGTTACGTAACCGAAACAATTTGGCAGTGCTATGCCGCCAAGTTTAACGAGACCGCCAGCCAAAGGAGTTGTGATTGGACCTGAAGACTAGTTTGTTAACAACTGTAATTTTATACTAAATCAAAATGTCTTATGCAGAAGCTGAGATAGCAGAGTTGGATACTTTTCGAATGAAGAAATGAAATTTGGTAAAAATTTGTGCACTTTAATCCATAAAAGTGCTGCACATCCTGGTCATTCATATTATCGTGATTTCACAAGGAAGTATGATTTTCAAAGAAGTCTGGAGCCACTAGCATGTACATGTGGATATGAGCTGTTTATCTCATACTCATTATGATAATTTCACAGTTTCCGGGTTCAATCCCCGGCTAGGCGACCCGAGTTTGATGGTCTCAAACAAGAGTCACCTGAGGCTGGCTTGATTAAGGACGGAGGGGGGATGGGGCAGTTGGGCTTTAGGGATGGTAATAAGCAGGTCCTGCGCCGCAGGATTAGGTATCCCTCGTGGGATACTTGACGTGTAAAAAAAAAAGTTTTGAGGTTCTGCCTTACTTCAAAAAAGGTTAGAAAAATAGAAAATAAGAGCAACAGTTTTTGTTACATTGGTAATGAAATACATATCTTAGTGGTATCTAAAAATAAAAGATCGATCCAAATAAAAAGAAAAGAGCGCAATTTTATACACATGACAATTTTGTCGTGAGAGAAAGCCATTAGGTACTTGGATTTTATTACTCTTTACAAGGTCAAATTGAGTTGATGGTATCAGAGTAAACTATTTAACTCGGGATGGATACCATTTTTCTAATGTGGTAAATTTGTCAGATTTATTCTATATGGTATCAGACTTGACATTTTGACCGAAAAAATCGAAATTTCCATTCAAATATTCATGTCTTCCAGCTACTTTATTATAAAGATTAAAATTAAAAAGTTTAACTTTAATTCTTGCACATGTGAAAGGTAAACATCGCCAAATTTTCAATATTCATGCATCGGAATATTTCTTAAGAATTTATTTTACATTTTTAGATTTTTTTTTCTCTTCCTTGGTAAAAATTGGCAGTAGAATCTGTGTTCCAAAATACCATGGACCTACGGCCGGCTGTAAGATTCCCAATAGCTTCTATAGCCGGCTACACAATTTCTTATAGCCTTCTATAGCCGATGGTGACTAAGCAACTCACAGTTAGGCGATAAAGTGTATGCTATACGTCACTAATTACGGATGCTAGGACTTAGTGAGTTTTTGGACCACTGCTCTGTTTTTGGGCCGTTGATTTATTTTGCGAGGAAAGCTCCGTACTTTTGATCGATGCCTGCCATTCCTAATATATTAGATCGCCTTTAGTTTCGTATGATACTGTGCAATATCTCTGGTGTGAAATAGTTGCTTCAAGCGCCGTGGCACGCTGCCGACGCTGCGGCGCGGCAGGCGGGCAACCAGCGCGACTAGCGAATTGGCGCCTTCAAACCTAACAAGGATACTTCACGCGTTGCGTAATGCGTGAAGTATCCCTGTTAGGTTTGTAGGCGCCAGTTCGTCGCCGCTCCGCTTTGTGTTGGGCTCTAATATTTAATCTGGCGGAGTCAGCGTTATTCAACTCATGATTTTGAAATGTTTGCACATCCTGTATGGATTATTCTCGTTTTAATTGATGAAAAAAAATATGTATCAAAGGAAAATATAACGTGTGTTTTGTAAATATTAAGGTGGTTCTGTATCCAACTTAATGATTTCCAAAGCACACGAATTTCTACACAATTTCTAATGGCCTTTAACAATCGATAGCGAAAAAGCAACAGCCAGGCGATAATGAGCAAAGCCCGGCTATAGGAACTATAGCCCGGCTGCATAGTTTTTTATCGCTTCGTATAGCCCGGCCGTATGATTTTCTCCGCATTCTACAGCCAGCTATATGATTTTCTGTAGCCTTCTTTAGCCGGCCATAGGAATTCCTATGGTATTTTGAAACACAGCTCTTATCGCCAATTTTTACCAGGGTTTACAGGTTTCTCACTCATTTTTACACCTGAAAATACATTATTTTCGAAACTAAGTGTCCTCACATCGGTAGCGCATTAACTTCCAGACGTTTGAAATGCTTCATTATATTTCAGTCGTATTCCTATTCATTTTCCAAAACTTTTATTCAATTTTTTCATGTTTCACCACAATTTTTCCCGCGGCGAATAGCTGACCACTTGACCAAAATCTAATAATGCAAAACAACCGTTACAGTGGGAAAACGCGCGATCAGTTAGTGACGTCTCGTCGCTGATTCCTCGTCACTTTTTCCCAATAAACTATACTGTCTATAAGTCATTGCGTTTTTTAATCTGGTACCAACACAAAAATGCTGGGACGTAAATATAGTGAGATTTTGGATACAATTCACGTTTGCACTCCCGGAATGTTCTTATGCAACACTGTCAAACTGACAAAATACAACCAGCGTTTCAACGATTCTTAAAGAATTCTTCCAGATTGTTTTTTTAAATATTTAAAACAAAAACACTTAGGAAAAGATTATTGCATTCATTAAAAAACCAGCCGTGTGTTGATACCTTGAATTCTCAAGGAATGTTATGAGTTTTTCGTCAACCATAAGAAATGAAAATACATATTCATAACCTCTCAGATGAAGTTGATGAACGTATGAACGGGAAGGCTCCTCAAAACTGATCATTTTAAGAATTCTGCCGAGAGTTTGTGAAATTTTCCGGTAAGATGTCTTTCAGTTTTTTTAGTTGCTGATGAGCTAAGATATATAAATGATTCAAATTAGTTTTGGGCACTTTTAAGCCATTGGCACCGCATTTTGAAAAGAGCTTATGAATAGAACAGACAAAGAGGCCAAAAAGGTGCCTGAAAGAATAAAAATGTGACCGTTAATGGATAAGGAACTTTAGCACACGGATGCAAAATGATCAGTAGAGTAGTCTTTGTCGAGTTGGACCGACAAATCAGATTTTTTAAACTTTCATGGAAACCACTCACTCGTACAGTAAAGAATAAGCATGTGATAAAGCATGTCAATAATTTTTGTAAGAGGACGTAAATTTGCATTTTCATCCAGGAATTTCATGTCCTGAATATGGCAATTTACAACTTATTTAACTTATATGGTCTTAACATTACATATTTGAATACTTCCAGCAGTCATGTCTCCAGTTTGGTTTGATACTCTGTGCGTTTTTCGTCCCAAAATTTTCATAAACCACTCAAGTATGATCCGGTCCCAAGTTCCAATTTTAAGTTTATGTGTGTTATGCGGCTCTTTTCCCAGCGACCGGTTGAAAAATTCAGAGGTACTTACGGTCAGTCGGGGCTTGATTGGAGATTGAAAGGTCCACTCAAAGTCAAGAATCCAAAATCGATGAAACGCTCACTGACATCACACACCACATAAAACGAAGTTCGCACGGAAGCTAGAAACCACCAAGAAGTTTCTGATTAAACTCGATCGAAACTATGATGCACTCGTTTATCATGAACAGGACAAACGTAGTAATTTATCACGAATGTAAACACACTACACTAAACAGGAGCATTTGGCACAGAGGAGAACCGTCGTCTCGAAATCCGCATTTCGGAAATGCTCGAAAAATTCAAAGAAATATTCCATTACGGTTAGGGATCAAATAAAGGGTGCAAAACGAAGAGTGTGGAAAATTGACTTATGGCACTTATGGAACGGATGAAAAACGCATGCCGGGTGTCTTTAGATGGCGTAATGGCGGCGTGGCGTCCGTAACAGCGGTGTGGCGTCAACAGGAGCGCGGGCGACGACGCTGGCGCTAAGCTGAGTGGATGGCACTCTGCTTTCGCGTTCACTTTCTGCCAAGTTCAAGATCGAGGAATCACCTCCAGTGGCGCTCTTGGCCGTGACCACTCACGCACACCTTGATCCAGAGACTAATCGACTCATCGGTATGGAATCGGATGCACCAATCGAGTTTTCAGCGAAAACCATTGATGTCCATTTTGCCAGTAGGTAAAGGTCCAAGCAGGGTGCAGTAACTTCCCAACCACGCGACCGGCCGTTCGCGTGAAATGGGGGAGCCCATGTGAGGACGAGAAAAATTGGGGAACCCACGTGAGGACGAAAAATTTGGGGAACCTTGGGAGTTTTTTTTTTTTTTTTTTTTTTTTTTTTTAGGGGGAGCTTGACTGTCAAGCTTTTTTTTTTTTTTTTTTTTTTTTTTTTTCTTAGGGAAACTTGACTGTTGAGTGCACTACTTTGAGGGAACCTAACTGTCAAGCGCACTGTTTTTGGGGGAACCAAACTATTGACCGCGCTGTTTTAAGGGAACCCAACTGTCGACCGCGTTACTTGATGTGTCGGGCAAAATACTGCGAAAACTTAAAATGGGGGAACCTAAATTTATTTTGGGGGAACCCTTGGAAGTTTCTGCATCCCTGGGTCCAAGAAACTGCGCCATATTTAGACTGAACCGAGCAAGAGGGAACCAAGTCGCAGGAGGCATTGCCAAATTCTCGAACAATTTATTCTTTGAGGGAGTGCGTTTGTGCGGATTCTCTTGAAAATTTTGGAGATTTCGCTTTACGTCACAGAGGAAACCTCCTGAAATTTTCAAAAAAAATCTACACTACCGTTCTACCGAAAAAAAAAATAAATTATCCGATGAAACTTGGCGATGGTCGATGTAATATGGTTCTTTTCTGCTCATAGGAATGTCTATTTCAGGACTAACCCCGTATTATGACGACTTCACCTTTATTGCAACTTTAAAGAAACTTCGTTTATTTAACAATTTTTCAGAAGAAATTATTTAAAAAATTGTCGGTCAATTTCCACAAAAAAATATGTAAAAAAATAAAACATGCGACGAGTTTTGCAACGTCGCAATCGGCGAGATACAAATCTTGCGACTTTAGCCATCAGAATGTTGGCGGATTCCTCCGAAATTTAATTTTAACGAATTGCAAAACTGACCAACAGTTGGGGTTGTCAGCTCAACCTCGAAGCCAAAATTGTTATTTTTCCCTGGTGTACCTATTACGCTCTTTCTTAACGAGGATCTGCCTTCGTTTAATCGATTCCAATACACTATTGTTGCGATCATAATATCGCAGATAATAAACATCGAATTGGTTGAAAAAAAAAAAATCTCAGGACATTGTTATTGGGAACGAAGGAATTGTTGCTAAAAAAACGTAATTGTAGCTACTACTAGAAAAGTAGGCAGGACCTTGGAGTCACCACGACCATTGTAAAATCAACGATGTTTTTCTCCGTGCACAATACAGGTCTCGTAAATGCATGAAGTTTCGATTTATTGATTTTAAATCAACCGATTCGCTGCAGATCTATCATTAAAAAGTGGAAATTAAGTTTCGAGGTTGTGAAAGAAGTGTCAGGATTCACGTTGTGGGTGGATTTCATGGAGGGAGGGAGGGAGGGAGGGAAGTAAAGAAATAAAAGTGAAGATGGGAAAATTGCGTTACGTAATTCGCGAATCTCCTCTCTTCTTGAAAATCAACTTTGAGGTTTTATTGGATAAAATTGGCGATGTTGCATTCAACCAGAGTGAAAAATCCTTCTCTAAATTGATGATGATGCAACGGTGTTTCACCTTGAGAAATTGAGTGAATAAACCAGTGCTTCTTGGAAACAAAAAAAAAACTGCACAAAACGAAGAGAACGCAGAATTCAATAAAAAAAAAAAAAAAAAAAAAAAACCTCGCGCGAATCGCGAAGAAGGCTCTCAGGAAGAAAAAAAATCCGTCCGGGAATTTACTTTACGACTCCACTGTCCTACAGATATCCACCTAATACAAGTCTTAAACAACCGATCCCTGTAACCAATTACCTACTTAATACAGCCATATAACAAATTAAACGCTGGGAAATTAAAGTGGATTTCACTGTCGGTCAATGCTTACTAGAGGCATTAAGTGAAAAATTTCCTATCCCTAGTGCCGCCTATGGGTCAGAATATAACGAAATTTTTCAGTGGCGTGGCGTGCTTTGCGATATATCGATTGATGTGCCATTTAAACCCATGGAAGAGGATTGATAAACAGGTGTTCGCTACGTACACCTTAATGTCGATTCTTTACCATGGCTTCAAATGGGGAAGTATCGATACTCGATCATGCACTACATGCACGCCTCGACAGATTCAGCACTCTCGTATTGGTTTATTGGATTATCATTAAGTAGGTATAGATCGATGTAACGTATGATAGTCACAGTAACCGAGTTAATTTAATAATGCCCCCAGAAAGTGATCCTCTTTCACGACGACTTTTGAAATTGATAGCCAAGAGCTATGGATAAAGTGGACAAAGGAAAAATTGAACAATCCTATTGTTAAAAACCAATAAACTAAGGGCGGGAGAGTAATGAACTAACTGCCGAATCTCTCGTGGATTGCCGCTCGTTAGTCTTTTACTTACCTCCTGTGTCTACTGCAACCACTCGCTTTCGTCGATTGGATATAGCTCCATTTTTTCTTTGCCTTCTATGTCCATCGCTTTGTCTATCAATACATAAACCCCCGGATGGCCAAAAAACCAGAACAAATGCTGATACAGAACAGGATCTCCTCCTCCCAATGGATCATAAAAAGACCTATGATAATAATTACGATCCATTAATAATATAGTAATAGCGCCTGCAAGTACGGACATTGGAATTAATAGTAAGAACACAGTAATTAAAACTGACCAAACAAAAAGACTCACATATTCAAAATGTATACCAAGGTGTCGCATATTAAAAATAGTAACAATAAAATTCACTGAACCTAAAATTGATGAGACGCCCCGAAATAAGAGATTTTTGAGAGTTTCAAAAATCGACCCATCGAGGCCGTAGAAGCAACCGATGAAGTTACAAAACGCAGAATTTGGGTTTTTTATCATCCCCTATAGTTCCCCATGAATCTGTGCCGAATCCTCCCTAAAAGTTATATAACGCTAACCCAGATCTCCCAGCTCCACATCGCAGATGAGTTTTAAAAAAACCGGTCCGGTTGGTGTTGCTGTTAATGAGATAAAGTGAAAGGATTGCAGTTCGGAAAAATAACAACAGAGTGGTTTTTTACCTTATTTATTCCCCCCTCCCCACTCACCGATCCATCAGCATCGTCGGAGACGACCTACCACCTGGAGTGTTTCACCCAAATTTCAGCAAAAATATAGCAGTGTGTACAAAAAAAAAAAGCCAGTCACGAGGTACGTTGAGAAGCGGGTTGCGTTCATCGGCTAGAAGGAGCGCACCCGCACAGAGGGCACGCCCAAAACTGACCGACGGCTGAAGCGAGAGCGAGGGCCCTTTGCCCCCGCTTATAGCAGGATCTGTGCTGCAGGGGTGCCCGTTACGCTACTGAACGCACCCGTAACGCAGGATCAGACCCCCTCCCCTCTCCTCTGAGGTGGAATCGGTGAAACTGCACGAACGTATACCTCGTTTTCGGTATTTACAAGTTTCAGCTCTCATTCACTTTATCAGAGCCGAACGAGCCAACCGCAATGCAAGAAATTTTCATGAATTATTCCACATACCTACGGAGAAGGAAATTCAGGTATTTTCTTAAGGAATGAAATTGGGTATGTTTCAATTTAAAAAATAAAGTATATGAAAGGAAGTCTAAAACTTCGAAAACCGAGATGCACTTTTCTGCAGTTCCGCGGTCTCTCTGCACTACATGAATCTAAGAAAAAATAAAAAAAGAATTATAAAAAAAAAATAATAGATTTATCAATTAACATTTGTAAGTAGAGAGAAGAATACATTCAATAATATCTAGGTGCTGTACTAATAAATCATCACTTAAACCTGAAAAAAACTAGATTTAATAATTAACATTAGGAAGTGTCATAGAAAAGTACATTTAATACTATTGAAGTGTGATTCGTCCTTTAAAAGAGGTGTGATTTCCTCTTTACAGCCAATTACAAAGCTTGACGTAAGAAACAAAAGCCATGGAAAATGCGTGGTATAAATGGAGTGAGGGAGTTCTAAATAATATAATTAAATAGTGGGGCAGAGAGGGGCATGAAAATTATCCAAATGAGTGAATTTAAAGTGGATAAATGGAGCGGCTGGAGCTGAGAGACGCCGGTTTTTGCTGAACCTTTGATTACCAGTTTCCTGTTGAGCGATTCGCCATTCAGCTCAGACATATTCAGCTTTGGTCTCAGGAGTAGCAATCATCTGCCAAACACTTTTTAAAGCTGCTATATTTTACCTCTTCTTTTACTTATTTTCCGTTTGTTTCAGCACTAAAAATTATATTATAATGACCGCATTTGATCAACTATAGAATAATTTGACTACATTTTGCAGAACTCTAATTTCTGGCTCATCCGTAAAAACACATATGTGCATAAGGAAACTAATGGACCCTGGTAAAAATTGGCAGTAGAATCTGTGTTCCAAAATACCATAGACCTAAAGCAGGCTGTAAGATTTTCAATAGCTTCTATAGCCGGCTGCACAACTTCTTATGGCCTTTTATAGCCGATGGCGAATGAGCAACAGCCAGGCATAAAAGTGTATGCTAAATATGTTACTAATTACGGATGCTAGGACTGTTTTTGGATTACCGCTCTATTTTTGGGCCGTAGTATCTTGATTTATTTTGTGCGGAAAGCTCCGTACTTTTGAAGGATGCCTGACATTGCTAATATGTTGGACCGCCTTCAATTTCGTATGATACTGTGCAATACCCATGATGTGAAATAGTTGCTTCAAGCGCCGTGGCACGCTGCGGCGCGGCGCGGCGGGTGGGCAGCCAGCGCGAAAAGCGCCTCAGCGCCTACAAACCTAACAGTGATACTTCACGCATTGCGCCATGCGTGAAGTATCCCTGTTAGGTTTGTAGGCGCTGGTGCGCAATGCGTGAAGTATCACTGTTAGGTTTGTAGGCGCTGGTGTGCGCTTATCGCTGGCAGCACGCAGCTCCGCTCTGTATTAGGCTCCAATATAATCTTGCGGAGTCAGCGTTTTTCAACTCATGATTTTGAAATGTTTGCGCATCCTGTATGGATTATTCTCATTTTAATTGATGAAAAAAATATGTATTAAAGGAAAATATAATGTGTGTTTTGTGAATATTATGGTGTTTCCGTATCAAACTTAATGATTTCCAAAGCACACAAATTTCTACAATTTCTTATAGCTTTTTATAATCGATGGCGATGAAGTGTAAAACCCGGCGACAGGAACTATATCCCGACTGCATACTTTTTATCGCTTCTTATAGCCCGGCTATATGATTTGCTCCGCTTTCTACAGCCAGCTATATGATTTTCTATTGCCTTCTTTAGCCGGCTATAAGAATTCCTATGGTATTTTGAAACGCAGCTCCTATCGCCAATTTTTACCAGAGGAGACTTCTAAACTGAGCCCAAAATGGTAGTTTTTAATTGCAAAATGTAGTCCAATTATCACATGAAAGTTTCTAGAATGAATATTCATTGTGCTTGCTTTCAACGAATTGGTTAATTAGAATCGACCTATTCTAGACAACAAATAAAAACAAAGTACAAGTTATCGATTCAACTTAATAAATTCGTAATTTAAGCAAGTGTATACCCTACAGATCGCGGTTTTGTTAGTTTGGGGGATTGGAAATTTCCTGCAGATTGCCTGTCCAATGAGGTAATATGTAATGCACAAAATGAGGGACAATATCTACCGGTGGGCTTATAACCCATCCGTTTATCGGTTTAATAAAAGCTCAGGGAACGATATAAATGTGTATTCTCATAACTATCCGTGCTCACGGTATATTTATGCAACGAAATTGAAGGCGGACCAACCTCAAGTGATCGATATCTATCAAGAGGTTCACACATGGTCGATATATATCAATAGGTCCACGCATGGTCTATTGTTTTAGAAAAGTTCACATTCGAGCTCTCTCGTAAGTTTGTTGCCTACACAGCGAAATTGAAGGCGAATCCCTGTTGATGGTACCTTTCAAAGGTTTACGCATCGTCTGTTATTAGTTGGTTGTATTTCTATCAAACAGATTTGTGTGGAGGTGAGAAATATGGGGTGTGCTCGTTAGTTCTCTGGCCGTGTGAGTGAATGAGAATAATAAAGCGCCAGTGACGTCAACGGAAATGTATGCCGTCGTCGCGGCTCTTCATAGTGCGCTTTAATTCATGAGCTTTGTCCACAACGCTCTCGTGCCGTGCCCGCGGCTCATTCAGATGGCACATAGTTCTGTTTGCTGAATTTAAAATACCGCTTCTCCAATTCTCCAAAAGGAATCACGCCCACTTTTACACTGTTTCTTATGCAGCTTTCTAGAGCACACCCCACATTTCTCACCTGCACATAGTTCTGTTTGATAGAAATACGTCCATTTAAAAATTAAGTATGACAGGAAGTCTGCGACGTCGGAAACCGAGATACATGTTTTGGGAGTTCTTTCTTTTTATTTTCTTTCAATCCAGTAAAAACTTAGCGCCCTCCTCGTCTTTGTATGAAAAGTTCAAAGCTTTGACGGGAACCCCAACACCCCCTCTCCCATCTCATTGACATAATGTCCCAGCGTGGACGCAGCGTCCGGAAAGTTACAACAAGCTCATTGCCCGACTTGGACCTGAAGCCGGGTTGTGAACACTTCACTAAAAAGTAAGAGGGCTTTTAGGGAGCTCCTACAGCAAACGAGCACTTTCTACATGACAACGGCGCTTTCAGACGACTTCCTGATCATTTTCGGTCCCGTGCGTATTTGCGCTGGTCCAGTGGCCGTTTCAAATTAGGCGAATGTCAATCTCATCTTCCTCAAGGGTGGCCGTGCATCCTCGTTCCCGGATTGCCTCCATCCTGCCCGTATTCGAACTATCTTTCAGATCACCCGCGGCTACCCAGTGAAGATGTAGTGTCAGTGACGCCCGAAACGGATTACGAACAAAAAGGTACGAAAGCTACTGAGATGACAATTTAAGGAATTTAAGCCACTACGCAATGTTAAAATTGGTAAAAAATTTAAAAAACTTAAAACCACTCACTCGCATAAATCGTAAAATAATTGTTTAATTAATTGATTATTAAATTATTTTACGATTTATGCAAGTCAGTGGTTTTAAGTTTTTTAAATTTTTTACGAGAGCTATTCCTTCGGCAGGTTTTGATTTTTGAGAGTTTTAGTTGATTTTCTTTGAAAATAAGTACCTGCCCATAAAAACGCGCAGTTTGACCTTGGGTTGACCCTCTTCATGGGAGTGAATACTAATTAAAGGATATTTGAGGGGCTTGGAGGACAAGGCAGTTTTTGAAAAAATTGACATATTAATGATTTAAGTAAAACTAGTATTAATGCGTATTCTGTGAAAAATTTGCCCCCAAATACCAATTTTTAAGCATCAAAAATTCAGTTTGAACATTTTTTCTGTAATAAGGATCCATGTAATTTCGAAACTGCAAACACAACTTCTCGAAGTAGCAAATACTGCGCTTATGCTCCTTGATCTCCAAGCCCCTCATGTCTTGCTCCCGATAGGCGGATGTTACTGCTGGAAGTCTGAAACCACGCATCTCTTAATTTAGTGTTAACCTAAAAATTGGCGAGACTTTTTCATCGTTCCGTGGAAGAACACCAATATTGTCTGAAAATTTTACGGTGAGGCTCTTGTAAGATGAAGAAAAATTATAGGATCTTAAAAAAAGATGTGTTCATTAGCTCTTATTTATTTTTTTTATTTTATTATTTTTTTTTTATTTTTTTTTTATTTTTTTTATTTTAAAGACGTGTTTGCAACTTACATTATAGCAACCTGAAAGTTCTTGAAATTTCACCGGCGGTTCCTCTTTCGCTGATCCAATTCCCATTTTACATAAAATGATTCGTTTTCCAAAAATTCAGATAAATCTGAGAGAATACATCATCATAGGTAAATCGCCATTTAAGGGTAAATTTTGATTATGATAAGTTGAGAGTCCGCGCAGCAAATTTCTGCCAAACGGAGCTAGGTGCAATATGGCATGAGCCCTGTTATGCGTATATTCTTACGGGTCTCAGGGGTCATGTCTTAATGCACATAGTTCCGTTTGGCAGAAATACGTTCAAATAACGCTTCCTCCCGATCCCAGCTGTGTAAATTTACACATTTTGTTGCGCATGGATTGCAGCTGCACTCATGTGTGAAAAGTGACTTTTGACATTTATTACTCTCATAGCGCTGCCAAATATTGGAAATAAGGTTCCCCCCAAAAAAGTTAGAGAATGGAAATGATTACGGTGAGTGCGGTAACAATCTGGCTTGGTAATATTTGGAAATATGAAGTGTTTCCGATTTTATGCCATCCGTATTCGATGTTCGGAATTCGTCACGAGAAACAATGAACCACTAGACAAGGTACGAATTTCAGCATTCTGATACATGTTTCTCAACCAAAATTTCACGATACGCACAACGAAAATTACCAAAATCAACTCCTGACGAAGATATTTAATGATTCTTGATGCGTGAATTCAAATCACCCGCTCATGAAAACTCAATGCTCTACGTGATTCACATCGCGCGCTAAATGTTTATCATGACAGTCTCTGCGATGTAAAAATCTTCAACTTCAATCTTGACACTTTGGCTCAGCTATAGCAAATTACCAATAGTTTGAACAACACATGGTGGGAAATGAACATTGCTCGATTGAGAAGCTTGCTGAAACCGTTGTAGTGCGCGATTTGACTCACGTAGAGCTTTGAGTTTCTTGTGAGCGGGCAGTTCAAATTCCTCGTAATCAGTGCGAAATAAAAACGTTAATATCTTCGTTAGAAGTTGATTTCGATAATTTTCGTAGTTTGAATCGTGTTCTACGTGAAATTCTGGTTAAGAAACATGTATCAGATTGCTTAAATTCGTACCTTGTCTAGTGGTCCATTGTACCTATGTCATTAGAGTCCCTTTATATACCCAGAGTTAAGACAACTCGATTATCAGCTGACTGGCAGCCGGCCTTGGCTGGCCATGGAGGCCGAAACGAGTGCACCCAAACGAACGATATTGAGGGATAAGGATCAGGAATCCTGCGATGTCTGTCACACAAAAACAACAACATCAACAAATTGATCAATTAAAAAGAAAATGAGATTGGTTTGTGAATAATTTCTTAATCTATTTTCATTTTGGACCGATGGAAATAACAATTTACTCTTGATAAACCACAATTAGGTGATATTTTCATTATTCTTGTTCACATTCGAGGTACCGCCATCTTGGTGCACTCGTTTCGGCCTCCATGAGCGAGAACCAATCAGAATTGGATTTTTTTTTAGGCCACTTTCAGCCGAACCAAAAGTGAGTTGTCTTAACTCTGGGTATAAAGGGACTCTAATGTCATGGGCGAGGAAACTTTGTCACGTATCTATACAATCGATACAGTAAAAGTGAAATGTTAAGTCATGCTACCAAAGGAAGAAGGCTACATCATACCCACTCCAAAAAGTACATACACACGTTAGTAATTTTAATCCGCGTTCGACATTTTTGTTCTTAGAATAAAGAATAATTTGGCAGAAGGCTGCCAGATTTTAGAGTCGCTTCAATGAAAATAAAATTTGAATGAAAAACTTGAAAAGAAAAATTGGTTCAAATATTAGGGGATAAAATTAAGTTTATCCGGTCATCTCGGAATTATTTCCCTTTTTGTTGAAAGTTTCATTTTTGCCTTCGAAAAATCTGAAGACGCGACCTCCGAGCTATCAATTGGATGTATTTTTACCAAACGGAACTGTGTGCATTAAGACATGAGCCCTGAGACCCATAAGAATACGTGAATAACAGGGCTCACGTCATAATGCACATAGTTCCGTTTGATAGAAATACATCTAATTTTTACTCAGAGATGACGCTCTCGTTAACCAGTAGAAAGTAAACGTGTTAAGGCCGCGTAATTGAATTGAATTGAATTATTTCCTTATTATGCTAAGCGCTTAATTTGTAATGTCTTCATATTTAATTGGGAACTCTATTCAAGTCTCGAGATTTTTTTCTCTGGTTTATACACTCCACAGAACTTCCACAAATATTTCCACGACAACCCGCGCACCTATACTAGCCCGTAAAAAGTGAGACCCCGCGCAATATCTGAAACGTTGAAGTGAAGTCCCATCAGTCTATATGCCTCGTAGAGGTCTCTTCACAGTGACGTGTTGAAATGGAATTTCGGCTGATTTGTTAATATTAAAAAAATAATTCAAACAGAACATGACAATAAGAGGAGTCCGGTCGGTTATCTTATCACTTGCTCTCCCACTATCTATTCATACGTGTCAATATTTGTCACCTGAAATGGACTTACATAAACCGGCGCTACTTATACTTAACATTTGTATAAACTTTAAACTAATTTATATTTTGATTGAGCAACACATTTAATATTTTCCGGATGTTTACGAGGAATTTATACATTCCGCTCTCTGTAGGCAGTCCGATAGAAATAAAGGCTCACCAGATGTTAGTTTTAACATCTCTCAAAGCCATAGTGACTAGTTGTCAATCTCCAACTATTTTAGTTTTTTAATAAGGACATATTCCTTGAGGTTGTTTAAGAATTTTCCCGGAAAAAAGAAGGAAATTCATGAAAATTTTTAAGCATTTGCGTTGAGTCGTTTTCTATTGAAAAATCAAATTTAACAAGAAGTCTGCAACGTCGCGAACCAAGATACGAGGTTTAGGAGTTTCACCGCCAATTTGTTACGGAATAAAGAAAGAGGTAATGTAGAAAATATAATGAAACAAATCCTCTTCGACTTAAAAAAAGTAGTTCAGCTATATTATTAGCTCAGGAGGAACTTTAACTTTCGCGTTTTGGATATTCGTATAGGGCCACAGTGAACAAGGAAGTGCAGAAATATCTAAACAGAAAACAGGTGGGTAGCGAAGAATCTAAGCGTTTTTAGCAATATGCGTGTTTATTACGCACACCTGCGTGCTACCGTATAGCCGCGTTCTGGAGCTGTAGGTCACACGCGTAAAGCATAAGAATAGGCGAACTCCTCTCCGGTGTCATGTGTAACACATGCAGAGACAAAATGACACGATTTGGGAAACGGAAGTATTGGCACTCGGAAACAAATATCGTGCGCCATGTCAGATAAGTACACAGACTGATTCAGTGAGTATACTATTTTCAGAAATATCTCCTCGTGAATTGTGTTTGCTCTTTCAGTTTCTTTTCAGCGATTGCATAGATTTCCCCGTTACATGTTGGTGATTGCAACTTTCAAGACACTTGACGGTCAGTTTATCAATTTTTTTACGAAAAAATTAAAAAAACTTTTCGGACGAAACCAAGCGAAAGTGAGGCCGTATCCCCACGGGACGTTTCATGGGATTTGCACGCGGGGAAAAATCTCACTTGTGAAGTTGGGGAAGTTATTAAGTTAGTCAATACTAATCACAGTATGCACCAAGAGTCTACAGAAAAGTCTTTTGATTGTTGAATTTCATTGAGTAGGGGTAAAAACTTAAGAATTTCGCGTCTGAATGCAAAAACCGTGCGTCATCTAGACGGTAATACCGCGCTCTTTGAAGAACGCACGGTGGATGTTGTCAACCGTTGCGTCAGTGCATGTGCCGTGACTTCATCCGTTTCAGTCGTATCAAACACTGATGGATACAATTATGTATTTGTAGACTGCTCCACCAGCATTGCTCGCATTTGGTCGCATCAAAGGCCGTTTTGAAGCGTAACGCTAAAAATAATTTTTTTTTGCTCCTCCTCCTCCCGTAATGCACCCGTCTGCAACTCCCATAAAATAAAAATTTTGCCGTATATTTCGTCATATAATAGATTAAAAGGAGTGTCACTCGGGGGAAATTTTACGAGGAAGTCAATTAAACAACTTTTGATCCTTCTACGCTTTTTGGTAACGAAGCTTTAAGCTTATGAAGTCTCCTAACCATGTCTGACCTATCTCATTGACTCGCTCTATTCGTCGCGTCTTTGACGCAAGGGAGTGTTTCAATTGCACGTGCGCCTTGTTTTACATATAAGTTCAAGCTCTCTGGGGCTCATCCAAAAATAGGGATATGCAGGGAGTGGGCCGCTTGTCAGCTTCAGCCGCTGGGGCAGGCCCTGATTTTTCTATTGTCCATATGGACTGAATTTTGCAATTAGGAACTACAGTTTCTGGCTCATCTGGAACAACACCTATGAGTATAGCAAAACTAACGACATGTTCGTTGTCCCCAAACTGAGCTACGAATTGTAGTTCAAAATTGCAAAATGTGGTTCATTTAATCAACGCTTCGGTAATGTTTCCTTATTTTTCAACGTGTACCTGGTACTCACATTATTTTGCAATGCTCTGATTTCGTTTCAGTGCAGTTCGAGATATTCGAGCTTTTCTGTCATCAACTGCAGAACTATTAACCGGATATCACACTCGAATATTCTCAGGAAATTGAGGTGCATGTCGGCCCCGGAACCATTTTTATGACGTACAGACTGCTTACGGGCTCACAGTACGGACGATGACAGTCAACGATGGAGGTGAGTTACATGTTATGTCTGCTCTGAACATTTATATGTCGTTTCCCAAACCTATGTTTGCCAGGAACTTGTCTACTTCCATCCTTAAACTTTTTGAGGTGCCAAACATATCGATATTCCGCTGGAGCGCAAATAAAAGGAGACAAAATATACATAGGACTCGACACTAACAACTTTCCGCTGCGTAAAAATTAGGAGAGTACCGGTACTTTCAGGCATTAACGACGCCTATTGATGTCTCGTGATAACATGTTTAGCAACTTATTTCAAAGAAAAGAAAAGAGAGTAACCGACTTAAAAATAAATACATCATTAATCTTTACTCGCTGAGTCTTGGAATTGCGGCCCGTAACATGACGCTGACTTTCGGAAGAACTAGGCACCGCGCGCATGATGCGAGGGCAAGGAAAGTGAAAACGCTTTCAATATTTTCCGTTTGCAACGAGGACAACACTCGAGCTCGAATAGGCTTTACGTCTCGTCGCAGCTCCTTTCAACACTACTAGCAAAAGTTGTTTTGTAAACCTATCACTGTGTGGACAAGGCCTTCCATTCATAAGAAATGAACAAAAAAATTATGAAAGAACAAACATGAATGTGGTTAAATGATTTTAACTTCCGCCGTCGCGCCGCGCCGCGCAGACCGCACCGTGTTTGGCGCAATGCGTGAAGTATTCACGCAGTCTTGTAGGCGCCATGCGTTTCACGCTGACCGCACTGTGTTTGGCGCAATGCGTGAAGTATTCATGCATTCTTGTAGGCGCTATCCGTTTCACGCTGACCGCAATGACTGCACTGTGTTTGATGCAATGCGTGAAGTATTCAAGCAGTCTTGTAGGCGCTGATATGAGTTATATGCCGATCGCCGCGCCGATGGCTTCTCCTTTTCATCTCTCGTGTTCATTGCTCTCTGCGCCGCGCCGTTCCAGGCCAAATTGCGTGTTTGGTTTCTCTCTTAACTCAACTAATTAAAGGTGCTGTCTCTTGTATCACTGACAGAGGACAAAATTAAAAATTACTACACTCTCAGGAAATGAGAGATTTTGTCGCCTTTTCTCGTTTGTAATTTTGTTTTTCCAAATCCGATATTGTTTTATACTTAAATTTAAAAAAATTGCAAAATTGGCCACCCTCTAGATTTGCCGCCATGGGCCGCGGCCCATGTGGCCACTCCCTTAATCCGGCCCTGCAGTAGATCAGTAGTAGTAGTAGTACCATTATCACAACTGAGTTAAAAGCAGCTGAGAAAAAACATGTCAAAGTGTTAAGAGGTGAAGAAATTGAATGAGATCATTTGACAGATGCAAAGAGGGCACGGTCAATAGCACTCACCCATGGTGGAAATAATAACCTGTCAATCGAGTGCTGTAGATTACCGCTGGACAGCAATGCGCGCATCGTAAATAGCACGCAGGGAGCAGTGCTTAGATGATCAGCAACAAGCGTGTAATTGTGCATAATTGTACTTCATTTTGCAATGAGGAACCGATAACTCCATCCATAAAATCACCTCTTTGCAATGAAAAAGTAATAGCTCAGATGTTGTTTCTGAAATGAGCTGGAAATATCGGTTCCATATTGCGGGATGTAAGCAGTCCCTTTTCAGAATGAAAATAGATGCAGAGTTGCTTCAGTCGCAATGTGGTTTTAATCCAAGTTGTCGTGGTTTCAAACAACAGAAGCGATTATTTTCCAAATCACGTAAGCGCCAAAATTGCAAATGCAATAAAACCAAGAAAACTCGTTTTATTCGCTTTGTTGACAATCTTCGAATTCCCAAAAACGTATACTCTTTCAGAAGGCTATTTTGAAATCAGACATGACTGATCGTACCAGAGAAAACAAAGGAAAAACAATCCCTCTACCACTAAAATAGATATTTGCGCTTACGCGATTTCGAATAAATCGGTTCAATTGCACTGTGATGGTAGTCCAATTTTCTATACTATAAGCTCTCAAGCCTCCTAATTTTGCGAAACTGGTAACGCTTAGTTCCAGCGTTCTACCGGGCCGATTTTTATGATTTTTGCGGCTATCGACGGGCAATTGTCTCTAGATAAGCCAACTCTTTTCAGATTTTCAAAATATGGCCTAGGTTTTTTTATATTAAGTGGTAAAGTTGCGAATTCTCCCATTTAAACAATGTAAATTTATATTTTTTGTCATAGTTCGTTTGAGCGTTCTACCGGGCCGATTTCTAAGTTTTTTGCGATAATCGACGGGTAATTGGCCCTAGATGAGCCCGCTCTATTCAGATTTTGGAAATAGGACCCAGGTTTTTTTACAATCACGTTATAAAAGTGAGTGAATTTTCAGAATGCTCCGAGACTGCTACCGCTATGCGCGGGAGGATGCGCAGTGGTCGAGGAGGTTGCGCAGTAGCTGTGTAGCCTGCGCATCAGCTCTACACTTATCTACACAAGATTCGCCTCATCTGCATCAGGTAGAGCGGTGGCCGAGTCGTCAAAGACGTCGGAATCGTCCACCTTAAATACGGTGTGGGTTCGATCCCCGTCTCCCGAAATTCTTAATTATTACCTGATTATCAAAGTTCGTTGTTTTACTGCAATATTTCATCAAGTAGTCATTCCAAAACGCGTCCTTTAGACTTCAAAAAAATAATTTTGTTTCTTTATTCATCAAAACCAAAAATTATTTCATTCTAAACGTAAAGTATACCTTATATCGTAATTTTTTAGGGGAAAAATAAAACTAACACCGATAGGAGGGTAAAAATAGGGCCGCGAAGCGGCCCATTGATGGCGCGGAGCGCCTTCAGGGGGTTGGGCCGCGTAGCGGCCAGGGGGCGTAGCCCCCTAGTTTACGATAAGATTAGGAAACTACTGCAGTGGCGTGGCGTGCTTTGCGATATATCGATTTATCTGCCATTGAAACCTACAGGAAAAAGGGATCAATAAACAGGGGGTTCGCAAAGAACACCTTCATAATCGATTCTTTACCATTACTCCAACTGGGGATATCTCGAAAATCGACCATTCACGCCTCGCCACTGAACTACTGGTAGGTGCAGATCTTGATTCAACATTTTCTGGTGCCAGATGAGAAATTATCAATTTTCGGCGAGCAAAACCCGAGCCACGAATTCGACAAGGCTTTGGAATCGATCAATCGGAACAAGAAGGTATGGCTCTTCACTTTCTTCCTCCTCGTTTCGATGCCGGGAATCCTCAACTCCATCCATATCTCGGTGTACGTCTTCTTCACGGGCACACCGGAACACTGGTGCACCATACCCCAACTCGAAAATGCCGGTTGGACTCCCGCCGAGATTAGAAATTTCACGGTTCCCAGGTTTGTGCCTTCTTTTCCTCTTGGAAGTATGATAGATGCTCTGCAGCCCGTGACAAGATATACAATAAAAAACAATTTAAAAAGCGGGAAACAAGGCTAAAATTTCACATACACAAAACCAAAACGTTTCGGCTGAAAATTCAGCCATCCTCAGTTGGATAAATTAAAATAAAAATTGTTAAAAATCTAAAATGGTACCTGATAAGTACCTTTCAATTGGGAAAGTTTTTATTATAAAAAAAATATTGATAACATAGTCAAGAAAAACACCGAAAACGGGCATCGGTGAGGGCGCTTTTCCTCTTTGTCTCTCACACTTATGCTTCCGTGCTATAAGGAAGAACGCCGTATGAACATTCGAGAGTGGCCAAGTTCCCTTCGATAAAATGTTCAATTTTAAGAAAAGTTATGGGTGTTTTTCCTTGAAATTTTCAGGACTTTTCAGTGGAATTGCAAGCAAAATTATTAGAAAAACTGGAAGAGAAATATTCTTAAGTTTACCAGGAAATTCGTGTGTTATCAGAGGGAATTTGGCGACGCCTGAAGGTTCATACGGCGTTCTTCCCTAGCACGGCAGTATGATTGTAAGTCCTGATATCACAAGGGGATTGCTCTTTGCAATGTGGAGCTGATATTTCTTGCTCATCCATAAAAGCACATATCGGCATGGGGAAACTAATGCCACCTTTTATTGTTCCTAAAATTAACCAGATATAGTTGCCCCTTATTTTGCCGTACTAGGGAAGAACACCGTATGAGCATTCAAATGTTACCAAATTTTCCCCGACGAAAGATTTATTTTAGAGGAAAGTTATGAATATTTTCCCTTGATGTTTTCACATATTTTAAATCAAACTATAAACGAAACTGTCGGAAAAATTTGAAGGGAAATATTCAAAAATTTTCCCCGTGATTTTTTTTTTATCTTAGGAAGTATGGCAACGCCTGAAAGCTCATACTCTGTTTTTCCGTAGCACGGTATTATTGCTGAATGTTGTTCAAATGAGTGGCCTTAAGCAAATCAGTCATATCCATCAATAAATCCTACAAAAGTTTTTTAAGTTATATTTTCGGTGCAGGTGCTAAAAAAATAAATCTGCGCTTACATACTGAACAAAATTATAATACTTAATTTGTATTACCCGGAATTGGAGACAAACATTGTACGCTTTCAGATAGTGTTAATAGGTCGTTTCCCAGACGAAGTAACGTAACTCCACCCCAAGGTGGCCAATTTGACTCAAACAATTGATTTTTTTACTAGAATGTAACCGTAAAATTATTATGGTCCAAAGTTTTTCTAACTTTTGAATGAGATTAGAAAAAAAATCGATCAAAATCTCATGTAGAAGTTCCCAATATTCTCCTCGTAAAAATGCAATTTTCGAGAGAATATTTGGCAGTGTTGAAATGGAGTTACATTCCTTCATGGGGGAAACGAAAAATAATGTCACTAACGTACGTTTCAGAGATTCAAAAGACATATTACGGAGCTGTGGCTACTATGATTGGAACTACACAGAGATAGCAGCGATGGGCTACAATGCTGCAAGTGCTATGATTGCACCTCTACCACCTGTCAAACAATGCTTAAAACGATCATTCCTGGATTCAGAAAAAGGAAAATCCATAGAATCCGAAGTACGTAGTTTCGTCATTTACATACATTCCAACGTTGAATAGCTTTAAAGTTAATATGCTAGCATGAAATATGATATATTTTAGAATACTGCCCCCAGATGTATTCTTTCATGAGAGGTGACGTAACTGATCAATTCGAACATATTAAGAATTAGTTAGTGATTACAGAAAATCCCCTCTAGCAACTTTAAAATATGAGTAGGAAACTAACATTGGTTCACTGCAAGATACGCCAAAGATACATTTAACAAAACTTCCCAGTGAACCGGGTTACAGGACAAAGGGCCGCTCTTCACACCACACACAAAAAATACAAAATAATCAATAGGCGAAAAAATTTAATGAAAACAAATTAAGAAAAAAATTATTTTAAAAGACGTATCAAAAATTTACTTATTTCAAAATAACAATTATAAAAAAAATATTAATTACGTCAGATACAATTTTGCTAAAATTCTCTCATATTTCGAAAGAAGGTAGGCGAGATTCCATGTTATTTGTATCTTCCCAGAAAATTGTCCCGTTTGTAAGGGACCCTTTCTCCCACGCACGATCAAAAATACAAATTGCAACAATACTCTAGTCCAATCAGAAACTTGGACTTGAGTTCTTGCCGTTGAAAATGCTGAAACTAATATTATTTGCTAAGCCAAACAGCGTGAGCGAGACTGTCACCGTAGTGAGTCACGTAAAATCCGTGTTGCCGAGTTATGTTTTAAAAGTGGCATATTTAAAGACTTCTTTTCATCCTGGAATCAGCCTCTGGGAATTTCAGAGCAATGTCCTCAAATCACGATTCTCGTGCATAGCGAGGCGGTGAGCTCCTTGAAATCTTGTTGCAAGCCACGGGTTAAACATTTCAAATGGTGGATAAGTATAACTGGAGAGAAATGCATCGATACACTTAAAGGGCTATTGAGGAAACAGGGTTTCATTGGCGAAAACCCTAGAAAATTAGAGTATTCTCGGTCGCATGTATTGTAGATCCGCTGAAGTTATCTTCATATTCTATTCCTGGTAAAAATTTTGCTGAATTTTCTATAAGGTATGAACATAGAGTACATAGAGTCGTAATGTAAATGGGAGAGCTGGCGCCATGTTCTGCTCGACGAGTTCCGAGCCCGGTGTGCGCCGAGTTCGGGTCACTTTTTCGATACATTTGCGATCCAAAATGGCGGTGTGGAATACATGGTGATTCCTATCTCCTTTGTTGTTGTTGTTGTTGTTGTTGTTGTCATCGGATGGCCGGGTACCCGTGTATCGCAAACAATCGATTATGTATCGAAAAAGTGACCCGGCGTCACACAGGAGTCTCGGAATTCGGGACATGGAAAATGCTTAAAAGTGGCACCAGCTCTCCCAATTACATTACGACTCTATGTACTCTATGGGTATGAAACAAATTACTGAATTACTAACCCCCCCCCCCAAAAAAAAAATCAAGTATGTGTCCATGGGTGCCACGGATGGAAGAGCTCAAGATACATTTTTATGATCGGGAGAGAAATGTTCTCGAAGTTTAATAATTATGTATAGTGGCTCAAGAACTTTAAACCCAAATATGGAGGCGAAAAAATAAATCCTGGTCATTAATCAAGGAATAAGACGTGACCATTTTATATACATAGTAAACTGCGTAGGAATATTTTTTAAGATAGGTAATTACTTGGTCCTTTTGCTGAGAAAATTTAATGGATAAATTTATTTTCGTAATATGCAATCGATAAGTTGTATCTTTCCGTCCCGTTCGGTAAAGCTTTATGTTTTCTGTCAAATAAAGGATGAAACATAGTTCATTCGTCCCTGTGCAAATGAAAAAAAGGCCAAACATTTTTACAATCCCTTAAAAAAGAATTCTCTGTAGAAATATAAGTACTTCCGATTGAATTTAATAATGTAACATCAAACAGCCTCTCGCGCAACTCATCAGAAGGACGGATGAATTTAGGAGGAAACGCCCTGAAGTATGGAATAAATTGCCGATGGTTTCTTTGTGTTACTTCTTCTGTCGATCTGGTAGGACGGAAACGCAAAACTTCGTTGAGAAAAAATATTAATACCAGTGGCGTGGCGTGAATGATCGATTATCGATATCTCGCCATTTGAAGCTATGGTAAAGAATCGATTACTAGGTGTTCGTAGCGAACACCCTAATAATCGATCTTTTTTCATAGGTTTGAGTGGCGTATCAATCGATATATCGCAAAGTACGCCACGCCACTGATTAATCCGGCTCATCCGATGAGATGTGACCTAGTGCAAAAAATGAAATAAAAAATTCGCTCGAAAGGACAATATCAAGATCGCCAGTTCTTGAATCCAACCTGCCACACACTCTCGCAGGAATTAAGCGATTAAATGTACTTCTTCCTTCCGTCTTAATATGCATTATTTGTAAAGGCAGCACAAAAAAAGTCCTCTCTGATGGGTGCCTTTGAATTTACTCTTCCTCCGTCCATCGATATTTTTCCTCATACGCTAAGTGCATTCCTTTCATTTTTGGCTGTCTGAATGTCAAATTTGTTCAAATCCTCGAATAGTCTGGTGAATTAAGGAAAAAGTCATATGCATCCATTCATCCATTCTTCCAGTCTCATTCAAAGCTCATGACGGATGTATAGCAATGTGTGTGAATCCTTCTCCAAATCATGATACTCTTTAATACTTCAAATTATGTCAAATTTCACCTCAGTAACATGAGCATCGAAAAATTTAGAGCCCACTGACGCTGGTGCAAATAGTTATGCGTAACTCTAGGATCAACAAAAGAGAGGATATTTTTAAAGTTCCGATCATTAATATGTTTTTATTCTAGTTTACGTTGTAGGTTCGCACATTCATAAAAATAAAATGTATAACTAAATATATGATAATATAGCTATTTTTCAATCACTCAGCAATGTTCATAATGTAGCTTTTCGCTTATCTGTCTGTCTTCAATGATGGTCTATTTGTTCAAATTCGTGATGTTCAAATCCATTTTAAGATTGTAATATTGATTGTTTTGCCTCATTTACAGTGGGATTTAGTATGCGATAGAGCAGTATTAAAACCATCCGTGCAAGGGATTTTTGCAGTGGGAAAATTTTTCGGAGCTCTGTTCTTCGGTTGCGTGGCAGACAAGTAAGTTCATTTTTGTCAAATTAGGCTGACAATGATTCGTGAAAAATTGAGAAACTGAAGAAAAAACCTTTTTAATTTATTCGATCTTTAAACGAATTTATTAAGCTCGAATTCAAGGTTATTCAAATATTCCTTTCTTTTTTATGATTCGGTGATTTGTCGGGTTTTTTTTCTCCAGCCGATGAAATTGCAAGGACAGTTAGGATTTACGTTTTCTTACTTGATCAATTAATTTAATTTTTATTTTTGATTAACATCTGAGGTGCTTGCAATAAAATTTTTAATCCTGAGAAGTGCAGGAGATGATTCAGTTCGTAACAAACCGTCTCTAATTGACGCGATTCCGCACATACTTTTCGACTAAGCTACGTTAATTCTTAGAGATAAAAAGAAGAGGGCGTGGCTCCGGCGAGACAGAGAAGAATGAAGACCACGACAGCAATTTCACCATGACTTTTTCATTCTGTATAAACAGTCCCTTTTAAAAAAATACATCCTCTCGCAATTTTTTGCTCGATTCGGGATGGAAGTGTGATGCATGTCGAATAGTTTGTCAAGCTTTTAACTTGATGGTAGAGATATAGAACGAACTAGACAAGTGTATAAAAAAAAAGAGAAGGGAGAGAAATTTTACGGAATTTTGGCTGATCATGCACTAAGGTCGTTTCTTGGCAGCATTGTTCGAAACTCACCTTTGAGTTTTGGGAGCCAAGTGGCGCATCAAGCCCGATTTTTAGGCGCCATTGAAGATTTTTTTAGGGGCCAAATTGACTTTTTGCCCATATATTACGTCGCATTTAGCGAAAAGTTAGACGCACGATGTTTTCGTAACAGAACTAGTAAGTAGCTATAACTTAGGAGAGACAAAAGCACAAAGGATGAAATCTTGAAGAATAGAAATAGCTTTCACTTGTAGTCCTGAAAATTTCGAATAATCACCTGATACCTATGCAAATTCAGATTTTTAGAGGGCAATTTTTAGGGGCCAAGTTGGCGCAGAGCCTTCATTTTAAAGGCGCCATGGCCGATTTTTTAGGCGCATTTGGCGCGATGGCGCCTGTGAGTTTCGACCACTACTTGGCAGCCTGAAAAGTAACTGTTCAGGACCCATGATAAAAATCTCTCGTCTCAGATAACTTGTCCTCTTTGGCTAAAAGCGCGGAATAGGGAATATATCTCTCTTCTGCGTATATACAGCGAAAAAGGACGAATTATCTGAAACCGGCGCTCACTCAATTTGGCCCTGTGACTCCCTGGATTTCAATGACCCACCTTCCGTAATTATAGTAGCATGAGTTAGCATTTTTGAAACAAATTTTCTTCAATTGTAAACACTTATGCATAACGTCCTTAATTATACCTGATTCTAGGATCGTCATAAATAATTACCTAAACATAAATGTCTGTTTGTCGGAACTCCGCGTGATAGTTTCCGATTTACAACTCATTCAATTTGCCTTTAATGCTGAGAGATACGTTCTTTCTTTGTTTTCATTCCCACCTCCTTTGACAGGCGGGCGGATTCGGTTGTCTAGACGAGTGATTTATCTCGTAGCGGATTTGCATGAATTAGATACTGAATTAAAATCTTACAAGGAATGTAAATACAGTCTTTTCATGTTCTTAGTGGGCTTCTTATCACGTCACTTTATGCACTCTCTTACATACAGCAAAGCTTCAGAAATTGTAAGGAAGTAAATGAACTTAGCGCCATAACAGGGTAAAGAATAATAAGATGCAATACCCCGGTGTAAAAACGGGAAGTCATTCAATCGCGGCAAAGACTCACTCATTATCAGACGCAAGGTGTAATATTGCCTTCAAAAGAATGAGTATGCAACCCTATCACAGTTTTGTTTCCTCATCTGTTATGAACCTTCGCAAGAGCTCTTGTAAACTCCAAATTTTCATTACAGTCGTCCGAGTTACATTTACAAACCATCGGGATGATCTTCATAAATTTGAGTTCATCGGCAAGTCAACTCTAGCTGAGCTCGCTGTCTTCAAATTTTCGAATAGAGAACTTGCAGGTGTCTGAAATTGGATGAATTTCGGGTTTAAGTGGAAACTACTGAGTGAACTGAACACAAAGATACCATTGGTCATGAATTGAACAGTTATTGAAAAACCCTGATAAAAATTGGCAGTAGAATCTGTGTTCCAAAATACTGTAGACCTAAAACCAGCTGTAAGATTTCCAACAGCTTCTATAGCCGGCTACACAATTTATTATAGCCTTTTATAGCCGATGGCGACTAAGCAACTCACAGCCAGGCGATAAAGTGAATGCTAAACGTCACTAATTACGGATGCTAAGACTTAGTGAGTTTTTGAACCACTGATCTCTTTTTGGGCCGTAGTATCTTGATTTATTATTTTACGAGGAAAGCTCCGTACTTTTGATGGATGCCTGCCATTCCTAATATATTAGAGCGCCTTCAGTTTCGTATGATACTGTGCAATACCTCTGGTGTGAAATAGTGGCTTCAAGCAACGTGGCGCCGTGGCACGCTGCGGTGCGGCAGGCGGGCAGCCAGCGCGAAACGCGCATTGGCGCCTACAAACCTAACAGGGATACTTCACGCGTTGCGCAATGCGTGAAGTATCCCTGTTAGGTTTGTAGGCGCCAGTGCGTCGCCGCTCCGCTTTGTGTTAAGCTCTAAAATTTAATCTCGCGGAGTCAGCGTTTTTCAACCACTGATTTTGAAATGTTTGCACACTCTGTATGGATTATTCTCATTTTAATTGATGAAAAAAAAATATGTATTAAAGGAAAATATAATGTGTGTTTTGTAAATATTAAGGTAGTTCCGAATCAAACTTGATGATTTCCAAAGTACACGAATTGCTACACAATTTCTAATAGCCTTTTATAGCCAATGGCGATAAAGTGTAAAGCCCAGCGATAGGAACTATAGCCCGACTGCATACTTTTTTATAGCTTCGTATAGCCTGGCTATATGATTTGCTTTGCTTTCTACAGCCAGCTAAATGATTTTCAATAGCCTTCTTTAGTCGGCAGTAAGAACTCCTATGGTATTTTGAAACGCAGCTCCTATCGCCAATTTTTACCAGGGAAGATATGACGAAATGATCTAATCTGCTAAAATACATGTGTTTAAATGGGAAATGCCGCCAGATGCCGTCACTAGGCGGTGCATTTTCACACTTTTAAATCAATTTCTATACTATTTCCCATATCAGAAAAAAATTATAAAAAATACTGTGAAATCAGCTCTTTAAGCACTTTCAGATGAAGCAATAAAAATGTGCATGCATATTCTCTATTATGAGGAAGTTTTTTTTTTTTTTTTTTTTTTTNTTTTTTTTTTTTTTTTTTTTTTTTTTTTTTTTTTTTTTTTTTTTTTTTTTTTTTGTTTACCATGAAGCACCAAATGACGCGCTGACGGAAAGGCTCCTTCTGTCAGACGAGTGTTCGTTCGACAAGTGGACACCGCAACACATGTCATACTAAGTGCATTATGCGAGAATACACATTATCGCATGAGGACCGTCACATGTCCTCGTTTCGAAACCGATGAATGGGTCTGCTAGAAACAGATCCATCAGACCTAAATCCGGAAAATGATTCTTGTGTTTTAAGGTATGGTCGGAAGACAAGCTTTTTCTGGGCTAGCTGCGTGTACCTCGTGGCGATACCGGCTTCGTCACTCACTCACTCATTCGCGATGTTCCTGTTGTCTCGTCTGGCCATAGGCATGGCTGGATCGGGAGCTTACGAGTCGGTTTTCACTATTTGTAAGTAAGTCAAACGTGCCCTTTTACGAAAAAATTTCTTCGAAATCAAGATGGACGCTCTTAAAATGCTTAAAACTTTTAAAATCTAGGCAAACAATGGTTGCCTGGGACTGGTTCAGTAGGGACGGAGGAGGGATGGGACTTAAAGCGTGGGATTAGCCCTTGAGGGCTATTTGAAGTAGTTAAAAAAAAAAAAAAAAANAAAAAAAAAAAAAAAAAAAAAAAAAAAAAAAAAAAAAAAAAAAAAAAAAAAAAAAAATTATTATATGTTCTCACGAATCGACAAGTAACGACAAACATTTCTCGACATAACTGAAATGACGCAACTGCCACATGCAATTCGCGATCGCCGACAATTCCGCAATTTTGATTTAGCCAAGTCTGGCAAAGTCCTATCTTTGAATCGTTGTTCATAGAAGTGAAAAAATTCAGGATATAAACACTTATAACAACTGAAAATCCAGCTCTGACTCTTGCCACTGAGAGGATGTCTACTTGACAGCCAGGTTTTTCCGAATCTATATTTTAGTTTATTCCTAGTTACGTCCATTTAATGAAGAGCTTGCACGCAACAGGCATTTCCGATGTGATCAATTACATACTTCTTTTAAAATTTTGCGGGGGAAAACTATGATTCCTCTATTGTTTTTTTTTCTTCTTTTTTTTCTCTCTGTAATCAACTGAGGTCTCGCAGTTGGGGCCGTAGTAGAGGAGCACCTCAACCCTATGCTGTCGTAATATGGGAAAACGCCGTAAGAACCATCAGGCGTTGCCAAATTTCCTGTGATAAATCGAGAATTTTCAGGAAAATTTGTAAATATTTCTCTTCCGCTTTTTCAGAGGATTTCGTTCGTAATTTGATGTATCAAGTCTGAAAATTTCAAAGAAAAATATAAATAGCTTTTTTAAAAAATAAGTAATTTCTGAGAGGAAAGTTGGCAACATTTGAATGCTCATCCGGCGTTTTTACTTAACGCGGCAGTATGGGATGAGAGCAACTATTTCCACATATCTACCCAATCAAAATTTCAATTCGCTGATAGTACTCCGTACACCAGTACTATACCGTGCCAAGGAAGAACGCCGTATGAACATTCAAGAGTTGCCAAATTGTCTCAAATAAAATGTTTATATTTGAGGAAAGTCAAGAATATTTTTCCCTGACATTTTCAGGAGCCTCAGATGAAATTACGCACAAAATTATCTGAAAAATTAGAGGGGAAATATTCATAAGTTTACCAGGAAATTCGTGTTTTATCCAAAGAAATTTGGCAACGCCTGAAGGTTCATCATACGGCGTTTTTCCTTAGCACGGCAAAGTAGAGCTCCCTCCCTCGCAAAAATTCAATCATTCTCTATCGTATGTGATGTTGTGTTTCATCAATTTCAGTGACAGAGACGACCACAGGTAATGCCCGAACGATGATGGGGACATTGACAAACGTCTCATACCCAATCGGGATGATTATTTTAGCAACTGTTGCCTATTTCAACAGATATTGGAGGACGCTCCAGCTGTACCTGTCCGCCTTTATGTTTCTGCTGATAGTGGACTGTTGGTAAGTTACAGAAGTTAGTACCTCGGTCGATGTTCCGGGGGCGCGGTAAATTGCGCCCCCCCCCCCCCCCGGCTCAGCCTCATTCAGCGATCACAGAGACTCTAGTTCGACCATAAGCTATCGTCAAACTAAAAAATATTTCGACTGATGTCATAACGGCGATGCATTGGTTTTTAATGTGAATTGATAAAGTGCTTCAAAACAGTTGAGTATGTCTCAAGATAGGAACTTCTCATATCGTATGGAAATCTAATGCCCCCGCAAAATATACACAAAAGCAATAGCATCTCTCATAATATATCATGAAAACGTTTTTGACGTAATAGGTGCAGACGAAAACTCGGTAATTATGGGTTGAAAATACATGTCCATTAGGTACATCTTATAAATGGTGAAACGATTAGTGTGGAATCCAAGTTTTATAAGTATATAAATCGGGCAAAATTCTCGGACGTACGCTATATAAAACAAAAATAAATGAATGAATATTGTTCGTCGGAAGAAGTAGGTTTTGATCCTATTAATGGATAAAAATTCAGTATGTGTATCTTGGAATCATCTGTATAAAAGTATCTACTTGTGGGTGCTTTAACCGCGCTTTAACCTTACCGACAATTTAATCTCATGATCTTGTTGGTCCGCACTCACATTCATTTTCTATCTGAACACCAGAAAAAGTACATTGTATGGCTAATCCCTTTTCATACAAAGTGGTGGTAGTGGGGGTTAATATATTTTTTAGCTATGAATCTATTTTAATTTTTATTTGAAATTATTTAGGTTTGTCAAAGAGTCACCAAAATGGCTTTTTGCCGAAGGCCGAGAAGAGGAGGCATGGGCCATTTTAAAGAAAATCGACGACACGATAGACGTTCCAAAGAAACGAAGAGACTCGCGAACATCGCATAAAGTAAGTTTTAAGTTTACTGACATGTAGGCACATCCATCAGTCTCTTTGTCATTTTTTTCTATTCACGAACAGGTCCAGATTTACCTACTTGCAGCCCATGGGCCGCTTGTATTTTGCCGCCCCTTCTCATTCGTTTTTGAAACATCGATACAAACCGTCAAGTGAACGTGCCGGAGGAGTAGGGGTGCATAAGACGCGTTTACTAGTGTGGACACTTTTTTTGTGAAAACCCTGTCAACACTAGCAAAATTTCACGGAACTTCGCGCGAAAATTAAGTTCCGTGAACCTATCTCTGTGTGGACGAGGCCTTTCATTTATAAGAAAAGAACGAAAAAATTATGGAAGAATAAACATAAGTGTGGTTTAATGATTTTAATTTCCGCTAGCGCGCCAACTGCATTGTGTTTGGCGCAATGCGTGCAGTATCCATACAGTCTTGTAGGCGCTATACGTTTCACGCCGACCGCTGCTGACCGCACTGTTTTTGACGCAAAGCGTGAAGTATTCATACAGTCTTGTAGGCACTACGAGTTTCACGCCAACCGCTGCTGACCGCAGTACGTTTGACGCGATGCGTGAAGTATTCATGCAGTCTTGTAGGCGCTAATATGTGTTTTATGCTGACCGGCGCGCGCCGAGGGCTTCTCCTTTCCATTTCAAGTCCTCGTCATCACCGCGCCCGGTTATTGGCCGTTCCTCTTTGTACGAATCTTCCCGCAGCTCTTTGCCGCTCACACCCCTCGTCCACCGGACTGGACTTAGCCGCTGCGCTCGTTCCTACTGTATAAAACTCTGCATATGGGGGATCCTAATAGTGGATTCTGATAGTGGATTGGGACTTAAACAATTTCGCTTCTTGTTCCCAGTGTAGGGCGGGTGGGTCGACCTTACGATTAAAAGAGGGCCGAAAGGGGGCTCCTAACCAGCACGCTGGTGCGGTTAGGACACAGCCAGTCCCCTCTGCGGCCCTGCCTTGGAGCAACGAAGATATATCTAATCGCGGAGTATGGGGCTGGTAGGTACATACAAATTTCAGATATGCAAGTTCAAGCCGCCGCGCGTTCACGTCATCGCGCCTTCAATTTTGCAGATACAACACGGACATCCATCAATTACGAATAGTTGTATCTCTGCGCCGTCATCAACGCGCGTGTTCCCCTCGTTCTACTTCCATGTTGTGTTGCTTAACGGTGTAAGGCCGCAACCATGTATCCCGTTATGTTTGAAAATCTCTGCTCCTATTTTATTGTTTTAAAAGGAGAAAACATCGACATCATTCCTTGAACTTTTCGCAGAATTTTCTTCGTGCAGAGAAGAAAATTCACGACAGTTTTTAAGAATTGCCGTCGAGTAGTTTTCCAGTAAAAAAGTAAAATATGACGGGAAGTCTGCAACATCGTAATTGGAGATATGTGATTTCGCACTTTAGCCACCAGTATACATTCCTATCTTACTTTTTTTTTTTTTTTTTTTTTTTTTTTTTTTTTTTTCGAATCGATTGAAGTTAATGCAATGTTTGGAATATATTCACAGAAAAAGGCAGATCACATACCGTGGTACGAGCATGTTTTGGACTTAATAAAAAAATTCACATCACTTTTTTCGGAAGCTGAGCTTTGCGTGCGAATCCTCGTCTGCTATTTCGCCTGGACAGTCAGTGCGCTTGCTTACTATCTGGTCGGTAAGTATTACGTAAACGTAGTTACATAGATGTCGATGAACCAAGAAGTATCTGCACAATCATGGGCACATATAATTAATAATTATCAATGTAAAAATGTATTAAATCTGCAAACCTAATCAATGATCAACTCTTATCGACTAGCCAGCTCTGCTGTGTCATCGTCTGCTTACAAATCACTTTACATGATCAATTTTACTACCGGTTTTTTTTTCTTTAATCTTTTTTTTTCTGAATGACTTTCCATACATCGTAGTAACAGTGATGGCAACATCAATTTCGGCCTCCTTGCAAATGAAAACATCCCGAAAATGTAAACTTACCGAGAAAAACAAAGAAATTTAAATTTGTATTTATCTTGAAGAAATACATTGCTTACCTGTACTTTTTTATTACTGACTTTATTTCATTCATTATTCTTTTATTTCGTTGGCCAAAAACGAGGAGAAGAATAATTATAAAATATCAAAGATTTAGCCCTCACTTGTTTGTTCTTGCCGATTTTAGAATACTTACAACATTATAATTATAGGTCAGCTAAGAAACACCCCAAAAATATTTTCTAAAGGGGAAGGAGGGGAAGGAACAAGAAATTTATAGTTTCCTCCTTACCAACGGTGCAATTGTGACGGTAGCATATTTGAGGAGAGGGCTGGGAGTTTGAGCTAATCTAGAGAATTCTTAATTGAACTCTTACCGGTAAGAACCGCTCTACTTAATTAATTTACATGTTATTTTTTCACAGCTTTGAGTGGTGACAATTTTGCAGCGAACAAATATTTATTCATTGCCTTGAACGGAGTTTGTGAAGTTCCTTCATATTTTCTACCCATTCCACTTCTACGACTTTATGGACGAAAAGCCACAGCGATGATGTTGTATTTCTGTTCTGGAATGGCTCAACTGTCCATCCTCTTTTTTAACCGAAGTAAATATGACACATCATATTGCTTTTTATTTATCTTTTATCAAATAAAGCAGGTGACTGATTGGCGGTCCCGTATCTGTATGGTATGGACAAAGTCAGCTGTCAGCAGTTATTATCGTTTGGTTTTATAAAATCCTCGGTTGATTTAGGAAAACAACCAGTGAGTAGGATCCTGCGAAAATCGAGATGAAAATATCGATACGCCGAATAAAGAGGGACAGACATAGAAAACTAATAACAAAAAGCCCGTAACTGAAGTCATAGATCCAGTCGCGAAGCCAGATGTTTCGCCGAAATTATTTTACAGCGTAATTATTTAATAGGTACTTTTTTACTCCTTTCTCGTTTCTCCCTCTTCTTTCCCTGTCTTCTTCCTTTCAGATAGGAAAAAAGAAAAAAAAGTTTAGTGGAAATCAGTGTAAGGGAAACATATCTTTCCATGAACTGTGATAGCGTTAATGATCAATGCGTAGATGGTAGATACTTATTGTCGTCTTTTTGAGCGTTTCCTTCAATTTAGACGCGTAGGCAACAAATATACAGAGACCCGCATATAATTATCCATCCAAAGAAAACACATTTATCTTGCTTTATAAACTCTGAGTCTGAGAGAACTAATAGGCAAAGCGTAAATCTATTTGCGGATATTTTCCGCATCTGAAGTTTGTCTTTGATTTCAGCATGTAGACGCAGCAGATATATCGGAGAACGCGTTCTTTCTTATAAAAACACGCGTATTCGCTCCAGAACTGTTCGATGAAACCACGACAATGCTAAAAACTATTGGCAGCTTCCTGCTACCTTCAACTCGAGGTTCGCCTTCAAACTCGCCGTGTAGGCAACAAGGGAGCTATCCATTCAAAAATACATTTATCTCGCTTCGTAAGCTTTTGTTGAGCAGGACTCCGTTCCTTTGAGATGGGATTTTCTTTACCTGTCTCGTATTTCACTCCTCAGCCTCAAACGTAAAATTTTTGACTGTCACAGAGCATCATCTTCATCTGTGTTTGTCTCCTAATGATTTTCTTCTCCCTCTTTCTACGTAGGTCAAGTCAACTGGGTGACAGCGGTTGCACTATTCGGTCGCTTTACAGGGAGCGCAGTTTTCGGCTCTCTCATCTTGCAAACGACCGAACTTTTCCCGACGGCTCAGCGAAACTCGGCCGTGGGATCCAGTCTAATGATCGCTCAAGTTGGATCTTTCGTAGCTCCGTTCTTGGTCGCATCAGTGGTAAGCGATGACAACTTTGCTGTAGATAGTGCACCTTGCTGAAGAGCAACTCTGTACAAAATCGGTGGCTCGTCACTTGGCCAAACGCTCCAGATTTCCGGAAACATTTAATTGCTTTTATTATTTTAATATTATTTTCCCCCTCAGGTATAGGTGTAATTTCAGCTAAATTTTGGAGACAGAGGAAGGGGAAAAGTTGCTCAAATTTAAAAAAAAAAAAAAACCAATTAATATGCTGAGGAAGCGGGAAAAATTTCAAAAGTCCCCAAAAACGGTCTGAAATTGATTTAATTTAGCCAAAATTCCTGTGAAATAAAGTTAGGTAAATTAAAATTACGGGGAGCATCGCCCTACCTCAAATGACGCCTCAGTTTTCCCCCGAAAAAAATGTAGGCGGATTATTTATTTAGAATAGGTAGCTGAAAGCCTAATAGGTAAAAATTTCCGATAACGAATTAGAATCCCAGTAGGATGACTTCTATACAGGGACATACAAATGGCCAAAGTGCAAAAGCACGTACCTGCATTGCAACGTTTCAAAATTTCCGCTCCTATTGGGTTTTCTCGAGAGAGAAGAAGCCAATGTTATCGCTTGAAATTTCAACAGAATACTCTGCTGACGGAGAAAACAATCATGGAATGAGTTGACGATAAATTACGTTAACTAGTTCATCCGAAGAAAAAATAAAGTATGACAGGAAGTCTGCGAACGTCGCGATCGGAGATACGCGATTTCGTACTTTGGCCGTCGATGTGGTGCATTAATACTTTCGTCCTGAGAAGAAACTCCATGCGTATAAGCATTATTCAAACGGTAGTTTATGCACTAGACCCGGTGAGATTTGTGGCTTATTATCAGTTTATGCTGACGTAAAGTGGATCGTTGCGGGTTGCGCGCCGACGCCACCGAAGGCGTTTTTCAATCCTTGTACTCGTGTTTCCGCGGTTCCATTTTATTTGGCCAAATTCCCGCTACCTATTAAATTCAAGTTTTTTTAAAAAATTCATGAAAAATTTTTCTAGGGAAAGACTCCTAACTAGAGAAAATTTTGATATTTGCTTGCACTGCTAAGAAAGAGCACAGTTTATTGGGGAGAGATAGATACTTACTTAATGTGCCTCGTTCTATCTTCATTCTTATTCCAATCGTTTAGAGGAACAAAATTTTGCAAAAGCAATGACAAATATTAAACTCTTTTGAAATGAATAGATAGGTATTTCACGAGGATAAAGACCTGTGAAAAAAATTCTAATAGGTACCTAGGGGCAAGAAAACAGCAATGGTGCAGAGTTTCTTGACAAACAAATTGAGGAAATTTATATAACTACGTCTCTGAAATTCAGAGTCTGAATGATGACTTTGTTAATATCACGAATTAATAAGTTACTTCGTTCCAGTCACTGAATATTTTCCGAGTGAAAATGATTTTATTTTATGCATGGTATTTACTTATTTTTCAGGGTGTGGAAAGGTGGTATGTTCCTAGTGTCATCTGTGGAGTTTTGTCTCTTTGCTGCGGGATTTTGTTTTGCATTATCCCGGAAACAACTGGTAAACCTCTGTACAATACTAGTAAGGAAATCCCTCCTGAGGATAAGGTCAGTTTTGCCCAATGCTGTCGATTTAAATAAAACAACTTCCAACAATTACCAAAAAACTGTTTTCCTTTAAAAGACGTAGCTCTCAATTCCTACATGTATTTACAACTAATATTCGGACCACCATATATTTGTGCAACGACGTTTCGAGAAAGCAATGAGGTACCTACACATTTCGCTATCACAAACGGAAAAAATTGAATGCTTATCAGTACTGCCGTGCTAAGGAAGAATGCCGTATGAACATTCCCTGGTAAAAATTGGCAATAGAATCTGTGTTCCAAAATACCATAGACCTACAGCCGGCTGTAAGATTTCCAATAGCTTCTATAGCCGGCTACACAATTCCTTATAGCCTTTTACAGCCGATGGTGATTAAGCAACAGCCAGGCGATAAAGTGTAGGTATGCTAAGCGTTACTAATTACGGATGCTAGGACTTAGTGAGTTTTTGGAATACTGCTCTCTTTTTGGGCCGTAGTATCTTGATTTATTTTGCGAGGAAAGCTCTGTACTTTTGATGGATGCCTGCCATTACTAATATATTAGAGCGCCTTCAGTTTCGTATGATACTGTGCAATACCTCTGGTGTGAAATAGTTGCTTCAGGCGCCGTGGCAGGCGGGCAGCCAGCGCGGAACGTGCATTGGCGCCTACAAACCTAACAGGGATACTTCACGCGTTGCGCAATGCGTGAAGTATCCCTGTTAGGTTTGTAGGCGCCAGTGCGTCGCCGCGCCGCGCTGCTCCGCTTTGTGTTAGGCTCTAATATTTAATCTGGCGGAGTCAGCTTTATTCAACTCATGATTTTGAAATTTTTGCACATCCAGTATGGATTATTCTCATTTTAATTGATGAAAAAAAATATGTATTAAAGGAAAATATAATGTGTATTTAGTAAATATTAAGGTGGTTCCGTATCAAACTTAATGATTTCCAAAGCACACGAATTGCTACACAATTTCTTATAGCCTTTTATAATCGATGGCAAAAAAGCAACAACCAGGCGATAAAGTGTAAAGCCCGGCGATAAGAACTATAGCCCGGCTGCATAATTTTTTATCGCTTCGTATAGCCCGGCCGTGTGATTTTCTCCGCATTCTACAGCCAGCTTTATGATTTTCTGTAGCCTTCCTTAGCCGGCTATAAGAATTCCTATGGTATTTTAAAACGCAGCTCTTATCGCCAATTTTTACCAGGGTTCGAGAGTTGCCAAATTTCCCTCGATAAAACATGTATTTTTGACAACATCCATGCATATTTTTCTTTTGAAATTTTCAGATATTATAGATTAAATTACGTACGAAATTGTCTGAAAATTTTGGAAATAAATATTCACAATTTTCCCAGTAAAGTCGAGTTTTATCGAAGGAAACTTGGCAACGTCTGAAGGCTCATACGGCGTTTTTCCTTATCACGGCCGAGTAGTTCTCAAGCTTTTTCAATGGGTAGGTTTGCAGATGCAACTATTCGTGTTCTTGGGATGTCCACGTTGCATACACAAAAAATGGCAGGCGCTCTGAGTTTCCCAAGCACAAAGGATGGCTGCGATTGTTACATCTCAAGAGTTTTATACGTTGCAATTACAATCGTGTTTACTATGAAAGCCTCGAAATTCGGATGAGATAGGTAGCAACATGACCGCGTTGCCAAATTGTTGGCCAATTAGCGGGACTCCCGTTTTCGGCAAAACCGAGCGGGATCACGACCCATCGTGATCATCGCAGTTGGCAAGGTGACAAGTTTTCTTGGATTTAAAAATTCCCTGACTTTCATAGATGTTTTTAGCATAAAAACCCCCAACTTTTCAGTGCTTAATTGGCGTGATTTCTGATAAAGACTCCAATCACAAACATTTCTGAGCGAGAGACGCAAATTGCGGCAATGTAATTTTTTCCCGCGATTTACGGCCGGATTGACATCCGCAATGCTTTCGGCAGCTGATTAACGGGAAAATGCACCGTATGGCAACGCTGCCGTCGTCCTACACAACTCATCCGAATTTCGAGGATTTAATTGAACATGGTTTTCAATGCAATGCAGAAAACACTTAAGGACTAACAACCGTAGCCATTAGTTATGCTTAAGAAAGGCAGAGCGCCTGCAATTTTTTGTGTATGCAACGCAAACATCACTGGAAAAAGAAACACATCGGATCTAGAGTAGAGTCCAGACTCATAAAAACATCGACAAGAAAAAGTACCTACTCTTGATTCAATCAGAATCCAGCTTAAATCAAGAGCCGAGCCTCTTAATTTAAGCGGATTTCGTTTTGATTCAAGCAAAAATCCGATTGAATCAAGAGTATTTTTTCTTGTCAATGTTTTCAAGAGTCTGGACTCTAGATCCAATGTGTTTTTTTCTTTCCAGTGATCCAGAAAACACGAATGGTCGCATCCATATCTTGCAATTGATAAAGCACATGCGGTTCAAGTTTCTCCGCAGTAATGAGCTCAAGAAATGGCGCGACGAGCACTCTCTTGTTAAAAACGCACATTTGAGAGAGTATTTTCTTAAATGAAAGTAGGTTTGCAATGTATATACTACATTGAGACTAATGGAAGATTGAAACTTAAATCCTTCGTTCCTCAATTTTGCCTTTGTGTGGGCTGGTTCCTTTCTGCTGAGCTCAATATCAGTCTGTGCTGTAAAATGAAAGTCTTGTTTATTCTGTTATCTGTTCAGGAATTCAGATGGCATGATACAGTATAATAGTCATGATACCAACATGCCGGGAAAAAACGCTATGTAATAGAGGGATACATCTGAGCTACCTTGAAAATGTTGCTTATGATTCTGATGCCTTCTAAGTAAAATCCAGATGGCAAAGAAGTAAGCTTTTTAAGCTGAGAGGAAAAGGCAAAGAAAAGGAACATGTTCAAGTCTTTGAGTGATCAACATAAATTTTTATTTTCAATCATACAAAACATTTTAATCCATAAAAATCTGCTCAAGTATAGCAACTAGATCCACACAAACATTCAGACTAGATTTACTTTATTAAACAAAATAAGTAAAAACCAAGTCTTCTTCTTTTTCATGATGAGCAAGCACTTTACCTACATAGCCATTTCAGAATGCATAAGAAAATAGAGATTGATTTAGGCAGTATATCTAGGTATTTCACTCAAATGCTTAGTGCTACTTAATAGCGTGTAGTATGGAGTATCTCAAGATTGAGCCACTATCAGCAACTGAAACTATACTAATTGTTGAATCTAGAGAACTAAGGTAAGTATAACTAAATAAATTACAGGCTCTCGGATACTTTAGGGGAAGATTTAGTAAAGGAAATTTAATTAAAATAAGCAAAACTGATCAGCTTAAAAAAAAATGTGTGACTGTAAAAAGACACAACTTACGATAAAAAACAAACTTTCATTGGGGGAAAAAAATCTAATAAAAACTATATTAAATGTGTATGAAAATGAATTTCTACTCTTGCAGAAAAAGACAATTATAAAAATAGAAAATAACTAACAGTGCAAAAAGAAAACAAAGTATTTAAGTATCTCTGATGTTTTCTAAACATCAACGTTAAAGAAACTTTTCAAAAAACACTAACATACCTTCCCTTACTGACTAATTTTTGTACCTACATAATTAAGGTTTACGTTGCATTCACGCTGTTGGTCAGAATTTAAAAAATAACAGTTTTCTTGAAAAAATTTACACAATTTGCTTTACTATTGTATAAAATGGAGGAAACTGATGGCTGAAATAGAAATCAAATGGGCATTAGTTGAGATACAAAAGTCGTGGACAATACCATCCTAAACTTATGAGAGCTTTAAAAGAGGTAGTGGCCAGTTTTGATTTAACTGCTATTTCAGACATTATTTGCAATTATTGCACATTTTGATACAACAAAATTTTCAATTTTCCGCCAAGTGAAACACATTATCACAAACCATGTAAAATAAACCATTTTTTCAGCCTATGAAAACCAAACATGATTCCAAACCACTGGATAAACATTTAACTTTCAGAAAGGAGAACTTTTAATTACTTTCTGTCTTATTTATTTAAGTGTACCAAAGCCTCTGATTAGGCCACCGGGTATTAATATAAGAAAGGCTATGTTGCTATGTTCCGGACATCCTCCTAAGTCTCTACGTTTTAATTGTCAATACAAACTTACAGACCTACAAAAATAAATCATGTTTAGGGACCAACAGTAACATTTTGGATTTGCGAATATTAAATTCTCTTGATGGGTCTGAGCTAAACTAAAACTATGAAATAAGTCATACCAATGAATCATTGTGAAATTTAGAAAAAAATAGAGGAAAAAAAAGCATTTGCTCACAATGACTCATTAGCTTCAACATTTAAAATGAGCTTCAGAAGCTTGCATATCTTCATTTTATTACGTTTATACTCCCATTTCCTGACTTAAACTTAACCCCCACACATTGAGCATTCATTACATTCCTGGACGTAATGGGTAGAGGATGACTTATACTTAACATTATTAAAAAAGGTAAAAAAATACGCAGACATCAGTAAAAGCCCTAATTTATCTTATTGGAACTAACAACTTGGTGTGTCTATCCACTTAACAAATCTATAAACGACGATTGCAGCTGATGGGACAAAACTAGTTTGAGGAACAACTGGCAGAAAAGGGTGATTGCAAAAACAATTTTTGAGATTTTACAAACAGGAGTTTCATTTCTCAGTTTTTTTTTGTAGTTTTTACCAAAATCCATTGAAGTTGATTGATGAAATTTGGAATGAAGGTAACAATTTTTTTTGCACTATAAAAAAATTACAACAAAGCTTAAGTTCTACTGCAGTCTGGTTCAGTCTTGTTCTCATGAAAAATTATTGGCAGGTTATACTGTTACGGATTGAGTTCCAACATTACTGAAGACATTATCGCAGTGCTTAGGAACCGTTTGTTTCCCTAGGATGTAATTTTCATACATTTGGTACAGCTTTGAAACATACGGAAGATCTTGGTTCACATCTAATACTAGAACCGGGGCAGGTAACGAGGCAGGGTCAGTTTGCATTAACCATTTTTCATATGCTTCATGAAGCACAGTGAGGTACTCTAGTGATACTGGTTTTTCTTCAGGTCTCGCTCTGCGACACATTCTTTCATATACAATTTCAGGACTGCTTCGCAAATAAACTGTAAAATCAAAAAATTATGATTAACTTGTGACCAGTTAATAATCAAAGGATCAATATAACTTAAGCAAAGGCAAATTGGGAGGTATCAAAAACTATGCAAAATTTTTTCAGCCTACTTTCGCTAGAGTTATTACCCATTTTGCCAAATCTATGGTTCGAAAAGATGAAAGTTCTGGAATAAGTTTGATCTTTCTCTGACACAATTTTACCCAGATAAAGGATAAAAATGCATGAATGTCCCAGCTTTTACTCACTTGCTGACTTGAAATTTTAATGGAATATTTAATATATCTGTTAACCTTCGATAAGATGCTATAAGAAACTTTACATTTTCATTACATTTGTAGAAAAAATATCTTAATGATAGGAAAAAAAAATAAGTAGGCAGGAAGCAACATGCTGACTTAAAGAAAACAGAGGTTAAATAACGGCTAAAAATCAACTTCATTGTTCATGGGGAAAAGGACAGGACTAGAAAAAAACCCAACTTGTGTGGTTTTATCATGAATTGTCATCTAACTGACAGAAATTTTACTCCAATGGGCAGCAAAACATTCCAGTCGCTTATTCCTACATGCAGGAGTGTGCAAGAGGGTAGACAGTTCAACTACATAGGTTTCATACATAGGTTGTCCAAAAAGTAATGCAATGGACGACTTTTAAAGTGAACGAAAAAAGTTCACAACATTTTTTATGGTCCTGATTATTTCATTGTTTTGTTACTGAATCATTAAAAAGGAAATTTGATACAATCTTACCGATTAAGTCCAAGCCAATGTCCAAGTTGTTTTCTATCCAGCTGTACCATTCACACATTGCCGTGTATTCAGGATCTGTCAGAACCCCTTCGTCATGAGCCATTTCTACGAAACAGTGTCTGTTGGAAAAAAATTTATACTCTTACAATACTTCATAAACATAACCATGTAAGTATCATTGTGTCACAGCTATGGCTCAAGAAGCAAAGTGCATACATAAAAAATGCCGCTTTCATAAGAGAAAAAAACGAACTAAGTAAGGCAATATTTAAAACTCAGTCTCATGAAGTATTCAGACAAGGACTGATTATTAAAATCTGAAATGGATCTGAGTAAAAAGTCAAATGTTTAATTACCTGTTATTTTGGAGAGATCTCTCGAAAATTTGAACAGCTTTGTCAGTATCTTTGGTCTGCAGTTTCAATCGTGACAACTGAACATTATGTTGGAAGGGGAAGTTCCATTTATCAGGGTCCGAGTAAAGGAGGTGTAATAAATTGTGCCCATGAAAATTTCTCCACTCAGCAACTGGTTCCTTCATATTAGAGAATTCAATATCAGTGAGTATTACAAGAAAATTATAACTTAGATAAGTTGAAAGGGATACAAAAAGGAAATCAGATGATCATTAAAGTCCACACCAAATAATTTGATACACTTGAAGAGTGAGACAGAAAATCTGTCATCTTCATTTTCATGCTGAAACTGAATGCAAGAATCAAGAGGCAGATTTTCCATCACACTTCATATGAGGACCTTCCCGACCAAACAGCTTATACCCATGTCAACGATGCTAAGATTGTGCATCTGTTCAACTGTCTAGTTGGTAGAGAGCTGTGAGCTTTGTTCTGAAATTTGCCTCAAATTTTCTTTCTATTTTTCTGAATATTTTGGCAGAGAAATTCATAATGTGGGTGATTTTGAGTACTTATAAAAAAAAGAAAAGTTACACAATCTTAGTGATGTTGACATGGGTATGAGCTGTTTGGTCGGAAAGGTCCTCATATATGTATGTGAACTCTTTAGAGGAGGTCTCTACTTGCGTATTCTGCTTTAAGGTAGGATACGTAACTCCTCCAAGGTTGAAATATTCATCACAAATTTTTGATTCTAATACATAGATCTTACTTGATGGCAAATCTCTGGCTCTTACTGGAAGCGCAAGGATTACCACTTGTGTGGTATTTGAAGTAGTAAAAAAAAAGAAAAATCTTCCTAATTTTATTGAAGGCGGAGCCCTTCATTCATACTTCAACCTTCTTAAACATGGAGATATTTGGGGAACATAAGCGCAAAATAAATGTCAATTTTGTGTGAGAGCTTTAAAAATCAACTCAATGAAATGTTATCATACAAGTTCCCTCCTTTCTGTCTCGAGTCTGAATTTTCAAGTGTGCATTAAGTAAGGGCAAATACACACATAGAAAATTTTAACGAATTCTGGTCAAAGAGAGGGCAGAGGAATCACCATGTGAACACGCAACAAGCTTGGTAGGTTTCACATTATCTCTTTCGGTTTGATGGGAATGTGTATGTAATTGACAGTGTAACAAGACCTATGGGAAATTTCCAACAGTAAGGAGGAGTTACAGAATTTTAACAGGCAGGAAGGAGGGAGGAAGGTGCTACCATATCAAGGTGGCAAACAGCTTTTAGCACACTGACAGCAAAATGGTAAATCCAGCCCTGGTTGGTTGTAATAGAAAATCAACTTACAGGACAAGCATCCACTTCCGGGAATTGTTTAAAATAGTCAATGAGAGTAGATTTGCCACATCCAACATTTCCTTCAATCGAGACTTTAAAAGGCCTTTTCTTCAATTTCTTATCCATCTTGGCGGATACACTGCAAGAATGATTAGCTCTAGATCCAACAGCAATAACACGGTCAATCCACCTGCAAAATAAGAATCAGAGGATGAGAGAGTGTAGGAAATAATATTTCACTGTAAATACTAGGAAATGTTATGCTTTCAGCAACATTCTTGATCCTCGCAATAGAATCAACCCTTCAATATATCTTACGTACAGGACACGTGAAGTTGAACTCCTAAATTTGCTATATCAGACATTATAAAAGTATTATTTCAGAGTGAGTAAATGATTGTTTTCGGCAACAGAATCACAGTGCAAATGCTGAAGTGTATAACCTACCTGGTCGTTAGATGTGAAGAATTCTTCCAAAATCACAACTAAGTACACCCAAGAATTATCTACCAACAGGACAACATAAGTAACTATAATCTTTAGCTTTTCTCTCCCCTTGCACTCCACTGAGATGCAGACCCTCGGTTGTCACTCCATCTATTCATTACATAACAATTCGACACTATCTTCCAAAGATCGTTCATTTTACTATCATGATCATAATTCTTGTGGGAGTTATTTGATACAGGGAGTTAAGAGTGGATAAGAAGATAGAGCCTACGATCCTCCGAGTTTTTTTAGTACTTGTTCAAGTACACCTACAGTGTCAAGTGACATAGCATTGTAAAAAATTCATCAAACCACACTGATATAACCACACTATTTGAGTTGGGTAAAAGTTTATGTTGCGTTGAAATTCATGATTATATTTGAGAGTGTATGTGCTCTAATTGGGCTTTCATCAATTCGACCCGGGGACAATACATATAGACAAAAATGACCAAGAACCGTAGAAAAAAAGGTATGAGTGCCATGAGCAACGCAAACGGTCTTAAAGCTATTATCACTATTTCTTCACCTGACACGATAACAGCAGAGTGTAAAGAATGTCAGTGTAAGTCTGGAAACTAATTCTATGGCTAATTAACTTGGCCATTTGAGGAAAAACCCGCATCGGTTGAGGACAGTTTGCGAGGTGTTCCCATTGTTTACACTATAGGTTAGATTGGTATCTGTCATTATCCAGCAGTTTAATCGTCAGTTTTGATAGCTAGCAGGTTTTCCATGATCTAGCAGTAATTAATGAGGAATTCCGATGAAAATTGGCCTTACGGAATGACAAGGTGGCTCGCTGAGAGACAACATAGCAAGCGTTGAAGGGTTGAAGTTGGCGCCCGCATGCTCGTTGTAGCCGTGCAGTAGAAAACTAGGTTACATACCTGACAAATAAAGTTGAGACCATTCAAGAAGCAAGTACTGAGTTACGTCAGGCGTCAAATAGCAGAGAACCAAGAAAAAACATTCATTTACTTGACGTAAAATTCGATTCGCAGGACTCAGCAAACTGATAACAAACAATGATAATGCAATCGGTGAAGTTCTTTTTGTTTTCGCCTTTTCCCTCCAAATAAATCAAATGCGCAATGCGCAGTGGGGCAAAACGAACTTACTGCGCAGGTTTCCTCTCGCCCCCTCCTGCCCCAGATAGGCCAGATAGGCAGGATAGGACGGGAGCGGGGAGGTTCGCGCTACCTGATTTTCGCATTTTCGTTCATCATGCTTTTATTTTATGAACCCAGGATTATGAATGTATATGTACAGTGATCCGAAAGTATGCCGCACTACCAGCACCAGGCATCGTCCCTGAAACGTTTGAACCAATTTTCTATGAGCTACAGACCTGAAATTTCGTGAGTGGAAAAGGGGCAAGAATAGAATTAAAGAGGTAATGCGCGGCATCTGGATCACCCTGTATACACTTAGGTACTTAAAAATTTTTAGGTCTCGGTGTTGCCTCGTTTTCCGTTTAAAAAGGGAAATATTAGAGAAAATTAGGCAACGTCTGATGTAATTAGGCAGATTTTTTTTAAAAAAAACTTAAAATGCTCATTTAGGTGTTTTTAGAGCAGATTTTTAATTTTCAATTTAGAGCAGAATAATTTTCACTCAACAACTCGACATCAAAAACCTATTGCTTCATTCTAGACACCAGTTGGACGCGGGAATGCAGAGCGATTCGGCCAACACAACATGGGAAAAGTGCAAGGGAAAAGATACGCGTTGCTAACGGCGCGGAGATACAACTATTCGTATTCGATGGATGTCCATGTTGCATCCGCAAAATTGAAGGCGTGATGGTGCGAGGCTTGAACTCTCAATGCTCCGAGGTGTCGCTAAGATTCGGCAAAAAAGTTGAAAAGTGAAGCCTGAATAAATCTCTCCTATCTTCGGCGGCACTCGATTTCTTTCTTTTTATTTCATTTTGATGTCTAATGCTTTTTATATTAGGTATTTGTAGACATATATCTAAAACTCGTACGTACCGGCACCCTAACTACCCCAGAAAAGATAGTCGGGCCAATTTGACCTGGCTTGGGATTTCTAGGAGGCCGATAGTTGTGCCTGACACTCGATATTGTTTCCTTCCTTTTCAATTTGAAATCAGATTTTTTTTTTTTTACAATGCACATGTAAACCTATATCTGAAGTTCGTATAAAACGGCCTCAAACCACCCATGGGCGACATGTTTTTACCAAGCCTCAGGTCAATTTGACCCGATTTGAGCATTTAAGGGGTCGTACAAAATAAAAATAAAAAAAAATCCCCAGTCTTTTTTAGTAGTACCACTGTAAATAGAAGACAAATAAGTGCTTCAAAAAACTATCTAGTCTGGAATGATTTTCTAAGTTGTGGTAATACATTTTTGGATAGGATTCAGACAAAAGAAGACATAATTAATTGAAAATTTCAAATATACATAAACTTTATTAAAATATAAACTATACAACAAATAGCTAAGCATTACAAAAAACACACAAAGTAATACAATAAAATTTAATGAATTATGGGTTGAAAGAAAAAAAATTAAGGCATTATGTTACACAAGTTTTTTATGCTACACCTACTAGTTACCTGATATAATAATGATCTATGCAAAAAATTATTGAACAGTGACTTCTTCACCAAATGAAGTTGTTTAAGATAGACACTAGTTAAATGCTATTGAATTATATCATCAGCCTTCTGTTTGGTTAATTTCTAGTAGAATCAGTTCTCTATTAGTGAGGAAGTTATTCCCAAAGGTGTTATTGAATGCATCATTATCTTCATGAAATCAAAATAACATGTAACACAGTGCTTTGATTTAATTTTTCTTTGCTAGCCAAGACCCATTGTAGTCAACTGATTCTATGGAAAATTGAGATTTTTTTAATATAAAAATGTTAAGGCAAGTGGAATATAATAAGAAAGTTCTTTAAAAAAATACAAATAATAATAAATTAGTAAGATGTTATGAGAGATCTGATAACGTCAATAATTAGGAATGGTCAGCAATGTTCTCCAAAAAAATTGCCTACGAAAAGATAAACCGGGTTCAATTCCATCAAAACAGCGAGCTGCCATCAAACTTTACCATGATTTGTTCGTATGTTGATTTTCTATACCAACCTAGAATGATGATATAGCTACATGCGATTGTACTTCACCCTATGATTTGTAAAGAATTTTCAAAAATGAATTATTTGATTTTCTGTATAAAAAATAAAATAATAAAAATATATTATGACACCTTATTTTTATCCTTTTTACTGAACTAGAACCGGCTGAATGCTTTTTCATTGAAAAAAAAAAGCTTGTAACTAATCTTGAAAAGCTATAACTGCCATAAGTTGCCAAATTTCTGAATTTGAGAACATTTACAGATTATTAAATAAGGTTAAGGTATGGCACAACAATTCTTCTTTCGCCCATACTAATTTAGAATTCTCACTTCACCTCTACTTATAAGAAAGAATTTATAAGTTCACTTCAAGTATAAAAAATAATTGCTCTAAACATGGCAACAAAATAATGACTGCAAATTTATTTAATAATATTTAATCTTTCTAACACGTCTAATTGTAATTACTTATTGTACAAAACAAACAAACAACAGAAATTAAGTATATAATGTGCACACTGACTCAATTTATGTAAGTGTGAAGAAATTTTTGTCTTTCAGCGGATGGTAATTAAGACCCCATACAATCCACTCAGGTCTGAAAAGCACCTAATTGAGTAACGGGGAAAAAAATTAGAGATATTTCAGGTCATGCTTGAAAATTGAAACAACTTTAGTTTGTGAGAACACTGAAAATAAACACAATGCACAGTGAAAACTACTTTTAAATGTGAGCACACAAAGAAAACAGAATAGAAGTAGGTATAAAAGCATACTAAAGATTTAATAATTGAAAAAATTGTGAGGGAAACTCAAAACAAAAAATAAGAGAAATTCAACTGTCACTCAGTTTGGTAAACTGATGAAAACTGCAAGGCATGCAATTCTGTAAAAAATAAAATAAAATAATCACTAATTTGTAAGCAGTTGCTTCAGATGATAACTTTTATCATTCTTTCTTATACATTGTGCACATACTCATTCAAAAAAGAGAACAGGCTTTCTATATTTTTCTGCTTCTTACTCAATTAATTCATCAGACATAAGTACATACAGGAAAAATGGATACAAAAATATAATAATTATACAAAACACAATTTTTGCGATTTATAATCTGAGGCACTGGATTAAAATAAAAAGCACTTTTCCCCTAAGTATTATTTGGGGAACAAAATCATGCTTTTTCCCCAGAAAGCACTAATAAAGGATTAAAAGCTCATCAATTCAAACCTACAACTGGCAATACTGCTGCACATATAAACTTTAAATGCATTGCTTTTGTACTTGAGTGCTATTTTCACAGGTAAGAGATTTAATCATTTAATTATAAAGAACAGGAGGAAAGGAAAACAGTTAACCAAAAAAAGCTTTCTCCAATGTCTAATTTTCAAGGAAAAATAATTATATTGTAACAATACAAATTTTGCTCCTGTCTCAAGAGACCGCAAAAGGCTAAATATCATAGCTCCCATGAAACGTATTATGTAGTAGTTTTAATTGTTGATTAATGATTTTTTTTTCCCTTCTTGTTTTGTGAAAAATTTGGTAAAAGGAAACTTGATTCAAAATCAATATGTTTTGTATGATTGCAAAGATTCCTCATTTTTTACAATTTAAGTGATGTCAATAAAATACTGTTGCAAAACAAGTACATATAAAGACAACTTAACCTTCAGCTATTTTAAAAGAAAACTACTTAAACGCACTAAGGTCCGGTCAGGAATGAGAATTTTATGCTTGAATATCAATTTATACATGGAGTGGAAAATTCCATTTGACTATGATTCCATTTATAAGAGACATGTTAAATTATGACTTAATATGTACTCAAGACATGTCAAAACGTATAAAATCGAGGAAATCTTAGCAGATGAAACAATATTTCTCGAGCACAAAAATTATAGACAGTAGATAATTCAGAACAGATGTAGGCACATACTCATTCCTAGAAAAACTAAAGGAATGTAAATTTTAACTGATCTGACTTTCTTGGAATTTCTGGTGCAATCAGCAGTAGTAACATTTAGAAATTTGAGTTTTATCTTCGTTTCAGAGAACCTCATGGAATGACATTAAAATAAATAAATTCATTCAATACAAAGGTAGTAAACATGAAAACTATATAAAATACATAGCTCAATGAAATACATCTAAAAAAATTGTATTAACTTGACATAAGAAAAATACTGCATAACTTGGATCAATGTCCTAGTAAAAGGGAGTCATGATTAGTCCATCAATCTGACATCACACTGCCTCATGAAACAAATCAGTTTGATGTCACTCTGACATTAGTGTAACTAGTGTGAAGTTAGGGTGCTCGGTAGACATCACATTAATCTTTGTTCCCCAGACAAAAGAACGTAATTCCACTTCAACATTGCAGCATTCTCACCAGCAAATTGTATTTTTATCTGCAGAGAGTTGGGCATATCCTATGGAAAATTTAGCAGATTTCTCTTCCAATTATACGCAAAAATTAGCAAAATTGTGAACAAAAACTGTGCAGTCCTACTCTGGTACAAAATTGAATTGTGTGATTTAATTTTGGAGCCTTGGAATAGAGTTAACCTCTTTTGTCTGGGTAACAACGTAATGTAACACAGCTTCATGGAACAAAGAGTGTGGAATGAGAGTGATGTCATGATAAGCCGCTTTTACTAGGGTGTTCCTTCAACTGAGATCAGTAAAAATTGGGCTACAATGAGGGGGGGGGGAGGATAAAAGACATGAAATATGAGAACATGGAAATGATTTCTATCCTTTAAAGATAGAAAAAGGAATAAATTACAGAATGATCCGAAAGTATTTCATAGATCGCAGGGATTTTCCACATTACAATAACAGAAATGTTCACACTTTGATGAGGATGGTGCATTTCATCAATTTATATATTATGAAGCATTGCTGCAGCAATATTGACAGGCCTTCAAGGTATCAAAATCGAAGAAAATAAATTTTAAGTATCCTGAAACTAACTGATAAATAGTTTTTAGACTAAAGCCTTCTATGATAGTGAACAAATAAGGTTTTTAAAATGACAAAAAATAGAATAAGTGGTCAATATTTTAAGGTATTTAAAATAAAATCGGATATATTCCAGAGTATTATTGAAAATACAGCATTAAACCAACAAATATTTTATCTCGCAAGAAAATAATGTAAATAATATGCCCCTTTCCCTGAATAGAAAAAGAAACCATAAATGAAAATTATCCACGATATGAGAGACAGGATAAAGCATTAATGTACTCAAAAATATACCTGAGTGCGGTTTATTGATCACTTGCATATTCTGGAAAAAAGAGAATGTATCTTGCTACTTTATTAAAAAAATTGTGATAGGAAACATAACTCTTAACTGCTTGGAAACTTTGAGCCACAGGGATACATAAATTATCCTCTGTTCTCAAGCGGTTTCCATTTAGTTTAAGACAAGTCCCTCAACTTCAAAATAGTAAGTCACCGGTCTATCATTGCAGAAAATATCTACAAATGCACATAAATGGGAAAAAGGGGGGAGGGGGAAATAAGGAAATATATTAAACATTAAATTTTGTTTTAAACAGCACATGTCTGAACATATGACAAAACAAGATACATTCTTCTATTTAAAGTTTAAGTACAGGGGTATTTTGTTCTTCAGACTGTAACTTGTATGATTTTATTTGGTTTTTGAAATTTCGATAATAGTATAAAATAGGAAAAGATTTAATTTCAAAAACTATTAGCTTTCTAAACAAGGAGGAGTCAAGGATAATATTAAAATTTTTCTCTTTTTAAAACAATTTCAAAACTAGTTTTTTAGAAAAAAAAATGTTTGGTAAACCTGTCACGTGAGTTTTCATTTACTGAAATGATAGAAACCTTGGTACTTGTGCTACACCCTATTTTAAAACAATTTTTGTGGCAATGCTGGACTAGTGACGTGACGAGAGAAGTACACAGTACCATGATAAAATTTCATGATACTAAACCATGGAAAAAGATAGAGGGTTCATATAGGGGTGAATACTGACCGAAATTCGAATGCATTTTTCAATAGCTGAGAATATCAGAAACTTTTAAGTCTATTGAACAGTATTTAGTTTCAGGAACCAATTTACAAACTGAACTAATTAAATAATACCTAACTGCTCTCCGCAAAACAAAATAAAAACTTCTTCAGGAGCAGATGAAAATTTGTTGCATCTTGTAAAAACATGGCTCTTTTCGGCCTAAAAGTCTTAAAAATTTAAGTTTTGGACACAGCAGTAAAAATTTAATCCTACAAAACTTTAAAAACCCATTTTCAATTGAATACAAATTCATCTTAACTGCTGTGTTCACAAGTAAAAGCTGCCCTGTAGTTGGATTTTCAATCACACATTTAAGCAATCAAACGAGTAAAAGTAGAAAAATGTGATGTAACATCTTGGATGCTTCAAGAATCAACTAGAAACTAAAAATAAAAAATTAAAAACATTCAACGGAAACAAAAAATTAGACCTATTAAATTCTTTTGAAAAATAGTTAGTTTCCCAATAGGACTAAGGCTACGTATTTATTGGCGCTAACTCAGATGGTACCTGGTCCTTAGCAACCAAAGCTGCGACTCCAGTATTTTTCCAAGCGCCTTCCTCTCCATTCATGTTTTTATCCTCACACATGCATAGGAACAGAGTGTCAATGACAATCTGAAAAATAAATAAAAACAATTACTAATTTTTGAAGATCAAAAACAAATGGAAAGAGTAGGAAGTAGAGGAGCAGACCGCTTTTAGAGTAGGAAGATCAATAATCAGGACCAATATTTATCACCATTCTAGTAACTGAAAAGATAATGATGCTCCGTTAAAAGTTACACATGGTGTTTGTGGACCTTCAGAAGTCCGGTAACAGAGTGCCATTGGTGGAACATTGCGTAGCCTTGAGTGGAAATAGTTTTAGAGGGTGGCTGATATGGGAAATTTTAAAAAAAATGTTTACACTTACATGTGTGTCACATTAAAGGGTGCGAATACCTCTTGGTGGCACTGTAAGGAGCTAAAAAAAAGCTTTTTTGGTGAAAGAACGATAGATAAACAAAAAGATCGAATTGAGGAGGAAATACTTTACATTGAAAAACAACGTTGCAGGGTTTCTAAGAGTTTGGAGTCGCAAACTGAACTTTTGCTAAGCACTAAAGTCGGCCACATGAGATTTTAAAGCAAAGGACCTCAAAAATCAGGCAGTTCTTGCTCTTACAGACTTGCTGATGTCACTAATCATAAAACAGCAGCCTACGCGTTTGGCTGGCTGCAATCTATGAAACCATCAGTTGCAAATCTAATCATTTGAGGAGTAGCAAATTGCTAAAGGATAAGCCAGGAGACAAGCTAAAAAGATAACAAATGAACAGGTCCAGCAATTGCTAATGACTAACCTGAATTTGAATGGAAAAATGAAAACTGAAATGGAAAATACAATTGCAGAGCATTTCGACGCTTCCAAAGGTACTTGCCAAATTTCATTAAAAGTTAATGTGTTTGTCTATACAGGAGGGTCATCTTCAGCAATTGTTTTTTTCCTTGAGCTTATTTAGGATCTACCTTGAATACCTACATATCAAAGGAAAGGAAGAGGCATCCCACTGGAAAATAGTGGTTGTGGAGCAGAGAGAGGAAGATGATTCGACATGTAAATTAGTGAGAAAATAACTCTAATAGGGTTAAGATTGACGCTAAGCAAGCCTGTTTTTTAATATTTGAGTCAAGTTCTAGTTTTTATTCATTATACTAAGTTGAGTTCAAGTAATTTCAAGGTCAAAAATGCAAACTTATTTTTGCCTGATAATATGGTGGAGGGTAGGCTTCAATGGGAGTCATCCAGCGCCCCGAAGTGTTGATTTAGCAGCTTGAATATATATTTACAGTAATACAAAAGATAGAAATTGGCAAAAATAGATTTTGAGAGTTTAGGACTTACCTCATACAATGAAATGACTGCATGTGCGATAAAGAAAGCAAATATTGAGATCACAAGCATTGGTGCAGCATAAAAATGAAGAGTTTCATCTTGTTTCAAGACCAAAAGTCCTACAGCTCCTGTTACAGCTGTGACAAAACATTTTCCGAGGAACAAAATGAAGTCTCCAACACTATTAATGACTGCTAACTGTAGCGCATTGGAGACCAGAACATTCCATGCCTGAAATAGAGAGCACTTAGATTAATTTAGATCCTTCATGAAGTTGGTTATTTTTTCGACCGCACAATAGATTCCTCCTGAAAAAGAAGTGTATGAACCGGTTCCATGAATTTCATGTCAGTTCATTACAAGGGAGCAGATTGAATGCAGCCACACCTAATTTTAATACAAAAATTACAAGTGAATGGTTCAAGTTTATTGTGAATCTGCTTTACACTTTGTACATCCTCTCCTCTCCAAAAAAATCTTGAATGCAAGCTCAAATGACATTGACACTTCTATTTTAACTGGCTGACAATGTTTGATGTTACCGAAATACAATTATTTTCAATATGTAAAATATATATTCCACTCCTTTCATATCTGAATCCAAAACTTCATGTCACCAGGGGAAAATCAACAGCGTAAGTCCACAATCATATATCTCGCTTGCGGTGTCTAAAAATCTCCGCCTCCATGTTATTTTATTAAAGGAGAACAAAGTGACATCATTCCTTGAAGTTTTTGCAGAGTTTCCTTGGCACAGAAAAGAAAAATCATGGCAATTTTAAAGAATTGCTGTAGAGTAGTTTTCCATTTAAAAAATAAAGTATGGCAAGATGTCTGCGACGTCGCAAACAGGGTTATGTGATTGCCGACTTACACCGTCGAAATGTTTCTTTCGTATATTATGATTTGCTTTTTGTGAAAATCAAACTACAGCAGGATCCTTTGGCACAACATTTGACAGAATCGCATCAAGTCACATTGAGTTTAAAGTCAGAAAAAGGGGCTTGAAATTCTATACCTACATGATACTCAACAATGAGGATAAAGTTTAACGGCTATTTTCACGTTCAAAATATTTTTTCAATTTTAAATTTTTGACAGAGAGAAATTTACGTCTATTTGAATTCTAAGCTAATCCCTGCTCCTTTTCTTCTATGATGCAACCTGCTGCATATCTATTAAACTCTATTCTCTTAATGCTGCAATTAGGTACTTACCCTACTGGCAGCAGGACAAAAAGGAATCCCTCGAATTGCGATTATGGTGTATGCATTGTGATTCATGTAACGAATGAAGTTTTCAAGACACAAAAAACAACAGTAACAAGACTTTAGCCCACATTTAGCGACCACAGACTCTTCTTCTTGATTCTTGAATCTAACAAAAAGCACCAAATACACATTGAAATTAAAACTTTTCATTCAAAACCATGTAATCGTTTGAACTTTGTTTTAAAGTTTTGTCAAATGTTCGAATAAAGAATAAAGACTTTAGTAGAATATTGGCTTATTAAGGGGGGGGGGGGAGAAGAAAAAATTCCTTTTCAATAGCTATGGGTAAATTGTTACAGGGCCTTACCGCAGTCCTTTACACTCCAACTGAGCCAGTAAAATCAGGCTTACAATTTGTAGATATCCACTTATCGATTGTAGCCGCAGTGATCTGGCCCCTTAAGCCGAGGAAAGCTCAACCTATTTTACTTTTTCCAAAACCCAATTCTGTTCATTTATAAAGATCGGTCGGGTTTTTTATCAAAAACCAAAAGTTTTTATGGTCTTGATATCAAAACATTTTTCAACTAAGGATCGCAATAACTGTGCAAAACTTGAAGAGAACTAAGAATGAGAAACTTGTTAAGTTAATGACGCATAGAGGGACGGTAAAATTTGGAGAAATTTAACACAGGTCGTTCATAAAATTTTAGAAAGAAAAATAAAATAATCAGAATAATTTCGGTATCTAAATCAAAAATAATTTGTATAAAAGGAGTACCTGTTATGAAAGTAAGTAATGATCAGTCGTGGAATCTTAAAAATTGTGATGAGGAGGGATCCCAAAGCCATTGAGCCTAGATGATACTTCAACAGAGTTCTGACTGATGACATGAGGATTGAATTATTATTTTCCTCCTTGTTACGCCTGCTAAAAAAAGAGCAAACAAGTAAATATTATGGAATTCAAATTGTTCAAGAGGACTCTTAAATGAAGTCATGAAACCATTAATGATTAAATTCGTTGATTTTCATGACCTCTTCAATTCACTATGTTCCTGCCATACATACAGACAACACATAAAATGATTGAACACTGCATAGAAAAAGAAGATCAAATTAAGTAAAATATATCTTTCTCATTGAAAATATTTGCATGAGAGGAGCTTGGTTACTTAAGTATCTCATTCTTGAGAACTGCCACATCAAACCAGGCGTAATAGAGATCAACGGTTCGTCAATGCAATCTTGGTTATAAAAATTTGATGAGCTACAGAGACAAATCTTTTTATAAGATAAAAAATAGGTAACGGTTTGGAAATTTTTGAAGAGAGATACCTATCAGACTTAAAAAAAATATTACCGAACATAAAGGTCAATATTTGATTCGGTTTGGATTTAAAAGATATAATTTTTGAAGCATTTTAAGTTCAGAAGACTACAGAATAATCAAACTATCAAACTTACACTTCAAAATACCATTTTGCAACCGCTCCTGCAATAATCATTTGCTGACAAGCTAGTACGAATTCAGAAGTCCAGATGAGGCCAATTACATATACCCACCACATGTAACGAACCCAGGTTGGATCCACATACTCGACAAAAGTGAATTCTGAGGAAAAAATAAAACATTTTTTGGATAAGTGATATGAGTTGGAAATGACTTATTGATTCTCCTAAGACATCATAACTTTTGTGTGTACCCTCAATCAGCCTTATGTTTTTCCATTAAAATTGATGATTTTAGGATAACATTTAATGTTTACCACGATATGGAATGAAGGAGCAAAACACGCTATGACAGAACAACTTAGGAGATTCCATACACATTTTGATGAAAGTCACTCATCACCTCGTCCCTTGGGATTTTATTTGTGGATGAAATAATGAAAGCACATAGATCTCCCATTTTATGACCTTTACAACAAGGAATAAAAACATGCAAAGACAATGATATGGTATTACTGTAAGTATCAGAAGTTCAATCAAGCAATCTCCAAGGACAAAAAAACTTACTTTTCAAATCAGACACACTGAGTGGTTTTGGTGTACCCATATTAAATGTTGAGTTAAACGGAGCGCTTGGACTTGTGGAGGCAAGAGCGCCGAGGCTGGTGAAAGGTTTCAACTGTTTTGTTCCTGGATAATCTGGAATTGAAAGGAATAAAAATTCATTGAGTTAATAATGTTTTCAAGGAATTGAAAAAGAAACTACCTTTACTTAAAACCTAAAATTACAACTGGAGAGCAAAGAAAATTTAAAACAATGAGAGTTCTTCTAAAATTGCCTTGAGCCTGTTCTTTCTTTAAATTAAAACATATAGATCAGAATCTGACACTCATTTTCATCATTACCCAAAAGCGCTCGGTGCTTTATTGTATGGAAAAAAACAAGATTAGTACGAAGTCTTGAAGAACAACAAGATATTAATTCAAATGTAAGTCTGGTTATTAGACCATGATTTATTGAGCCTGTGATGAAAAATAGGGTTGGTTTTATTCAATGATTATCTACGGAATGATAATTGAAACACTGTATAATAAAATGCAAAGCAAAGAAATGAAATTAATGGCAAGAAATATGTATGTATGTATGAGCCGCTTTTACAGCGCGCTAGGGCGCTCTGCGACGCCTATTCTCCACAGGAATCTGTCATGGTAGAGACCCTCCGGAAGCTGGCATCTCTCCATCTCCTCATGGATGCCCTCTACCCACCGTTTGGCTGGACGTCCTCTCCGTCGCCTACCTGGGGGGACCCACTCCAACACCTTCTTCGGCAACCTGGTATCAGCCATTCTCTGCACATGCCCATATCATACCAATTGCTTGGTCATGATATCGTGCACAATCGTCCCCTCAACGCCCATTATCTCTCGGACACGTTCATTCCTGACACGTTCTCTCCTCGAGATTCCAGCCGATCTTCGCCAGAAATCCATCTCGGTCGCCTTGAGCATTTCTTGGGTCCGCTTCTTCAACTGCCACACTTCACTGCTATAGGTGATAATAGGCTTGACAACCGAGTTATAAATCCGAGAAATATACATAGAAGAAAAATGACTATACAATTTTAGAGGATTACTCACTTGCAGTCGCAAGGCTTACGATTACAGCTATCCAGAATGTGTAGAAAACCATAAGGATCACAAAAGATATAAGAGGTTGAAGGAATAGAAACGGAAGTTCTGACAAACATGATGCAGCATCCTTGAACAGAATCGCCAGGGTAGAAACTCTCTTACACATCACCAAAACGAGCAGCAACAGGATAGCCTACAAATATTTAAACAAAGATGATCAGCCAACATAAAATGGGACACATACTGTACCCAGCTAGATAAACGATGCAAATGGAACTACCCAAGAGATTTATGATTCAGATCCAAATGAGGAATGTTTGGCGTAATGTCATGTTAAGTGTTCAGCACTGTCTCTTTCCTCCTGTAAAAATAATGAATTCCGTCATCTTGCTTTTACACGGACAAGATTCTTGGCAATCGCAGATAGTTAATTGGACGGATTTAAGCAGAATCCACCTGCGTGAATTTTACATTGCCTAATATTCTCTTAAGTTTTATTTTGTTATGTACCTAAGAACCAAACAAAAAATTGCCTTGAAACTTCCTGTGCATTTTCTCTGACTTCTAAAGAATGTAATCACGAAATTTCAGTTTAGAATGATGATTACTTTTCTGTTTAAAATAAACATTAAAATAAATTTGGCAAAGTTTGATTCCAGTTGAATTCCTGTCAATTAACCCTCCTAACTTTTGAGACATCGAAGATTTTCATTGCCAGCCAAGAATAATAAATAACTACGAAACATCTTAATGATGTCCTATCAGAGATTTCTGGTTATGATTGGACATGCTTAAATTAAGAGTACGGTCTTCCGAAAGTATTGAGTCAAGAATTAAGATTAACCTTTTATGGACAGGTATGAATGATAGGCTAACTTACCGTTATGATTGTTGCAACAATTGCGTACAGACATATTGCTTGTTCATTGTGCAGTGATCTATTTAGAAACATACGTTCAGGCTGTACCTCAGACTCATGATCCAGTTTCCATTTTATTTCAAAATATGTGTACCATAAATACATAGTTGCACCTGCAAAAATTATCAAATACGTGAATTGATTTGTTTACCATTACAGATTAGTGAAATCTACAAACTAATCCAAAAAAACTGAATTTTTTTCATCTAAGTCAAAAGATTTCAAAGCTTTATCAGATTGATTCAAGTATCAAAGAAACAAAAGTAAGTTGTAATCTTAATTTTTCATTTATATTCTTTCCAGTAAGAGGAACTGATAAAGTACCTAAGATTTATCAAAGGGCCATTTCTGAAATAAGTTTCTGCAGGTTGTATGTTTCTGATTTTGAAGAAGAAGAAAAAGAAGAAGAAAAGGTCAGCGGGACAACATAATCCAAGGCTTTTCAAGTCTTACTCGCTCTTGACACATTTGCAATGAAATTTCTCCACTTGTCTGCTGGGTAGAGGGATTAATGCATTTAAATTTTGCAATATAAATCTATAATTTTCATGTCTTACCCATTCACTATCAAATGAGCTAAACTTTTTACAGTCAGGACACTTGATAGAAGGGAGACAATTATCCTTAATAGCCTCCTACCGATATGTATCTATGTAGATATTCCTGTGTAAAAATGAACATCAAATGTACAAAAAGTAAAAAAAAAAATATTGCTTCAAGACAGAAGGCTGCCTAATGGCTTCTTCAAAATCTGAAAAACTTGCAGTAAAATATCAAAATTACACTTCTAATAGAATTTAGGAGGGTAAAGTTGGCTCATAAAAATACAAATTCTCAGAAACAAAAATTTAATTTTTGACAATAGGGATTTCATTTGATCACTCAAGACCTCAGGGCAGAAAAGTGGTAGTGCGAGGGGAGAGGGTAAGGGGAGATGTTTCAATGGATTAGGAGAAGAATAATACTCACCAACAGAGCCCACACTAACAGCCATAAGAATTAGCCAAGTTGCAATACTTGTGAATAAATGCAGTAGAGAGACCGTTATTATTGATAAAACTATAAAAGAGAAGAACATAAATAATATTACAAAAAACTTTATTGCAAAAAAAGCAATTTTAAAATCATATTTAGTTTCAAGATGTTGGTCCAAACCCTCCATTGATAAACATCAGTTTCCAGACTTAATTGGGTTAACTAATCATTAGATTTCTGCTTTGTTTGACCAGTGTTATGTCTTAAGCTGTACACATTCCTCTTACTCTTACAGAACAATAAATGGAAGGAGTCCCAAAAACCTGTTCATCAACTCTTGAGTCCACCTCAAGATGAAACTTGCAAGATAATGTTTGTATTGTTCGTGTTTGACTCTGCCTTAAATCAGATTCTACCAAATGAGAAATTACTGACTTTTATTTCTTTGGCGTTGTTTAATTTAAAATTGTAAATATGTTGAAATCAAATCTCAAAGATGACAGAAATGTAACTTGATCATTTCGTAAAATCCCTCACATATTCTGAAAGGAGGCAAGAAGAACGCTATGGGGCCACGATCAAGCCTTGTCCGACTTCCCTCAAGTTCCTCTATGCAAGTGAAATTAGAGAATTCTATTTGAAAGAATACTTCATGGATTTGCCATATTTTGATGATACACATTGATTTTGACAATAGAAGCTCAATACACTTTGAGTCTATGTCAACTGCTTGTTCCTTTTTTTTTTTTGCATGTAACGCAAGCATGACAAAAAATTGAAAGCAGGGACAGTAATTTTGGGTAACTTTACATATTTGCATATTCACCAAGCTTAATGGTCTCTAAAAAATGAAGAAATTAGGACCTATTAACCGAACAAAACAAAACAAAATTTGAGAGAGAAAATAATCACCCAAAGCAAATACAGTGAATCCCAATATTGTAGGCCATGCATTGTAGACATCTCCTAAAATTTCTTCCACCAGGTCCCAACGATTTAGCACTTTGATAAAATTGTTTAACAGGCCAACAGTGAATTTTTTGATGACTACTGGTACGCAACGATTCAAAATAGAAGTGCTGAAAAAGAAAAACATAAAAATTAGAAAGTAATTCATTTTTTAGAGGAGTTGGGAGGCTATAATTACTCTAGATTTGAAAATTATCCTCCAAAGCTAGGTACCCACAAACAATGTGGCAGTATTGATTTGAGTTTTGAAGTTGTGTTGAAAGTGACTGCTCTCCATGCATCAGATACTTTTTAAGCAAGCAAATGGCTTTGGAGTTTCTGAAATATTTTTCAGTCTGACAATGAGACAGATGAGACAGTAAACCTATGAAAAAATAATATGGATGTATCTGAAATTAAGATACCTTTAAAAATAATTGTTTTACCTCTTATAGATGGGGAAAGGAGGGCATGGTCCCAAAGGCGTGCTTAAGCTTTCAATGGTCAAATTAGGATTAGATTTATTGGCCAGTACATCAAAGTATCGAGAGAAATTCATGTTTACAAGATCTACGTTGTAGCTGAAAAAGATAGAGTAATGGGTAAGAGATGATGAGAACAATTTTTAAAGGAGTAAAAAAATATTGCGATGCATAACAAAAATAAATAATTTACTGTATATAAAGGACTTAAAAAACAAACTCACACTAATGCAGTACGAGATTCCGCTGAGGAAGAAAAGTGTTATTTATTTGGCTTCATTTATTATATTTTACGCACATTCATTTCAATTCTACTTTTTCAAGTCCTGTTAAAAGTTGTAAATTTCTTAATAAGCTATTTTCACCCGTGCAAAAAATTCCAAGGAAACCAGTGTTTCTCATTAGATTCTTCACCATATTTGATGTAACAACTTAGACATACTGACCTGCAAAGAGAAGATCCCGTCTCATTGAAAAATCTTTGTACATCCTCCAAGTCAACGATGTCTCTGTCAGGACATTTCTTCACACAGATTTGTTGAGTAATGTTAATATGACTCATATCCATAAAGAATAGATACCTGCAAATAAAAGTAAAAAAAAAAAAATAAATAAATAAAAATGTTTGACTTCCAAACATACGTACTATTATTATAATGACACTAATGAAACTGATATTGTCAGAAAAATTTCGAAATCCACACTGAGTGCTAGAAAACTCCAGGTTGGAAAAAATCTGTGATACATAGAGCTATTAAATTTATAATGGATGAAGGAATACAGTTTCATTTTTTTACAGTGACTTCAATAGTAGCATCAAATAACTTGGATGCATTCAGTATTCAGTAAAAAAGACCTTAAACTTACTGATTTGTTTCAAATACATTTCAATACGAAAGAAAAAAAAAACATTATAATTGAAACATAACTATGACGTCTAATTTATTAATTTACACAATGAAAGTGAAACGGGGCTCAGAATTTTGGAAAATTTTAAGCTTCTCCCTTTCGGAAAATAATGCAAGGTAATAGGTTTCAACTTTTTGCAACATTTCCTGCACAAGCACCTCTCATATGAAAATGCAAATAAATTAGAAATTGGTATTTTCAAAATTTTACAGCTAATTATCACAAATTTTGCCTTTGACAACCAACACAGATGTCAATGAATATATAAAAAACTTAGTGCTTACTTTTTATCTGACATATCAAGTCCAGAAAATTCAAGAGAGCCCATTTTATTGTTGTTTCTTTGACCACAGGTATTACCAAAACTGTCGTAGCCATGAATTAATCGCAGTGGGTCTCCCAGCACGAAAGCAAACCCAGCTATGAAGATCTGAAAAAAAATTGAAAGATGATAATCATGACAGTTGAATATAAAAACAATGTATGGTATTTATTACGGAGCCATCAAAATGCATAAGGTGGCAATAGTACATGAATACTGGCTTTTCGTTAAAAGGTTTTACAAAAAAATGCTCTGAAAATTCTTTTTAATTGTGAAACATTTAATAGCACAACAATTGGCAAAGTGAAAAACCATGCGATTCTATTGCAATGTTTCAACATTTTCGCTCTCATTCCATTTTTTCAAAGAGAGACAAGCCAAGTATAAAGCTTGAATTTTGAACAGAATATTCTCAGTCTAAAAGTAAAGAAAAAACGAGGAGATTTTTAAAAAAATACATTGAGGAAGTACCTAGTTTTCAGAAGAAAAAATAAAGTATGACAGGAAGTCAGCAACGTCACAGAGCAAGTATGCTTTGATGATTATCAGAGCCACATAACGTTTACATTTTACTTCAGATCATAAACAAATGTCTTTTGAGGATTGATCTAACATACATACCATGAAAAGCCAAAATGTAATGAAAATTATCAGCCATAGTGGATCGGTGCAGCCTCTTACTTTGATGTGATCAACACTGTCAGTATCAGAGTCGGCGATACAGCAACCCATCACTGATTGAGAGAGAATAAAGATACAGCACATTAGTACATAAGACAATTAAATTATAATAATTAGAGCAACTGATACGAAAGTAAAAAAGGTGCTAATGATAATTATAGGGGTGAAAGCCAATTTTAGGTACTGCAACTATTATAAATTATTACTTCCAAGTGGAAGTTTGTAAATTAAAGGATATGGAATGGACAATAGGGTTACACAAAAGATCGCCGACAAAGAGATGAATTTTTCCCCATCCAACAAGATGAATTGACGACATAAAGTTTTAAGTACCCCATGTGAAACTAGACACAAATAGAATGGTAAGATCAGCATACGACTAAGCCTAAATCTTTCCCATGATCCTTGAGAGAGCTTGGCGACAAATTAAATGTTAGTTCAACTCCTGGTGGAAACGCAGCCGAAGTTGACTGAACAGTGCTGAGCTGCACTTCAGTACCATAGTTAGCTGGTTAGGTCATCATGGTTGCATTTAGAAGCAGTAGAAAAGATGAGCTAAAGTAACCTACAACCTACTGTAAATCTCAGTCGATGAGGACAATCACCTTATGCATCGTGCTAATGATGTTCCTTCATCTAAGTAACATATTGGATCAACGCCTAACCATCATAGCAACTTCAATAGTCAGCTCACTGAAGCACATGTAGGTAAACTCATTTTAATGCGTATGGCCACCAATCGCACTTGCAGACTACATAAGATGGTTTGTAATGGTTGATGTACATTCCGCAACACTAATGTTGCCATTTTCTGTTTGATTATAATGCTCCAGATGTAACACCATTAATCAGAATTTTTTGCAGTCTTACGGTCCAGAGTGTAAGTTCATCAAAACAATTCTGCACGTCGGACCATTTGGCAGATGGAAATGATTACAGTGAAAAAATATGACTCCTTTCCGGATCTTTAAATTACGAAAATGGTTTCACCGCAATCCAAGATCCAGGGTTTGCTGTGGGAAAAGACATGAATAGATGAAGTCAAATGTCACATGAAAGAGCTCCTAATGCTTCATACAGACCTAGCGGGAGATAAAAGAAAATAGAAACATCAGAAATGAGGAATAAAATTAAATCATACTGAGATACTAAAACTGACCAATGTTTGAGAGAAAATTAACCTCTCATGAACGATGCTCGTCCGGCTTTGTACGGGAGGCAGAAGTTTCACAGGGACTACTGTGTCACACAACTTTAATTTTGTGACGTTTTCGAAGAACTAATGTTGAAGCAGGAAAATATTGATGATGGACAGGGAACGAAATTGATCAATTTCAGGCGGGCGATGGTAATTATTGTTTGTAAACAAAGCAATCCGAAGGGGCATGGACGAAAGTAATTTTCATCCATGCAAGGATTTCCACTTACACGCCAAATGCTGATATGAGAGGGGTACCTGACTATTAACGCTCTCTGACGGCGTAATTGTGAACCACAATCCGAGCTCTTTCCCCTCCCCTCCCCACAACCCTTATTAGGCCCATCCCCATCGCGCGTCACCTGTCGCCAGTCTGTCTGGCGAGCGAACCGTCAAACCTTTGTGGAATTTGCGGAAGCGCCGGCGCCAAGAGCATTTGGTTTTGTTTTCGGAATCGGATTCCTCCGTTATCTGTTCCTTGCACTCCTGACCCACTTTTTCGGGCATGCAGAGTGGCCACCCACGTCAAACTTGTGGCACTAGCACATATACTTGCTGTCATGCAATTCTGATGTATAATACATGGTTTCCCGGTAGTTTTCAACAAGGAATTCGAATCTGAGCTCAGATTTTGACGATCATGCACTATAATTTTTTCAGGATATGAATTACGCAATGGTACCGGTTGTAGGTTGAATCGGCCTCACGCGAAAACGTCCGATGTTTCTTCATATTTTTTTTTAGAATTACAGTATGATTGAGTGCTGAAGGAGCAAAATCCATCACCCTCATTGCAACGTTGTACATCTCCGCACTTGTTACATCTTTAAAAGTAAATTGACCAAAAGCATTTCTTTGAATGTTGAACTACATAAGTACCACTAGTTCTGTAGTTCAACATTTCAAGAAATACTTTCGGTTAATTTACTTTTAAAGATGAAACAAATGCGGAGATTTACAACGTTGCAATGAGAGTGATGGATTTTCCTCTACGGTTCTCCAATGGTTTTCAACGAGGAATTCAACTTTGAGTTCAGATTGGCTGTCATGCATTAAAATATTTTCAAGATATGAGGTCGTCCATAAATTACGCAAAAGCATCTCTTAATTTTTAGACCCCCCCCCCCCCGCCCGGGCACACATAAGATACCCCTTAGCCTCCCCTAAACGTAAGGCTGACCAATAACCGGGGTCGGAGTAGCGCTCAGGGGCCCGGGATGCTGGCGTGTTCGAGGGGCTCAGACATTTGCGGGTCGCATTCTCTCTGAATTGAAGGCGCTTCACGTTTTCCAAAAACCAAATGGTTCACTTACGCCACTTACGGCCATGACCCCCCTGCCTTCCTGCCGTTATTCTAGTCAAGAGCAGCAAAAATATTAAAATAACACTTGAATTCGTATGATGTCATAGATAATACATTATTTAATGATATGATAATTAACTACATTTCTAAGAGGGCCTCTTGAATTCTTCCGAAGAAACATCAGCGACCCGATCGATGATATTTTCTACGCCCGTGGGTAGTCCCTCTCGAATGACAGAAGAGGTAGGAATTCAAGAAGATTCTCTGACATAAACGCCGACGTCGATTTTTATAATTATTAGAAAAAACTCGCTTGCAGCTGGCAAATCAGTTGAAATCCCGGTCTTGGAGCTTCGGGGCCTTATAACCCTGTGAATCCGGTCTCACAGCTTCGCCAAATCTATTATTTGAACTTTAAGGACCCTCAAAAAACTTGCTTTCAGGGAACCACCAAAGCAGTGGTATTCGCGGCTGAACTAAGTTCCGAGCGCCGCGAAGAGAGCCTGCGGAACGCTCATTTTTTTGAGTTCACCGAAATTTCAGTATCAGGCTCTCAGCTGCTCAATGGTCAGTAGGGGCCCCAAATACTAAAATTTATGGGCGGCCCCATGACACTTCAAGTTTTGTGGGCCGTAGGGTTTTGAACTGATCGTAGGTTGTTTCTGACTGGACTTTTTTAATTCTTCCGCAAAAAAAAGCATGCTGGAATGCGTGCTTGAAAAATTCCTCCTGAAGTATCCATGAAATTATTATGTGGCATTTGTTGTTCCTGGGCGAGTAATAGGCAAAGTTGGTGTGAAGTAAAGGCACGAAAAACAAAGAAAATGCTCTCGGTTGGTATCGCATGTCGCATGCGACGAACACTCTACGAATTTCATTACAGCGCATTGATGCAACTATTCGAGCTTCCCGGATGTCCGTGTTGCATATGCTCAAAAGAGAAGGAGTTTTAACTCGCCAAGCACTCATCGCTTCAGCAGCGGCGGGGTGGCGCGCGGTATCATTGCGAAAAGCCAAGAAGACCGAGTGCCTTGCATTCTTCGTTTCCACCACACAGGCATCTCTTAAACACGGATAGTTGCTCATAGGCAACTATCCGTGAGCATCATACAATTAAGTTCAGAGAAGAAAAGCCCAACAGAATCGTCTTAGATATAGGGCTCGGAAAACGCCGCGAAATTCAGGAGTTCACCGAAATTTCAGTGGCCGGCTCTCAGGTTCTCAACGGTTATTAGGGGCCCCAAATACTAAAATTAAAGGGCCCGTGATATCCAAAATTCCAGTCTTAGGGCTCTCTAAATCTATCTTTTTGACTCTTAGGTACCTAAAGGATCTTCAAAGTCAGGGTCCCCTACTGAATCCTCTAGAGATACCGCTGGGGGAGAGGAGGATGGGGATTCGGGTTGATGTAATTCGCATTCCAGAGACAGCTATTTTTGACTCTTCGATTGCACTAATAAGAACGGCCTAGGATCTTAAGAGGCATTCATGAGTGGACATAAAAAGACGCAAGGTTGTGACAAAAAGTGGCCTCCAAGTTTGAGCTGTAGGCATTTTACACGCATAGCCTCGTCCTTACTTTTTGTCTAAGACCCTACCGTGACAATCGAGAAGCTCCACTGAAATGCATCGCGGTTTATGTATTCATGCACTTTAGTTTCTCCTGGGTAGGATGATCTTCGAGTTCCTATAAAAGTTAGAGTTATGCAACCTAAGTGATTTTGCTTGTATAGAATTTTGCACAAAGGTGGTTCTTGTTTCGAGTAAAATCAACTCCGAACCTTCTGGGAGACCCTCTAAGTACCTAAGTTAAAGCCGACTAACATTGAAACTTTTTTTCAATGTGGATCTTCCATTTTTTAGGGAGCTGTATTCGACCGAATTCCTTTTGAAGTCGAGAAAGGGCTTAATAAATGAGAGGAATCCCTACCAGACGTGAGAATTCCAACTTTCATGCAGGTACTTTTTAACATATCATGAAATACCTGTCAATATGTGTTTCTCAGGGTTAAGCGATCATATACTACAGGAGTGTTCTAAGAGTCAAAATAAGACTTTTATTTTGAATTGCCCCGAAGCAGAGTCGCTCTAGCCCCCCCTCCCCTTCATTTTCGGGGAAATCATAGTTTTTCTTATGCATTTTGGCAACGATTATGGACCAAAACTCTTGAAAAACGGCCACCTCCCTCATAGTACACAATTGTGATTTTATCAATGGGCTCAAGCATAGTATGAGAGTCTCAAGTTGAAGTGGGGTTTTATCAAATAGCGTAGAGCGAGTCTCGACTTGTTTGACTGACGCTCCATAACTGTTGTCAAAATTCAGAAAAAAAGAGAAATTTCCAAACATTCGGAGGAAGGTCATAACTTTTACCGAAACCACTTTTGAAAAAAAGTTCATGGCGGAACACATATTATTTTGACCCATAGAACATGCTCATGCAGTATAACCGTTTGCCCCTATGGAACAGGCACATAGCCAGGATTTTGTTTGGAGGAGGGGGGCTTGATAGGGTTAGGGATCCCACCTTCAAAGAGGGGGAGAGGTTTCGGGGTGCCCCCGGGAAATTTTTGGAAAGAGCCCCTAAAAACTATACTGTCTTTCACTATTTTACGCCAACATTTAAGTTGTTACGGTGTATCGTTTAAAGTATATGTCTACGATTATAAAGGCGTTATATGGTCCACCTTTCATTGCTCGCAATAATTCGCATTCGCGGCCCACTCTTTTGCTGAAAACTCTGCAAAAGCTTTGATCTTGATAAAAATGTATAAATTACTGCTCGAAAAATGATTTTTGTGTAGGCAACTGCGGATGCGCAAAAGTTTCGTTGATAACATTATGCCTGGAGTGCTTTTATTTTTTTGCTATAACTTCGACCGCGCTGTGTAATAGTGCCTAGGGAAACTTCGTGGATTAATGGTTCAAGTTTACACCAAAGAACTTTCTGAATTTCTGTCTCAACCCTCCCTTTCAGCCATATACTTGGACCTTAACTTATACCTGGTCCATATCACTTCAGAGGTGTGACTTTCCGAATAGGCAAATAGATTTGCGAATAGAGAATAAGGGCCTCTCGACAGCACATTCGGCTACTGGACGAATCAACTTTTTCAAATCACCGATCAAGCCATTAGTCACTTTGATACCATGCCCATCCTCAAGAAAGCAGACACAATCATGCAAGGATCGTAGTGTTTATTATTAGCGATACTATCATAGAACGATGGGGTTATCGGTTGTGAAGAGGTTTACGTATGTACCTGAGCAAGAAAAGCCCATTAAATACCTCAATTGTTCGCAATTAAGTATCAGTCTTTCCTGAAGAAGTATCTCTCTTGGGATTGCACTTCGTTCCATTATCCTCTAAGTGGAGCATCAATTGTGAAACTATTGTGTGTCATTTGTGCATTATTGCGCAGCTGTGCCAATACCTAAGTGTGATTTGACTCTAGTATACGATCCTAAGCGGTGGAAATTGACGTAGTTCACAGTGTTAAAAAAGTGCAATTTTCTAGAGATCATTGAGATTCAAAGCATCAGTAATTCAAAATTTTGGTGAAATATCTGAAACCTTAAAAACAAATATACATATTTATAATAAGTTAATAAATATCATTGGTTTGTAAAACTTACCCCAACCTTATTGATACCAAACCACATTGTTAAATCGACCACTGACCGTAGTGACCGTTGTCTCGTTTAAGTGGAGAATTTCGGAATATAAAATACAATTTTAACAATTGAACACAGTTGCTAACTTTTGATAGTATAGGTACTCCTAAAGAATTACGATTTCTATATTCTAGCTTAAAGGTACGGCTCGAAAGATCGATTCGAAGCATTGACTTTGCAAAATTGAAAACATTTTAACGAAGGAGCTCTAGAAACGAGTGTAGCGGAAAGTCGCACTCAAGGTTTTCAGTCATTTTTGCCTTCAACTATTGCGGTTTTGCGTACAGTAAATTCGCGTGATGTCACGTAAATTTTTCCTCTTCTTTTGTATCTGCACATCACTGCATTTTTCAAAGGAGGAGCCGGACTCAACAAAACTTGATTGGTGGCAGACAAGTCTTGTGTATCAGATTTACCCTTTGTCTTTCAAGGACTCTAACGGAGATGGTTACGGTGATCTAAATGGTATTTTCTTCTTCATTTTTGAAATCATTCTTTACACGTAGATTACAGTAACGGTGATAAGGTATACATAAAGGGAATCTCATTAAGCTGAATTGCGGTGAAATTAACGTTACAGGAGACGTGTTTCCCTGTCAGATTTTGATGCCCAGGTAAAAATTGGCAGTAGAATCTGTGTTCCAAAATACCATAGACCTACGGCCGGCTGTAAGATTTCCAATAGCTTCTATAGCCGGCTACACAATTCCTTATAGCCTTCTATAGCCGATGGCGATTGAGCAACAGCCAGGCGATAAAGTGTATGCTAAATGTTACTAATTACGGATGCTAGGACTGTTTTTGGATTACCGCTCTATTTTTGGGCCGTAGTATCTTGATTTATTTTGCGCAGAAAGCTCCGTACTTTTGAAGGATGCCTGCCATTATGTTGGACCGCCTCCAATTTCGTATGATACTGTGCAATACCTCTGGTGTGAAATAGTTGCTTCAAGCGCCGTGGCACGCTGCGGCGCGGCGCGGTAGGCGGGCAGCCAGCGCGAAAAGCGCCTCAGCGCCTACAAACCTAACAGGGATACTTCACGCGTTGCGCAATGCGTGAATGTACACATGCTTGATGCACACATACATATTTACTTTTCAAACTCTTCAAAAAAAAAAAAAAAAAAATCTGTAAAATGAAATACCCTTCCATCCTATAATAGGCGCGCTGGTATTGAACACGATTTCGTTTTTAAGCTCTGATGCTTTGGCGTGCAAGATGTTTAAGTGAGGAAGACAAAAACCAATAATATTTTGCACTAATGAGATGCTATAGGAAATTTACAATGCCATGTGTACTATGCATGAAATTTCGTTAAGAAAATGAATCAATACTATTCACCTCAATGGGTACGTAGGTACTTAAGCTAAAACCTATTTTCAAGATCACTTGTGAAACTATGAGCGATAGTGACTGTGAAATCACTGAGCGCGCCGGGATAAAATTGTACTATGAAAAAATGGATTTTGTTCTTTCCGAGGGGAAATTTTCCGGATATTAGAATTTTTATGCTAAGAAACTTTGAAGTAAACTCGAGGGTGTCATCAGACGTTTCTCCTCACTGAAACACTTATCTTGTAATTTTGTCTCTCTTCAGGAATTTATGAAAAATTGGATTATATTAAAGACTTAGGCGTGACCACGATTTGGATTCAGCCCTTCTCCAAATCACCAATGGTTGATTTGGGGTATGATATCTCGGATTTCAAGTCAGTTGATCCAGTTTTTGGTACTATTGCTGACTTCAAGGAGTTGGTAAAGGCTGTTAAAAACAGAGGTAAGCTTTTTGATTATTTGAAAATGATCGATACTCATGCTTGAACTTAACACTGCAAATAAAACATTTATGTGCGAAATGCAATGTGAAATTTTGATGATGAAACATCAAAAATATGTACATTATTTAGATTTCTGATGAACACTTATTTTTTCGAATGTAATATATATTTTATTGCTACTTTTCAAAACTCGATGTAAGAATGCATCTTGTTTTTTGATCAAAAGTTTTTCCAAAAATGTTCATTTTATGTAATTAATTTTTGGTTTCTTGTGGAAAATATAAATCAATTATAGGAATCTCGAGAATGCCGCAAGCATATATTTTTTCCCTCGCGTTCAATTTTTTAGGATGAGCTTGCACCGCACCGCAGTCTTAGATAATGAAGTCATCACTGCCTTGCCCTCTTTGCTTATACGTCTCTGGCTGAAAACAGCATCTTGATGGCTGAAGTCGGAAAATGCGTATTATCAATTACAACGTTGCTAATCTCCGCGCATATTTTTTTTCCAAAAAAAGAACCATCAAAAACAGAATTTATCAACTGTTTCTGTAAGTAGTTCTATTCACGGGATGTATTCACAAAAAAGATACATCAGTTCGTTTTCTTGTAACAAAATAAGTAGTAATTGGAGATTTCGAAACGTTGAAATACAGATATGCATTTCTCGACCTCGAATTTATCTGCAGGTCTTATCGTAATTAGTAACTGCGCGCCGCGCCTCGCCGGCTGGGCTTTCGCGGTTCATGCGCAATTTTTCTTGGGCCAGAGCCGTGAGAGCTCCTTCAATTTTTTGTATATGCAAAGCGGACATCCATCGAGCACGAATAGTTGCATCTAGGAGTTAATATCAACTTCGCGTCACGTCACAGCTGCGCCGCGTCGCGCCTAAGAAATTAGCTGACGTTTATATTCCTTTGTTCACATGTATGAAGCGTATCGATATTTTTCTTCACACTAGGATCACGGCACAATGAACACTCCACGCCTATCTATTACATTAGATGAAAGATGACATACACGGAAAAAACGATGTAGTGCTGAGCACTAACTGTTTAAATCAAATGGAGCCAGCTGATATGACAGTGCTGCTGAAACCTACAGCTGTCTGTAGGACTGGACCCTGAAGTTTTAGAGCTCAGGGCTACTGCCATACTAGCTGGCTCCATTCCATCTAAACAGTTAGTGCTCAGCACTATGCCGTTTTTTCCGTGTATATTTTCACTCTGGGGAGGGGTTGAAAGAGAGTCCAAAAGTAAAACATCTCAAAAAATCTCAGTGAAGGACATGTTGTTTTAAATACGAGTATTTCAAGTTATGTGAGGATATCGACGCTTCCCAGTGAATTTCTTCAATTACTTGGATACATGTACATGAATTTACGAATAGCAATAATTATTTTTTCAATTTTTGCATTATAGGGATGAAATTGATAATCGACTTCGTTCCAAATCATACAAGTGACCAATCCGAGTGGTTTAAACTTTCTGAGCAACGGATTGAACCATATACAGATTTTTACATCTGGAGGGATGGGAAAAAAGTTAACGATACTTACACTACATATCCAAATAACTGGGTAAGAGAATATACTTTAAAGCAATTATGAAATAGTTTACGCACGAAAATTTATCAATTATTACTCTACCTGCGCAACTAAGAAGGCTGCAAATCTTTTCCTGTGTTTCATGTATTTGTGACCGTCCAAATGGGCCTTTATCTAAATTTACAGAAGGGCAATTTTTGTAAAATTAGGCCGAGAATTCGAATTTTGAGATTTTAACAGGAAACGTTCCTAGTATATCATAAATAATTGGGTTTGAGTTGATTTATCTTTGTGTCAAGCGAGGGAGTGAAGTTGCATAAGGATCCGCGAATTTCATTCCTTGAACATGGCCAGTATGATTTTATATGTAAATTGCTTCTTTCTAAAAACTATGTTTTTTGAACTGCAAACTTCAAACCGCCGCGCCATGTGAACCTCGTGCTGGTTTGCATTTGTATCGTTCTTATTAGTAACTCATTATTTTGAGTGCTTGGGACTCAGGTTCCTTTTTCTGTTGGCGGTCACATTTATATCGTATGCAATGAAACGAGCATGCCACTGATCTATTTAAGATGTGACCGGGACACTTTTCGTAAAAGAAATACGACCTGTCCCAACGGGCTTGTGTTTGATTCTTCCTGTTCAATTTGTTTTCCTCCTTCTTTCCTCCCATCCCGGACGGGAAAAATTTAAATTCTTGCTAATGAGTTCTATTTCCGGAAAATAGAGCTATTCAGTGATTGCAGTTTAAAAGGCAAGAAATGATTAAATCTAAAAAAAAGAAGCATGGTGAATAACCTGCGTGAAATCAAAAAACTTAAACCAATAGAATGTCAACCAGGGAATACCCTCCATTATGCTATACGATTGAGATTTTGTGTGTGCATGAACCTTTTCAAGTCCAGTTCAGACATCAGATTACACGAGAATGAATTGTTTGAGGTAGAATTTCTCTTTATAATTTTTGCAGATGAGCATATTTGGTACTTCAGCATGGCTTTGGAGCAAGACAAGACAACAATACTACTACCATAAGTGCGCTCCAGAACAGCCAGACTTAAATTACCGCAATCCCAAAGTCATAACAGAAATTGAGGTAATATTCAGAGAAGTTTCTCTTCCAGTAATTTTTATCAGTCCATGAAATGATACAATTGATATTTCTCAAAAGGAGAAAATCTACATGAAGGATGAACCAAGTTCTATTTTCAGCCTCTCCACATCATGAACAACATACTCACATACCTAAATACATCACGTCCCATTAGAGAAATTATTTATTTCTGAATCGTGTAAGTGCTTGTAAAAAGGGTCAAAAAATTTCGATGGTGAAACCTAGAAAAACTCGTTTTCCACTTAACGACGTGACAATAATACAGAAGAAACCGTTTTTGATTGGTAACATTTCAAATGAGGGTTTCTCAGCCTCTTTTTACAGCATTATAAGTATTGGAATTATAATTATTAGTAAAAAAGTTTAATTGGAATATTAGGAGTGAAAATTATGAAAAGTCTCAATAGAAGCACGGCACGTGCTCCTATTGTTGCGTCATAGACAAACATCGTCAAAAATGAGTTGTGATATAGACTAATTCATAATTTGGATGTAATCTGATCCGGACATTGAAGTGTAGCAAATTTTAAAAATGTTGAGGACGAAAATATGAAAGATACTCAGAGAATATGGTGCTTTAAATCCGTCCTAAGTCAATTAAAAATCGAAAACATAAGCAAAGACAGAATCCAGATATTTAGAAGCATAAGTAATAAATTATAACTAATTTCAAGATGAAGCCACGGAAACTAACGTTGAGTGTTACTTCTCCTATAGAGCATACTGAATCCCACGAAAGAACGATGCCTTCGGAACATCTGATCACTTCCACTTTGATGACGCATAAGATTCAAGAAGCTTATTTAAACATCGTAATGTTGCAGAGTGTTCATTAGTGATTGTATGTTCTCTAAAGACCAACTCATGTTGTTATTGTATTTCGCTATTTACTTTTATTTCTTTATTTCAATTTTTCTCCGGGGGCAAGAGTGTGTTGAGATTCTGGCTGGATTTAGGTGTGGACGGGTTTCGAGTTGATGCTGTGCAAATCCTTTTCGAGGCAGCCCATGGAATGGACGAGCCAAAATCGTCGGATGTAAACTGGATAGATGGATGGATTTACACGTGGGAACAGCCTGAAAATATCGAGATGGTGAAGTCTTGGAGAGCGTTGTTGGACGCGTACTCGAAAAAGGACGGACAGACTAGGTAAAAGTATCCTTAGTGTAGATTTAGAATTTATCAGCCTGTGGGATCTTGATAGCCTACATACTGTGGGCACATCGGATTAAATTTACACATTATCAGGACGCCAATCCTTTTTTTCTGTGTCCCCCATATTTTATTTGGACTCCATTTTCCAATTTGGAACTATAAATTCTAGCTCGGTATAAAAACAACGTATGTGCCAGTAGTTTCCCTATGCACATAAGTGTTTTTCCAGAAGAGCCAGAATTTATGGTTCGAAATTGCAAAATACAGTCCATTTGATCTTTTCACAGAAAAGTTTTAAAAATATAATGAATTCCAACACTCTCTTGATAGGCATACGTTAACCTATTGATTTGTTTCTTCTTTACTTCTTTTTGTTTAAATTTAAAAAAAGAAAAAAAGTGTAGATTGATGTTGGCGGGAAGTATCGATTTAATTCCATCTTTTTCGATGCACAGGTTGCTAGCAGTGGAGCTCTACAGCACGCCAACCAAGCTCCTGGAGTACACTGGGAACGCGACAAACCCAGGGGCACATATACCATTTTATTTCAATCTGATCTTCGCTGATCCTGAAATGAATGCGTTTGGTGTGAACACTCTAATCCATCAACAGACTGATATTTTCCCTAGAAGTGCCAACAATTGGGTGGTGAGTCAGCCCCGCCAGAGAGTACAATAAATATCGATGCCCAAAGTACAAAACCACGTATCTCCATTGCAGTGTTTCAAAATTTCGGTTCCTATTTTATTTTCTCGTAGAGAAACAAGCCACCTTTATAGCTTGAACTTCATGCAGAATATTCTGCTAAATAGAAAAAAAAATCAAGGTTGTAAGAAAAATAAGTATGACAAGAAGTTTGCAACGTCGTAAGCGGAGATGTGCGGTTTCGCAGTTCGCTCATCGGCGTCACTATGTACTTATTTAGAAACTTAAGAAAATATTTACATAATTTTTAAAATTTGACCCAGCTCCCTGAGAAGCACAGTGCATCGGAAGTATTGAAATAGTTTTGTAATTGATGAAATACAATTACATTTTTTTTCACCTTGAAACTGCAATATTTCTTTATCATTGGGTGGATAAATGTCGATTTTGAGCAATCAAAAAAATTGGTTTCATACATGAGAACGGTAGGCAATTACAACTAGTCCCAATTTTTTACATTTCAAAAGGAGGAGCCCCTTCAAAAAGTGGACAGGCAACTTGCATAACATTCTGATACCATAGCAATAATTTTACCATGCAATTGAGGACACCGCACCAAGAACAGCCTATAGGCGTATAGGTCGTTGTTACGCCCATCTGCTTTTCGGATTCCACGTACCCTGGACTATGCTGTGGTAGCGATAGAATATAGATAGGTAACGGCTCGAGGTCGAAAAACCTTTTTTTTCCGAGTTAAGTCAGGCCTCTGGATCGATGGGTGCAAGAACGACCTATAAACGGGCCTATTAGGTGCTAGTTACCCCTTCCTTTACTCACTATCGATATTCTTTCATTTTGCGTTAAACATAAGTGATTAAAATGATTTATATTTCATATTGTCACCAAAATGACTGTTGGGCGTAATAATGGCCTATAAACCGTTTTTTTAAATTAAATATATGAGAGTATAAATACCCAAAATGTATCGCAAAATCTACCCTGCATCCTTCAATAGAAGGGTTAGGTCACCCAAAAACACCAAAATAGGGTACCTGCATAGAAAAGTTTGCGCAGTACATCAAAAACAAAACTTCAAATGCATTTTGCTCAAAACGCGGTTTCCAGTTATAGGCTGTTCTGGGTGCGGTGTCTTCAATTGTGCAATCAGTGCTATATTTGGGTCTCACGTCACTGAAATATGGGTTGATCATAGTTTTGTCAATAATCAGCATAAAAACGTACACACATGTCACTTTAAAGCACTCTCTAACGGTCTTACTTCACATAGAGTAGATCAGAAACAAGAGTCCAGGAAATCCAGTAAATCCAGGAAAGAATCAAGGTCGCGCGGAGTCCGTACGGTTAACAAGATCGTCCATATGAACTGATGAAAGGGAGAGAAAATCTCAGTAGTTACTAGCCAAACATGATTTTTGATTGTTTTCATTATTTTGGTCCTGTAGATGGACAATCATGACAACAAGCGATTGAGAGCTCGACTGTTCGATGCGAGCGTAGATTCGTGGAACATGCTGGTTCTCTTGCTGCCGGGACTTGCGAGCGTTTACTATGGCACAGAAATCGGTCTGGACAACTTAAAATTACGCTCGGATCAACGCAAAGATCGCCAGAACGGCGGCAACGGTCGAATAGATCTGCGTGACATTTATAGGGGGCCAATGCAATGGGACGATACTGATAATGCCGGTAAATATTCCAGATTAAAGTTTCTTGTATAGACATGTAACACAAAGAACGGAGTACAAAAATCGTAGTACTTAAAATATTCATATTGGATCTTAGACACAATTTAAAATTCTAGTCTCAGATGCTACGATGATTTTATGGTAATCGGTCCTTTTGAAGGACTTTAACGGGACCGGAAGAACGTTACCATGAGGGTGATGTCGTAACCAAAAATAGAATTTTATGTTGGGCCTGAAAACAGCTTGAGCCTCTTCTGAGCTACTAAACTTTATTTCATCATAATGGGATCACCATTTATCTTTTGTATTCGTCTTCGATTTTTTTTCTACCTAAAATCAGTCAATACATCAAAACATTCTAGTATTCTTAATCTATCATTAGGGCTCTTTAATTAGGGAGTGTTCATAAGTTACGTAACGCACTGGGGGGGGGGGGGGGATAAACCGCCTGCGTTACTCTCTGGGATGGGGAGGGAAGGGTGTTTTAACCAATAGTTTTTTTGAAAACCTTCGCTCCACTCAAAATTCCTGGCGATACTGGGCCTCGGTAACGTGGATAAAGGTAAAATTTTGAACTCGCATATTTCCACGTAGATTCTTAGATCCCGTTTTGGGACGCCGCGCCGCACTTCTATCGGCAAGTAATTAAGCAGATTGAAATTAGAGGTGATGACCTCTTTTGACATATCGGGGAATATTAGTCGGTGTGTTATTATTGCTTCATCAATGCGTAATCCAAAAATAACTATCTAAACGAGTTTATTGTTATTTATGAGTACTCCCCTTTTTTTAAAATCGAATTTTGCAGGATTCTCAACAAGTGACAAAACCTGGTTACCAGTCCATCCAAACTACTGGCGAGATAACGTCAAAGCCCAACAACAGGACCCTTACAGCCACCTGAATATCTTCAAAAGGCTTGCGGCCTTAAGAAAGACGCCAGTCATTATGCACGGTGACCTGAAAACTTACGTGCCCAAAACCTGGGTTTTTATGTTCACAAGGTAAGAGGTGCAACCAGGGAGAAGAATAACAACAGTTACAAAAAGTTTCGAGCACTAAAATCGGATCAATTTCCGTTTTAAAAATTAAAGAATGGAGAGAAAAAAGAGAAAAAAATCCGCTTCGCCTGGAGACAGTTTGCTCTTTTTTGGTTTCATAGTCCTAATCTTTCTGAAATTTCTGATTTTTTAGAATGCAATGCAAAAAAAAAAAAAAAAAAAAAAAAAAAAAAAAAACTTTTTTGTATTATCTGCGTGAAAAGTCCACCAGCACGTCTCTCAGTACCGCTGCACCGGTGAATAAAAAATCAGGGTTGTAAAGATAAATAAAAAATATTGTTAACCCTCTACCGAAAGGAAAGAAAATTAACATCTATCTCAGACACTTTTAAGATCATCATGAAACTTAAATTGGAATCCTTGAACATTCTCAAAAGAAAAAAAAGAAAAAATGCTCACATCTTATTAGAAGAATTCTTTTTCAAAGAGGCTGAAAAATCCAAAAATGTAAAAAGGGTGCACGTTAATACTAAAATCACAGATAAAGGCCCTCCAATGCGTAGCGATCTCCTAGTTTTTGTGAATTTGATGATAATGTGTGATTTCAGGTCACTGGGAAAAAGTGAAACGATTGCTGTGTTGATGAATGTTGGATCTGAATCGGAGGAAATTTGTCCCAAAGACGCTGCAGAAGAATTGCCAGACGAAATGTTCGTCCACACCTGCAGTGGAAATTCGAAGATTCGTGTAGGGTAAGAGCTTCCTCATACTGAATCTACCATTCTAAGTAAGATCGATGTACAATAAGCCTTTAACCATTGCCAAATTTTGTTTGATAATATACGAATTTTTATCATTGAATAGAAAACGTATCCCATTGATCGTTCACACGGGATGAACGTAATTTAATAAATCGATTAAAGAATCACTACTTTTTCAATATTTCATCAGATTTCGAACAAATTTTTTCTTTCTCTTCCAGGGAAAAGGTGCGAATTTCGAGTTCTGGCGGAGTTAAGTGCTTCAAAATGAGACCACAATCAGGACTTGTCCTCAGCACCAGTAGTGGTGCTCTCTCTACAGTTTCCGCCACTATAATACTCCTTGCGTTTTGCGCAAAATTTCTGGAATAGACGTCATACAATTTTTGTTACATTTATTGATTTGTAATTAATTTATTTGTCTCTCCTTTTGTACTTTTTTAACTTGTATTTATGTATTCATTCATCCAAAAAGTCAAATAAATTTTACGGGCTCATGTTTATCAAAACTTTGCGTGATTTTCTCTCTTACAAAATATTTATAATGGCCCCCCTGTGGAAACCTATCGTGCGTTAAAATACTATTAAAAAAGACAGGGAAATGAAGGAAGGGAGGAATAGAAGGAAGGGGAGAGAGGAGAGAGAAAGATCGCTGAGTTTCGCTGAATTACAGAAATTAATAAAGAAAGACGTAAATATTTTCAATAGTCCCATAAAAACTACTCATTTGCTGAATACACTTCTCACTGGAGCGCATTTCAGCTATGCATTCACGACTTCTAAAATGTCAAAGGCAATTGACAAGCCCAGCGTGTGTGAAGGCTATTTCAATTGTAATCTTCCATAACAACTCTAAGGCGCAATGATACAACTATTTGAACTCTCCAGAATGCGTGAGGTATCACGCCGCATTTGAAGGCGTTTTCAAAACAGCCAAGTTCCTATACCCGGATTATCGTTTTGCATAGTTCATATTCTTTTGTTTTGTTCTGTACTACTTGTTTATTTTTAATCCTCGTATAAAAACCACCCATTTGTAAATACAATTCTAGATGAAGCGCACTTCAGCGCATTCATGACTGCAAGAATGTTAACGGAAATCGAAAAGGCCAGCGTGCATGAAGGCTATTTAAATTGTAATCTTCCGTCGCATTTCTAAGGCGCAATGATACAACTATTTGAACTCTCCGGAATGCGTGAGGTATCACGCCGCATTTGAAGGCGTTTTCAAGACAGCCAAGTTCCGATACCCGGATTATCGTTTTGAATAGTTAATATTGTTTTGTTTTGTTCCGTACCACTTGTTTATTTTTAATCCTTGTATAAAAACCACCCATTTGCTAAATACAATTCTAGCTGGAGCGCACTTCAGGTCTGCATTCACCACTGTAAAAATGTCAAAGGAAATCGACAAGCCCAGCGTGTATGGAGGCTATTTCAATAATTGTAATCTTCCGTCACATTCTTACGTGCTGGGCCTGAAAAAAATCGGAATGAACTCTCCTCGTTGTCGATATAAGATTTTTATATACATGGTCACGAATACCAGAGGAATAGGACGTAGTCAATGTCATGGCGAGATCAAATATGGCATCTCATGAAAAAATGAGACCTAGTTTTTACGCGACAACTTGATCAATATCCATCTATGATGAAGCTGCTCATAGATAAAAGAGACTTTATCAATAGTCAAAGGTAACGATTCAACCACGGTGTGCTATCGATGGTATAAGAGCTCCATAACAGTAATTTTTTTCGTTTTTGTGTGGCAATCATTTTCATTCATATAAAAAAAATTCTCCTACAATGTTACATTTATAGAGTATGATAGTTCGCTTAAATTTTCTCTGCACCTAACCTCCTAAGTACCCTAATAAGTATCGCGTGATGAAAATTTCTGTATCATAGTTCAAAGGAAAGTAACTTTTTAGTTCTTTCTAGCGTTAACGTGCACCGCATTTCAAAATCGTTATTGCTTGTTTTATTGTGGCTCCATCGCTTTCAGTCTCCACTATAATCTTGTGTACCATTGAGAGGTAAGTATCTTTTCTCAAATTTTAGTCGCTGTTGTCTATTATGTTTTGGTGAATAAGATCAATAAAAAATCCTTGTCATATTGAGGATTAGTATCTCGAACAGTAAACAGCACGTGAACACGAAGTTTAATACTGCAACAGCACGAAGTTTAGTGATAAAACTAAAAATGATTTTTTTCAAAACAATAAAGTTGTGTTTATATTTGTATGCTAAAATTATTATCAACACTTTTAAAAAGACCAACAAGTTTAAAGTCATATATGTCAAAGGCCGAAACTTTTGGCAAGTAGTGGTTCCAAAATATACTCTCTTTAACGAGACCTTTCAATGAGCTAATGATTTTAATGGAAGTTTCCTTTTGATTCTGTCCTTGTTCGTGAACAGCAAAAATTCCCATTTTTTTCTAGGAGATGGAACTCCAGATCGCAGAAGTTATTCACTTGAACATTTACCTCTTAGGATTGTTAATCCTTATTTTGGCGCTGATAATAATCGCTTCTCAAATGAAGAATAGTAAAATTAACAGATTTATGGCGTCAGTACCTGGGCCTGTTAGTTTCCCACTCATTGGCTCTGCCTTTCATCTCATAAATCTCGATAGCACAAGTAAGCAAAAGTTATTTCAAACTGAAATATTCCATGTAATGTTCAAGTTGTAATATGAATTATATTTAAAGTAGCAGCAAGCACCAATTCGTCGGCAAATCAAGCCATTTAGGCTCTCAGAAAATTGCGGATTGCAAAAAGACTTAGAAAAAACCAAAGGTTGACCGAGACACACTTTTGGCAAATTTTTATTAAAGGCACGGATGGTTTTTTATCGGAGTCACTCTAAAATTCTATAAAAACCTAAATATGGATTTTTTTAGTAATACCATGCAATAATTCAATGGATTTTCCAGTTTAGTTTTATCGAGTGAAGATTGGTTTTTTCCTTGATGGAAATTAGCATGTAAAGGGCTTTTACTGTATGCCTTATTTGCTTTTATCCTTGTTAAACTCACAGTTTCATATTCCAGCATTCTGTGCAGTCAGACGTCTGGACTTAGTTTCATTTTAGAGTCATATATTACTAAAATCGTAACTAAAGGAATAAAAATCTCCTTGGAGTTAACATACAAGTTTAATTAAATTGTAATTTTCTTTTTTCAATTATTAGCTAAGAAATGCTTCCCAAAATCATAAAAAAAAATTGGCAGTAAAATGATGGAATCCTGGTACAATTAATAAATAAAAATGAAACAAAAAAGCTAGGAAACACATTTTACGAAGGTCCTCATCAGCTGTTGCCCGCAGCTCATTGTATGCGATCACTTGTATTTTGAGCAATCGTCGGGTTGTAATCTTGACCAGAATTTCTTTATTGCCTTTGTTATTTCTGAGACTTTGTCGCACATTACGTGGAAGTACATTAAATTATTCACTGCCACTTTCTCAAATAAGTTTTATTTACAGTTTATGGAATATTTTTTACACATAGGTCTCAAAGTATTCTGCTCTCTTCATAATTTTAGATCTTCCTGATTTTCTGAGGAAACAGCTGAGACAATATCCAAGAATCGCTGGCTATTGGGCAGCAGGTAAAGCGTACGTGTATACGGGTGATCGAAAGATTCTGAATGTAAGTAGCTAAACGCGAATAACTCTAAATATTTTTCTTCGTGTTTCTGAAGGATTAATTTCAAGGAATTCTCTTTACTTTCTCACTTTCCATCTATTAATAATAGTAGATGATGAAAATATTGTCAGGATGAGCAATCAAAAACAGACCTGTAGGAATTATTTTCGGCTGGGGCGTAACCACTCCCTTATTATACCCTTACTCTCCCCCTTACTCCTTATTTTTAACTGCCCGCAATTGTCAACCACTGGTTTTCTTCAAGAATAAAGTTTCATTCATAAACAAAACCGACGTACCTCGCCAGGTTTTTAAATATTATGATAAATTATTAAGTTCTTTGCAATTAGAAACTCAGAGAAGATGCAGTCTTTTCGATTTATCACCTCGCATTTTCAGTTGTTTCGCCTATTTTATTCATAACTGCCGGCGCCAATTAGGCGGCACATGCTTGTTTTTGTGAAATCACCCATGTTGTTGTGTAGAGTGAGCAAATATTCTTTATAATTTTCAGACTATTTTTTGCAGTATTCAAAACACCCATAAACCAACTCATTACGCCCTCTTTCACGATCTTGGGGATGGAATATTCTCTAGTAACGGTGAATATTAAACATTTCTACTGGTACTTTAAAATTTTAGTTCGTAGTTCTAAGCCTTACTCATTGAGTAAGTGAAAGTTTGATGGGTCTCATAATTTAGCCATCATAATTTGGACGTCTTCAAATAGTATGATCTTGTGCAAAATTATTAGTGATTAGATTGTCAAATTCACATCTCAATATGTTTATTGATATCCTCTTCATCGTAGAAAATATTAAAAGAAGAGACATCCACAAAAATAATTTTGGATTAATTGAAGTCTCTGGTGAATGAAGAGGGTGTGTGGCACTTTTCTCAAATCGAATAAAATCAAGCATTCTAAAGTTTAAAAATTTCACTGAGCCTCATGATTCTTGCAAGATTGATCAGCTGATGTTGCGAAGTTAAAAATTTAGTTTTGCAGTCAATTACTGTTTTTGCCACCTATAGTATTGTCTGAACCTTTATCGTTTTTCTCTTCTTTTTTATGAGCCAGGAGCTGAGTGGCGCCAGACGAGAAAACAGATAAATCCAAGCTTTAGGACGGAAATTTTACAAACGTTTAGTGATTCTTTTAGTTATCATACTAAAGTTTTTCTGGATAACTTACAGCAAAATGCAAACACAGGGAGCTGCGTGGATTTGTTTACTCACCTCCATACGTGCACCTTTGATTTAGTTTTTGGTAAGTTTTTTCGCATTTTTTATATGATCGTTATCATGACAAAGTTTTGGGTGATTTTCGCACGTCTGATAGTTTTCTAGGCGCAATTGGGTCAATTTAAATCTCAGGAACCGAAAATATTTGGACTTCGATATTTCTAGGTTTTATGGTGACACACTAAATTTTAGTGAACTGAGTTGGTTGTGCGTTACTTTTTTGTATTTTTTTTTTTTTTTTTAATTCATTCTTTTACTCGAAAGACGGTCTCTGACGACATTTAAAACGAGGGGTTGTACAGATTTGAAAGTTGTTGTGGGATTTTATTGTGTAAAACCATTGAAAGTTTCTGTAAAAAATGTGTGTACATTAACTTCCTCATGCGGATAATATTCTCTGCTTTAAAGTAATAACGATTATTATAGTTTACTTGTTACGGGAGGTTCTTTGCATAGTGTTAATCAAAAACCGGAATTATACAAACCATTGAGTCAGTCAATTTGTAAGACAAAATTCCGCAACTAATTTCTACGAGAATAACAAGATCAAGTTCAAACAAAAACTGATGGCAAAGCGCTCCAGGACATAGTTCAGAGAAAAAAAATTGGAATGGAACACGTTCTTTAATAAGACACAACCAGAGTGCTAGGCTTTATTAAGGTTAGGAAGCATTCATTTTTGTAAGCATTTTGTCCGGAATTATAAATCTTGCCTCGAGGAGAGTAAGGCTCTTGGAATGATACGAAGCTGTGTCCTAGACCTCCAAATTTCAACAAGAAACACGAAGCCAAACCTCGCTTGAACATATCAGTGCTGTGCTGCTGTTGTCCACTTTCTCTATCTTTGTTCCTCCTTATACGTTTTAGTCTGAGTGCATAACCTTCTGTTTTTTATTCACTCATTTTTTGCGGCAAGTAGATCAAATTTTTCGTAAACAGAGGAGCTCTCAGAAAGAAATGGAAGTAAGAAGGTGTCGAAAAAAATGAATGAATGAATGTTGCTATGAATCTATGAAAAGAATCTATAAATTGAAATAAGATTGATAATCTTTAATTAAAAAATATATAAAAATGTAGAGATTTAATTTTAGATTTTAAATAAAATTATTTTAGTATTTAATTAAAACAAAATTAAATAAAATAAAATAAAATGATTAACTCATCAATTTTATGAATCTATTCTCAGTCTTGAACTTGGATTTTTTTGTGCTTAAAATTACGTTCTCACTGGGCATTGGTCACGATATATTCAGATAATGGATCATAGATACATGGATCAATTAAAGCAATTCTGAAGTATGAAAAAGTATGACTACTGTGTTTATCTTTGCTTTCAGAAAATATGCTTGGCTATCGAATGGACTTACAACGTAAGAACTTAACATATTTGTCAAAAGATTTCACCGAGTAAGTCCGCTTTTTACTTGATTCAATTGTTTGTTAGGAGTGTATTTCAGACCTTCCAAATATGTTCATTACGACTTTCAAGCCAAATCCCCCCATAAACAGCTCTTCTTCCTCCTCTAACAAAAATTTGCAACATGCCGACGATGACTAATTGAGAGACTTTAACGCAGCGTGAGAAAAAACAACGCGATAAAATAACTTCACAGATGTTCTTGAAACCATTCGTAAAGTACATAACGCTCAAATACGTGAGAGAGATTCTTTGCAATTCTTTTAATTTAACGTTATTTTAGTGTCACAAATAAATAAGAGACATGAAAAGCTCGGCATCATAACGATTTGTGATGATTTTCACCGATATCATAAACCTTTTTCATCCGTTGTATCCAGCGCCGGGTTTAATAAATCAAAGATTTTGAAAAGACTGCCGATAAAAGTAAACACATTGTCATTTTACTGTCAGCGATAATTTTACTCTGCCCTCTTAAATATCTACCCCAATCTGCTCGGTAAGTTTAATGCGGCTTCCTGTAATTTGTGTAATTTGAGTGGGTAAAAGGGGATGACGCTGCTTTGGAAAAGCATTACGTAAATTTAGGAAGATCCGGCATAGCATTATTAAGTGCACCAGGGGGCTGTAGGTGTACAAAAACTGCGAATTCAGAACCAAAATTTACGAAATTTAGGGATGGCCCGGCTAGACCCCGTTGGAGAACTCACAACGTAAACACAACGTTTCACAGTGTTCTCACAATGTTTTCCTCAACGTATTTCGTACGGATGATGAAATCAGAAGAACGATCGCCTAAATAACAGTGATCTTAAATTTCGTGATGCATCATGAACGAAAGGTTAGCTTTTTAAGGGAGAAAAATTGCTGAAAAGGCTTCTTTATTTTGTTTGCATGATAACCTCATGCTGGGCTTAAACCAGTCCTGTTCCGCGTAAAGCACCGTAACGCTAACTAAAAAGCCCCTCCTCTAAATAAGATACTAGCAGGACCTACGCTCTCTATTATTTCGCGATTTATTTCTTATTTCAAAGTACTTTCTAATTCAATCCTTAGAGACTGTTCGTAAATCGACCAACATTATTTCCTTTTTCCAGAGCCGCGAAAATGACATTCGACAGGCTCTTCAATCCATTGTTTTGGTCTCCATGGACTTACTATATCTCAGGAAAGCAAAATAAATTAGACAGAGTGGCACCCAGTTTGCGAAATGCAACCAAAAATGTAAGTATATAATGAGAATGAGAGGCTTTTATTTTCACCTACTCCATGCAAATTACTTGGACTTTCCGCTAAAGAGTTTTCATGAGTTCAGAAGATAACAAGCACGAAATTAATGAAGTAAGGTCGATGCATCATTTTTCATTGCCACTGTCTTTAAATTTTCCCTGATTCGAAACGCGCTGGAAATTTAAAGTCTCCTTATATAGGTAATTTTTCAATGTTATTTGGTAAAAAAAACACATTCTGCAAAAAGGTAACATTAGGCCCTGAGGTTCCTTTTTGCCTGTGGTTGGTCACAAATACACAATTGATTTGTACGTTATTGAAACACATTTTTGTTTACTTATTTCATTAGCAAATATTCACTCGTTTGGAAAACGGGAGTCAGTATAAAATTAATGAAAGTGGGATGGGGGGGGATATATTTCGCAGCTTATTGAGAGTAAGTATTGTTTTTTGATGAATTGTTTCATTTTTAACAGATCATTGATATTCACATGGAACGAAGAAGCAAAAATGAGAAAAATTCAGATCTTGGTAAGTTATTTTTTTTTCTCTCTCTCTCTCCCCCTCTCTTTCTCTTCCCCCTTCTTGTTCTTTATGTAATGAAACTAACCTCCTTTATCTTTACCCTCTGACGTAAAAGCGTATTTCAATTGCCACATGAGCCCCGTTCTACATATAAATCCACGCTTTTTGGGGCTCATGCAGAAATCCAGATATGCCCTTACGTCAGAGAAGAGACGATATAATATGAGTAACGCGGTTGAGTGGCGTGATTTAACCTATACGTATTCTCTCTAAATTGAAATGATTGGCTAAAGGAGACATTTTAGGTTTTTCGTACGTAAGAGACACACAGCCCAGTAAGTAAATTTACTTTAGGTAAAATTTCACAAAAATCACGATGATCACATCACAGTGAGAAGTCATTTTATTTTGTTGGTCATCCGACCGGTTGTAACTATTCAAGGTTCCCCGTCAAGACGAAAAGACTTAGGAGCAATACGACTCCTGCAATAGCCTGGTTTTCCCTCGTCACGTAGGAAAGTATGAAGGACCGAGGGTTTTCGTTGTGGAATTGGTTTGAAATCTCATTTAGATTATATTTACCAAAAAATTACGACCGAATTTGGACTCGATCTAAATTTCATATCCTGGGCGTTCATTCTCCCTTAAGGTGACGACGGTAGTTCGGGGGTGAAATTTCGGGCACCAAATATAACTTTTCGTGAAGTACTGTATAAAAAAGAATCCAATAATCTCTCAATTCTCTCTTCAAGTAACTTGGGCCAAGACCTATGGTGAGAATTCCTTGAGCTCCTCACATTTCAGAGGGTAGGACGTTGGATTGACTCGATTGCCATCGTTGTTTTAAACATATTTTCGAAAAATTCGTCTATTTCTGTAGCGTCCAGGCCACTTTCAAACTGGGGCTCTCAAACTGGCACCAATTCTTCTATTTCTCAGCCATTTCTGTACGGAATTCCTTGAAAATTTCAAGATCTGATCTGTGATATATCCCGAACACATCGGAAAAGCAACAGTCAACAGTTCCATCGATGAGCCTCTTTGAAGCCCCTAGTTTGAAGGTGGGCTGGACGCTTATGTATAGCGCTCTTCTCACTCAGCAATAAATCACATAATGAGTTGACATTTGAATTTTATTAGTTGCTCTCTGTCGCTCGTCATCCCGCCTATGGTACATGATCAAGGGAAGGCGGGATTACGTTAAAACGTCACCTCCTTTAATAAAGTTAATGAAGATTTTGCTGATTTGGAAGTCGTTGTAATATCAATTGGAGCAAAAAATCTTACTCAGAGGAGCATCAATTTTGAACCTTCTGCATTGATCAAATGATAATTAATTTAGTTTCGGACGTCGCCAAAATCACCTCTAGCATCGAGCATGCCCCGGCCCCTGCACTACCGTGCTAAGTAGGAACGCCGTCAATCCATCACAATTTTCCCTCGTTTTTTGGAACTTACAACTTTATAAAATAAAAAATGTTTTACCCATGCACCTCACATTTTTAGATTAAGTTCTCGATGGTATTTGCGAAAAAATTCTGTAAAAAACATTGTCCCAGAGTACATAAGTTTTTCTGCCATGATTAATTGTTTCCAAAAAAATGAAAAATGGCGTTTACGGCGTTTTTGCGTTGCACGGCAGTGTATTTTAATGGATTTAATTACTATCATCTCTAAAATCATTTCTTCTAAAAAAAATCTTGATAAAACTGGAATTCTTCATGATGCTGTATTGGCTTTATTAAATGTAATTTTAGGGGGAATCCTCATCATGTTATAAGTTTTGCTTCTGAATTCATTTTGTTTAAGGAAATTCTTCGAGGTTTATGGATATTCTATTGAACAACATAGAAACGAAGCACATGTCTGTGGGGAAGGCTGCTGAGGAAGCGGCTGATTTGTCCATCGGTGTGAGTGAAACTCATTTTCTTTTCAAACTCTTGAACAATGCGTGACACATTGCTTTTGACATCACAATGAAGCAGGATTTTGAATAACTCACTATACCCTGCCCTAAAAATGATCAGTTTGGCCTGAAATACTACGTATTCGCATCACTTAAAGCTTTATACTTTGAGCAAAGCAATACCCGTGAACCTCATGTTGAGGTAATTTTCACACCGCAAGTTAGACGTTCCCTCACACTCTTTTTTCTTATTATTTTATCCCAGAAAATGACATATAAAGAGTCATCTGCGCCTGTAAAAATTAAAACTGACTATCTGAGCCATTTGCTAAAAAAGGATTTCACTATCATCAAATCATCAAGCCAATCAATCATCAATCAATAACAGTTGTGATGATTTCTTCTATTATCATAAGTTTAATAGCTTATGAAAAAACTTTGATTTTGTAATTCAATGAAATCTCTTTAGGTTCAAAATATCAGTAAAAATACAATCATTTCTAATTTCCAAAATTAGTATTTTATTTTAAATTATTTACTGATTGAAATTCTTGACTTTCCTAATCGTCTTTATGATGTTTGATCCTTTAATTTTAGTTTTATTTTTTATCCTGATCCTTGTTTTTTGAAGGATCTTCCTTGTGTTCCTTATCAATTCTTGCAACAACGGTCTGTGCTTGTACAACAACATCGCTAAGCATTTCTTCTAATTTTCTGGCTCTCTTTCTTCCCGTTATCGATCTTGCTTGCAAGTGAATCTCTCTCTTACTTTCAGGGGTCCATCACCACCTCGATGACCGTTGCATGGGCACTCAAAATCATGGCAATACGTCCAGAAATTCAAAATAAAGCGTATCAAGAGGTGATGGAAGTCAGTGAAGGCAAAGAAATCATGATGCACGACCTATCGAAGCTCTCGTACTTGGAATCTGTGGTCAAGGAAACTTTGAGGCATTACACGGTTCCAATGGTCGGCCGTGATATTGTCGAGGATATACAACTTGACGGTAAGGAAACCCAAACATACCCATTAGGTCAATGATGGAGTTGGGCGTAAAGAGTTTATTGACCTGGAAAGCTTGGGGGTATTTACTCGACAAATTATCTCCCCGAAAGAAGTGAATTTTCCGCATTGTATTTTTTAAACCTACCTAATCTTTTCCTGTTTTTACATGGAGGAAAAAACTTCGTGCGAGGGACCCGAATGAAGTTGAGGTCAGATGGATCTCTGAAGTTGTCGGATCACGTATCGAAAAACTTGAGGTCCAGCAGCCAGAGTTCGGGTCAGACATCTGAAGTACTTCGATATATACCGAAGGGTTCGGGTCACACGTCTGAACTTCTGAAGTACTCCGGTACATACTGAAATGCCTCCATGTCTAACCCGAACTTCGGCAGCTCGACCTCAAGTTTACGGATGCGTGATCAGAAAACTTCAGAGATTCAAATGACCTCAACTTCGGGTCCCATGCACGAAATTTTTTTCTCCGTGTAAAAAGTATCGTGCGTGCTATACCTGATTTTCAAACCCTTGTTGCGTTATTTTCAGAGGGTGCTTTCACGATCCTCCGACATTTTAACCCTTCAGCATATAATAATCAATCAATTTTTAGAAAAAAATTCCGTTCTTGTGATTAAGATTTAACATATCCTCCAAAATCATAAAAATTCCTGAAATCCCAGCAAAAATCCCTATCTATAGTCTTAGATTTCAATTACGGAACTTCGTCCATATGAATATACTTATAATTGGACTGCATTTTGCAATTTGGAGCCATAACTTCTGGCTCATGTGGAAAGACACTTACAAGCATAGGAAAACTAATGGCACATACCGACTTTTAAACCAGACTGGAAATTATGGTTCCTCACTGTAAAATGTAGTCCAATTATAGGTCTACATAAAAACATAAGATATCATCATCAGGGAGTAACACGTCTGGTAAATTTGAAGACATCTCGTGCCTGAGAGAGAGAGAGAGAGAGTAAAGGATTACAAGTTGAGTCTTTATTCCGATGTTTCGGTTTGAACATGAAAATGCATAATTTAATCATCCTTTTTTCCCTATGATCCGCAGAAAACGAGATCTTACCCGCGGGGGTCCAGGTCATTCTTGCGCTGTTTTGTTTACATCATAACCCTGAACTGTGGGAAAAGCCGGGTGCATTCTATCCAGAGCACTTCTCGCCTGAAAATGAGGCCAAGCGGCCAAAGGGATCTTTCCTTCCATTCTTAACAGGCCCTAGAAGTTGCCCCGGTAAGTAAATACAATTTCACGACGTGAGTTGAATATTGATCCGATCAACGTAGTTCAAAGTATGTATAATCGTTATAGTTGGAAATTCTCTGTTTTCTATCTTGAGTTTCTTTATTCCTCTTTCAAGTCAGTAATTTTTTGTACGTTGTCCATTTTGCAGGACATTTTTCAATTTTGACTTGTGATTACATACAAGATTATATTAATATTGCTGATTGTGTGTTACCGTTCATGGAACATGCCGTGAATTCCAAAACGGCTTATTTAAAACTTGAAGTTTCAGTTGTCTACAGTGTCTAACATTCACGACACTGTCGATAAATGAAACCGTGGACTGACGTGGCAATCAATCTGTCCACATTAGACAAGATATACTGTTGATGAGCTACTAACGCAGTGTAGAAAAGTTGACTAGGAGACTTCAACGCGAAGTATAGAAAGTTAGATAAGGCCAAACACGTGATACAACTATTTCAACTTCCAAGTAGGTAAAATTACATATCCACAAAAATGAAGGAGAACACGGTTGCTTTTCCACCGACTCAGATGCTCTGACGCAGTGTAGAACAGTTAGATAACGCGAAACATGTGATACAACTATTTCGACTGCTTAGTAGGTAAAATTACATACCCTCAAATATGAAGAAGAACTTCGTTGCCATTCCTCCAACTTATTGTTAGACTTAGGATCAGAAAAAACGCTGCTCTAGGGGTCGTGGTATGTTAACAAAATAATACAATACAAGAGATTTAGGAATTTAAAGTGGCAGATACCTAGATTCTTTCTTATGACCCCTGTAAACCTCCTCTAATGCACATAGTTGCAAGACTTCCGTATCAAATTTTCATTCAAAAAATTTTCAGATAAGTTTCGATATGAATATGATCCCATGTAATCGCGACTTTTTCTTTCGTGCAGGCCAGAGTTACGCTATGCAATCAATGAAATGCTTGCTAGCCAACGCACTCTTACGATACAAATTTTCATCAGACGAGACTTTGCCGGAGGACGTCATGGATGGAGATTACAGCCTTCTCTACATGCTGTTTCCGAAGTCTGGATTTCATGTGCGGGTGGAAAATCGATCTGCATCAAAAACAAGAACAGAGGACCAAGATTGCTCGATTCTTGAGATGAAGTCTTTGCCACATTTTACGAGGAAGCACTTGGAAAGCAGTCAACCGCACTTTGAGACCATCTTTGAAAATGATGCACTTAGACTTAGAAGTGTCTGAGATTACATCTTAAAAGTGCGATTTTAGTAAGGCTGTATCGCCGAAAGGCGGAGGAAACTTTATATCAGAGTTGAAACAAATCAGATGCTTATAACAGATTTGAGCCCAAGGCAAAAAGGGTTTAAAAAATAGCTAGAGAATTGATTACTCATCTAAAATTATTATTATCAATTTTAGGCCAAAATATTTCTGATCCGACCCGAAATCTCGCGAATTCAAGAAAAATCTGTAGATTCAATCAGAAAATACGCATTTACGTGCAAGGGTTTTTAAATTTATATTCACACGGTTTTATGACCGTTTCCAACTAGAAAAAACCAAGATTTGTTCATAATATAAGTTAGTTAGTTTGTTACTTCATAACATTGTAAAGAAAGTCTTTTTCCGAATAATCATTCTGACAATAAAAATCTTACTTTCATTTGCGAGGTAAAAACTACGCTGTCTCATGAGTTCATTGGATTGTATAAGTTGTTTTAGACTGTAACGTATTGAATTTGAAGATACTAATAAATGCTGATAAATTAACAACTTATTTTATAAAGGATGTTTCTGTAGATCAAAAATTTCTTCGTCCGTCATTATTTCATTATTTTCTGATTATAATATATGTATTTTGCAATTGGCTCTTATGGTTGATGTCCTCTGGGGAGTCATGCAGCCGTCCCCAAGTTGATCATTTTTGTGAAACATTTTCAAAAAATTCTTGATGTAGTGCAACTTTGTAGAGGCCTTTTTTCTGAGGAAACAGTATGAAAGCTGCATGCATTTACCTTTGTGGATTATGGAATACCGTACGAAATAGCCTGTATCATTCTATTTGTTTGGAAGCCTAATTTAAAAAAAAAATCAGTAAACTCCTTAACCAAAAATAAAACGAGATGAGGATGGAAATGAAAAATCATTTCCGATTCCTAAAATTTTAAGAGCTTCAATACAAAAATGCAGAAACTTTTTGAGGCGGTGGAATTCCTGCCTCATGGGCTAGAAAATTGGTTACAAATCGTCTGTGTGCAAAAGGTGTCATAGCCTTTTCATTCATCTTTCAGAGGCTCGGAAAATGAGTAGTACATTTCAGAACGGAAGAAAATATTCCAACTGCATATTAAATATATCAAGGAAAGTCGTGGTGACTCGTAACATTTGAGGATAATAATTATACGACTTTTAGATCGTGCACACTGGTGCCTTCTAGTACTTCAATCATTCCGATTTGCTCTTAAAACGCAGATCATGCCTTTAATTACACAAAAGTATCTGAAAGGCGGAGCTCAAGTGGTTTATGAGTTAATAGAATCGGTCATAAAAGTCGCAACAGCCTAGCGAGTCAATCCTGTGTCAGTGACTCTTTATGAACGGACAACTGAAAGTCATGGAGTATTTCCTGACCAGGAACTTTTACTCACAATTCGAGTTCTTTTTTCGACCGACTCCCACGTTGGGAGTACATTCTAGCGTTCGAGGCAGTGTAAGCTTAAGTTGGCCATTTCTTTTATGGTTTTACGAATGAAGCTCAGGTTTGAAACTCTTGAAATGAAGGCTTTTGTGTATGCTTTAATTATTCTCACTCTAGTGCTAATTTTGAACCTACTCTCGCGAAGAAGGAAGAAAAAAATCTACGAGTTTATGGCATCGTTACCTGGGCCCGTTTGTTTCCCATTTATTGGTTGCGGGTACACTCTAATGACCATGGGCCAAACAGGTAAGTTAGTTTTATTCTATATTTTTTCAGATAAGAAGGAGGGCCAGGAATTGTTCTCAAATATTTTTTTTGCCTTCCTACCTAATAAATTCCTCTTTAGGGGCAATGAAGTAGAACCTTCCGATGTTCCTGCATGAGGAAAAACTGGCGATGGACCCCCCCCCCCCCNCCCCTGTATCTCCTTTGCTCAATGAAAAGTTTTTCCCCTTTCTATTGTAAATTTTTAAAAGAAATTTGGCAACGTCTGAAGGTTTATACGGTGTATTTCCTTAGTAAGGCACGGCACGGGCCCTCCCTCCCCCAAAAAGTCGTAACCTCACGTATCCGCTCAATAGTCACACTCCCGCGGAGAGGAATTGGGTCCTTGCCTCCTTCCCCTCCCCCACCCTCTGCACAAAAAATCTTTAGTGCTAGTCGCACCCATGTTCATAACTGCATTTTCGCATGATTTTATAATTTGACCGGTATCTACCTTTCCTTATCTTGTTGATCTGTATTTCTGTAGATATGGTGGATTTCCTCAGAACTCAAATAAGGTTCTACCCTCGAATTTGCAGATACTGGTTTTTTCACAAACCGTATATCTGCGTCAGCGACCGGAAAATCTTGAGCGTAAGTCACAGATCACATTTAATTAATCACAGAAATCTGAAATATCGCCATTATTTAAAGTGAAAGAATAGGCATGTAAATAAAAAAATCAGTAACGTGGGGTGCTTTGCGATATATAGATTGTTATACCATTTAAACCTATGGAAAAGGATCGATAGACAGGGTGTTCGCAGCGAACACCTTTATAATCGATTCTTCACCATAGTTTTAAATGGCATGACAATCGATACATCGCAATTCACGCCACGCCATTGAAAAAAATCACAATAAATGAGGTTCAATCGGCTCCAAAGTATATCGATGGCCAAACTTCCAGACCATGCATGTCGTTTGAGATGTTTTAAAATCTCCCTTTTCATTTTATTCTTATGTAGAAGAACAGATCAACATAATTCATTATAGTTTTCACATGTTTTTTTTTTTTTCGCAAAGAGAAGAAAGATCACAGACGTTTTTAGGGATTGACGAGGCGTATTTTTACATTCTGAAAAACACATATCTTCCGGGAATGAGAGCATGAGCCAGCTCTGTGACCACCTCTACGCGATTGTCCAAGAATCAGTCATTAAAGAATCGATTATTAATGTGTTCGTTGCGAACACCCTGTATATCGCTCCTTTTCCATAGGTTTAAATGATAGATCAATCTATGTATCGCAAAGCACGCCACGCCACTTCCAAGCAACCCCCATTCCTCCTTTTTTGTGGTAGTCAATCCATAATCCACACAAATTTTGGCCAGCCTCTGTTTTCCATCCAATCTACATGCTTAAACCAATTCCAACTCGGGTCCATTTAGCCACACATTTGGAAGTATCTCTGCCAGACAGAACTATGTGCATTAAGACATGAGCCCTGAGACCCGTAAGAATATATGCATAACAGGGCTCACGTCATAATGCACATGGTTCCGTTTGGCAGAAATACGTCCACTTCGTATCTGAACACATTTTGCTACCGGTCCCGCATTGTATATCTAGCTATTTACCAAGTGTTGTTCGCGTTAAAACTACTGGTTCATTTACCATTAAACTCCCTCAATTTTTTTTCGATTTGTCAGAACTGAAATAATGGGCGAAAATTGTAATAGCCAGCAATGGAAATTAACATAGCTTGGGCAAATCTCATCGTGAGATTTTGAAAGAAATTCTAATTTGATCCAACTTTTGAGTAAACATTTTTTATAGGATCAAAGTTAGTGGTCAAAAATTTTTGGAGGGTAATATGAGCTTTCTTGCTGTTTATTTGCATGGACTTTTTTCTTCTAGGCGGTTCTCAACAGTTTTCAATGCATTAACAAAAGTGCGGAATACACGCCTCTCACCCAAATGGGAGCAGGAATATTCACACACAATGGTAAGTTTACGAACGTTTTCTCACTTTGATTTTAGAAGTGAAAAGAAGAAGAAGAAGAAGAAGATGTCGTAGAAGTTTTAAGGAGAGCAATCCCAACACGAGGGCCGAAGAAAGTATGATTCACAGTTATCAGTACAAACCCTCCTATACTAAGAATAACCTCAGTCTTACTAAAAATATCCTGAAAGTATGCATAAATTTTCTTTTTCTTTCCTCCCTTTCCCCTCCAGTTTGGAAGGAGTAAAGCCAACTAACTTTTAGCATTGGGGGTGTATAACACTATAGATCAGAACGAGTTTTAAATCTTCTAATCTAATTATTAATATTTACAGGCACTAAATGGCGTAAATTGAGGAAGCAAATTAACCCCTGTTTTAGAACTGACGTCATTGCAACCTTTGGTGAAACTTTCAGCCGTAACACAAGGATTCTCTTAGATGCTCTCCAAGAACGTGCTGACGATGGGAAATCTTTCGATTTGTTCCCATTGTTGAATTCATTCACAATTGATCTTGTTTTTGGTAGGTGTTATCAACACATTTTTAAAAGTTTTCTAAAACCTCTGCGCGTTAATACTAGGTTTTCATGAAGCTCAACAAGCAGCAACTTGTGTGGATAGCACCTACGAAGTTTTTGTGTCGCATGACGAATAGTAACAAACGAATATTGTCAAACTTTGGCCTACATTTGTAGTTTAATCTACAAATAATTTGACTTTTTCTTTCGAGAATAGTAGGAAGCAAATTTTGAATTGTACCTGGAAAAATAGATATAATGTAGGGTGCGTGCATAAGGTTAACGGAACGTTTACGTATCTGCGTGTTAATTAGCAAGGAGAAACGAATTGAACGGAATGAATTATTTAAGTACCAACTTTTGATTAAGGGTGTAATTAAAATTCACCTGGTGGACTTCTCACCCTCTTATTTGTTAGATTCCTTTAGAGAGTGTAAAAATATCATTTTTCTGACGTATGTATGGTGTTTAAAAACTTTATATTTGTCACACTTAGTTGTAAGAGAGAACACAAACTGTTGCCTTACACTTGATGTAAAAATAACTAAGACTCTCAAAAAAAAAAAAAAATTGATCACCGGAGGAAAGTTTTTGTAGAAAATTCCATGATATTCAATTTTGTATGACCTCGTTATTATTACTAAAGTCGATTTCTTGAAACTTTGAGCATACTACTTGATTAGATCCTTCACCAATACTTCTTCCGTTTTTTCCAGAAAATTTCATGGGATGCAGCATAAATATGCAAAAGGAGAGACCATCAGACATTCCGCACCATATACTTCGGTAAGTTCTTGTGTGCTTCCTAATTTGTTTGGCTAAAAGTGTTCTATGTGAGGCGTATAATAGTAAAATTATAGTTATTGCAGTGCAGAGATTATGGTGGGGTTAATATAAGAGATCAAAACATTTTTAAATTATTAATTTTAAAGAGAAAATGTGAATATTAATGCCGCATAGATAAGGAGCAAATTCAAAAACATACAAATAAAATATGAAAATCAAATAAAATGAAACAGTGGAAATAAAAAATTTAAAAAAAAAAACATCTTCGAGAGGAAAAATCAGGGACAAGCATTATCTGACGCGGCCCTTCTCCCGATAACGCACTAATAACGCAAGTAACGCAATCAGGGTCCCTCTTTCCCCTCTAGCGTTATCTCGACGGTGAAACTACCGGACCACGTATCTCGTCTGCGGTGTTTAAAAATCTCCGCTCCCTTTTTATTTTTTTGAAGAAGCTCAAAACAAATCAATTCTTGAAAACTTTACAGAGTTTTCTTCGCATAAAGAGGAAAAAACACGGAAGTTTTTAAGAATTGACGTTGAGTAGTTCTCCATTTAAAATATAAAGTTTGACAGGAAGTCTACGACGTCGCAAACCGAGGTACGTGGTCTGGTAGTTTCACCATCGCATCGATACGTGTTTGGTGAATTGCCCCTAAGTAACCTATTTATCGCATTCAAAATTCATGACGTGACTAAATTCCTACTAAATGGGAAGGCAAAACTCATTTGGTGGAAAATAACGCATCTTCTTTTCGATTACGTATTCATAGAAGCACATAATATGTGCTCACCGCCTGCTCTGATCATATCAAATCATTGTTTGTTTTAGGGCACTAGAAATTGTTTTGCAGAGGTGCTTCAATTTTTTGGAGTGGCCTGAGCTATATTGGCAGTTGTCAGGAAAACAGAAAAAAATAGACGAACTGATTGCGCCTTTGAAGCGCATCTGCCGAGAGGTAAAAGTCTTGCTCACTTTGTTTGCTATATTCGCGGACAGGGCCGGATTTACCTACTTGCCGCCCATGGGCCGCCTGTATTATGCCGTCCCCTTCTCATTGATTTTGAAACATCAATAAAAACCATCAAATGAACGTGCCGGAGGGGGAGAGGTGCATAAGACGCGTTTACCTACTCGTGTTGCATACATTTTTTGCGAAAGCCCTGTCAACACCACGAGCAAAATTTCACGGAACTTTTCGCCAAAGTTAAGTCCCGTAAACACAACAAAGAACATAACTTTTTGTGTGAGAACAAGGTCCTCCATTTATAAAAAATGAACCAAAAAATTAATAAAGAACAAACATAAATTATTGTGGTTTAATAATTTTAACTTCCGCCACTACGCCGGGCTGATCGCAGTTCGCACTGTGTTTGGCGCAATGCGTGCAGTATTCCTGCAGTCTTGTAAGCGCTATGCGTCTCACGCCAACGTCGCCAACCGATCCTGAACGCACTGTGTTTGACGCAATGGGTGAAGTACTCATGCAGACTCGTAGGCGCTAATATGTGTTACATGCCGACCGCCGCGCCGAGACCTTACACATTAACAATTTATCGAAGAGGTTTTTCCAATGGTCTATAAAATAACTGTCGTTCCTATTTGTGAAAAAATGTAAATTTCACGAAAAAAAAAGATCTCTCTCAAAACTTTCACACTGTTAAATTGCAGAGTGTTTCCCCCAAAATATTTTCCGTGCATGAATTCATTATCACCACAGATACGCAAAAATGGCACTTAGTGAAGATTAGCAGAGTAACTGTGCATATATACCATAATTCTGCACAAATAAACTAGAAGCATTTCAATAAATTCAACTACGTAGTTATGTTCACTTTGGAAATTAGTCGGTCCGTGCATTTTTACTATAAAAAAACAACCTAAGGTAGTTCTAACTTTAATCAATTGCATTGGTGAATGTGTCTCATCATGAAAATTAAATGAACTTTTTGCCTTCAGTTTTATTTTTTTTTTCGGGGGGGGGGGG